TATATATTTCTATAATTTATACTATTAAGTAATCTTTTTATTAAGCTTAATCTATTAATAAGATAACTTTTAAAATTATTTAACACGGCGATAGCGTTATATTAATTTTCTTATTTATATTTAAAGATATAGAAAGATTTTAATATAGCGATTAATATCGCATCTTTCGATCTTATAATTATCGTAAAGAGAAGATTTATCTTAAATATATAAATCGTTATCTTAATAAAAGTAAGTTTTATATAATAAATTAAATATTAGAATTTATTAATAGATATATATATAAAGCGATAATAGTAGAAATAGTTAAGGGTTAATAATCGCGCCTATAAAATAACTATATACTTACTATTAAAGTTATTATTATTATTAAAAAAGAGTATTATAAAATTATTAATTTACGTATTAATATAATTAATAATAATAAGATATTTATAATAAAGAGAAGTAGACTATTAATATAATAAGATATATTATATTTATATTAATATTAATATTAATATTATAACACTAGAGTAAATACTTATAAGAGAGACGTTAGAAGTTATAAAGAATAAAAATAAATAATTCGAAAGAAGTTTTTATATTCTCTATTATAGCGCTATTACTAGTAAGTAATACTTAATAACGTAAATAATAACGACGTAGTAATATTTCGCTACTATTTATAGAGTTATATCGCCTAGCTACTATTATTATTTCTACTATTATTATTAATTAATAATCGAGAATATTATCGCGAACGCGTCGCTCTATTAATTACTTTCTTTAAATTTCTATAATAAAGATTATTACTACGTTACTTCGCTATAAACATAATATATTATAAAAATAACGTTATCTATAGAGAAACTCTTCTCTCTTCTTTTATCTATTAAATTTTTAAGATTTTATTATAAATTTTTAAATCTAATATTATTCGCTATAAAGGCTATTAACTAGCGCTATAAAAATATTAATATTAAGTGTATTAACTTATTATAAATTATTATTAATTAATATTATAAAAGCGATATTATTCTCGAAGATAATATTAATATTATTATATAATATATTAATTACGCGCCTACGACGCGTAAGAGTTAATTTTATTATATTATTAAAACGATATTATAATCTTAACAAATCGACTCTTTTCTCTTATTTCTCTATTAGAATTTAAAAGTTTTTTAATAAATATTCTATTTTTACTTAGACGTCTAGAGATTAAAGTCTAAAAGAAAAAATAATTATTAGATTTAATACGTTATAGACCTTAGCGCTACTTACGCTAAGATACTAATATTATATATTCTATATTAGAATTCCTTTTAGAGTCTAATTTTAATAACGTATTCTATATACTTAGAGACTTAACGAATATAGATCTACTTCGTATATCTTAAAATTTTAATATTTCTTAAAGATTAATTCTATTATTAAATATACTATTAAACTTCATAACGATACTACGTCTTTTATAGCCTATATCCGCTAGCTAATCGTTAGTGAACTACGCTCTCACATTTAGCTAGTTACTTAATTTAATATTTTATAAGAGAAGAAGTAAAAGAAGAAACTATAATAGATAAATGCGGAGAATACTACGAAGAATACTATAAAGAATATTACGAAGAAATTAAGCGATAATAAAATTTCTAATACTAAGAATATAGCTTAGCTCTCTAAGATTTTACATTATATACTCTTTACGATTCTATATTAAATTATTACTTAGTAAGCGAAGAATATTACTATAACTTAATCTATTATTTCTATTATATTAAGAAGTAAGAGAAGAAACTATAATAGATAAATATAAAGAATACTACGAAAAATACTATAGAGAATATTACGAAGAAACTAAGCGATAATAAAACTTTTAATATTAAGAATATAGCTTAACTCTTTAAGATCTTATATTATATACTCTCTACGATTTCATATTAAATTATTACTTAGTAAGCGAAGAATATTACTATAACTTAATCTATTATCTCTATTATATTAAGAAGTAAAAGAAGAAATTATAATAGATAAATATAAAGAATATTACGAAGAATACTATAGAGAATACTACGAAGAAATTAAGCGATAATAAAACTATTATCATTAAGAATACGACTTAGCTCTTTAAGATTTCACATTATATACTCTCTACGATTTTATATTAAATTATTATTTAGTAAGCGAAGAATACTATTATAACTTAGTTTATTATCTCTATTATATTAATATAGTATATTACTATAAGTAAAGATCTATAAATTAAATTTTTAAATTTTTTTTAATTAGAGCTATCGAGTAAATTTAATAAGCGAACTTTTAATAGATAATATTTAAATTCGTTATCTTTAAATATTTATAGAATTAAATTTAATAATTCTTTTTTTATTTAAAAGCCTATAGTTCGTTCTATAATTTTAAAAAAAAATCTAAAATTAAATAATATATACCTATTTTTTAATAAGAGCTATTCGGCTGTCCGCGATCTTTGATAAGCGAACTTTAATAAGCGATATTTGAATTTCTTACGCTTTAATAATTTTTAGACTAAATTTTAGAATTCTTAAAAATTCAGAGAGTATAAATAGCGCTTTAAAATTTGAAAAAAAAAATTAAAATTTTAATATAAAAATGAAAAAGTTATTCTATATATTAATAATATATATCTATTTTTTTAATAAGAAAGACGCGAGAGGGCGAGATTTTAATAATTACGAACGTTAATTTATTTATTCGCGATATCTAATTAAAAAGCGTAGATCTAATAAATTAATAATTAACTATATATATAAATTCAAGATTTTCTAGTTTAGCTCTATCTTATTCTTTTATATATACTAATAATAACGTTATAAGAGAAGAGTTTACTACGACGATTATAGTTAATTAAATCTCTATAGAAGAAATATTAAACGATATATACTTAAATGAATTAAAATCGTTTAATGTCTATAGCTATTTTATTATTCGAAAATTTTTACTACGATAGAAGATATTATAGAACTTATATTACTAATTAATACGTTATCTTTATTTCTTTTTAATATTTTAATACTTCTTATTATAGAATTAATTCTTTATACTTAATATATCTTTCTAATTAGACCTTAGCGCGCCTCTCTTCATATATATATACTTATATATTATATAGATTAAATTAATTTTATAATAATAAAAGTAGATTAAAAACGTATAGTAAGCGATTAGAGTTTAATTTAACTTAGAACTAGAGCTAAAATTCGATTTAACTTAGAAATATTTAACTTTATAAATTTAATTTATAGGCCTTTACTTATTAAATATAACGCTTTAATAATTATTATTTTCGTTAATAATATTATTAGAATTTCTATTAATATTAGAATTAATATTTTAATCGCTTAATTACGTAGTAAGCGTATTTTAATAAAAGTTATTTATTAGATTAAAAACGTCGCTAGTTAATTATAATAGAACGTTTTTACTTTATAAATTAATAGAATTAATTTATAAGTTATTTACTATAGCTAAATTAAATAACTTTATATAAATAAAGTTATTAAAACTATAAGATAATAAAAACTTTTTAAATAAAACTATATAATAGCTATATAATTATAAAATCTAGATATATAATTAATAGAATAAATAGATTAATAACTAAATAAACTAATAATTAAAAAAAAAAAAAAAACTTATAAGTATTTAAGACTTTATTAAATATATTAAATACTTATTTTAGCTATATAGCTTATAATCTAATAAATAACGTAAGCGAGTCTATTAATTTACTTCGAGTACTTTTACTCTTATAATTTTAATAATTATAAACGCTAATTTATTTACTCGCGATAACTTAGTTAATTTAATTAAAAAGCGTAAATCTAATAAATTTATAATTAGCTATATATATAAATTTAAGATTTTTAAGCTTAACTCTATCTTATTTTATTATATATATTAATAAGAAAATAAGCTTTTTAATTATTAACTTTATAACTATAAATTAAATTAAAATAATTTTAGCGATATTAGAATCGTAAGAATTTTTAATAGAAATCTTATATACGAAATACTTATTTTTAAGTTACTATTTAGCTCGTCTAGCTTAAAATCCGAAGCTTTTAACTATAAGTTCGCGACTCTATAAAATTACTCGTTTTTATATAGATTTTTAATATTTAATAGCGTTGAAATTATAGTAATTAGAGCTTATAGCTCGATAGAGATAAAAAAAGTTCGATAGAAGTAAGTAGATACTAAGTATATATATCTTATTTAAGATAAAAGAGATATACTTAATATATACTAGTATCTTATCGAAGATAAAGAAAATTTAATTTAATTTAGCGACGTTAACTTATACGAGATAACTTATCTATAAATTTAAAAATTTCTCTTTTATCTATTATAAAATTTTACTCTTATTTATATTTAATATACGCTATAATATCTAATATATTTATCTAATAAGTTCTTCTCTTCGCGCTATAGTCTTATTACGATTTAGAAAAGTATTATTTTAAATATATATCTATTTTAATAATATTAATTATATAAAATACGGAGATTGGGCATATATATAATATATACCTATATTCCCCTCTAAAGTGCCAACATTATTTTAGACCCGACCCGAGTTCATTCGGAGTGAAACGGATACGTTTAGCATATGCTATGAGTTCATCCGAGGTGAAGCGAGCATATGCCGAAGCTTCACCCCTGCCGAACTTTTTTCACTCCTACCGAGCTGTAACCCGCAGCAGTAAGACGCATAATTTACAGCCAGAAACCTATACAATCCTGGTGATCTGACCCATAGGCGTAAAATTGACAATTTGAATCAATCATGTTGCGCGACAGGTCTCAACGCCAAGAAATCTGAAGGATTCTAAACGGGCCCGCGAAGCATGTCTTGCCCTACCCGCATAGAGCCCCAAACCTTGCCTCATGTAAAATATTCGTTGAGACTCCGAATATATGAGAGCTGAGGGCAACGTGCGAATTAGTGGAATCAAATACGCTAGGTCCGCAGGATGGTTGGAAAGAGGTCTGGAAAGGCACTCCTTCGGGAGGAAGGCAAGTGTCACCCTCACAATCTTGTACACCTAGACTTTGCATGAGAGCTGACGTTACGCTTCCTGGTAGGCCTTGAGAGGACTGACAACAATATGGATCTGACTACATGGCCCCAAATCAACCCAATCAATCAGAAGAACTACTACACGTACGTTTTGACTCTAATGGCAGAAGTATAAGGTCTGAGACGCTGTTCACAATGTCTTTAAGGACTATATATCTCGACTATCAGGAATTCTGGGAAGAGTGGTGTTCTGGCTTCATTACAGCACTGATTGTCCCACTTCCAGTGACTACCTCAAACGAGATGATCAGATTCTTCCTCTACGCCTTCTACAGGAAGAGCGCCGAAATAGAATGACCGCCAAAGCCAGAGACAGAGACCGAGAGCTTGCTCAAGCTAATCCGAATGATGCACTACCTAGCGGCGCGGATCTGGACATGGACGACGATGCCGGCATGGAGGATGCTGGAGAGCCGCTGACAGGCCAAGATGCTCTGGGATCGAAAGTAATCGTGATTCACCCCGGGAGCCAGAATCTGCGCATCGGCTTGGCAAGCGACGCTTTGCCCAAAACGGTGCCCATGGTCATCGCAAGGAGATGGGAGATGAGCGAGTCCGAGGAAGATGGTGGTGAGCCAAGTCCAAAACGCAGGAGGACGGACGACGGCTCTCAAATGGAGCCAGAAAAAACGTTTGGCGAAGAGGCAAGTGCGCGAATCCGCTACGAGAATTCTTCCACTGACTCGAGCGTAGTTTGCAGGCCAATATAACAAGATGTGCGCTGATCTAAAGATCCACATGCGCAGTAACAAGCGTAGGGTCTTACCCAATTCGAAGGAATTGATTGTCAATTATAACAAACGGACACCTCCGGAGACCATATCAGAGCACAACGATCCTTTTAGAGTAGACTGGACTGAGATTCCTGCCGACCCGAAAGAAGCCCCAGGATTTTTTACTGGGAAAGAGGCACTTAGGATCCCAGATAAGTCAATTCCACGTTACAAGCTCTTTTGGCCACTGCGGTATGGCTGGTACAACGAGTCGGAGTATCGTGAGAAGAAAGATCTGTACAACGACATTGCGACAGTTATTGAAGAGGCGATCAAGACGCAGTTGAATCTCCGGCGCAAAAGAGACTGGGTGCAGTATGGATGTGTCTTCGTTGTTCCTGACCTGTATGAAAGACACTACGTTTCTCAGACACTAGAGATGCTGATGAGAGACCTGGGCTTCGGTAAGGTCTGCTTCATTCAGGAAAGTCTGGCTGCAACTTGTGGTGCAGGCTATACGACTGCCTGCGTTGTGGATGTAGGAGCTCAGAAGACTTCCATATGCTGTGTCGAAGAGGGGATGTGCATTGAGAATTCTCGAATCAATTTGAAATGTGGTGGTGCAGATGTCACGGAGACCTTCATCAGAATGATGCTGTATGATCACTTCCCGTATGCGGACATCAACTTGAAGCGCCGGTATGATTTTCTGCTTGCAGAAGAACTCAAATATAAGTTTTGTACCATGAATGAAGGAGAAATAAGCCCCCAGCTTTTCGACTTCCACCTGAGAGCATCTGGGCAAGACACTAGGAAGTACACCTTCAAGACATACGATGAGGTATTACTGGCGCCTCAGGGCTACTATCAACCAACGATCTTTGACAATTCTCAGAAGCTCAAGGGTCGACGGAAGCTCATTGACCGATCTTACGACCTCTATGAGGGTGGGCCTAATGATCCCGTGTCTTCTGCGCAGTCTGCTGTATTGTCACTTATAAGTCCAATCGTGTCAGTCAACGGCCAAACGAATGGCGAGACGAGCAATGGGCAGGTAGCCCTAGGTCCAATAAAACCTTCATCAAACCTGTTTCAGAAGATCAACGAGACCGAGCGCACCCCAGCCTCAACAGTAGGATCTCCTGCGCCGGATGACGACGATACCCCAGTACCAATTGGTGAGACCAACACTGGAACGGAGATCCTTGCAACCTCAGTTCGAGACGATGTGCTTCCGGTGATTGCTCTCGATACCGCTATACTGACATCCATCGGCCACGGAGCACGACTCGATGAGCGCAAGACTAGGGATTTCCTCAGTAGTGTCATGGTCGTTGGCGGAGGAGCTCAGATCCCAGGCTTCTACATGTTCTTGGAGGAGAGGTTGAAAGAACTGAGGCCAGGATTTGCGAAGGACATCGTGATCGGAACACCACCTAGGGAGCTGGATCCACAAGGTGTGATTTGGAAAGGCGGAAGCGTGTTTGGGAAGCTAAGGGGGACAAATGACAGCTGGATAGGTAAGACGGAGTACGACCGTTTGGGTGCCAGGCTGCTGGTTTACAAGTGTATGTGGGCCTGGTAGATGGGCCTGGTAGATCACGAGTACAACGTGATAGGAATAATGTAGAGGTTAGACCCCTCGCCAGACCTCAAGAGTGTTGCATCTTCTCCAACAATACGCCAAGTAGCTTTTACGATTACTACGGCTGTAACAGAGGCCTCATATCAGTGTCACATATGGTGATTATTAGCAAAATTTCTCTCACCTCCAATCAAACTCTCATAGAAAGCCCAGGGAGACCGAGGGACTGAGGTGTGCCAAGACCGGAAAGGGTTAAATGATTATCCGAACTCTTCTGGGGAACTTCAGGAATAGTGTTGCTGAGTGTTTGCTCGCCAACAGATCCCAATTCTTTGAAGACTTTGTCTGTGGCAGATCAGGCATGACCGCAAATTGGTAGGCCTGCAAATTGGTTATTCCAGAGCCGTACAAGTACCAGAAAGCTGAGCAGTTAAAGCGCAAGAAAGTTACGTCTCCACCCAGGACATTGGCAACACTTCTGTCGACCGCGAAATCGAGGACCTAGAGAGGAATCATTGATCCAGTGGAATCAGTTACTGCTGTTGATATAGCGTCTTTCAGCCGAGATAAAGAAGAAAAGAGCTCAAGCTTAAGCTAGCATTGATTTCTTTGACAATTCGAATTTGAGCCCTGAGTTCGCCCGTGATTGTCTCTAAGAAGTCGAAATCGAAATGTCAACTCCCCAGGCACGACCTTCTGAGCGCGGCTACCATCAGGATTACATCGCGCGCATCCGTTACGAGAATGCTCTTCCTCCGCCTCCAGGAGCTCCAAAGCTCTTGAACATTCCTGCGGAAGGTTTGAAATACTACACTTCTGCCGCCTTTTCGTCCCGCTTGGCAAGACAGCAGCCTTTGAACATCGAGTCAGATGCTGAGCTTGGTATGCCAATCGATCTCGTGGGGATGCCGGGTATATTCGATGGCGATGAGAGCTGTAAGTCGGATCTCATAAAGCTACTTGTTCGTTGACCAGGGTTGACCTGTTGTACGCAGCTATACAAGCTCCTCTGGCGACGCCTCCTGTTCATCCAAGAGATAAAAACTTATTGCGTCCTTTGGCCGAGCTCGGCAAGCCCGCGTTTAACCCAGCTGGATACAGCTTCTTGCGTAGGACTGAGTATATCTCATCTGATGCAAAGGCACGAGCTGAAGCCAACGCGAACGCGGTCAAAAATACTGGCAAGCAGCCTCCTGCCTCGAAGATTCGAAAGCCCATAGACGCGTCAAAGGAAGATCCCGTGAACATTCTGCGTTCTACCGTTAAAGGTTTCGACCTCGCCAATCCTGAAGACGCATATACTGGTCCTGACACAATCATCAATATTCGTGGTGCTTTGCCAACGCCTGCAGAAATAGATGCGTGGAAGCGTCCAAAGCATCCTTCAAAGCCGGATGTCAAGCTACTCGATGCGTACCCATTAAAGCCCGATCCCGACGCTGTCACAGACTCAGGGTCTTACATGATAACCAAATTTGCTGGAAATCCTACTCCAGTCACTGAAGCTCGCGACATCCGTATGGACGTCGGGATATTGTACCCGCGGGAGCTGGCTCCAGAAACTTACAATTACGAATTTTTCATACCTGACAATGAAGTTGCAACTAAAAATGTTATGAGGAAGCTTGATGTTAACGACGATGCCTGCGATGATCCGGGATTGTACACCGACAAAGCTCCTGATGGTTCCGGCGTGTTCACATTTGATTTCCTGCGCACTTACGAGCCTGGACGTGGATCTACTCGGGGATATCAGCAATACCGAGAAGTTGCACTGGCCCTCCATGACCCAGAGCTCGATCGACAGACAGCAGGCACGGAATTTACAGCGCGCGGCAACGGCATCCACCGACTTGATAAAGGAGCATACTATTATCCTATCCTCAGTAAGATGCAGCTAAAGCCTCGTCGCAACAAAAACTTAGTTCAACTCGGATTGGCAAGTCAGGCAACGGACGACGAAGTCCAGAAGTTTGACGGAATACGTTTGACCGTGAGAGAGCCAGACGAGGGTGAGAGGGCTAAGCGTGCAACACATCGCGAACATGTGGAACCAGATGATGAGAGTGACCTAGATGGAGATCCTTGACTGACTGCAACGGGGTGTAATGATCGAAACTTCTCCACCTTTTGTCATATCATTCCCGCAAGCACCCTTGAAGATTGCATTGTCCACGGAGTCAGTCAATACCCAAATAGCAAATTGAATTGTGTTCGTGAGAAAATTACAACATAGAGCTTACCTAGAATTGGAGACGATGCAAATGTCACATGCACAATTTTCTGGCAGTATGCGGTTTGGCCGGCTTTCCTCGAAGTTTCTGGTTAGGAGTACTCGAGCCTTGTAGACCGCAGACTCGCTAAATCCTAAGCTGCCACATTTCACCCATCCTCAGCAACATCCACTCCTTTGTTTTTCAAGGTAAGTCGTCGCTCGTGAAGACTGTTGCGATTCGATGAAGTCGCCTAACATGGCACATCATAGGGCATGTTCTTCTGAGCGCCTCGGCTGCCCAAAACCTAGCTCAAACACGTCTAGACCTCTAGTGTCACCAGCGTGCTCTACCTTCGCAGACTACTTCTATGCGCGATCACTCACCAAGGTCTTGCAACCTAACATTTTCGTATGAGGCTAGCAATGGCCGATGATGAACTCTCTCCTCATGACGGAAGTCCCAACAGCGGACAACAGCTGGACCCGAATCTATTCAATCACCCCAATACCCCAAATCAGAACCCGATCCCAGAAGGCCAAGATCAGATACTCTTGCCAACGAGATCGCTCAATGATCTGCTCCATCCGCCACGTGACTTGGCCTTGATGCGGGAGCGCCTATTCGAAGTTAAAGACAAGATCGAGCTTCAAGTTGATGAGTTCGAGCGCTATTGGCCATACGTCGATAATGTGTGGGTCAGGCAACACAAGGCCGGTACGGACAAAACGGGCAGAGTCTTTACCGATTACTACGCATGCCGATTGCAGAGGCCGACCTACACCCCAAAAGCCGTGGACACGCCCAGACGAGAGGGTCAGCCAACTCGCAAAAAGCAAATCAGAGAAGGCGGGACATGTCAAATGCGGCTCAAGACCATACGATACGAGGGAGGCTACTCTGGTTACACCATCCTTAAAGTTGGCGATGAGACTCAGCACACGCACGATCTCGATCACATTGACAAGATCAAAAGGACGAGCGTCTTGATGGAGGTCGCCAGATCTGAGGTCATGAAAGGTTACATGCCAGCATCTGTGTTCACGGTCATGAATGAGGACACGGAAAAGCTTACAGCAGCTGGAGGGCGATATTTAAACCGCAATGATGTTCGCAATGCATCACAGCATTGGCGGCAAATACATAGAGAAGAACTCCGTGTGCATGAAGGCTATAAATATGACCATGGCAATGGCATCGTTCGACACGATGGCGTGAGCTCCACTGCCAAAGTCAATGGGGATTCACAGATGGTCGACCCTGCCCTCAGCGATATCACACCTTTGCCGCCCGGCACGCTTCGATTCCCAAGTGCATCCCGTGCGTTTCTCGAGCCATACCTACCACCAAAGGAGCCGACTATCAACGCAAGTGGCCTTCCTCACGTTACTTTGACCTACGCTACATCTATGGATTCTTCTTTGGCTCTTGCTCCCGGGATGCAGACATTGATCTCCGGTCCAGAGTCCAAGGCCATGACGCATTACCTCCGTTCGAAGCACGACGCCATTGTGATCGGGGTCGGCACAGCCACTGTTGACGACCCGGCTCTGAATTGCAGATTGGAGGGCGTCGGTGGATTTGGTGGGCTTGGATGGGAAGGTCAACCTCGACCAGTCATCATTGACCCTGGAGCGAGATGGATGATAACGCCGCAGTCAAAGGTGCTGCAGGCTGTCCAAAGCGGCAAAGGAAGAGGACCTTGGGTTATCATGGCGCCTGGGTTTGCGATGGACCCAATGCGGCTCGAATTGCTCAAGTACTATGGGGGCAAGTATCTGGGACTTACTGAATTCGATAAGAAATGGAGATTACGATGGGAGGCCATACTCAAGGCATTGGCAGCTGAGGGTATTAAGAGCGTGATGATCGAAGGGGGAAGCATGGTTATCAATGACCTACTCCAGTTGGAGAACTCGCATTTCATCAGTTCGGTTGTCACCACGATCGCACCGACGTACCTTGGACGGGGAGGTGTGGGGGTCAGTCCTGCGCCAAGGCACGATCCAACAGGTAGACCTCAGCCGGCCGTCAGATTCGAAGACGTCAGATGGCAACCGTTGGGCGTTGATGTGGTGATGTGCGGTCGACCACGCTGTTGAATGCTTGCATGACCTATAAGGAATTCTCGTGATTGGCAGTTGGGAAGCAGGATCTCAGCCATCAAGCGGGCGCTAAGTATGGCACCGCTGAACTGTGATCAATAGCCTCAGACACCAATTGGCTAGTCCATGGATTTGTCCCAAAACACGGCATAGACATGCGGCCTCAGTACCCTCGTCAAAAAGGAGCAGCATCAGGGCATGTCGGTGGAAAAGCAATAGCTTCTTTGAACCATGCTCGACGAAGACCATGCTGCGCTCGGAAACTTACGGGGCTCTTTGCTGTTGCAGCCCTTCTGTTTGTCTGCACCATGTATTATCAGATTCATAGGTCTTGCTAAATCTTCAAAAGATGGAAACATTGGCGGTCTCAACCTCCGGCCTGGGACCAATTATCATGGGGCTGAGATATCAACTCATTCTTCATGAAATTACTAGATCTACCATCCCTTTGCATTTGGGTTAACAGTAGGATTTTCCCCCATCTGTGTTGGCTGCGTCGAGTAGAAGAGAGTTGCTATTGCCCCTGAAAGCTGAACCGGCTCCACTGTTGAACACCACAGGCAGTAAATTCCCTGTCACTGATCTATGCGGAATGGTCTCTTCGAGTTAAAGCATCGCCATCCGTCTTTTCAATATACACATCCAAGGTTGGTATACTCAGTTTCCGTTGCAGCTCGTTCGTCAACGAAACAACATAAGTTAGGATATGCATGGTGAGATTGCTGTGACCCTCACTCTTTTAGACAGTTGTGCTTAGATTTTATATCATGCAGTAATAAACAGTAAACGATGCAATTTGGTTCAATCGTTGCGTGAGCAATTGTTTGGATTTATTTTGATTTGTTGATGGATCTTTTTTTCCGGAGGATTCCACAGGGTAGATGACATTAACAGTAACGCTCGCTCGGCTGGTCTTGCATGGGAGTCTAGGCGTGGGTGACAAGGTGTAGAAGAATCGCTTGCATATTGGAACTGAAAAGACACATAGCAAGGCAATCACGACAGTCAGATATCTGATGTCACTTTGGTGGTGAAAATTGGAAATTCTCGCATATTTTATATTTACCTCGAGTTACAGTAGTTACATATACATCAATTAGCCATGCCAAGCCGAGAGATAGGTAACGTACCCCTCGACTTTCGACTCAAGCATGCCGCACGCCATATGCTAACTGGTAGAACGGTAGAAGACCACACACGGCATCGGCATCTGTGAGTGAGCAAAAAGCTACGAATAGCCCGACTGCCATATGAATCCAGTGCTCTGTAAGGTATCACGACACCGCCACTTCACCAACTTTTGCCAACCGCCTCCAAGCATCATCAACCACCACCACTTCTGTCGGTATGGTTGCCAACGACAAGCCCGCAGGTACCCTCCGATATGAGGAAAAGCCTGTCTATACAACCTCCAACGGCTGCCCTGTTAACGGTTCGTACATTTCCAAGTGGTTCTTCACTCGTCCCTACCAACGTCTGATTTGCTGGACCTTTATCGAGGATAGAAGGCCTTTTTGCTTCCCTGGATCTGGCCTTCATCAACGGTTTCTGGCCCTTAAGAAGCAATGCTGAAACCTCCAATCTGCGCAGATCCTGAGAGTTCCCAGAGAGTTGGGCAAAATGGCCCTCTTTTGCTGCAAGACTTCCATTTGATTGACCTGCTGGCCCATTTCGACCGCGAACGTATACCAGAGCGTGTCGTTCATGCAAAGGGCGCAGGTGCTTATGGTGAGTTCGAAGTAACCCATGATATCAGTGATCTAGTAAGCATGTGCGAAGGACAAGGCAAACTTCAATGCTGAAATATTTGCTAGACTTCACTGGACATGCTCAATGACGTCGGAAAAAGACCAAATGCGTCGCTCGCTTTTCGACCGTTGGTGGAGAAAAGGGTTCGCCTGACTCGGCACGAGATCCTCGGGGCTTCTCTGTCAAGTTCTATACCGAGGAGGGTAACTGGGACTGGGTTTTCAACAATACCCCCATTTTCTTCCTACGTGATCCCTCGAAATTTCCCATTTTCATCCATACCCAAAAGCGAAATCCACAGACGAATCTGAAAGATGCAACAATGTGAGTGGAATATACTTCTGAGATCGTCCACGTATTCATACTCTTCAGGTTCTGGGACTACCTCTCCACTCACCAAGAGTCCGCCCACCAGGTCATGCATCTCTTCTCCGACCGTGGCACTCCATACTCATACCGCCACATGAACGGTTATTCAGGTCACACCTACAAACTAACCAAGCCTGACGGCACATTCAACTACGTCCAAATTCACTGCAAGACCGACCTTGGCAGCAAGACCTTTACCAATGCTGAAGCGGGCAACATGGCTGCGGAAAATCCTGATTGGCACACACAAGACCTCTTTAACTCCATCCAAGACAGCGATTACCCAAGCTGGACCTGCTATCTCCAGGTCCTCAGCCCTGAACAAGCGGAGAATTTCCGGTGGAACATCTTCGATTTGACCAAGGTTTGGCCGCAAAAAGATGTTCCACTAAGGCCCTTTGGTCGATTCACCCTCAACAGAAATCCAGAGAATTACTTCGCGGAGATCGAGCAGGTGGCATTTTCCCCTAGCCATATGGTTCCTGGCGTCGAACCTTCTGCAGACCCCGTCCTACAATCGCGCCTTTTCTCATATCCAGACACCCACCGCCATCGCCTCGGCGTGAACTATCAGCAAATCCCCGTCAACCAACCTCTCCGTGCATTCAATCCCTATCAGCGTGACGGCATAATGGCAGTCAACGGCAACTACGGCGCTAACCCCAATTACCCATCCACCTACCGAAACATGACATACAAACCGGTGAAGCCTAGCCAAGAGCACGAGAAGTGGGCGGGTGCGGCAGTAGCCCAACAGCTCCCGGTCACTGAAGAGGACTTTGTGCAGCCAGCAATGCTTTGGGAGGTGCTTGGGAAACAAGAAGGCCAGCAAGACAACTTCATTGGCAATGTTGCCGGGCATCTAAGCGCGGCGAAGCCAGCCGTCCGGCAAAGGACTTATGAAATGTTCACCAAAATAAACAAGGTCCTCGGCAAAAGGATCGAGGAAGCTACTGACCCATTATCACGGCATCCACAGAGCCAGGCTGCTGGCAATGCCCAAGCGAGACTGTAGATGTGAGGATGGCATCCCATTTGCTTGGGTATGGGTGTTGCCCAGAAGATTGGCAAGTTATTTTCGAACCATGAGACTGTCTTTCTCTATTCCCTTTTGGTTTGTGTCTGTCAATGAACTTGGTGCTTGGATTCTGACCACGCACGAGCATCGGAAGAGTGAATGTACCGAATGCTTGGTAAGTTATGTGGCATCAAAGCCGACCAGCGCTCGATATGTTGCTCGTTCCTCTGGCTTATGTCAAAGGACTTGTGGATTTAACCTCGCGATTCCGGATGTGGAATGAAGTTGGTACGGGCTGAGAGTAAAAGGATACGAGTCATTTCCCTACCTTTCCAGAGCGTTACGGTGCCAACCTTGACCACCTCTGTTTACTGCATTCCTACATCAGCGTGAAACAATTTGGCGAAAGTGCAACGTTCAGAAAGCGTTTCATTGACACTTTCGATCGCGGTAGACGTGTCGCAACGCCGATATGAATCGCATAAATCCATCATTAGGCTCCATTTTATCTCACCAATTTCCAGCGTCCATTGAATGGGCTTGGGCATGTAGATACATCATCTTCTGTTCTGCCTACCACACATTCGTCCCTCCATCCGTGAGCGCTTTTCCATCTTGCCGTCCGAGCCTCGACGATGACCTTTATATCTCGATGTTAACGCAAATGTACCATCTTTGTCAGTCACGCAAATTTGAGTCAATGCCCAGTTCGTTGGTTGTATTTGGCCTTGCCGAAAGTGAAGGGGACGTAGCGGTATTTGATCATATGCTGGATTTGCCTCCGCACTACAGGCAATCGAGCTTTAGCCTTGCCCAAACACATGGAGAATGGCGGCAGCACTTACTCGTCAAGCTAAATAGAATAATGAAGTAAACCACAAGGACGGGCCAAAAGACCGGCACATTGAACACGCCCCACCAAGTGCAGAAGAATGCAATCGCAATCGCCCTTGTGCTGCTGTGCCAAAATTTGAATTCTGGCAGCCGCCTTATGAAGGGGCGGAATTCTTCGTCTTGTTTTGTGGGTAGGGTGGGTTGAGAGGCGTCTCCGTCTTCGAGGCCTTCGTCTTGTGTCAGGGACGGGTCGAATTTGGGTTGGAGAAAGGCGAGGAAGAGGTTTAGGAGGTAGATGCCCAGCGAGTAGCAGACTGAGGGAAAGGACTTAGCATGGGAGCCAAAAAATAGGCGTGTCAGTGTGGCTCCAAAGAAACTTACCAATGTACCAGCCTTGGGCCATGAGGATACGGACGAAGAAAAGAGCAAGAAGAACACCAGTTCCAATCCATCTATAAGCGGTGTAGGGCGTACATTTATCGAGATAGGATTGGTAGATCTGGTGGAGCGCGCACAATCAGCATCTTTAGATCATGAAGCGACATGTAACCTGGCATACTCTTCCTAGTTTTGAAGTTTGCGCGCTGACTGCAGCGAAAGGAGTCTCGTTAGGCTCTGAATCCATGTTTGGCTCCTTTGTGGCGCCAGCGCCGGGTTGAGGTTCGGGGTTCGTTCAATGTGTTTGGTATGTTCCTATCCACCTTTGAATGTGCCGTGACGAACAATTGTTGTGGTTGCGATAGAAAAGAGCGAGCAACGTTTCGCCTTGGCGAAAGTAGAGGACAGCCAGATCGATAGATCGGAATTGATGATCGCCTAGGCCTAATTGGGGTAAATCAATTTATTTCATATCTCTCGAGGCTCTCTAGAGTACGAGTACTTCATGGCTTCAAGATATTTGGTAAGGCCCCTGTGTGCCTTCAAATACATTACCTCTTCCTTGCCCCGAGTCGTTCGGCCTTATTCTCAACCTGTGACCAAGAAGTATGAGAACATACTGGTCGAACTACCCAAGCCGGGCGTGGGTCTGAGTATGCCTATGCTTATGCCCATGCCTTTTACTCGTTTTAACTGATCAAGCTTCTTGCTGACGTATCAGTGGTCTATCAGTCACCCTTAATCGTCCAAGAGCCCTCAATGCCCTGTCGACGGCGTTATTCGTCGAATTGAACGATGCACTACAGAACTTCGACAATGACGACAGCACCAATGCCATTGTACTTACAGGCAGCGAGAAAGCTTTTGCTGGTATAACAATTCCAACGATTATAAAATGCCGGAGATGCACTTGCTGACTCGCCTAATCAACATAGCTGGTGCCGACATCAAAGAAATGAAGGATCTCTCGTTCAGCAAAGCCTACAACACAAATTTCATTGCCTCCTGGTCCTCTACGATTCCCAATATCCGCAAACCAATCATTGCTGCGGTCAATGGTCACGCTCTCGGGGGCGGTTGTGAGCTTGCGTTGATGGCCGACATACTTTACTGCTCCTCCTCAGCGACGTTCGGCCAGCCGGAGATCAAGCTGGGGATCATCCCTGGCGCTGGCGGTAGTCAGAGGCTTACAGCATTGATTGGGAAGAGTCGCGCTATGGAATTGATCCTCACGGGAAAGAACTTTAGTGGTATAGAAGCAGGGCAGTGGGGTGTCGCGGCCCGGGTGTTTGACAGCGCGGAGGACTGCGTGCAAGGAGCGCTGGAGACAGCAGGCAAAATAGCGGGAATGTCTAAAATATCGGTACGGGCGGCGAAGGAGGTGGTCAACAAAAGTCAAGACACGAGCTTGAGAGAGGGTCTCGACTACGAGAGAAAGGTGTTTCATGGCTTGTTTGGAAGCCAGGATCAAAAGATAGGTGAGGTATTGTCATTGGAAAGCTTTTTTCATGCATTTCATATACTGATCTCGCCACGTAGGGATGTCCGCTTTCATAGAAAAGAAGAAACCGGGTTGGTCAAACGAATGACAATGTAAAGATAACTCGAACGGCTTTCAAATTGCTGCTTAAGTGACACGGCGTAAAACCAAAGCTCACAAAATGGTCCCGCAAATGTATATCGAATCCTTGAGGTTTCCTGAATTGTCATGCCGTCGTCCTAGGCTATGTTGGAGGCCGCAGTGAAGTTGAACAAAAACAGCGAACTAAATGTCCTTCACCATCGTCCTGGATTGGTTTCTCTTCTATCAGAAGAGACCAGGGTTAATGTCTCATTTATCATGCAATCTTCATGGGCCCAAGCCAGTCACTTGTCACCACAAAGCAACGTAAATTGCTGGTTCTGAGGTTGCTCGACTGGGGGCACAGCGAGTCCGAAATACATCAAATACTCAAAAGTCTTCCCTTGTGCAGAGATGAGACTTTGAGACCAATTCCCTCCAGAATCTCGAACGTTGGGGAAGTGTAACCTCAAGCCAACGAAGCCACACAGGGTGCCCCCTGGCGAGTCTTGTTCGAGGTAAGTTTCATGGGTCAACAGCAGCACTCTTGTTCTGTAAGGGACAATGAGATCACGAATGTGAGATTGTAGTCATAAATTGAAGACTCTTGAACATTTCGAAATGTAGCCTCGAATAGACTGAGCTTCCTCAGGAGTCTTGGAATTGCGAGCTTTTTGAAGCCTCTGATGAAACTCATGTGCACACTTGACAGGAGACTTTGGCACGCGTACGGCGGACGAAGGCTGACACTTACTGTTAGCCTTCGTTCGCCGTAACGCGTAAGGTAGGCCTCGTGGAAATAGCGTCAATGACGTCTTAAATCCGGCACGCGACTAAGTTAAAATCAAACCCAACTTGCACAACCTTGGTCATTGAGATCTTGCCTATTTTCCTCCACCTTTTCACTCAAGTAAATAAACAGGAACGATGAGCGCCCCAAACGACTTCAGATCTTTCGCTGGTATCAACATTAAGCAAGATTTCGGTTATGGTATATCGACCAAGTCGTCCAAGCCGCCACAACCCCCTAATGGCGAGCTCAAGCAATCGCAGGCTTCCAGAGCATTAACTCTCGCTGGGTATTTCGTCTCGGGGTGCATGGCGTGAGTCTCCTGCTAGAATCCTCTTTGCTCAACTAATCTTGATTCTTCCCGCATTACGGTTCGCTGATCATCCTGTAGAATTAACGCATCACAATTCCTTGGCGCTCCCTTGTATCTCGTCAATGAAGATTGGTATAATGCGTGGATAGCATTTACAAAACAGTCGTGGGGCCTTTTGACAATGACGATGACCCAGTGGTGGGCGCCTACAGTGGTGAGGGTGAGTGGGGACAGTACCATGCGGGGACAATTATTACAGAGTGTAGATGGGTCTCTGTTGTGCGATTTTCCGCAACGAATGATTCTCATTGCAAATCATCAGATATATACCGACTGGTTATATCTGTGGTGGATTGGCTATGCAGCCGGCATGCACGGTCGAATCTACGTTGTCCTCAAAGAGTCCCTAAAACGCATACCTGTTATTGGCTGGGGAATGCAGTTCGCCCAATTCATCTTCCTCAAGCGAAAGTGGGAGCAGGATAAGCCTCGCATGGCTGCTCATCTGCAGAAGTTCAACAATCCCAAAGATCCAATGTGGCTAATGATGTTCCCGGAAGGCACCAACCTGGCTGATAGCACCAGAGAAGCTAGCAAGAAATGGGCAGTGAAGAATGGTATAGACGACATGCGGCACATGCTATTGCCGCGGAGTACTGGACTACAATTCATACTACAAGAGCTCAGGAAGACTGTGGACTACGTCTACGATTGCACGATCGCCTATGAGGGGGTACCTCGAGGAGAATTCGCTCAAGACATCTTCACTGTGGGAGCCTCGTATTTCGGCGGCCGCCCCCCAAATTCGGTCAATATGTACTGGCGTCGCTTCCGAGTTTCGTCCATACCCCTCGACGACCCCAAGACATTCGAGCTATGGCTCAGAAGTCGCTGGATTGAGAAGGACAAGTTCATCGAAGACTACCTTCGCACCGGACGATTCCCAGCCGACCAAGGTACCAGTAAGAACTCAAAAGGGGAGACCATTCGTGGTGCTGGTCACATCGAAGCGGAGATCAAGCCAAAGTATTGGTACGAGTTTCTGCAGGTTTTCGCACCGATTGGCTTATTTGCTCTTGTCTTGTACATGTTCTATGGTGCTCTTCCTACAGAGATCTTGAACAAGATAAAGTCCATCGATCAAAAGACTGTGATTAAGCAGATAGATGCCTATCAAAAGGGTCAGATCAAAATCCCTGATCAGAGGCAATTGAAAGCCGCAGCAGCAAAAGCATTGCAAGATCAGGACAACGGCAAGGGCAGTAAGCTCAGGAATGCAGCCTTGGCTCACGGCGTGGTAACTTTGAATGGAGTTCCTCAGAAAGACTTTCCCACTCAAGGCATTGGTAAAACAGCTGGTACAAAGGCGGCAAAGGCGAAGAAGCCTGGTGTTAAGACTAAAGCGTCACCGAAAACGGCATCCGCTCCTAAACCTGTCACACTAAATGGAGTCCCGTTGGAGGATTTTCCTGCCAAAGGTCTTGACCAAGCGGCCAGCGTAGAATTGATTACGACGGAAAACTCCAAGTCAAATACTGACACCACTACAACAGCTTTGGCCGTTCCTCAGAAGACTCAAGCGAAAGGTCCTGCTCTTCAAAATTTCTCGGCCAACGACGCTCCAAACAAGAAGCTGCAGCCACGGAATAAGATCCCCGTCAAAAGACTGAAGGCTAATCCTGTATCTAAAGCAACGCCTGGTACGGCAAAGGCGAGGCAGCCGACAAAGGCAACGCCAAAAAGGACAGACATCAAGCCCAATGAGGACCTTGCGCCTCAAAGGATTGAGCAAAAGCCTCCAACGACGAGTTCTTCGGCAGGCTCTGCATCCAAATCCTCGGACGTGAAGCAGCAAGCATCGTCTGCACCTCAAAAATCCGAATTAGGATCTGCGGCAGGTCCAGAATCTGCCGCATCGGAAGGAAAGAACGTGGAAAGTGCTGCAATTCGCCGTGCTCACAAGAAGTTGGAACTCAGACAAGGAAAGCAGGAACCCAAACGAAAGATACGTCGATTGCAAGCAGCAGCTGCGACATGTTGAAAGATGAGGACGAACATCACGATCGAGGCTAAAGCAACTTCGAGGCTATTCAGCGAAACCAGCGCCCAACTTCCGAGAGACTCTACCGTAGGAATCGCCAAGCATCGAATGAATCGGATCAATGGCGGATCTGTGGCAGTCTCACAACTAGACGGTGTAGCATAAATGTTTTGCAAGATGTATACCATTTTGGCAAGGCATCGTGCCTTGTCCCTGGTCCAACCCGAAAACCTCGACGGCAGAGTCTGGAGGACGTCGGACATGATGGTTCTCGGACAGATTGCGGCTTCATGCACATCCACCATCACCCTTTCGTTTCATACCAGGTGCTGGACATATTGTTCCAACGTTGTTTTATCTAAACACTTAGCCCGAAAGTACGACTTTCAATGAGGTACACACTAGCACTATCAGCGTATAAGGTGTCCCACGAATTTCCCTTTAGCCAGTGTCAGGCCTACAGTCCTAGGATTAGGTATGCGTAGCCGTTAGAGACGATGTATGCTCCACGGTCCACGTTCGTGTTTTGAAACTCGGCTGCCTAAATTGCAATGTACGATGTATGGGCCTATTATCTCGTTTTCGGAAGGTCAATTACACTGTCAGGTTGGTGAGGTCAAAGTGCAGTCTCGATGAGGTCAACGTCTGTTAAGCTTGGAAAGACAATAATAGCTAGGTAGAGTAATCTACTATTACAGACACTGTTCATGTTGCCAACTCGCCAACCCCAATTGCTCCTCCAAGCTCATCTTCTGGAGCCGGCTTATTAATTCGCAGCATGGAGTCTGACTTGCACACCAGACCCGCTCCTGTTCTCGATAGCGTGATGCAAACGAATTGGCCCGGGTTCCTCCATGTTCTCGATGCGATCAAACCTCTGCAAGAATCTCACCACAACATAACTCGTCTCAGTCAATGAGAATTGTTCTATGACCGCCCGTTAGACGTCAGCCATTGAGCGAGGTCAACATAAACTGCAAAGAAATTGTTGCATGAAAGGGATAGAGATTTACGAGTCTCTAGGAGACACGCAATTCAACTATTTCGGTGCTTGGGGTTAGGAGAAATGAACTCACGGCCGAGACAACTCCGCGGGCCTGCACCAAATGGAATGAATTCCCACCCCACCTTCCTACGCTCCCACCTTTCAGGCTTGAATTCTTCCACATCTTCACCCCAGATGTCAGCACGATGCTGCATAGCATATGTGGCAATGAGGATTTGTCTGCCTTTGGGAATGAAGATAGGTTGAGAGCCATCAGGGCCCCCTCCTCGCGGCAAAGTTGTATCGCGCACAGCGACTCGCTCATTGAGAGGAATCACTGCAGCGACGCGGAAGCACTCATTGATCATGTGGAGCATGTACTGACACGCTTTGAGTTGAGCAAAGTTGATCTCGCCGGTAATTGAAGAACCAAAAGTATCGAGGACGATCGAGCGAAGTTTTCTAAAGACGCGCTCGTGGCGGGCAAGGAAGTAGAAGACCCAGCCGAGCAATGCGCCAGCAGTGTCACGACCCGCAAAGAGCAGAGAGAGGCTTTCATTGCGGAGTTCAAGGGGGTTTTGTGTCTCTTTGGCCAGTTCATTGAGAAGGATAAATCTCTTTTTACCGTCCTCCACTTCGGAATCTCTTCCTTTTTCTCCGCCTTGCAGGCGTGTTTGCACAAACCAGTCGACCAACTTGTGGATTTCGCGACAACGGTGATCGAAGTCCTTGCTAAACATGAGCCAATACCATTTGTAGAAGGCCCCTCTTTCCTCGATCCAGCGCTTCCCTTGATCAAAATTTGCACCAAGTTCTAGAAGATTGGGTTCGTCCATTCCAGAGACAGTGGGGAGTGTCGCATGGGCATCGTGGTTTTGGGCGTGTACGGAGTATCCATAAAGAAACTCTGTGACGGTGTCGAGTGCGAAGTTGTAGAAGAGAGGCTGAAGGTCAATACTATCCGTCCAACCGTCGACTCCGGGCACGACTTTGTCCAGAAGTTCTTGCGTATGCCTCCCCGCGAGATCCAAATCGGATGTCTGCTCCTTGGAGAACTGTGGCCGCACCAGAGCTCGAGAGTGTTTCCCTACGCACATTTCGTCGTCAGCACTACTATATGCAAAACAGAAACTTGAATTATGAGGCAGATTTTTCAGTGGAAAGCGGCTGGTGCTGAAATAACATGACCTGCAATTGGAGAATCACTAGGCAATAGACGTACAAGCCTCGCCCTGCGATGTGAAGATGCCTGTACCGAGCAGCGGTTTCCAGCTTTGAGTCCTGTGAAGGCCAATATCGAAATCATGGGATTGCGAGGAGAAGCAGGCCTTGGCATTTTCTGGGTCGCGGGTCACATTTAAGTCATAATCCAAAACACGGACCTGGGCTGTGTGGACATGCTTTCCCTTTGCGTCCAGTGACTCGACGATGTATTTGGGGCCACGCTCAGCGCGAGTTGCTCGAATACTCTCTCGAAATCTCGTGATGCCGAGTATGTCTTTCTTCGGAAGCATGGGACAAGGCCCACAACCCCGACGTACACTTTCCGCATGTTGTCGTCTTTTCTCACGTATGGAGGAGAGAAGTTTGTAAAGAATGAGAGCAACGACACCCAGAAGGGAAGTCAAAAGCGAGAAGACAGGCATATTGGAATTCACAGTGGTAGCAAGGAAGGATATTGTTGGGACTGACTGCTCCAAATGGACACGATAGCCACGCGAGATGCGTGTCTCCAGGCTCAGGAACATCTCTCAGAGGAGGCCTGGCCACGCTCGATGCGGGTGCATATCAGCATGCAGTCTTCCCCAAAGGAGCAGATGGATCAACCAGCATTTTTTAATTTTGGAGCTCGCAATCCACTAGACCCTTTCCATTGAGCAAGGAATATCCCAAGCGGGAGCCAGCACTTTCCTGGCACTCTTCCCACAAGGATCGGCAGTCTTGACGAGTGGTATTCATGTTCCATCTGACTAGTTGTGCGCTCATCTGAACAGCGTCGCATTGCACAATGCACAATGCACAATGCACATCTTCCCAGTGTTGGTCATTGTTTCTAGACTCTCGGTGACATTTTCCTAGCGCGATCAAGTTTCGTGCTTCGGACTCTTGGAGTTAGCCGCGGGGTAAAAGGGTGGGCAAAACGAAGAGAATGCACAAGTTTGGATTTAACCTTTCCCACCGCGCAAACTGGCGTGCCGCCCTTGGGAGTCAGATGCAGGTTCGTGGCAGACCGATGCCTTGCAGGAACTAGCATACAACTCGGCATCGGCAGCTCGGCTGTAATCAATTACCTTAGCTCCATTAGCCATTACAATATTAATTAATATTCCCTGCATTCCATTATTTCTTGGCTTATACTTAAAGTATCGGTACTTAGGTACTTAGGTTACCTCTAGGGCATGTGATTTGTTATTTATTGTACGTGTGAAATGATATGATTATGAATCATTCATCATTCATCAATCATCATTCATTTGCCGTCGTCATCTTGCTTCTGTACCCCAAGCTTACAGCTTACAGGCCATCGCTAATGCAAGCCCATCTCATTTCCGGTAATTACCTTACCTTAACCAACTGCAAGAGTACGAGTGAGTGCATGGGAGAATTGCGCGCCAACCCATTTTCATCTTTGGTCTCTTCACTAATCAAACTACCTCACTGCACGCAAACAAGATAATTACATGTACCTACTTTAGCTGAAGAAATTTGTTGGGAGCGCAAGACAACACAGGTTAGCTGACCGCCATGATTCCCTTCTCAGTCGATCCACCCCGTCGGTGTATGTATGTACAGTGTACATGCATGCTTGCCCTTCGCCCCCGCCCCTTCCCTGCCTTACCTCAGACGCAACTAATACTCCCACTTCGTGACACCGCCCTTCGCGCGCCCCCCTTTTGGCCGCTCGGAGGACCCCCACCTCGCCCTCGTGTACGACGGATACTCTAGTAACTCTACCCTGTTCCTTCCAAGACCATGGTCCCGACCGTGCACATCTCTTTCCACGCCGCTTTTCATCCCGATTGGAGACTACAGCCCCGATAGGGGACGTCATCATCGATAGCATCCCGGCCCGAGATCATGCACATAATTCTGACGCTCTTTTATATGACGCTCTCGAAAGATACTACCCTGGTATGTTTTCATCCTGGCTTCCCTGGTAACAATGATTTTCGGTACGTATTCTTGGCCAGGAGACCATAGGATTGAGTATAACTGCTGAATACTGCCAACCTTTTCCACTTCTCTTAAACAATCCTTGACACTTCATCTTAATTTTGCAAACAATCATCAGCATACATTGTCGTCGAAATGCGTTCAGCTTCCGCCAGCCTTCTCGCCGCCGTCTTGATGCTTGCCGTCGAGTTGCACGCCGCACCTGCGCCAATGGCCTTACCATCCCCCCTCTACCTCAGGTTCTAGCCAAATCCTGGACGATCCCACTTTTGGTCCAATCCCCGCCAAATCATCATATTACACCAGTAACAATAGCACCTCACGTCCCTTTCCTGGCAATTACTCGCAGCCAGTCTTCCCCACAAGCAATGGTACTGCAGGGGTCGATGACCTTCTCTTTCAGAATCTCCTCGGTGCAGAATGGGCCATCTATTCCTTTTATCAATTCGGTGTAGAGACCTTCAATCAATCCGTTTTCGAAGAAGCCGGCTACCCGCCACATACCTATCAGAGAATTATCGAAATTCGCGACAATGAAGCGGGCCATGCCCGTATCTTTGAGGAGCAAATCTCCAATGCCTCCACTAAGCCCGCACCCTGCAAATATCAATATGGAATCACCAGCCCTGTCGCCTATCTTGCTGCCCACACCGTCGTTGAGATTTCGAGCATGTCCTTCCTGACAGGCCTCATTCTCCAAGCACAGCTAAACTCGTCCAAGGCAGCCTTGGTCGCTATTGCCGAGACAGAATCACGACACGAAGCCTGGGGCCTCATCGACATCTGGCAGCAGTCTCCCTTCGCTGGCCCCGCCGACACAGTCTTCCCTTACGCCAATGAAATCCTCGACACAACCAAAGTGTTCATCGTGCCAGGCTCTTGCCCAGCGGGCAACCCAGATTACCCGGTCCCAAGCCAAAAGCTACCATCGTTGAGCTATAAAGAGAAATCGACGACGCTGCTGCCCGGGTCTCCGCTCACGTTTGCCTTTTCTGATCCAACCAATCAGCCATCTTTCGAAGCCGGCAAGACTTACTACGCCGTCTATTTCCATGGGCTGCTTAGTATTACGGAGCCATTTGACACAAAGACCAACGCGTCAATTATACCCCCTGAATTCGAAGCTAGGGGCTTGTTTCTTGCAGTCATTTCAGACAAGCCTGGTGCACCAACGATCGATTCCGTCAAGGCAGGACCGTTGATCATTACTGAGCAACCGGTGGAGGTTAATAGTGGGATCATGTGAGCGTAATTAGAGATTTTGCTTTGGGGTGAATGGCATTGTAAAGAAAAGTCTCTTGAAGGTTCGAGACAGATTACGAAGCTTGTACCAGAAAGGTAATCGCTGGAGCTGAGCCCGTGTTTCCATAGGATTAAGAGCTCGAAATATATATGTTGTGAGGTGGTTTATGGACTTGTAGGTTCGAGAGGCCCCAATTTGATGTATGCACGTAAAGTCCTGTACACCGGGCCCATATGCCAAGACCTCAGATAACGCCCGGCTTGAAGGGTTGCCTGGACAATGCACTTAAGTGAGCTCAGTCTGGTGCCCATTAATATCAGGCTTGATACGTGTCCTTAAAGTTCACCAAACGTAGCCGTAGTAGGGTTAGGGCTGCTACTAGTGCTGTCCAGGACTTCGCGACCGACCTCCATGAAATGAAACGGGACGACTCGACGAGTTCTAGTTGCGATTCCTTGATCAATAGGCTACATACTATTTCTAAGTATTTTCACAACCAACGAACGGCCTTGATTGTCGTGGAATAATTCTAGGGCGCAAGAAAAAACAGGAACCGAATAGAATAAGCCTTAATCGCACCACGAACCCGGAATAGAAATCTTACTCTGCCTAGGATGCGCCGCCTCAGGCAGGTCAGGCAACTCGCACTGCAGCGATGTTCTCGCTGTCTCGAAACTAGTCTTTTCTCGACTCTTCGTTGTCGTGGTGCTCTCCGCACTTCGCCGTCGTGACTGCAAAGCTTCTAGGTTTTCTCCATTGACGCTGTACTCGGTCGCCGGTCCCACGGCAGCCTCGAGCGTAGGTTTCTTGACCCTGACGCTCCTCCATTCAAGCCCCAGTGCGACAATGAAGGCGAGACCGGAAAGAGGGATCGCAGCGATAAAGACTCTTTGAAGAGCGAAATTGTAGGCGATCAGCAAAGCAGGCAGAGATTCTGCAGGCACGATGGAGCGGAATTGTGTTGCTCCAGCGGCAATGACGGCTTTGACATCTATGCCTGGCAGGTTATTCGCTGCGGACGCTTCGTCCAAGATATTCTGCAGTATATTGTTTCCCACCGAGACGAAAATAGCTCCGCCTAAACTCTGCATGCTAATAATAGCAGCGATGCCAATTGGGATTTGTTCCAAAGTGAGGACGGTTTGGACGGCAATGACACCCTGTTGGACAGCCATGCCGAGTCCAGCTGACGTAACGACTTGGTAGCCCACCCATTGCCCTGGGCCACTATCTACTTGAAGTGTGGAGAGCAAACCACATCCCACAGTTCCGATGGCCGCGCCGATGATGGCCGGAGGAGCAAAGTAGCCAACTTTGCTGACGGAGATACCAGCGATGACTGAAAAGAGTGCGTTGCTTATCACGTACGCTATCACAGAGACTCCAGACATGATCGCAGTATCGTTTTTGACGGCTTGAAACCAGATGGGAAGATAATAAGCATGGATGAGGAAGGTCCCGTAGATAAAGAAGGCGCCCAAGCAGCTGGCCGCCACGCTACGTTGGAGAACGATGCTCGGTGGAAGAAGCGCCCTGTCATCCTGTCGCCATTGCCAAAGGACAAAGATGATTGCGGTAACCCCAGAGCCAACCAACAGACCGATAATTCGGGGACTACCCCAAGCCCAATATTGCTCATTGAATTGTAAGGCCAGGAACAGCATAACGGCTGCCACGATCAGAAGAAAATTGCCGATGAGGTCAAGGGCGAGTATCTTCTCCAGCAACGGCTTGTCGCTCTGTTGGACATCCTTGTGTGGCCCAAAAAGAAGGATCATGGAGACCACAGTGGCACCACAAACAGGAAGGTTGATGTAAAAACTATTCAAATTATCACATATTGATCAGCACTTCTCGGACGGTAATCTTGACTCACCACCAACGCCATGTGACAAAATCAGTGAACGCACCACCTAACAAGGGACCAACTATAGCTCCCAGTCCAAACATTACCCCAACAGCCGCCGAGAACAACGGTCTTCTCTGCAGCGGTACAGCATGCGCAACCACAACAAATGACCCTGTTAAGATGCCGGCACTCCCCCATCCAGCAATGGCTCTACCAACGATGAGTGTGACAGAATCGGGTGCAACTCCACAGATGAGACTTCCAAGCTCGAAGATGCCCAAGGCACAAAGAAAAGACCACTTTATGTTGAACATGATGAATATACGCCCATAGATAGGCTGGAGAGCGCCAGCTGTGACCAGGTACGCGCTGCCGTACCAGCCAACATCGTCAGAGGAGTGGAAATCGTCGGTGATGCGCGGTATGGCCTTGAAGGAAAGGGAATTAGTTTAGACGATCTGGTACCTAGATTCCCTAGATATGCTCTTACCGTAGCGACAATCGTCCTGTCGAGCGAGACAAGGAAAACAGACAGACATATGCCAACTGTGAGGAAGGAGAGGGCAAGAGGTCCAGGATATTCGTGGGGATCCTCGGCAGCGTCGACTCTGTGTGGGCGCAATTTCCGCTCCTTGCGTGCATGGGCAGGTCTTCTCCCCTCAAGCATTGGAATACCGGGAACTGCGAGCTGAACCTCTTTATCGAGCGTAGGAGTGGGTGTACCCACCAAGGAGTTGTGTCTCTGGATCTCGCCGTTTCCGGTGGGTGAAGATTGGGCAAGAGAAGGATCTCCTCGGCTATTCCTTCGACTGGTCTTCTCCAGATACTGCTGATAGTCTGAGACCCCGTCGATCCCGGATGTGAGAGTGATTTCACTCGTTGAGATATCGTCGGACTTCATCATGGTGCCCCGTCACTCCGAGAGCAAATGTGGCCTGGGCCCCAAGTCCCAATTGCAGGGAATTGGCGTGGGAGATCGAGGAAGGTCAAAGAACAAATGGAGAAGATTGTGAGCTTGAAACCCTAGGCTTATAGACAAGGAGAGAAGAGTGAGAGTAGTAATAGTAGTAGCAGTAGTAGTAGTAATAGTAGGAGAAGTTGAGAGATTGGCAGAGAATGGTAAAATGAACATTGTGGACACGGTGGACATGTTACAGCTATCAGGCTTACAAGCAATGCAGTACGGGTAACAGGTTTAAGTGGATATGAGAGCAGCTTACATTGACGATCACTAAGGTAGAGTGGCAGTTCAACAAGCCGGTCCTTGCACATCAAAGATTTCAAAGAACCCTAATACGCTGATACTGAAAACCCTGACACTAGTGATTTGGAGAGAACAAGCTTCGTAAATAACGATACCACGCTACCTTAGTTTAATATCTACGTGTATTTTAATTAGAGTAATTCCTACGACGCATCTTCCTAGAGTCCTGAACTCCTGACCCAGCTCACAAGGTCCCTGCTATATTACAGCCTCAACAACAGACAGAGTCACTGCTGCCGATCGATGTCTTTCAAATCCGTCTCTCCATTCTCCTTCGAATTCCTAATATGTTAGTCCCAGGAACCACCAGAGATCGCTGTGCTTGCCCAAAGCATCCGCCTCTGCCGTAAACTCTCCTGCTAACCCCTCCAGTGCACCAAGTTTACTAGCCATCTCCAAACCGCGCTGTCTCTCTCGCTCTACCATATCCCACGTCCATTGGTCATTCTTCTTTGTTGCTATATCGTCTGGCGATCCATCTCTCCACTGATACCGAGCTTCTTCTGGCTCCGGCATAAGCATATTCCGCGTCGCTTCCCACACTAGATCAAAATTCTCGAAAAAGCGAAATCCCACGTCAAAGACTCGTTGAGCCATAGCTCGCTTGGTTGGGACAGGATATATTTCTGTCTGTAGAAGTGCGAGGTCCGCTGGCCGAGGTGGCAGCAGGCCCGAGGCTTGTAGCATCACCTCGGGAGGAATCGTGAGGCGGCCCTTCTTAAATACAATCTTGCTTAGCGCCGAGGCAATAATTGCGTCCTCTTTCTTGTCCACATTCCTCGTGCCAGCGTTCTTATTCTTCTGTCTGGGGTACATCGAAAACGATTTAGGCTTGATCGCGTCTTTGCGCACGAAATGGGTGACCATGTATATCCACCTGACAGATTTCCGAGTCAACATTCTTGACCAACAGGGAAGGCTTCATTCTGAAAAGCACACTCACTTGCGATCCCAGGAGAGCACACGTGTCCACATCTCGTACCTTTCGAATGGATTGATCTCCTTTCTGAACGAACAGCAGACAGCGCCCAGCGCCGCTCCGAACGTTTTGTTACCACCACCTAATATGCCTTGTCCTTTACTTCTTCTCGCCTGCTCGATTCCAGCCGAGAACAAAGTACAAATGAGATGGGTTCGGGCAATATCGACATCCTGAAAGTACGTGCTGTTTGACTCTGCATGTCAAGTGGTCAGAGCTTGGATCCGGAACGCACCGCAAGATCACACACTTACTGTGGATATTGTAGTCAAGCTCCATAAGGGCGCCGTGCGATTCAGTGATGAGAGGTTGAAAGAGTTGCGCGGGCTTAATAGCCGTCCTAGATCGCTCGGATCGAAGTACGAAGCGAAAAGCATTGAGCAACCGAACCTAGAGTCGACGTGTTAGGCGGGAGCAGCAAAGAGGGAAATCAAAGAACAAGCGCTCACATGCCAGACCAGCGGTAAGGTTTTGATGTTCACGAGGATAAGAAAAATACAAAGAAGCTTCCAAATTGAAGAAGAGACCAAGGTGTCTGAAAGTACCTCTTTTCCAGGAAGAGTCTCCAGTGAGAGCGGCATTGCTGTTTGGTGCGATATACAGCTTCAGCGGAATCCCTGTTGAAGGTTTGTTGGATGAAGGTTTTCAGTTGGGTGCGCTTTGGTGGGAGACGGTCATTTGTGGTTTGGAGCAGGCATTCCACACCCTCAATCCACATCAATGGTCAGTATCGTTCAGACCATGTATTCTACACTAAGATTGGTATTTTATCAACATAGAGAGGGCCGTTTTTGGAGAGTCATGAACGCCGGTCGACCGTGAAATCGTACAGCCGAACACAGATCTCCCTTTTCGGGGATAAAGGATTGGTAGAAGTCAGGCAGATCGACGAGGTCAGAGAATCAAGGTCCATTGCGGCAGTACCGAGGCTTCAATTATTGGACGAGGCAAGCGAGACCGGCTGTTCCGACCGCTGCCACTATTACTACTATTGATTTATTTGTCGTCGGTGGCTTTTTCATCCAAGGCAAGGGCAACGATGCAGAGGATTTGCGACCAGGAGAAAGCAAGCCGCGTAAGACAAGTGTCGGTATGATTCCAGAACTGTGGTACCATTAAACCGGTACTCCATATCAATAAGCTGCATTGGCGCCAACGCAATGCAATGCGGGACAAATGTGCTGCCAATGGGAAAGGCGCCTGAACTGGCCGTGGCATTCTCTTCATGCGTCGATCTGGCGGTAATCCATTTACCACCCATGTCCAGGCTAGTACTATCTGGGATGACTTTGAGACAGGCACAAGATAAGCTCAGCTTGTGAAAAAACACCTTAGCGGAGCCGCACACCCGCATGATCCCAACGATCTTGACATGAATGCTGTGACCGAAACCCGACGCCTCCTGCAACACCGCTGGAGGCGAAGCTCGAGGACACCACGCAAGCGGAAAATCTTCCAAATGTGCTTTGGTGTGTCGCTCATGCTCCGACGTGCTTGACAGACTTTGCTCATCAAGAGGACTCTGAAATATGGTCCGAAGACAGGAAGCGTTTGAACAGTCAAGGATTTCGGTGGTAGGTAGACCTTTTCCCAGAGGTACTTGTACCAGGCTGTGCGTAAAACAGGAGAGCCAATCATCTGGCCCACATAGCGAACGGAACCCTGGTCACGGATATAGATCCCTTCATTGCCTGCATTTATCTCATGCAGGACGTTACTAAGTCTCCTCCCTCTCGCTACCAAGTCTGATCCTTGATACTCGTCGTAGCGATGTGCTGCCATGCTGACCACTCGTTGTAACACGCCAACACGTCACTGGCTTCTTCTGTTAGGCCTGTCAATTAGGATGATACTAGTGATTCCCATGACGGCCCTCGCTCCTCATTCTCAGGCTAGCAAGTCTATTCAGTATTGCATCAGAGCCTTCAGACGCCTGGGTCGATCAATCGGTCTCGTTGGACGTCGGATGTGTCTCCTGATTTGGATGGAGATCAAATTTTCGGTGGACTGTCCTGGAATTTGATTCCCAAGGACCTTGTGGGCTGGAATGAGTGAAGTGCCCCACGCCCGAATGATCTGCGTGATCGAGTCTCTGCTTCGAGAGACGCGAGCAAAGGCTGCTGCGCCCACCGCGGTCCTGTGGGAGCGATCCACAGGAGCGTGCCCCGATCGTCTCTATCGAAGCAAGCCATATGCATCGTGATTCCAATATCGGCACAGAAGTCTTTGATAGCTCACATGTTCCTCTCCCTCTACCATTTTAGCAACGCGCTACCAACGTTCGTGCAGAACCCCAGCATTCCGACTTCCCTCCCTTAAGAACTGCCTGTTTTCCATTCTGTCCAAGACATCATCTTTGACTCACCAATTCCACGCCAGCCTTGGAAGACAGCTGTATACTGCCGTTCAAACCATCATGTCTTACAGTCGCGGACCCCAGAGCCCCTTCGATGCCAAAGCCGTGCAAATGAGCGATCTTTCGCCATGGCGAATTTTTGACAGAGTATGGACGGCTGGCATGGGATACCCCGCCGATCAACTCGACATCACTCCAGGGGCAACGCCCATGTTGACCCTCAAATCGACTGCCATGATGCTAGTCTCCTATTATACCATCGTTCTTGGGGGTCGAGAGTTGATGAGATCCCGTCCTGCTTTCAAACTTAACGATCTATTCCTCATCCACAATTTCTACTTGACGGTCATTTCTGGCGCCTTGCTGGTACTTTTCGTGGAGCAACTCGGGCCTACCATCTGGAAGCACGGTGTATTCTTCGCCATCTGTGGAGATGGTGGCTGGACAGGGCCACTGGTCACTTTGTACTACGTGGGTCCAACAGCGATCTTTGCAACGGTGTTTCAAGCTGGCGAGGACTGACACTTGATAGCTCAACTACTTGACCAAATATCTTGAGCTTTTGGACACGGTCTTCCTCGTCTTGAAGAAGAAGCCACTGAGTGCGTTCCATGTGCCATGTCATTACTTGGACGAGAGCTGACGTTGACAGCTTTCCTCCACTGCTATCATCATGGAGCGACAGCGTTCCTTTGTTACACCCAGCTTATCGGGCGTACCCCGGTTTCATGGGTACCTATCACGTTGAATTTGACCGTACATGTGGTCATGTACTGGTACTACTTTCAAGCTGCGCGAGGCATTCGTATCTGGTGGAAAGAATGGATCACCCGACTCCAAATCGCACAGTTTGTCATCGACCTTGGTATGCCCCCCTCTCCCAGCTGTTCTCCTCTAACTCTGGCCTTCCCCCTCCCTCCCGTCCTTCACCGACGCTGATGCTGGAACCAGGCTTCGTGTACTACGCCACGTACAATTACTATATTAACAAGTACATTCCCTCACTCCCCCATGTGGGGACGTGCGGAGGTGAGGAGTTCGCCGCCTTCACTGGTTGCGCGACCTTGAGCTCCTACCTTGTTCTCTTCATCTCTTTCTACGCTGCTACATACAAGAAGGCTAGCACGAAAGATAAACGATCGACATTAGCGATGAGTACGAGCATCCCTTCGGACGCCGTGCACGAGCTGGAGAGGAAGAAGATGCCGACGATGATGGAAACTTCGGAAACGGCGGTTGATGCACTGCACTGCGCCGAGGGATTGATGAAAGCCGCAGGAACGAGCATCGTCTCAACGACGCAGGATCTCCACCTAATGGGAGGAGGGAAGTAGTGATTGGCAATGATTGGGGTCGCTTATGAGACGAAGTTTCACCGTCTGGCGGCGTGCATATGGCGGGGGGTGGGGGGTTTCCTTAGAATAGGATTGACTTCTGATCCTTTTTTTAGGGAGGGGCGCGTAGGAAGTGTGGGTTGCAATGTAGAAAGAAAGAATAGTATAAATTGACATGTGAGATAAAGAAAGAGATGAGGTTGATTATATCCAATCAAGGTGAGGTTGATATGTGGATGGGTAGGCTACGCCTAGGGTAGAGTGATGAGAAGAAACTAAAGTAAGGTATATTTTATTGGCTAAGGCTAAAGGTCGAGCTAAGGGATGAGCTAAGGGATAAGCTAAGGGATAAGCTAAGGATTCGCTTGTGGCTGGGTTCCCTCTGGGGCATCCCACCACTCTCTCCTCATGGCTTTACCTTAAGGTAGGTATATCTTTTCGGCCCGTGGCCCCGTCGATGGCTGTTTCTATAGCCGTGACACCGGTAGAGAACTAGACATGTCATCAAATTCAACTTTATCTTAACTCCCCATCATTCTCTCCAGCACACAGTCCATCTCATTCTTCCTAGCCGAATCTGCTTTCTTTTTTTGCGATACCAGCTCGTGAAAAAACTACTTACAGCAAGGATACAAAGGAAAAGGTAGGCATGCCGCAGTCTTTGGCAGCAGCTGACATGAACGATCCGAGCGCGTGCGCCAAGGGCAGGGGAGGGTCAGCTTCTTTTCCCCCTTTCGCTGTGACTCGTTGACGCCACATATGCAAGGACGTTGGGACTACCCGGCCCTTCCGACCCCACAGAATGTCTCCGGTTCATTTTCGACATGAAAAGGGCTGGCCAGCACAAGTACGGAATACGGGACTACGGAGTGGCCGTGTCTCGCTTATCCATCCGAATGGGGGTGTGTTGGCGGGTTTTTGGCGGCCCGCTTATGGCACAGGCTAATGGGAGTGTGGCACACCCTCATGCTCATTGCTCATTGCTCCTCTTACCCCACGTTGGTCTGATCACCATGTGCACGCAAATGCCGCTTTCTTCCTCCTGAGGCAGGCTGCAAAGGAGCACGAGACCAAGGGTCTTGTGTAAGCGGTCGAGGCATTCCTTCCACCGAGGCATTCAATGCACATGGGTCTCGACGCTTTGATTTTGACGCGGAACTCGCTAGGGATTGACCGTGACGAAAGCAGTACCTACACCCAAAGCATTTCCTCTGATGGAAATGTGGCTTTGGCTTTGGCTTTGGCTTTGTGGTTGCCTTTTGCCTTTGTCTAACGGAGTGGGTTTGTTGACTTTGATGATGTTGATGATTTCGATGATTTCGATCAAGGCAAGTCATTTGCAAAAGTCAAAAAATTTACTTTTCTTCTTTCAAGGGTCCAAGGGAGATCTAAAAAGACGCCTGTTGACCTTCAACAAGGTAGTTCGTAGACCCTGACGCCTCCACCCTTCATTCGGGTCTAGCGGTTTGATGTTATGCAGCTTATAGCGCCAACTCTATTTCTTAGCACCTTGCCGATACCTTCTTAGAACCTTCTGAGCACGTTTCTCTATCATCTCGCGCAGTAAAGTCGTTTTGCATCGCGGCGCTAACTCTCTCAATGAAAAAAAAAATGTGCCAAAGGAAGAAAAATAGAAATAAAAAAAAATAAAGAAAAGGAACGAAACTCTATTCTGATAATGATTAGACACCTCACATCACCCCAACCATCTCATGTCTCAACTATTCACCCCGCATATGGTGGCTGGCTTCGGCCACATCGAAACTTGCTCTCAATCTACAGCGCGACTGCCGGCCTGCCAAGTAGCTGATGCGCTCCCAATCCTTCATGTCCTCGCTCGAAGGGGAAGTCGTCCTCCGTGTCCGCCTTCATATGCTCCTGTATCATTACGCAGTGATTGCCTGAAGGAGCCTTGATTGTGGAGGATCGACTGCCACGCGCCTAAAACGGTCCACCGCAAGGATTCATGTAAAACACGCTGCATTTCATGCCGCCTCTGCCTCGGCTCTGTGCCTTGCTACCATGTGGGCGATGACCCTGTCTTGCTTCTTCTGCTCTCTCGGCGATTTCTTCGTGATCCAGGCATGAATCTCTGGATCTCTAGCTCTTCCATCTGCTTCTTCGCAATCAGTGGCGTTTGTGCAGGGAGAGCTGCGAGCAAGGCGTGTCCCCCTTCAGCTTGTCCCGTACATTGCAAGATTTGAAGCAAAATTCTGCCGTCCTGTCTTTCCACTGCCATCTCTCACCTAGCACTCCTCCTCTATAGCATCACATCCACCAACATGGCAATCAAATTGGAGATGTTGCCGCTGCTGCTACTATCAGTTGGAGCAGCCGTAGTGGCTCAGATATTCGCTGAGTATCCAGCTGGGCCTGTTTTTGCTGGCATTTTTAGTGTCAGCATTCTGGTCTATCTGGTATACTGGACATATATCTACCCTTTCCACGTCTCTCCTCTTCGCAAGGTTCCAACTGTTCCCGGATTTCCACTCTGGGGCCAATTCTTCACCATCATCAAATCTGAAATCGGCGTGCCGCAAAGAGAATGGCATCTCAAGCACGGCCCAATCATTCGCTATTTCTTTCCTTTTGGTGCGGAGCGGCTCTCCATCGCCGACGACGATGCTCTGAACCACATGTGCATCAAGAACCCATACAACTTTCCGAAGCCTGATAGAGCCAAGCAATGGATGGTCCGAATCTTGGGGGAGGGTGTCTTACTCGCCGAGGGTAATCCACACAAGCAACAGCGCAAAGCCCTATCTCCAGGCTTCTCAACTCAATCCATCAAGGCTTTGACACCTATCTTCTGGCGAAAATCCCTGCTCTTGTCTAAGCTCTGGGAGCGAGACATGCTCGTCGAAAAGACGCGCACCAAAAAAATTGAAATCCTAGAATGGCTCAACAGGACCACTCTGGACATCATCGGAGAAGCTGGCTTCGGCACTGACCTCGACTCCCTCGAGCACCCCGAAACCCCGATCCGTGAAGCCTACCGCCTTGTCTTTGCTTTCGACATAAGTTCCCGTCTGTTCCACGGGCTCGCCGCCTTCATTCCGCAGACGAAGTATCTGCCCGCGAAGATGAACCGTGATGTACTTCAAAGCCGCAACATCATCATCAGTAAGGCGAACGACATTATACGCCAGAAGCACCAAAAGACGCATGCCAAAGATAAAGACATCATTGCACTCATCGTCAAGGATAACATGAAGATGGAAGCCGCGGGCGAGGCTTCTCTATCCTTCGATACCATGCGCGACCAGGTGATGACTTTCCTTGGCGCCGGCCACGATAGTAAGATAGGCTCGCTTCCAAGATATGTGCAGCTGCTAAAGTCATCATCTAGCAACGGCAACCGGTGTTGCTTGGACCATTCATCTGCTCTCAACGCATCCCGAAATTCAGCAGCGTGTCAGAGCAGAGATCAAGCAACACTACCCCTTCCTCTTCGATCCAACGACCCGCAGTGACGTCGAGCGCCTTTCAAAGCTTGACGCTGACAATCTCCATTACTTGGACAACGTATGCCGCGAATCCCTGCGGTACATTCCGCCTATCCCCATGACAGTGCGCCAATCCATCGTCGAGGACCAGCTTGGTGGCTTCGATATTCCCGCTGGCACAACGGTATACATCCACGCCAACGCTATACATCGCCTGCCTTCTTTCTGGGGTGACAACGCTAATACCTTTGACCCCGATCGGTGGGATCATCTTCCTGCTGACCACACGTCCAACGCATTCATGACGTTCCTGCAAGGTCCGAGAGGTTGCATTGGTCGTAAATTTGCGGAGACGGAGATGAAGTGTCTCGTCATCTGTCTTCTGAGTATGTACAGCTTTGAGCGTGATATCACTGTGGACAATCCTGAGCTGTGGAAGATGTGGCGGTTGGTTTTGAGACCAAGAGATGGGATTAGCTGCAAAGTTAGTGTGTTGGAGGAAGAGGAGAAGGCCGCCGTCCTTGTTTGAGATCCGCTGTACTAGTATATTGATGACACTCTTGTAGTGAGGTCTTCCTTCTGTGGTGAGTTACGGTACTCTGATTCTTTTCTATAAATAAGTCGAAAGTTTGACAAACATCTGGCCACCACTTTATGAGCGTCAGTGAAATTCGTGTACCAAATCAGACGTGAGCCGAGTCGTTGATATAATGAGGCCTAGAGGGATTCGTGATTCTGCTAAATGGTGATCTTCCTGAAGTCACCCTTGTGACCGTGACAGTCATAACTGGCCGCTCTTGTAATATTATACCAGTCACGAGGACTTTACACAATGATGATGCTAGCGGGTTGCAACCCTCCCACGCACACAACATGTAGATAGCAGACCGAACGTTATCGTGATGAAGCCCGATTTGACCGGCCAACCGTTCCGTCTTGTTGACAGTATTTAGAGACGGTAGACTCTGTTGTCCGGCAAGGCCATCGAGGCATTCCAAGAAGACCTAAGTCGTTAGTCCCAGGGTCAGGTTGACATTAAGGAGAAGCCGAATAGGAAGGGTCCGTGTCTGGTCATGTTCAAAAGCTGAGTGCAGAAGCTTACCAGCAGAGACCGAGACTGGGATTCTTTTCAAGACTACCGTAGACGTGAGCAATGCCAGGCAGAGCAGGACCAAGATTATTTGGTGAAATAGAGGGCGCTTAAAGCTTTGCGCTACAATAGGTGAGACATCGTAGCCTTTGCTGACGTCCATGCCAGAAAGCAAGCGCCGTCCAGATTTGAGGCGACACGTTGAGCAGAGTGGTCAATGCTCACATGCCATGAGCATCTGATTCTGGGAGACTCGAAGGGCAAACGCGACTGTGAGTCTTTGCTGGGTGACCGATCAGCAGAAGGGTCAAGATCGCGTCGAAAACAAACAGGCTCATGTGTTATATGAGTTGATGTCAGCGTGTCAGTCTGTCCAATGAGCATGACATTATGCCTCCTGAGGGGTCGAATAAAACTTCGGCGCATCTTTCATGCGTCATCAACATGTAAACACCCGTTATGCGGATGGGCCCTGAGTCAGACGTCTGAAGGACTGTGAGATTGTAGACTGATGCAGAAGTCGACGATACATCTCCACGATGCAATGCACCGTACCCGACCCCGCAAACTTAGGTCGTTGCCGATCGAAACTCAGCGCTTGAGTGCACATGGCAGCCTTCAATGCCATGATCCACGAGGTTCGTCAGCCATGCAAGCGTATGCTGTCTGCCGAACTGCAGTAGGCATCCGATCCGCATATGCAACGGACCACGAGGACATGACATGTTGCATGGAGGACAGCAGTGGCTGTGCACCAAATCATTCTCCAAGCGGCAATACAGAAACACGAGTACTGCTTAGGTTCCCACTAACCAAATGCGAGATGGAGGCCGCACGTGACTGTGTTTGTCGTAGGAAAGGATCCCGACCCTCCAATGCTTCTGCAATGTCTCGGATTCTTGTGTACCGTTGCGGAAAGAGATGGCATTGCGAGGGGATAGTTACATGTTCGAGGAAGAGGCCGCTCGGAAACTGTGTCTGAGGAAACCGTGGAGCCACGGACTCGACGCAGAGAGATCCTCAAACCCAAAGCGTTACAGTCTTGGAGCGAGGACGCTTGAGAGCGAGAAGTGACTAAAAATTCGCAATGCACAAGAGCTATAGGACAAAGAAAAAGGTAAGTATCATACTACATAACCTATATGGACAGCATACATGATTTGTGATGTTAGATAACTATAAAGGGAATAGCTCAGCCTGCACGCATGTAATTGTTTGCCTGCCTAAATTGTTCCGAGGTGTAGACAGCCAATAGAATCAGTCAGAGCGAACAGCGGACCTCGGTTGGCCTTTTCACCGGATATTGAAGATGGAGTCTTTCGAAAGTAGTATTTTTTTTTTTTTTTGTCCTTATAATAGCCTGACTCGGATTTTCTCAAGAACGACGGGCATTATGGTTCCTGGGCATCTTCATTATAGTGGACCATCCAGCAACAAAAGTGGGAGAATAATAGAATAATAGAACAATAGGCCAAAAAGAGCGCACAGGAAGGAAATCCGAGCAGAAGGACGTGCAGTCGAGGCAGTAAAATGCTGCATTAAAGGGATCAGCAAAGGGAGGGGGAGTACAAAAAAATGACAAAGGCAAAAAGGCTCGAGGGGCTCCACGACCAGAGTTTTGGTTGGACTGATCATCACTGATGTGCCAAAGCCGATCGAGTCCGTTCGACTGGACTGGACTGGACTGGGACTGGACTGGACTGGGACTGGACTGGACTGGACTGGACTGGACTGGACTGGACTGGCGCTCTAAGTGAAGTCTCGTTTCTGATTAGCTCGACTGTTCTTGTCCTTGTCCACTTGTCATTCGAGAATTGAGCCTCAGTGTGAAATCCTGAGATCGTTTTCGGGCTGCAGATATGATTCCATGTGTGTTCTGCTTCAGCAATCATATGTAGAGGTTAGCTTTGTTGTTGCGCTCAACGGTCCCAGCACCAGAAAGGAATCCCAACCAAACAAACGGAAGAGAAAAACCAGGACCAAGAAATCAAGTTACGGTTTTCATCTGCTCATGTTCAGATTTGATACTTCACCAGTCGACTTGTTTCACCTGATAACCGTCAATGTCATCGTTGTCTCGTTATTGAGATAGCAAGACCGTTCTACGCACTCCATTTTCCCAGACTCCCTGACATTTCTCAGCCCTACGAGTCGTCGCCAATAGCCTCTTGATTTTGGCTTGGCGTTGGACCCTTACTTCCTTGCCGCCGCTCACGCGACTACAATTTCCTTGATCTTGTCTTTTTGACGTCAGGCACAACTACTGCAAAACACATCGCTCTACTTTCTACCCTACCACCCTCACTCAATAGCAATATTACTCTCAACATTACTCAGGCCTCAGCACCACCATGGATATCGCCAACAAGTGAGCCGACTCTTGACTCCGCTCCTGCCTCTCCATCTTGAACAACCAACTCTCAGTTTCAACACGATATGCTGACCCTGAAAACAATCAAGGCTCTTCTCGCTTACTCTGGGCGTGGAGCCTAACAAGGCCACGTTACAGGGTTTGGCATCTACCTTGAACAGCGCAGGTAAGATAATTCTGAGCTCCTGAGCACACATGTATACGATTGGCTCATCGATCAACTTTGCTCAGTCCTCTCACTCGCCGACAAACAGAAAGCTCTCGAGCAATTCGCCGACACCGCCGAAGCACAAAAGTTCGTTTCGCAGGCTCCCATCCCACAGCAACAGTTCACTCAGCCACAAATCCAATACATCCAAGCAGCACCAACACCCCAGGCAGCTCAAGCCCGCAGAGCAAAGATCCTTCGAGACCCCGTGGTATGGCAGATCAGTGAGAAGCAAATGAAGGAGCTGCAATGGAAGAGGAAGCAGTTGCTGCAAGCACAGAAGGCCGAGTTGGAACGAAAGAAGACGGCGAGGGCGAAGAGACCCCCGCCGCCTAAGCTGGGAGCGTCCAAAAACGGCGTGAATAAGACACAGCAGGCAAAAGCTCCCCAGCCAAAGGCCCCACAGCCCAAAGCCGAATCCCTCAAGGTTTCTCAAGCTAAACCTGCGCAGAACAAGGCGCCCGCGAAACCCCAGGCACCTCCTGCCAAAGCCCCTGCAGCACCAAAAGCGCCAGCGAAGGCACCTGCCAAGAAGGCTTGAGTTCTGCACTGCAAAGCTGGACGACAAACACGCGGTGCGTAAGGCAATCACACTGGCCTGGTTTCCGCTCAGCATCTCGCCTGTATTATTATTTCGGTTGGATTCATTTTAGGAATGTATGATATTTCGCATGCAGCAAGAGGCCGTCATGTACAAACAGCATCAAATAGGACATTGCAAGTTCGGACATCGAGACAACGAAATGAACCCTCATTTTCTTGCATGATTGAGACCATAGTAGATTGCAAATCCTAGTGAATACGAGTATGATCCGTACGAGCGCACGGATCTTGACGGGCCATAGAAGAAGAGACACCTCTCGCTCATTGTTAATCCTCAGCGATTACATGTGCATGAACCGGCAAAATGCCTCCACCAAAGGGTGTTCATAACCCGTTGGCTGGACCTGGTAGGACATTACTGCCGTCACACTTACTTAGGACTGACCTTGATCACAGGAGACGACTACACCAAGACCCTGCACAGCGATACTTATGAGGCAATCGACAGTAGCAAAGCCAACCTCCGTGGCAAAAACGTCTTCATTTGCGGTGCCTCTAAAGGAATTGGCAGATCCATTACCCTCTCCTTCGCCAAAGCGGGCGCTTCCTGCATTGCCATAGGTGCCCGCTCCGAACAGGCATTACTTGAGAAAGAGATCAAGGACGCTGCTGCGGGAGCAAAGAAGAGCCCTCCAAAAGTACTGCAAATAAAGCTCGACGTAACGGATCAAAAGAGTATCGAGCGCGCAGCAGCGAATATTGAGAATCAGTTCGGGCGCCTCGATGTTCTCGTTCACAATGCTGGCATAGTTGGCACTCCAAGCCCAATCGTCGATAGCGATCCAGAAGATTGGTGGAAGACCTGGGACGTGAACGTGCGAGGGCCCTACCTGGTGACCCGCGCTTTTCTACCCTTGATGCTCAAAGGGGGTGACAAGCAGATCGTTAATGTCAGCAGCGTTGGAGCTTTTCTCACTGGACAAGGATTGAGTTCCTACCAAGCATCAAAACTCGCCCTCATTCGTTTTACAGAATTCATCGTTTCCGAATATGGTGAGAATGGTGTTCTGGCATTTTGTATTCATCCTGGAAATATACCAGGCACGGACAGTACGTTATAATTTCCGAGGCAATCCTTCCCGATTTATGCTGTTTTATGAGTCGTCAGACATATCCCAAGAGGTTCTGCTCCTAAGACACGTCTCGCGATTCAGATTCCCTCTAAAAGAGTAATGCTGACTTCGATATCATCTAGTCTTGGGTCCTGGTGGCGTACCAGATTCCCTAAAGCATAGTATGTCATCTGCCATAGAGCATCCTTTGGTATGAGATGAGACCTGTGCTGATGCTACGAAGTTTTCACCGAGACCACCGAGCTTCCTGCCGATACTATCGTCTACTTGACACAAGAGAAGCGCGACTGGCTAGCTGGGAGGTACATCAACTGCACTTGGGATATGCCTGAACTTATGGCAAAGAAGGATGAGATTATCAAAGAGGACAAGTTGAAGATCAGATTGGTAGTATGAGTTAGAGCCTAAGCATATGACAATCGAATGTCTGCTAATCCGGAATTTGAATGTCTGTTGATTCATGAAGTGAGGGGTTTGTTACCCCGAGGTTTGTGCCATGTGACAAGCTACTCGAGCTTCACACTCTTAAGGTCGCGGAGATAAATCCTGGAATATCCGCTCATACGAGTGCTACTCAGGTCTTCGAAGCTGCCAGAACACGGGCCCACCACCACATGTCCAACCCTTCATATGCAGAGACTGGTTCTTGGACCAGGGAGCATCTTCAAGCTTGTATCTGCCAAGCTGTGGCTTGCGTTGAACCTCAAACAACACTTGCGGAGGCGTTTAGCCTATGTTCTCTTGTTTTGTAGATCCTTCACTGCCTCAAAGATATGGTCAGCGCCACCTTGGGACTGCATACGAAGCTCATCATGCCAAGCAGATCAACATCGGCTCATGCAAGAAGAACATGACCCTTAGATCCATCGCATTCGCCAGGACTTCCCCAACAGCTATAGCAGTACCAGCGAGGACAATACTCACAGAATTGATAGAAACGAAACGGTTGTAAGGTCATGTTAGAGGTATTTAATTCGTAATAGGTTCGATTCCTATTGGCGCTGGTACAATGGTGTTGCGGTGTTTCCTATTTTCTAGGTCGGACCCGAGGGTAGATAGAGCAGCGCTATGCTTGGTAAGGTGAAGAGCAAGTCGCCAGAGCTGAAACGGTAGACACCATGGGTCAGGTACAAGGCTGCACAAAAAACTATCAACAGTGCAAGGAATCATAGAAGCCAATGTAGGGACCACTGAGCGCTGGCTCTCAATGGGAAACCTTTCCCTATGACCTCAGACAGTCACTCGAAGGGAAGCTTGTTCCGAACTTGACCAGATTTTGCGGCCTAGGCACACTGAGTACTTGTGGACGATGCTTTCTGGATTTTCCTGGACAGCCACTAAACTGGGACATTATAACAGAGTTTGACATTCCACCCGGATCAAGTCGGTCGAGGAAAGCACTCACAAAACGAACAACGCTCACACCTGGCAACGCAATGACAGAGTAGACGAGCAGGACCATGAACATGTACTCATCGCTCGGTATCCCATGCGCTAGGAGATGTGTTCCTCATTCCGAACGCTACTGTTGTAGGGTAGAAAAGACCGGTCAAATTGAGATGGGTGAAAGAAGTCGAGAAAGTAAAGTCGCACCCGATGCTCTGTTGGGGTTGGAAGTGAACCTGGTAGAAAGAATATTCCAAGCCACGGAGCCGTGGCTTGAGGTAAGATCCGAGAGCCTGTACAGCCCCACAGGTGGACATGTGTGTGCAGTGGACTGTCTAATACGAATGTACTACTGGTCCAGCTCTTCGATAATCTGTCTTGTATACGAATGCCACCTTTTCATTTTTGGTTGGTTCTATCACCTACCCTCTGCCTTTCCTAAGCGCAGGTAAGGTACTCTAAGCACGGTGCACTATGTCTGGCAGAGCAGAGTGCAGAGGGAGGGAAGAAGGCTGAGGTATGGCTTGCGTATGATAGGTATGCAGGAGGCAGCTTATTTAAATTAACCTTTGTCTCGAGAGTTTCCAAACGATGTGAAACTGATTTTGACGCCTGAAAACCGGTTTTGATACACGACACGGAGAAGAGTCTCGATCGATCGCCATCAATCAATCATGCCTTCTTGCCATGCCATGGGCCATGGCCGAGGAACCCCTCAATCCGAGGCGCAGGCTCAGCTGGTTTAACTTTGTTTGGTGGGCTGGTGGGGTTTTTTGTTGACGTCAAAGGGTGTCGACCCGAGGACCCCTCTACACCGACCATTGTTTATATCTTCCCTGTATTGTCCTACTTTTCTCCACTGCTACTATATCATACAAGTTTTTCACTGTCTATATCTCCAAATTCCCAAAGCTTCCAAATCACAAATAAAGACATTCATTAGGAAACACCAAATCCTGTACGTTCACTTCTCCGAAAACTTTCTCACCTCGCCAGCTAACACCGTCACCAGTCATACCCCACTCTTCAAAAATGGACAAAGTAGGAGGTGGGCGCCCCCTGTCCGTAGACTTGCTCGAGACCTTTCACACCACCTCTTGCTTTCCTCTCGCAAACATGTACTCTTTACATGTACATTCTGGCGGCGTCGCCAGCCAGTAGTTCGCTTTTTCAGACTGTCCTCGCAGACACCTTACCCATACTGATTCTATCGAACAAGGCGTTCTCGGGGGCGTGACCGATACAGCAGGCAAGACCGTAGGCGGAGCCACCGAAACAGCGGGCAATGCTGGTAAGCCACATCTCCCTTCATTCCAGCTTACTTTCCCTTTATGTCAGCTACTGATCCGTCACAGTCGGTGGAGTAGGTAACACCCTCGGCGACACCACCAAAGGCCTCACAGACACGGTCGGCGACACAACCAAGGGCGCAGGAAGCACCGTCTCCGATACCACCTCCGGTGTTAAGGATTCCACCGGTGCAGGGGGCAAGCAGGATGCGCAGAACCCATTGGGTCTCAGCTAGATCGCCCGATCGAAACGGTCGTGAGGGACTTCAGGAGGAAGCGTGCGTTTACCATACTTAATTAGAAAGATGAGGTACAAATATCGTGACGTTCGTTCATTGAATGCATATTACACATCGAGGTCTGAGCTTCGCCTTGTCTTGAAGATTGTCATGCAGGCAGTCACCGACTACGTCTTATTACCTGTTCTCTCCTTCCTCGTCGATAATTCGTAAATACGCATGACAATGAAAGCAATGCGCTCTGTTTCTGGGAACATATGTTAAGCTATGCATCGCTCCACTCGGGATGTAAAGGCATAATGAGTTTGTAAAATTTTCTTTCACCCCTGGTCAAAGACACACAAACACGGATGAACATGAACTGCAGGCTGCGTCCCGGGAATCATTATCAGATTATGTTTCGCTCGCCTTTGGGTGTCAAGGTAGATTGGGCAAGATGCCATTTACAGGTCTGCTGTTACTATATCATACAGATCTCGGAACCTTCCTCCACCGGTATCGAAATACCATCCTCGACCTTCAACGCCTGCGCCGATCTCCATTTGTCCACGCTCCCATTGCTACACAGACCCCAATGCAGTCGACTATGCCAAAAACGCTATGCTTCAAACAGTCAAAAACGCAAGAATGAGGACGTAAAGCTCGTCAAGAACGACGGGGTTTTTTGCAGCTATGGAGCCAGATAGATGCAAGGCTCGTGTTCGTAGAAAGGGACTGGTAATAGACAGTACTTAAGCCTCTGCCACTAGCTCAAGTCGATGTTCCCGCCGCCGTCATTGGAGTGATGGGATTGACTTCTGTCAACGGCCTTGTGGTCGTTATAGTAGGAACTCGCGCATGGGTGGCACACTTTGGTTTGGCGATTAGAGGCATAGTAGTAGCCTCGTGACAGCGTCCAAACCATCCGTACTCAACACAGGATGTCGTTACAGGTGTGGCCTGCGTTGGCGTGGCTGTTGGTGACAATGTCGTCGTTTCGAGACATCCTCCAAACCATCCATATCTCACACAGGATGTCGTCGGCAGCTCTGTTGTTGCGGTTGAGCTTGAAGTACTCGTCGAGCTCGAGGTTGTGGTTTCATCAAGGCATCCTAAGAACATTAGCTGCTCGTCTCAAAAGCAACAGAGAACCATTACGTACCCCACCATCCAGGTGTCTGGCAGGTTGTAGTTCGTGTTGAAATTGCCGTTGAGGAGCTACTGCTCGACGAAGTGGTCTTGTCGGACCCATTGCTTTTAAAGTACTTCCAATTGAAGCAGTCGACGCACTCCTCGTCTGGGATACAAGGCGGCACCTCATCGTATACTTCAAGCACGTCGTGGATTACGCTGCGAATCTTGTGATATCCGATCCCAACACGCCATCCCTTATCCCCAACGGTGTCGTAACGGGAAACACAGCCTGTATGACATTCGGTCTGCATCGAGTAACCCCCCAGAGTACATGCAGAGGTCGCTGCATTGCAGCTACCCATGAAGATAGGATCCGCAGTATGGCCGAAATGAACTGCTCCCGTATGCTTTCTTGTCTGGGGAGCACTTGAATGAGCGCCTGGTGGCGACGTGAGCCCTAGCCTTGCGGCGGCAAGAGCTTCACCTGGAGCCTCAAAGGTTGTAGTTGGCAGTCCAAACGTCAACCCCAGTAAGGCACTTGTTGAACCTCCTAACGAATGACCTGCAAGCCATATGTTCGAATTTGGGTACAGCTCTGTGACATTACCATAGAGTTCAATCGAGGCTGCGTAGTAGCGATTCTCCGCTCTCAAAGCCTTAACAAGGCACGTTTGGTTGCATGTATAAGCCGCCGTCATACACTCGCAGACAGGATGCCAAAGATATTGACCACCCTGACCGCAACAACAGCCGAAGAAGAGATTGTCATTCGTTTTATCGTTTGTGGTTGTCTCGGCTCCATCAAAGACTGCTGGAGAGGTGCCTTTCAATGCTATCACAATGGTGGAATTGTCCTTGTTCGCGAAAATGTGACCCCGTAGACTATCTCCTTCCCATCCAAAGCCCTGCGTACGGTTGAATCTACCAGTCTCATCTTGCCATTCGCCAGTCCCAGGCTCGGTATTGTAGGCGTTCCATGACATCTTCGCCAGGCTCACGACTGTTTCCTTATCCGTGGTGTTGGGCCCAGAAACTTTATCCATAGTCCATGCGGAGGCAGCGACTATGGGAGATGAACCCGTAAGTCTTGCCTCCTGGTAAAGCGACTGCATTGTTAGTACTCTGCGATCGGAGAGTCTCTGTATGGTGATTTGTTCAGACTTCGCGTGTAAGGTCTCTAGCCGAGACTTTTCGCCCGTCCCATCTCCCGTAGCCCAAACGACATCCCCAGGCTTGATGTCCAAGCGCTGGTGTACATGTTGATATTCATATAATCCATGCACGAACAGATGCCTCAGCGTGAAGTCTTGCTCTCCGTTGGAAGAATCTAGAGGCGCCTGAGGGTCGTGAGCGGTCGCCGGAGGTAAGGAAACAATAGGGAACTGGTTTGCCCCATTGAACCAGCCGTCCGCCCATGACGCTGCTGCTGTTGCTGGGATAGTCGAGGAGGCGGCTAGCCATAAGAACAAGAGCTTCACAGTTACTCGAGGAGCTGAATGACATCTATCCATGGTGGGCCATCGGGTCTCCATATACACAATCGTGTGACAGGTTAGCAAGAGCTGTGAATCTCTCTTATAGGAGGGTTAGGCAACAGTCGCAGTTGGTGAACGACGACGATCAGCTGCGGGCATCGAGAATGGAGCGGCGCGGTGAATAATACCGCCGACGCCGGCTTGGCGTCTCTCGTGCATGGTATTCTTTCGGTTCAGGCATCCTTCGAGTGCAAGATCTAAGTTACCATTCGTTCTCTTTTCGAGGGGTTTTGCGAACATCTGAGACAGCGAATACTCTTGGGCGGTTTTACGATATACAATCCGAACATGAAGGACTGAAACCTGATATTCTCATGTGATCACTATCTTTTGGGAGAATGCTCCATTATTTTAATACGTAAGCAGTACAAGTGTCTCGTGGTAGGTCTCGTAATGGTCAGCATGTCGCCCATTGCTGAACATGGCTTTGAAATATAACAACCCTCCTGCTGACTCTTTCTTAGGCACCTTCCCTTCGATGTCCTACGCTCCGGTGATAGGGGCCAACGGCTCAAGCCGGCCGCAGACTACTCACATGTCAAATTCCTTCTCCCGACTCATCTCTTCTCCACCCAGTCCTCTTGCTCGAAGCCGGGCGAGCACCCTTCAGACTGCGGCTGTTACCGGCAACCTGGGCTCGGAGATGACCACCTCGTCGTTGGATGAGAACAGTAGGGGAAAGCAGGAAGACATTTTCGAGAAAAGCAGCCTCATAAGCGGCGTAGAGGGGACTGTCAAAGATGTCAGTGAGATGGAATCTCCACAAGATGTCCCTGAGGGCTTTGACGATCTTCCAATTGAGCTTGTCAGCTTGATAGATAGGTGACGAATATCAAACCCTGTTAGGAAAATTGCTCTGCATACTAATCTTTTCTACGCTAGATTCATTGAATCGTTGAGTGCGAAGGTACATAACACACCTCCATCAATTGAAAAATTGTCCGAAATATTCCAAGAGTTCTACGCGAAAGCGGAATCCCACATTGCCATACATATAAGTACCCTGTCAACCAGACAAAGTCGGAGAGCTTCTCCCAATCCATCAATATCTTCTAATGCATCTTACGTGGCCAAAAACGGCAGAAGGCTGCGGGCGTCGTCCTCTGGAGACCAATTGAGCTCACTGAATGGTGGAGGTCCTGAACAGCAGATGCTTACACCACAAGAGATTTCGGATCGCAGGAAAGCAAGGCGCTTGTTGGATCGAAAAGGAACAGCGTTAGAGGAAGCCGTTGAGAGGAGAGTTTGCCAACGTGTTTACAACCGCATATGGCGCCATCGGGCAACCTTGGATGAGGTCAGAGATGAGAAACTACGATCTAGAACGGCAGCGTTGGCACTCGTTGGCATAGGATTACGAGATTTAGGCATCAACTTTGACCAGCAACCGTCGGAGACGGACGATATCCAGATTGAGGAGTGGATCTCGAAGGCCAGAGATGGTCTATTAAGGATGAATGACGCGAAGTATCCTCTGGGCAAATTGCAGCAGCTGGCTGCTGCACACAAAAATATCGTTGATTTACTCACAACTTTACATCAGTCCTCTTCTTCGGCAGATGAGATTCTGCCAACGCTTATCTACACTCTCATTACGACTCCACCGGAAGGAATCAATGTAATCAGTAATCTACATTTCGTACAGAGGTTCCGAGCAGCTAGCAAAGTCGATGGGGAAGCAGGTACGTACTTTTCGGACTAAACCTCTCCTGTTTAGTAGCAAATTGGGGCCATAGTCCAGATTTCGGGAGCAGAGAGCTCCTTCACTCCTCTAGAATTATCTTGTTACTTAGGTGGAATGCCATGTTTCGGCAGTGAAAGGATATATCAGCTCTTCAAATGTGTCTCGTTTCTCGGTCTATTACCCTGAGAAAGCCATGCATGCTGACTCCGAAATCTACGTAGGTACGTACATTTCGGAGCCGATCCTTCCCGTTTGGTGCTGAAGTTGAGTTGCAAGACATGTTTCGGGAGCAAGAGGACTTTTCTACTCCCGAGAACTGTCTCGCTACTCCATCACCTACCTCGTACAAGCAATGCTGACTCCGAAATCTCTTAGCTTACTGCTTGGTAAATCTGGAAGCAGCAATCACATTTCTTGAGACAGTTGATCTTGCGAGTCTGCGTTCTGATGAACCACTATCAGGGCCTCCGAAATCAGAAAGCCGACCAACGACACCTCGAATGGAATCTCGACCTCAATGGACCTCCCACACATCAATTACACCTCCAATGTCTTCGACATCTGCCGCCACCTCCGCAATTTCAGATCAGCCAGTTTCTCCTCACCCTCTGGAGTCGCCGAGCAAGCCTACGCACCCCACAACTCCAACTCATCAACGGAAATTGAGTAACTTGTTCCAGCCGCCCGCTAGCGCATTTGGAGCCGCGGGTGATGTTGTACGTACGACTGCTGATCAAGGGTTCAAGACGATTGGTAATACTCTCGACAATAGCTTCAAGCGTAAGTACCCTTTCTGATTTATCGCCCTTCCTTTCATATCCTTTCTTGAGTCTAAGAACATGTCTGAGGAGCAAGACCCTAGCCCCTGCTCCTCAAAGATGTTTTCAGACTTAAGACTTCGTTTCAAAAGAGAACTGCTGACTCCGAAATGCTGTAGTCCTATTCGGCCGTCTTAAAGAACACAAGGTGGCCAACGACGGTGTCGGTGCAGAAGGCACGATTATCGTTCCAAGAACCCTCGATGACGCTCGGAGACTGGTCGAACCGCCCAAAGAAGAGGATGATGATGAGGACACTAGCCTTCCTTCAGCCAGCCTCCTAGCTACTCAAACCGACGAGCAGGCTGGAAATAACAGTTATAATAAATCGACTGACAGCTTACTCAATGCAATCGTAGGCCGCAAGCAGTCTCGTGACAGAAGCGTCGATAGTGTTCAAAGCTCAGGCAGTGGGAAAAGAGTAGCTTTTGCGGCCGAGAGCAACGACTCGTTGACTAAAGCTGGATCACCTACCTCTGCGCCGGCTGCGTCGAACGAGCCGCTGCACGCTGGCAATGTGGCGGTTGAGTCGATGCGGAGTCTCGGTAATACGCTCAACCCTCTTAAGGGCTTTGGGGGTATGAGTGTCATGCGAGGATTTGGACGGAGTACTTCTTCTGGTACACCCACTCCAACACTCGCTAACGCTGGGAAACCGAGCCAAGAGGTCCAGCAGGCTTCCACTACCAAAATAGACGGGATGGATGCTCAAACCTCGTCTATGAAAGCTTTACCACCGATCCAACGATACATGGATGTCGCAAGTGCGGAAGACCTTAAGATTGGTGAGGTGGGCGAGCTATTGAATGATTATAAACGTCTAGCTGGCGCCTTGAAGACTATGGGGGTGTTCTGATTAGCCGTGAGGATGGAGTTTGGGGTAAAAGATGCTTGCTAGAAGGAGCCGAGTGTTCATTTCGAGATACCCTTTTTGCGAGGCTAATGGATTCCTATCCATTGCGGTTTGCGAGACCTTATCAACTCTTAGTTCGGGATGCCACTTGGAGCGTCCAAACGACTTTTACAGTCCGCCACATATTTTAAGGGATTGTAGCCAAAGTCATACTTATCCTGCTATTGGTCCAAATAAACTGTGGACTGAACAAACAATTTGGCCTTTTGCCGTTTCTGTCACGACTTCCAAAGGCAAGCTATGTCGATCGATGGTCGTGATGGCTTTAGTGAACTTCAAGTGAACTCCTCGTGTCTCATACATTGCTGCTCATGGCAGTATATCACACCCAGACTTTTCCAATTTCGTAACCCTGCTTTCGTTTATCAGCAGTCGTTATCATCTTGGTTACTAGTAGCTATCGTCTTTTCAGCTACGACTCGATATTACCTGATCCACTTGTGCCTTCACGCTCTTCGCACAATGGTTCAGAACAATTTGCCAGACACCGTGCGCTTCACCAGGAACCAGGAAAAAGCAGCGCGTACTATACATCACCCCAAACGCTCTCTTTTCTAGATCCTCCCTTCCGAGGTCAGAAACAAGAATTTGTTTAGTCATCGCTATACTCCCAGTCTGTATTCCGGCCTTGTTAGGGCGACCTACTCAATCTTCAGAGAAAAAGCTCCACTCGCCCAGGAAAAGCCTTGGTGGAGTTCATGTCTACCGATGGGGATGAACCCATCGTCCTAGGGACGATATGGGCAGCATCGGGTTGAAGTTATCCTAGTGCCCTGATGATACGTAAGAGGGTCGGGCAAAAGTCATGCATAGAGGGGGCCATTACCCGCGAAGTACCCAAGTTCCATTGAATTATTATGAACAGTCAATCTCTTCTGGCTGGTACTCACAGAATTACGCAAAAACGGAAAGATGGGAGCCCTTAGGGTTGCCACTTTTCCTAGCAATTTGCCTTGCGGATTTGGAAGCTTGAGCTTCTCTCCATGCATGACTTTGAGTACACTTTCTTACGTCGAGGATGATTTTGATGACTGATAGCGGCTTGAACTCCTTTTCATCAACCCAATATCCATAATCGCCGATGAGATATGGACGAGTTCGGGAAGGACACTGCGCCTCTTCCGGCCTTTTTTCTCAGCTCTAAAGGAGATGCTGGAGAACAGAAGACTTTCCGAGCTCCGCGGCTGCCTTTCTTTCGTGGACTGAAGGCTCTCGCAAGATCCAGCTGTTGATCGAAAGTTTGAGACCCTCGCGAGGAAATTTCGATACTGGCAAGATTGATGTGTGCGGAGAGAGATACACTTGCTCAGAGAAGTGCCTGACTTCTGTAGGTCTCCGAGACGCAGAAGAGGGACCAGGATAGCTGTTTCGCCGTTGAACATAGACGGGGATGTGGGAGACCTGCCGATAGCTGGACTTTTTGAGGGAACACGTGCATGCTGTTGCTTGTATGTACTGTATGACTTAGTACCCCAGGTCTATATCAGCTTCAACGCGAATCCACCCCCAACCTCTTCGGTGTCTCTATTCGCAAAAATGCCACTGAAATCCGCCGCTTCTCCCGCGATCCTCGGCGCATCCCCTCTCTTCGGCGCATTTGGACTCGCTAGTCTCCTCCTCTTTTCTTGGCCCGCCTTTGAGGGAAATGTGGGAAACATCGCTGTGCTTTTGGGCTTTGGATCTTCTCTAAAATAAGGATGAGCGAGAACTTCGCTTGCCGTGGGTCGTTGTGCAGGGTTTAGGCTGAGGAGGGACGTGAGCAGAGCAGACCCGGCAGTAGTCAGGAGGGGGAACTTGGCTCGGAGAACGTTCCCAGTCGTTTGGGAGATACTTGGAAGCCGGAGTGAGCGGGCGTTGGGCAGACGTTTGAAGCCAGGCCAGGTGGCTTCGGTCGGAATGCCACAGAGTTCGAAAATCTGGGGAGCGGGTAAGCACAAAACGGTCAAAATCTGAGACGAAGCCCACCTTTGAAAGCTGATCAACTTCGTTCTTCCCTTGCAGCAAGGGATCCTTTGTCAAAAGCTCGCCGAATATGCAACCAACGCTCCATAAATCGATCTCTGCTCCATACTTCTCTGCGCCTAACAGTAGCTCTGGAGCGCGGTACCACAATGTCACTACGAGCTGCGTGAGCTTCGGTGGTGGATCACCATAGTATCTTGCCATGCCAAAGTCTGCGACCTTCAGCTGACCTCTGTTGTTCATGAGTAGATTCGAGGTCTTCAAGTCCCGATGTAAGATCCAATTGCTGTGCAGGTAGTCAACGGCCGAAGTGAGTTGTAGAAGTAATGTCTTGATCTCCGAGGGCGAGAAAGCATCGAGCATGTCTTCTTGCAGCGTCTTGAGGTCGTGCTCGAGGAAATCCATGACCAGGAAAACACTGGTCTTGAAGATCAGCTTTCGGAGACAAGAAACCAATGCTTTCGACATAGCCACTTACTCGTCCAATTTGTCGCCCATAACGACCTCCCGTAAAGCAACGATGTTCGTATGCCGTGATGCCATCAGTGTCTGTATCTCTCGTAGGCCGGTGACCGGAAAGCCGTCATTGGAATTGTCCATCTTGAGCTTTTTCAAAGCAACAATCTCCCCAGTAGCTGTCTCTTTGGCCCGCGATACCCAACCATAGGAGCCTTCTTCGATATGATTTAGCTTCTCGAAATTGTCGACATGCCTGCAGGGGCCCCATTCTGGCGCAGGGAAGCGCAAGAGCTTTGCTGGTGGTAGCTCTTTTAGAGGCGTATCAGGCTCTGGGGAAAGTTTTCTTCTCTTGAACGGCCGTTCAGCGGCTCCATTGATAGCTTCATGGTCGTGCGTAGCATCCTCAGTGGCGTCCACTGATTTTTGTCTCCATAGACTCTCTTGCTCCTCAAGCTTCCGCTGTTTCTCTGCTTTCACCTTTCTCTTCAATTCTTTCTCACGCTTCCGCTGAGCTTCCAATGCTGCATCTTCCTCATCATCGGCCCATCGCGACTTGGAGTGGCTCGCCATGATCGAGACGAAAGTAGCGCGTCACCGACGGTTGGTGGAGATCAAATCTTAGGGTGTGACCGTCGCAGCATCCATAACTTTACTCCCGAGCAGTTCCTATGATCATCGCATTCTGGACATGATCATTAGACCTGGGGTAAAGATCATTGCGAGCTCGAGACCACTGGCGAGAGGCTGTTCAGGGTTGAAACTTGACAAGAGAATTCGATGGGCATCATCGCCCGCTCGGCAATGGTCGACACCTCTAGCCAAAACCATTGCTGAAGCTATTGCTGTAAGCTCACTTCAACATTCGCTTATGCACACACTCTGATCATGAGGCCAGACTACAGGTCCAATTTCTATAGCAGCTTATATGCGCCAATGCCTCACATCCCCTGATGGTGGCTACTACACTTCACAAACGCAGGGCAAAGATCAATTCGGACAGAAAGGAGACTTCATTACCTCGCCAGAGATCTCTCAAATCTTTGGCGAATTACTGGGCATATGGCTTGTAACAGAATGGATGTCCCAAGGCAGGGTCAGCCATGGCGTGGAGGTCATTGAGGTTGGTCCAGGAAGAGGAACGCTGATGGATGATATGCTACGGGTATGGTACGATGCTCAATTCAGAGACTACGAGATACCATTCTAATCGCGGAGCAGACTCTCAGCAATTTCAAGCCGCTAGCAGCTAGCATCGAATCGGTCTATCTTGTGGAAGCCAGTCCAGCATTGCGTGATACCCAAAAGCAATTGCTCTGCGGAGATGTTCCCCTCGAGGAGATTGATATTGGTTTCAGGAGTACGAGCAAGTACTCAAGAGTCCCGGTGACATGGTGTGAAGACATTCGATTTGTACCCAACGGTAGATTCTGTCTTATCAGCCTGCAGAAAAGTCCAAGCTCAACTGACCTACCTATAGATTCAAGCAAGACCCCCTTCATCTTCGCCCACGAATTTTTTGACGCGCTTCCGATCCACGCCTTCCAATCCGTGGCTCCAAACTCGACCGAAACGTCTCAATTTCTCACAACTCCTACAGGGCCCCTTCCCCTTACCAAACCAGCTTCCCAGTCCAAGACGCCCCAATGGCGAGAATTGGTAGTCACGCCCACACCATCTGCCTCGAACATAACCACTACCACTTCGCCTTCCACTCCCAAATCTCAACCCGACTTTCAGCTCTCCCTCGCAAAAGCCTCGACCCCACCGTCACTCCTGTTTCCCACCCTTTCCCAGCGTTACAAAGCGCTTCTGCCAACCCCAGGTTCTGTCGTTGAGATATCACCGGAATCGCATTCTTATGCCGCAGATTTTGCTCGCCGTATCGGTGGCTCTTCCGCTAAGGCCAGCTCAAATTGCACATCTAGTACAATGGTCAAAACCCGTCCGTCCGGCGCAGCCTTAATTCTCGATTACGGTCCCGCAGACACGATCCCCACCAATACACTGCGCGGCATTCGCTCACATCAGCATGTCTCCCCTCTTACCGATCCCGGCCTCGTCGACATCTCTGCTGATGTCGATTTCATGGCCTTAGCCGAGGCGGCACTAGCAGCTAGTCCGGCAGTCGAGGTGCATGGTCCCGTGGAGCAGGGAGGATGGCTACAAAGTATGGGGATTCGAGAGAGAGCAGACATCATTTGCAAGGGTCTGGGGGAAGACGAGGGAGGAAAGAAAAGGGTAAGGGGAGCTATCCAGCGATTGGTGGAGAGAGGTGGTGGCGCGATGGGGAAGCTCTATAAAGTCTTGGCGATAGTCCCGGAAAGGGATGGAAGGAGGCCTGTTGGATTTGGTGGAGGTGTGGAGTGAGTAGGAGCAGTGTGAGAGTTTGCAAAAAAGCCAACCGAACAAGGTGCCACAATTCTTTGGTCGGCAGATATCTGCTCTTTGGCTTTGATTACCATCAAGAAGTGTGTGCATTCTAGCCAAGGTAGAACATCGCTAGGGGAGTCATTGGGCTCCCCGATTCTAGCGAGTAACCCTGTGGCGCGAAACCTCCGGAATTCTTTTTGAAAAGTCTGGTATCGCACAATAGTATAGGCTTCTGGTCTTTAGGTGTGCCAAGTCATGTCCTCAAGCACCGCCGCATCCCCTGAGATGCCGGTCTAGGAGGCCAAGAATTCTCTCCAGGCACAATAACATCTGGGGCCATCAAAGGGTCAGGCGTCAAGTAATGTGTCCCGTCTCTTGTTTCAAGACCGTTTGCTTCTCCGTTGAAAGCACTTCGGAGAGAACTTGAAGGCAGGATAGGGTCAATCTGCCAAACTACATGTCCTCTCTCATCCGTGACTCGAATACTAAACGCAAAATGTGGAGGGTCTCTTGACCGCCATTCTGGCTCATGAGGTGGGCTTCGGGCGTTCGTTTCACGCATATGCAATGCAATGTGGAGGCTTTGCCGAGACAAATTCCACGCACACGGGACTGAGAGCGAGAGCAGTTTGAGTCACTCTTCCCTGTCGGTGGACTCCGAGTAAAACACTTATACCTACTCCGTAGGTAGAGTCGCGACTGAAATTGGCAAAGTGTTGAATGTCTTGCAGGAGCCCCCCAACTCAGGTTAGCTCACATAATTTAAGCGGAAAAGGCAGCAGAGCATGAGACGCCTTGCGGAAAGGCAGGGGCTCACACTCAACACTTGATTTGAACCCAAGGGGAAGTGCAGCGTAAGATATCGACCAATCTCGAGTGGGACTGCCTCTTAGAGGCAAGTCTTGCATATTAAGGGCTGAGCAAGTGCAGTGCCGAGACTCAAAGGGAACATTGCAGAAGCCATTCACACGTGGAGCTGACTGTACTTGCGGATGATAAGCTGGAGAGGCCGAGGGCTCTCACTGGATTTGTGATGCATATTTTGAAGCCAATTTCGAAACCTGACCGACATTCGGGGGAGGGGACGGTGATTGATTTAAAAGCAAGCGCTGGCAGAAACGGGATGGGATTGGCGCCAGTTACTTCCCCTCGTCGGTCGCTTCTTTTGAGATGGGGGTAAGTAGATGTCTAACCCCCCACCGATAGATTTTCTTGGGTTTGTAAGCGGAATAATCCAGTATGCAGAATGTTGAAGAGAAGTCAAAAAGCGGTCGAGGATTTCTTTCAATGATGGGGCTTGACTAGGTATCTGCATCATCGAAAGTCGCAAGAAATGGTGAAAGAAATTCATGTCTCGGTCCTCGGTTCACTTCTGGTCCTGAATTGATAAAGTAAAGTAGCGTGAGTACTTGAGTAGGTTTTTTTCTTTCGCGAGGCTGCGGCCTGGCGGACTCACCTCCACCCCCGCTCACTCCGCGAGCCTTGGCGACATGAAACCCTACAAGTACTAGCTAATAAGGTACCTACTTTAGCCTCGGACCTGTCGGACCTTCGGCTCAGTATTCGTACTCCGTATTCCGCAGTTGTGACTCGTAACTCGTAATTGACTTATGGACATGGTGGTACATGAAAGATTCCCCCAAGTCTTCCCTCACTGCCGTATGCGGGCTTGCCTTGGCACGTCTACAGGCTTCCTACGAAGGGGTTGTACGGCTTTTCATCCAGCTTGGAAAGTGTTGGAAGACCCGGTCAACGTAAGCCGCATTTGTTCATCCATATTAGCGACACTACTTATTTGGCCATTAACACATCAAGGATGGTGCAATTTGACTCTTTGCATTGAAAGTGAGACTGTAGGAGTCATTCCATTTTGATTATTATATCCTGGGACAAGGATGATTTCAAATCCCGCCGGAACAGAAGTAGATCCGTACCTTGATGCGCAAGAATCCAAATGCCGTGTGCTTTGTTTGAGTACCTGGTATTCAATAAGTTACAGAGTTAGAAGTTAGAAGTTAGAAGTTAGAAGTTAGAAGTTAGAAGAAGAAAAATAAAAAAAGCCAGCAAAGCCAATTCGTAAAGCTCGCTGCCTGGAAAGTAGTGGAAAAGGGAATAATTGTGCGACTGCGAATTGACTGCCTAAACAGCAAATCGGGCGGTGAGGTGATGAGTTGCGTTGTGTGACTCAGCCCTGCTTTGGAATATCAAACAACGTGGTCGGAAAAGGCGAAGGAAGATTGTGATTGGTGAGATATACCGGCGTGATTACTCTCCGCTGCCTTGAAATGGACTAAAGTAGCATCGCTACCTTAGCTTAACTTCTTAGAAATCCGAGGCCCTAGCGCGCGGTATTTGCAGGAACAAAGTCCGTCGGAGCATGGAGATTACTACACCGGTTCACAACAGATTGAAGAAGCATAAAGACAGCCCAGATCCCTCAGGCAATCATGACCATCTCAAACAAAGACCAGCAAACCAACAATCAAACTTCTCCTACACCCAATCCCTTCTTACAACAACATCTTCCCATACTTTCGCACAAGCCACCCTGACTCATTAACCAATTGCAAATCATCCTGCCCCATCTCACCATATCAGACATTGACTCATTGTCCCAAACATACAAACATGCCTTCCAATCTCAGATACCACATCTCTTCATCCACAACACCAGCATCATCAACAACCAGAACAGTCACTGCATCACCACCGCTAAAGAAGCAGAAGATGTCTCTCACTCAAACCTACTACCTCGCCCACACCGCCCGTGGTAAGCTCTCCAAGGAAGCTGCGCGGGGAGACCACGACCTCCGCCTTTTGGTCGGCCACGCCAACCTCCTTGACGGTCTGATGCTCGACCTTGCCAACGCCGAGCAAGAGCAAGAGAGCTGGTTTAATCAGACCGTCAAGAGAGCCTCCAAGGCATCCGAAGAGCCCAAGCACATTCAATGGGCAGACACAATTCCAGAAGAGCTGGAAGAGGCAGTGGAGGAGGAATTCTACGCCGAGAGCTCAGATAGCGACAGCGATTCGGACGATGATGAGGAGATGCAGAGCGCAGAGCCAATTGCCCTCCGCAATGTACCACAAGCGCCAGCTACCATCACCACCATTGAATATGAAGATGAGGACATGGAGGACGAAGACTATGAGAACGATCTCGCTCTTACTCGCACATCATCGGCACACCCACCAGAGCTCCTCCACGAGGATTCAGACTCGGAGTCAGAAGACGACTCCATGCCTCCCTCACCTGAGATGCCTCTCGATGCATTTTCCGAGAAACAAAGACAAGCAATTGCAACCACATCATACTACCAGTCACTACCAGTCAAGTCAGACTCGCCAGCCTCACTGCCGGAGTCGGATCAATCCTTCTTCGATGAGGGGTTCTACCTCCCTCAACGGCAACAGACAGCCATTGCAGCCTGTTAGGCACAGGGCTATTGATGACGATCCAACTGGTTTTATGACAGCGATTCAGCAAGAATACCCAAGCGAGCGTTGAGCGATCTTTTCTACGATGTTTTGGATGGACAAAACCCTACTCCGACGACTATGGCTACAGCAGGATTCAAGGTGGAGTCTTTAGGGAAGGAATATTGAATGCCTAGCTACTCGTACATCTCCCTCAATAAGAGGTTGAGAAGTTGTATAGAAGATAATCAACTACCCCAAGAAAAGTTTCAGAAGCGCCAGTGTCCCATCGCATGATTGTCTTCCATTTCCCACGCATTGACCTCCAGAGTAATCGTACTCGTAATTTCATCCTGCGCACTTCGCACCAACAATGCTCGATTCATTCCCGTGTCGTCACTTAGTGTTGCGTCGAGAAGAATAAAGAACGTCCCGCTCGTAATCGTAACTTGGGACAAGCATGATGATTCACACATGCAATCATTATCATTATCTACCCATCCCTGCGGGGACCTGTTGATCATCATTGCATAACCCCAAACTCAGAGCCGAGAACATGAGTCAGTCGTGCTGGAGTCCCGGCTAGGGTCGCGCTCGGAAGGAAGCAAGAGCAAAAGTCCGATTGCCAAGATCGATAGATCGCTTCGGATGTTGCCTTTTTCTTTTTCTGCTGCTAACTGGAGCTTGCTGTTTCTGCTGCCAAGACGAGTCGGATTGTCAAGTTCAACTCGGGGTGCATGACAAGGTAGACAGCGCTCATAGCAAAAGCCAAGCTGCTGCCTTGTTGGTGTTGCCAAGCAGCTGAAGCTACACCACTAGACAGATCCCACACCACACCACACCACACCACACCTCACAACCTGGATCATGTCTGCCTACTCGGATAACATCCCCGTAGCAACACATCTCGCCTTTCGCCTCCGTCCATGGCTCTCTGCTTCATGAAATGGCCCGACTAACGCTTCTCTTGTCAAAGCTCGCAACTTCCAGACCCTCCGCCTAAACTGTACTCGCTTCCACAAGACTTCGCACATACATGTACGCTTGATTCCACTCCCTTCTGTCAATCCATAGGCCGCGACTTACCGATCGCTATTGAAGCTGCTTTCGAATATTCCAGGATAGCTGGCTGGCTGTCAACCAAGGCATGCCTCAATCACCGTCACCATTTCCAACCTTCTCCCCTTGCCCTCAATCACCCGCCCCAACACTTGGAGGATTGTCCGTCTCAGTACAGGCAGCATCAGAGGATACAAAGGATGCAAACGGACCAGACACGGTAGCCAGACAGAGACTTTCCTTTGCAGGGCCTGCAGCTAGCGCCTCGCTTCAAGACGTACGACGTGCCTCGATTCAGTTCGCCTCGGGCACCGGTACAGCTACGCGTACTGCAAATTCAAGGCCGATTGCTTTGAAGCCGCAGCGGCGGCTATCATCGCCTCCACCGCCCTCGTAAGTTGTAGCATCTGATCTGTCGTTGAATTTCAAACGTCGATATGAAATGGCTTTGTTATCCTTTCTCCCTTGCAGCATGCATGATATTCGCTTAGTAGCACCGGATACTGTGGATCCTAAAAACCTCTTCCCGTATCCCATTGTAAAGACTGGTCCATCGATGGTAGCCGTCAATTCTCATCTTGAAAAGTCAAGAAAGTTGATTCAAATAGCACAATATGTCACAAGAAGCAATCACTATCAACAATAGCACAGTGCAGCACATATTCAAGTTCCATCCTGAGCACCCATCTGCATCAGATTATCTTGAGAACATGATGCTGAATTGTTTCCTTGATGACAGTACTTATGAGTCCCGCGTCTCCTTCGACACCTTCGACAACAAAGATGCTACAGACCTTTCTTTCACTTTAGTCTCCAAGCATAAAGACTACGCCTATTCTCGTCGGTCTCGCACTTTCCTCTGTGGAACCGATCGTACGTACATTTCGGAGCTGGTTCTTCCTATTGGGTAGTGGATTTGAGTCGCAAGACATGTTTCGGGAGCAAGAAGACCTTTATACTCCCCAGACCTGTCTTGCAACTTCATTTCCCACCTCGAATAAACAATACTGACTCCGAAATCTGCGTAGAAAACGACTACTCGGAATTTGCTCTCGAATGGCTCGTTGAGGAGCTAGTGGAAGACGGCGACGAGATCGTCTGTCTTCGAGTTGTCGACAAAGATAGCAAGATTAGCAGCAATTTCAGCGTGGAGCAAGGTTTCTACAAAACTGAAGCTCGCAAGCTTCTCGAGCATATACAGGAAAAGAATGAAGAAGACAAAGCGATCAGCTTAGTTTTAGAATTCGCTGTGGGCAAGGTCCCGGAGACGATTCAACGCATGGTCCGTCTCTTCGTCTCCTCCCATCCCGTCGCTCTCGATATTTATACACTTGTTTCAGATCAAGATCTACGCTCCAGCCTGCCTAATTGTTGGAACACGCGGCAAGTCTCTGGGTGGCATTCAAGGCCTGCTGCCTGGCTCCGTGAGCAAGTACTGTCTTCAGAACTCGCCCGTTCCCGTAGTGGTGGTACGCCCTGAGGAAAAACGGGAGAAGAAGAAAAAGAAACGTCTTGCCGACCCCAGCCGCCAAAACTACTCTTCCATCTTAGACCAGACAATTGCTAGTGGCAGCGGAGCGTTCGAAAGTCTGGCTCGACAGTCTGGAGGTGAGGCGAGCGAAAATGAGGCAGCCGCGGTGGCGAAAGCAATCGGGCTGAACGAAGGCTCTGGGGCTTGGAAGGGGTTTAAGAAGGACGATGGAGATGGATCGCCGCTTATCAAGACCGTGAGCGGAAGGAGTGATGCTACCAGCGAAGCAGAGAGCCCTAGCCCGACTGGCCCATTGGTACTGGATGAAGCTCTGGAGGACGTGCCCGAGATAGATGACTCGGAAATGTCACTGTTGAGCGATGCCGGTCAGAAACGGGAAGAGGCCGACGATGAAGAAGGCGCAGAGAGCAAGACATCTAAGGAAGTGGATCCTATCAATGACTCTACATTCAGTGGGCCTGAGGAAGCCGAGGCTTGTCAAGGCAACGAAAACGAAGTTTGAGACTGGAAACGAGTCTAGCGGTGATACTGTTACCATGGGCATCTATCATCATAGATCATCCGGGTGGTGCAGTCCCTAGGATTGCCTATAGGAGGAAGGTAGATACAATGGAAGGGAGATCAACATCGTAGCCTTTTGGCACGCAGCACGAACACTATCGGGTCTGAAGCTTTCATTACGAAGACCGACTGATGGCAAAATCAAAGCTGACAATCCAAACGCTGCAGATGTACCTCGCCATTTATAGCAGACAACAACAATTGGCAGGGGAACGTTATGACCTGCATGATCCAACCCTATCTTAGATTCCCCTTTATTTCAACCCCTTGAGTTTCATCACCTCTCAACTTCACCCTTATGTCAATAGCTGAGGATGCATTTAGTTCTTATGACGGGAAAGTATAAAAAAAATAGTGTCTATATTCTTCAAATCAGATCAAATGTCATGAGGAGCGCGCTCATCGCAATGTCATTGCAATACTTTGAACCCGGCTCCGACCGCAAACATCTGGAGCAACATTCAGCCTGATCAAGAAACCTCCACTTTTGCAAAACTTCGAAACGTCAAAGCTTCCATCCCAGCCTATCTCATCCAAAACTACTTGAAAAACATCCATTCTCGTTCGCTTCCAGCACATGGATCCAGCAACAATCATTCAACTCGTCGAGGGATCGCTGAGTTTGGCATTGCAATGCGGCCAAGCCACAAAGACGCTAAGCGACATTGCTGCGAAATACAAGTATGCTAAGCTTACAATTCTCAGCATGGTCCAGGGTTTGGATACCATTCAGTTGGCATGGAGCCAGATTGGTGACTGGTCTCAGAAATATATACCCGAAACGGCCGGAGACGGCGAAGTTCTCCTACAAAGGCTGCAGCGGTCTCTAGAGAACGGCATAATCATAATGGATGCTCTGGAGGGAGATCTAAAACCCTACCAAAGCAATAACCTGAGCTTTATGCAGCGCTCAAAAGCCATCCGGAAACGAAAACACTCTCCGCGGCCACCAAGATCGGATCAGCCACCAGGCGCTGGCTATGACTTGCTTGCTGCAGGCTATACAGCTCAAGTCCTCACTGGCTAGAACCCGACTGATGGACGAGGCGGAGCCTATGCTCCGCAGATCCGACGAGAGTGCATAAAGTATCACCAGTATTGTGCCCTCACGAATGTCCTCACGCGTGTCAAAGTCAAACTATCGAAATTCCACTGGAGGTACAAGCGTTGCGAGTGCAGAAAATGTATTATCGGCGGCTAAGCTTCGAAAATGATCTGTTCACGGCGACAGCCTACAAAAGAAATTACCGGAATCCGCTGATCGAACATCTCTTCACTTCGAGACGATCACGGCCGCTAAAGCCTAATTCGTTGTCAGCAACCCGGATCAAATCCACAGCCCCGAGTCTTGACGAAAGAGCCATAACTCCAAATACTCATGAGAGCCTGCAGGTCCATGTTCAAAAGGAATTTGCCAATGAGCAAGCCAAACAGAGCTACGTCGCTGCCCTCGAAAGCTTGAGTAAGAGTGACAAGGACAAAGCTCTTCTCGAGGCTTGCCGTAGTGGTGATGCAAAGCTTGTTGAATCTTATTTGAAGAATCAAAGGAGCTATGGCGAGCAAAACTATGCTCGAAAGCGCCTTCTGCTGGAAGGCTTGAAAGATGCGATTGTAGTCGGATATCATGACGTTGTGAGGAGGCTCCTAAGCCTTGACATTCCCCTTAACAACCCATTACCGGGGGCCTACGGCTGGGTTCCTCTTCAATTTGCCGCTCACAGAGGCGATGTAGCAATGGCAAATATACTCTTGGAAGCCGGGGCCGATGTGTCTCCCTCGGGCAGCGGCACCACCCCACCCATCCACATTGCTTCACATAGAGGAAGCTTGGAGATCACTTCTATGTTGCTTACTGCCGGCGCTGCTATTGACTCAACCGATGGCTACGGATTCCAACCAATCCATCTCGCATCGACGTATGTAGAGAGATCTGCTCAAATTGCCCTACTCGTCAGCGCAGGCGCAAATGTAGAAGCACTAAACCCTCTCGCACCGTCGTGGCAGACGTCCCCACTCCAACTCGCGTGCCTTACAGGCCAACTGGCAAACGTGTGCGCTCTCCTTGACCTCGGCACCATAATCGACATGGGGCGAAACCTTCTCGACGCGCCACTGGGTATCGCGATCCGCCAACGTCATGTAAGGATCGTACAGGCAGTTTTGAAGCGTGGCGCTGATGCAAATTATGCGTCCAAATCCAAATCGAAGAGCTTGTTCGCTACGCAAAGCGTTCGTCTGGGAGGACCCGGCATGACGCCTCTTAGCCTATTAGCCAAGCATTTCGGTGACGCGCGCAGGAAGACTGCGCTCGATCAGCCGATGCTTGAGTTACTACTGGAGCATGGCGCGGATTTGAAGTCGAAGGATGATGAAGGTAATCAGGTTCTGCATTATCTATGCATGAGCCAGTCCTCGGTGAACCTCGACTTCAGGAACAATGCGAACGACGAGAGATTAATTTTGACGCTCTTGGACCAGGGCATCGACGTCAATGCTACGAACTATCACGGCGAGTGTCCGCTGTTCCTGGCTGCTGTGAACTGCAACGAACAACTCGTTTCTTTGCTCTTGCTGAACGGAGCGAGGTGTTTGTCCAGTGCGGAGCTTTTTCGATTGTCTAAGATCGTGGAAGGGGTTGAAAAGGGACGACCAGATATGCGAGATAATTTTAGGGAGGTGATGAGGCTTTTCGATACAGAAAAAGAGAAGGGAGCGAGGGAGGAAGTGGAGAAAGTGCCGAGACGGGCGTGATGCCGGTATAAAAAAGGACTATAGGGCGACTCAGCTTACAAGGCAGATGGCAGACGGTGGAACGGATGAGAGAAGAAAGAACATGTACGAGGTTTTTTTGGTCTGGTCTTGGAAGCCGCAGAGCCCGCAAATCGTGCTTGTTTTAAGGCTTCAACTTTCAGCACACATGCAATCTCGAAAGCCTTGACCAAAACCCACGTGATAGATGCTTTCGAAAATAAGAGCCCTGAAAAGGTAGTCGAGCAGCTTCTTCTAGAGAAGTTCCGCAGTCTAATTTCCGGCCTCCATCTCTGAGATGTGTGGTGGGCCCGTTCTCAATATTGCAATCTCATAGTCTTGGTACCTATGCCGGCATCCTTGCTTGAGCTTGGTTATTTTGTGTTACACAGGAATAGTACGGTTAGGGGGTGGTAGATGGTCTTACAAACAAGGTTGAACTTCTGAACAGGTCTTTTAATGTTACTCGTTCTCTTCCCACCTTTATTAATTCTACAATCGCAATATCATAGTACTTCATAATTATTGATATCTATTTTATATGTATTTATTTTTATAGAACAAAAGGTACACTATCGATCTATATTACAAATGTATTAGATTGATAGGAGTACCATCAAAGTTGATGTAAACCACGGGGGTTAGGGACGAAGCCGCAAAATGCCGAGCGCTAACTACCTTTTTGCACACGCCAAATCAGCTCTTGATGCTCGTATACAGATGACGGACCGAACATGGATAACCTATTAATTGAAGTTGGACGTACGTTGAAAATTCAACAACTTCCACCGACCTAGGACCTGATGAAGCGCCTAAAAAGTGTGTTTTCTGTCCTCGCAGCAATCACTCATGCTCCCTGACTGCGATGAATGCAAGCCGGGCACCATGCCGGCTTCAACAATAGTCTTCTCTTCTCTTCCTTTCGCTGTCACATTCCTTTTGGTCTCGACATTGGTGCTCCAGAAGCTCTTTCCTCTTCTATCTGGTGAAGCCCAGTCTTTGAAGACCAGCGCGTATGCTCGACCATTCTCTTCCAATGCCAGCCAGTCTCGACCGATCATCAAACGCTTGTCGGCTTTAACCTTTGCTTCCACTGTTGCATTGGCCGCAGTACTGACAGAATTGATACTGTGCGAAATATCCAACACTATCAACGAGGCAGCCCGTGGACTGGCATTCCGAGTGACGATATTGCTGCTTCTTTTCCTCCTCATAATCGCTATACCGTTCCTCGAGATCCACTCGATCATCTCTGCCTCAGGTTATGAGTTCTCAGGAAAAGGCAAGGGAAGGCTCAGGCTGGCATGGGTGTTACAACTGGCTGGCTTCGCGGCATGGCTCGGGGGGTTCTGGTGGAGTGGAGAATGGCTACTGCGTCGGCTTGGCCAGAGTTCAGGGACTGAGAGCTCTCAAAGCCTCAGTGAGGCTTCTCTCGAGCGCATTGGTGTCATTGGAATCTCAGTCATGTCTCTTCTCTCTGGCTTCGCCTCAGTCAGCTCCCCGTGGCAGAATTTTTTCTCGCGACCCAAGCTCGTCACGGAAGCCACCATTACCCGCAAAGCAGCAGGCCTGGAGGCCACCCAGGATATGCTATCTACCAAACGCTCTCGTTTGCGCGCTCTCGAACGCAAGATGTCCGACGCACCTACAGAAAGCTTCTTTCAGAAAGCCATTGGGTCTATTCGTCGCAACCCCGACTCTACAGAGAGACAGGCTCTACTCCTTGAGATATCTGGCCTAGAAACAATGGCCGTTTCCCTTGCCACTTCTCATTCTAACCTTCAGTCTCGCCTTCAGCAACAAAACCGTTCGCGGACGGCTACAGGTCGCCTCCTTCTCACAGCCTCTTACGTATTCTCTGTCTTCTGCCTCTACCGGATTCTCACCACTACGTTGACTGCCATCCGTCGTGCCCTAAGCGCACATCACTACTCCTCGCAAGACTTCAGATCCTCTGACCCTGTGGACAACATACTCGCCTTGCTAGCCAAGCATTACGATCCTCACTTAGACCAGGCCGCTTGGGCCCGGCAGATATCCTTCCTCCTCTCCGGTCTCATCCTTTTCGGCTCAATGTCTTCAGTCATGCAGACCTTTCATCTCTTCGCCCGCTTTTTCCCGAGCTTGCTGAAAACCATCCAGGCCAATCTTGCATTGGTAGTTGCGCAGGTGTCCGCTACGTACGTGATCAGTGCGGCGTTGATGCTGAGAGGAATGATGCCAGGAGCCGTGATTGGCAAGGGTTTAGGTGCTCTAGGGGGGAAAGATGGTGTGGCGTGGGTCGATGGATGGTTTGAGAGATGGTTTCTTGCTGGAGTTATTCTCACAGTGGTAGGGATATGGGTGGGTAGGAAAGTTGTGGGAAGTGATGATTGGGAAGAGGATGAATACGATAACGGGGTTGAATTGGAGGGAGGAAAGAGGTCACGATAGTATTTATGATTGTACGGCATAAAGGACCAGCTGAATCTGTCTGGATGACAGCCCCAGCAATGTGAGGGATTTTTTATGGTGGTATTACAATATTGCATTGATGGAGCGACGCAAGTACTTAACCTGAAGGCAAGGCCCCCCAAAAACTGGAAGTCGAAACATCCCAACGAAGACAAGACCAACAGTAAACAAGAAACTTTTGCCTTCTTTACCGCTCTTCTTGAAGCCAAATTGAGCGACAATCTGTCCCGGGTAGTCGCCCATAATCGATGAGAAAACAAAGAGATTTCCAGCTCCTCGGACTGCCAGCTTTTCCCCCCACAGCTTGTTTACCCCCATGAAGTTGAACTCTTGGTTTTGCAAAGAAAAATACATGGAGCATTCAATCTCCAAACTTGGCCTTCCTGCTTCAGCTACTACGACTACAACATTCCCTTCCCAACCATCTCTTCCCTCTCTTCCCACACCGTCTTCCCACTACATCCACAGACCACCTTCTCGTTCTCCCATACTCCAGCACTCCGAGCCACCACACCGACAACCAAACCATTTCCTCCTTGCTTCTCCACTCCCAACCTTTCGACCACGACTCCCCTTCCCACCATCTCCCAGACCCTCCAGTCTACCTCTCCGACTAGCGACCCTCTCCCAGTCTCATCCACTTCCAGCTTTCCTAAGTCGCCCGTCTTGTCTCCTTCCAGGCCTGTAAATACACCGCCCATGCTCCCAGGAACATTTGAGATATCACCGCTCTGCCGTATGCTCGCCTTATAGCTTCCTTTCGGCAGGCTTGTGAGCGTCATATCCAGCAGCGTTATCCGATCTGACAGTTCGATTAAGCGCGCAAGACCCCGGACTGGCGAGGCTTCAGGCACTGATGGCGGAGTTGGCGGAGGTGGGGTTTCGAGAATGCACACCGCAGCGCTGTTCGCCTTGCCAGAACCACGGAGGATGGCCGCTCGACCAGTGTCTTGGATTGTGGATATTATAGCTGAGGGGGGCGTAGTGGATGTTGTGGTTAGAAGTTGTTTCGGGAGGGAAAAGTCTGTTTCCTGGACGCCCGGAAGTTTAGACAAGGCGCCTGATATATCTTTGATGCAGGCATCGCAGTGCATGGGGACAGAGAAAGTAGCCTCGTAGGCGGGCAGCATCTTTTCTCTCTTGGTGAAGGGCGAGGGGGAGAGGGTGTAGTAGTAAAGGCTTCCGGTTGACAGGCAGGCGACGCTTGTGTAGATACTTCGTTTCAGGAGCAAGTTGCTCATCACACCCTAAAGCTTAAGGTGGATGGAAAAGACAAGAGAGCCGAACTGGATGGAAGGGGATTTGGAGCTTCATGGCGACGGTGGTGCGGAGCGGAGCTGAGCGGAGAAAAAGATTTGAAATCGGAATCGAGCCGAGGGAGCCTTTGGACTCGTTCACCATCACGACCTTACGGCGAAATACACAATCTTCACCGTTGCCAAGCCGGTTCGCTCCTGAACATAGGATCAATTTCTCGTGGGAGCACTGACGAGTTTTCTTTTTGATCCGATTGACCTTGACCCTTTACTCTGCGCGCCCGAGACCTGGCAACCACGCTCCTCGATGCACCGGTGACCTTCAGTCCAACATGTCGCAGACTATAGGCAAAGTATGTGCATCCTTTCCTCCTTCTATGCTGCGCTGACCATCTCTCGCATCAGACGCGCCTAGCCTACTCCCGAGCATGGCACCACGTCTCCCTCTCCACCCCGGACACACCTCCCCTAGGCCGCCTCGCTTCTCAAATCGCCATCATTCTCATGGGCAAGCACAAACCGATCTGGGACCCATCGACAGACTGCGGAGACTACGTGGTGGCTACCGGTTGTACCGACGTGTACGCTACTGGGAGGAAGATGCAACAGAAGCTGTACTACAAGCAGACCACGAGGCCCGGAGCGCTGAAGTCGTTGAACATGGAGGGTATGATGAGGAAGTGGGGAGGAGGGGAGATCTTGAAGAGGGCGGTCAGTGGGATGTTGCCGAAGAACAAGCTGAGGAAGCCGAGGTTGGAGAGGCTGAAGGGTGAGTTCGATTTGGGACTTGCTTGGTATATGGGATGGGTAACGACATGCTGACACGTGGCTGCTTTCTTAGTTTTTGAAGGAGCGACACATCCATACAAAGAAAACCTCATCAAATTTGATGGGCGGCTACGAAGAGAAGAGCCAGAAGTGAAGAGGGAGATATTGAAGAAAAAGTCAATATAGCAGATCCAGAACAGGGGTTTTATTTCGAGAACATTGTTAGGCGTTGCTGGAATTGGAGCTATCTGTACATACAGTTTACCAAAATGTATGCTAATACCCCCCACCATTTCGCCAACTATGCTACAGCTCTCCGTCTGCAATCCAATGACGCCCTACGATACCTGGCCCTGATATGAGGTGCCTGAAACTTTCTACCGCGTGACGGTACACTGGATCAGGCCGTTGGGGTCAGATTGAGGTGCGTATACTTCGGCATCTTTGCCGGTATTCTTCAGCCCCTTGTGCCAACTCAGGTCTTGTGAAGAGTCAGCAAGCAATCGTTGAAAGCAGATGGAACGACGACTGACCTATTTCGAAGTAGTGCTTGTTCGGAAGGGAGTAGTCCACGGCTTCGACTTCGGACACGGCTTCCAGGATCTGCTCACACATCTTATACAAGGTGTTCTGAACGCTCGGACTACTTTCCTTTGCGAAGGTTTCGAGGGTGATGGTTCGAGCGGACTCCCACGCCTTGTCAAATTTGGGAACTGCAGAATGCACCTCCGCAACACTGCGGAAGGTGCTCCAGGTCCATCCGCAGTCGACTTCGGTGCTCAAGATTCGGTTGTAAACGTCCGGTAGGGTCGTATACTCATCCTTGTAAAAGCTGTGGAATGCTGACCCGGTACTTTTGAGCACCAAAAGCCCCGCAATGGCAGAACGAATACTGATACCCTTGCCTTCGTCCGCTGTCGCCTCGACATTCCTGGTCTCCGAGCCATCACGGAAGAAAGAGTGCGGGTGAGGCTCGCCTCCTACGGTCAATCGAGTCCATCGGTGGGTGACAACCTTGACCCAGGCGGAATGGATGTGCTTGTACTTCTCAACGAAATGGGAAGCAACGATTGCTCCGAAAAGCTCGGGCGGCGTGACAGGATGCTGCTTGGCCATGATGTAGACGGTGTTCTTCATGGTGTCTGTTGCTACGACAACGCTGTTGTCTGCTTTTGTGTATCTATTCCCTCTCAGCTGGGAGTCAACTACAACATGTCCAGATACTCACGAAGTCTCGATATCTCCTTTGAGGAGCACGCATACTGTCATCTCTACCACTGTCTGGGTCCCCGTCTTTGCATCCTTATGGACTTTGTAGACCCGGATGTTGTCTTTGCCATACTGGGCTGCGGAAACTTGAGGCATGATTCCCTGGGATAAGAGAGATAAGGAAGGTACTAAAGTTTTGGTGTATGGGGAGATGCTGGAAGATGCTTTTTTTCACCTTGATTCTTTATCTATCTAGGTTGAGGATGGGGAAGTTGCTGAATATATGTATCAGAAGCTGTTGAGCTCGATCTATGGAGCTGGCCGGGGCGAAAGGTTGCAGCACGGCGACCTCCGAAGTCGGAATTGCAGCAGCTATTGGTCCTACGATATCAACTTATCAAGTTGATTTGGCTGCAGACAGCACTAGCAGAATGTGACGAAATATGACGAGAAGTGCCGACAAATAAATTGGTAGAGGAGCTGTTCGCAGGATACTCGTACTCGACTACCTAGACAACCTCATCGAAGGCTCCTTGGCATGTACTTACACTCAGCCTTATGCTTGTGAAGTCGATTACTAAGGTACCTTAAGGCTTAAGGTACCGCGGTGCTAACATTGAATGGGGCTTAGCCCCTCGTCTATTTCTGATCTCTGGCGATGGTCTTTGGCGGCTGGTGATGTCGAATTAAAGGCTAATTAACGGTACGAGGGTACTTCTAGCTTTTTTTGATATCCCAGAGCCATCCCCCCCCCCCCCCCCACCTCAATCCAGCGCTGGATTTACTTGATGTATCAAGGGCCCATCAACGAGCCGAACACTTAGGAATGACATCCACTTTGCTCAAAGAGCACCGCCATTCATTCTTTTGAGTGCTAGGTTCACAACCGAAGTCCACGTCCACCAAGCGTCTTTCGTTTATTCATAACTCTCTTCACTCATTGAGTTTGTCTAACTCTACTTGCACCGCCAGGGGACCTAATGGAATTGCCTCATGGGGGAGTACATTGGTCTGTCGGAGTATGATTGCAACAGAGTCGCCGTAAATGAGATGTAATGAGCCAATTCAATGGACCGGCCTCCTCGGTGACGCCAACACAAAACAACATCTTCAGACATGGCCGCTCGCTTTCCCATCAGGGTCCTGGTGAGACAAACGGTGCAAGAGAAGGACAAGAAGCTCGATCGCTTGCCAATGCGCTTGTCTTTGGGCCCCGGGGTACCTCGCTTGCGCCTTCAGGGCAGCCGCCCGGTAGCTTTAGCTCCGACTTGAAGACCGTATCAACACCTCGAGCTGGGACTCCGAGAGCAGAGCTGGGTGGTTCTACCGGCGGTGACTACTTTGGAATGGATGGAGCAACGTCTTCTGAACAGCGGCAACATGAGTTACGAGACAAGATCAACAAGGAAACAAAAATCAAAATCGGCTCAGAGAACTTGTTGGAGGCCTTGATTTCGAAGAATGCCAAACAGACAAAGGACCAAAGGCAGAAAGTGGAATCTGAGCTCACATCATCTAATCGGAAGCTCCAAGAGCTTAACCTTCAGCTGGAGAATGAGATCGAGCGTTCTAAACGTCCAGCGACGCCCGGTAGAGACCGCCTTTCTGGCCTCTTTCAAGGAAGTCCTCTCAAATCGCCCATTAGGGATGAGAGACTATCACAAGACCAATTTTCTTTGCTGGAACAAGAATCAGAGTCCCCAACATTCATTCTCGCCGAGATTCTTCAAGCCTTGGAATCAGAGGGCATGCAGCCTGACTACTACGTTGATCGAGCCAACAGCCTTGTCGAGTTGTTCAAGAGATACCCGACTCTGAAGTACGATCTTGCCTGGCCTATCTTTGGGCTAAGAGTGCAGACTATGCTTCTCAGTGAAAGTCGAGAGGTCGTCGCCGCAGGCTACCGAGTTACGAGACACGCGATTGCAGATCGGCAATCTCTAAAGACAATTCGTAGCCTGAACACCGACAGTCTCGTGATCTTATCGCTAATTAAGGAAAGCAAAGCGAGCATTGAAAGGGAACAGGCCCTCAAATTTGTCCGAGCATTTCTGGACGTCAAAGAGGGTATCAAGGAACTCTCGAAAGCAGTTATCCGTACTGTTGTTTCCATTGCGGAGCACCACGAAGATCGTCTTCGAAACATAAGCCTTTTGACAATATCCGAGATCCTTGTTCGAGATCCGGCAACCATCGTAACCGCTGGAGGAATAGCCCCACTCGCTGATGCTCTCGTGGAAGGATCGTATCATGGATCGGAAAGCTTGGCTATGAGTTTTCTACATTTGCTAGACAAGCCACAGCAAAGGGTCTATCTGCCATCCGGTCACGAGCTGGAATCAGCGTTCACGCCTTTTACCGATCCTCTTACAGTCCATGGTCATGAGGAAAAGCTGAAGTCGAGCGCAAAATTGCTTGCCGCCATTTTGAAAACATGGCCAGGCCTCTTCACAGCCGTCAGTAAAAATTTCTCAGCAATTCGGTCTTTGCTCCAATCCTTGCAGTACCCTGTGCCAATAGCCAGAGATCTGATTCTAGATCTTCTCTTCGACGTCTTACACATACAACCTCCTTCCTGGACTTCATCTTTTCTGGCAGGCCGCCGATTGACCACCTACGGTCGTGTTGCCAATTTGAAAGCAGACACCACAGAATTACCCTTCAAAGCCGACATTGAGGAAGGAAGCAGCTTCAGCCTTATGGACCACTTTACGGCTTTGCTTCTTGCTGTTTTCATGCAATGTGATCTAGTAGCGGTAATGATTAATATTTACCCTGTAATGGCTTCCGTGACTGACATTTTGTCTAGTCTCTTTCTGAGCTCATTGAGGATACCGATGATTCCATGTTAAGGAGAAAGGCTACCTTGCTTCTGAGTGAGGTCTTGAAGCTTGCGGACCATTGCTTGCCAACTGCTGTCAGCGCTAACCTACAGCCGCTACCGGGACTACTCGAAGAGTCGGTTCGAGAAGGAGAACAGGAAGGTTCGATACCTAGCGGGATGATTTACCAAATCGACAGTGTCAACCGTACTTTGCAGCGCTCCAGTCTAGCATCCAAAGCACAGCAGTCGGCCACCGCTGCTAGGCATGTGGATTTGAACAGCTCCTCCCGGCCTCCCGAGCCTGTGAAGAGCAAATTGTCCGTAGACATAGATGAGCTTCAATTTCGATCTCTCCTATTGGAAACGCAGGTTCTCACCACAGCCAACTATCTGAAATGGAAGTGGGACCTCATTAATGATCTCATTGAAGGACCGCTGCTCAATTCCAAACGTCTTGAAGAGTCGATCAAGGCGAGCAAATTCATGAAGCGACTGATTGGATTCTTCCGACCATTCAAGTACAAATTCTCTGATGCGCGTAATACCAAGCCAAACCAGCGTTACGTCCGCACTGGATGTGCCCTAATGAAAACACTTCTACGGAACCAAGAAGGAATCGCTTATCTGACAGAGAGCAAACTGCTGCGGCAATTGGCTGAGTGCCTTGCCCAGCTGGATAGGACAAGTGGCCTGACAGCCACACAACCGCTTTTCTCTCCCTATCGAGTCTCGGAAACATTGGCCGGAGGGTACTTCGCACTCTTGGGTGCTTTGAGTAGCGATCCCAAGGGACTTCAGATGATTGAACGTTGGCGCATGATCAACATGTTTTATCATATCATGGAGCTAGACGGACGGGAGGATCTCATACGCATTCTTCTCAGCAACATGGACTTCTCCTTGGACAGTCATCTCCGAGTCATGTTGTCCAAAGCGTTGACCTCTTGCCCGAAGAGCGTTCGCATCTATTCCACGAGACTTTTGCGGAAGTACGCAACGTCCTCGACGCAAGGAGCTGGTCAGGGTATGAGTCAGGGAGGTTGCGAATGGGCCATCTGTCTTTTGGTCACGCAACTTTACGATCCGGAAGTGCAGGTGTGTGAAATTGCTGTACAAATCCTGGAAGAAGTCTGCAACCAAAGAGCACAGCTCGAATACGTCGTCAGGTGCCGTCCCGCTTTGGATCATCTTGGCGCCATCGGCGCTCCTTTACTTCTACGGTAAGTCGCACAACCTTCCTACCAAAGATCTCACAACTAAATTATCAGCTTTTTATCTACGTCACTGGGGTATCAGTACCTTCACGGCCTCGATTATATCACCCAAGAAATGGACGATTGGTTTCTTGTGAGTCGGCTCCCACTCCGTGACTACAAACGCTGACATTTAGATAGGGCCGAAATGATGCCTATGTTACCTTGGTAGAAGCCTCACTGTCTCGTGCACTGATGGTGCTCCCAGAGCAACCCAAGTCTAGCACTGACGAGCAACTCAGAAGTCAAGAATACGGGACTGTTCCTCCGCATTTCTACAGAGAGCTTACGAGGACGATCGAAGGGTGTCAGCTCTTGCGAGACTCGGGACATTTCGATGCTTTCGTCGCGAATATCCGGGATAAATGGGGTGAGCATGAGGATTCGGAGACAATGCTCAAGCTTAAAGGCTCACTGTGGGCTGTCGGCAACGTTGGATCTATGGAACTTGGAGCATCTTTTCTAGAAGAGACGGACGTTGTGGGGTGGATTGTGAAAATTGCAACGTCTTCCGAGGTCATGACGATAAGGGGCACAGCTTTCTTTGCCTTGGGCTTGATTTCGCGCAGTCTACACGGGATGGAAATCCTCACAGAGCATGGTTGGACTGCAGCAACTGACCATCTCGGCCGTTCACTCGGATATTGCTTGCCACCGTACCTCCAGGATCTCTTCTCGATGGAGTCTCAAAAAGTATCCAGTTCACCCGATCAAAAGCCACCATCATTGAGGCGAAAGCAGATGACCGATCCCGAGGAAGACCCCATCCAGGCTCGCATTCTCAGCCTAGCCGGCGACCTTGGCAACACAGTGCTTACCAAGAGAGCGGCGAGCGATCTCTTCGGCATCAAAACCAAGGCACCTGAGCTATTCACTTCGGTAGCCCTCTTTCGAAAAATCATGCTCATCCTCGAGGGGCATAATTTCCGCCTTCCCGTGCGTCGTTTTGTGATTGATTTATTTGACAAGACAATCATGAGGCGGATAGTGCTTGAAGAAGAGTACGGGAATGATCATGAGCCTTCGGATGCAAGGAGTGACTTGGTAGGCTAGCAGCACCGTTGACGCGGTCTGCGTTGGACTTGGTGGGACGGCGGCTCGTCACGGCAGGCGAGGTGGGGAAGGATGCATATCTCTTCATTCACATAGCGACGGTGTTACTTGGCGGAACTTATACCCATGTCATTTATGTTCAAGGTACGGTTGGTGATACGTGGCAAAGAATGGATAGGCAAATGAGCAAGCATAGAAGTTGCATATGGGAAGCGGTCAGTTGTTGAAGGGCACGAAGGGGCTGGAAGGGTACTTTGGCCAGGTTATGCACGATGGAAAGTAAGTTAGTGGGATGCCAATTGGCCATCGAAGATCTTTTTTGGCATCACACGCATATGGCTTTTGGGCGTAATTACCGTTTTTCAAAAGGGCTAAGGTACCTTAGGTAAAGTAGGTATGTTTTTTGGGGTAAGATGGCTTAGGTAGGTAAGGTAATAATGCATGTACTCCAATAAACATGGCCAGATGCTGGCCAGATAATTTCGTAGTCAATGCATCAAGGTACAGTACGAGTACGTTACGAATTTATGATACTACACCTCCCTCATCGCGTGTGAGCTAGGGTTCAGCTAAGCTTTAAAGGTATCTGAGCTGGACTTGATCATCTTCGCCAGCCAATCAGAGGGGGAAGTGGGGGCAGAGAACGGGGGAGAGAAGTTAGTTCAGCCGCGGTTAAAGTAGTGTGTCTTGGAAGGTAAGTACTCTGTATTATTAGAGTATGGAAAATAATATTAGTTACGAGTATACTTTATGGTCCGAGGGGTCATGAATTGATCCGCGTCATAGAGAGTCCCCGGTTATCGATTGTTATTTGTTGAGCGATGATTCGGTGGATTCCTCTGCCATTCGTGCACCATAATAAGGCAAAACGAACAACAACGGCTGCATATGTATGAACAGTATGAATGATATGATCTACATGGATTCTTTGCGCCCCCCGCCGGATGGGGCAGCAGGACGACTTCACCATCATCCCTTCATATCTACATACCCTATCGACATATCCTCCGCCCATCCGGGCTAGAGGGGAGATAGAATAAGAAGAAGAAGGGAAAAAGAAAGAAAGAAAGAAAGAAAGAAAGAAAGAAAGAAAGGCGGCGGCCGTGATCCGAGATGATTAGAGTATGTCGTAGCAACGACTCAAACCACCCCACTCTCCATTGGTGCATAATACTTGACATCCCATTCCCTCGGTCTCTTACATTTCTCTCTTCTTCACCAAAATCCTTCCTGCCTCTTCCTGCCTCTACCTGTCTCTGATAAGCTCTGCTTTGTCCTACCATCTCCGCATCCTCTTCCCATTGGACAGTAAAAATCATCCCACACCGACCCGCCAAACCGAGATCGAATCCTCACCGTGTCAGCCTTCACCCTACTGAAGTTGCATTCTATCACCTAAAGTACCATCTGCATACGCAGATACCCACTTGACTCCATATTCTTCCCTGGCCTATCCATCGTCAGTAGGCTCACCGAAGTCTGCCCAGGCCGGCCTACACTGCCCTTCGCGCAATTCACCGGCCCATCACATGGAGGAAACTGAACGGTATAGATGAGTCTTCTCCAAAGACAAGGGGCCCCAAGTGCACCCGCCGCGAATATTCCCCAGGATAGATCTACTCCCTCTACCACCACTGCTATCACCGCTTCCATGGATGCCGCCCCCAAGCAAAATACCAGCACTGTGGACCCACACCGTGACGCCCGTGCCATCGTCCGCCTGGTCCAATGCTCCCAATGCTCCCTCCCACTTCGAACGCCTCTCACGCTGCCATGCGGCAACTCACTGTGTCGGATCTGCCTGCCAGAACTTCACATCAGGACAGGAGTTACATACCCCATGACGGCCAACCGGCAAGAAGGCTTCACGTGCCCATTTAAAGAATGCGGGAGGGACCATTCGTTGGGTGATTGTAGTCAAGATGTTACTTTGGCCAAGGTCATGGATCGAGTGAGCATCGAGGTCGCCCATTCCAGGCCTTTGACAAGCCACACACCGACACTGCTGGACGAAAGGCCCCGTTGGAGGAACGTGGTCGATAGCTCAAAAGAGCCTAAGCATCCGGCATCAAGAATTCTCAACGGGGGACGCTTGGTCGCTACATATACAATGGCGGAGATCGGGGAACTCAAGTATGATTCCGAGGTTGCCTACCAGACAATGTCACCCACAGGAGACAGTTATGAAGATCTGGATTTTACCATGCTAGCCCACCTCAAGGAAGCTACAAAGGCCGAGCTCGATTGCCAAGTCTGCTATGCTCTAATGTTGGACCCTTTGACAACAACTTGCGGACACACATTCTGCCGGAAATGTGTGGCTCGTGTACTAGACCATTCTACCATGTGCCCAATATGCCGAAGGGATCTTCCAATGCCACCCGGTGTTCGAAATGTGCCCGGAAACAAGAGGCTGTCGGAGCTCCTTACTGGCCTTTGCCCGGACTTAGTCGCTGCCAGGGCTGAAGCTGCTGCACAGGAGGAGGTTCTTATGCTTGGGGAAGAGAACGTTCCACTTTTCATTTGCACGCTTGCGTACCCGTCAATGCCCACTTTCCTTCACATTTTCGAACCCCGGTATCGCCTCATGATCAGACGCGCTATCGAAAATGGGGATGGCAAATTTGGAATGCTGATGTACAATCGGAGGGCCGCTCCACAAGGCAACTTGGGCTCTGTTCAATTCCTGCAGTTTGGAACTCTGGTCCACATCAATAGCATCGAAATTATGCCAGATGGCCGAAGTCTGATTGAAACCCGAGGGATTTCCAGGTTTCGGGTCAAGGACTGGGACATGCTCGACGGTTACATTGTGGGCAACATCGAGCGTCTCGACGATATCTCACTGGCAGAAGAAGAGCAGGTGGAAGCGACTGAAACCACCGACCCCGTTCCAGCACAACACGACCTGATAAGCCAGATCGACCACATGTCGACCCAGGAGCTGCTGAAAATCGGCACTGACTTCATCACGAGGATGCGGGCTGCGTCTGCTCCTTGGCTTCACGAGGGTGTCCTTGCATCCTACGGCCCTCCACCAGATGATCCTGCCCTTTTCCCCTACTGGTTCGCCAGTATCATACCGATCGGGGAGGAAGAGAAATACAGATTAATACCTACGACAAGCGTGAGGGAGAGGTTGAAGGTTACAGCACGTTGGGTGCGGCGTATAGAAGCTCAAAGATGGTAAGAGAATCCTCGGTCTCCACTTGCCTCCCACCCTTGTCGCTCGTGTTCGACCAGGGTTTGCTCACTCTATGACCAAGTTCAACATCAAGGGATGACACCGAGTCATCGGACTCTGACGATGAAGGAGGCGTCTCTGCCTCGGACGACGATTCTGTTACGCAGACGACTGATGACGTCCAAGTATAAGTACTAACGCATATGCCTTCAAACAGGGCCTCTAGTACATCATGTACTGTCTTATGACTATTTGCAAGCATTGCGTTGGCATTCATGGCATATCACTTCGCACCATATTCACAGCGATCGTGAAGATAGAAAACAACCAACCTTATGTGATCATTGGTAGCATCTTGAAAGCGCATGGCGTTTGGGCATTGGGGATAGATCGAGAGAACAGAGCGTGGGAAGGGTTGGGAAAGGCATGCCCTCAGCAATGAAACAGTGCACACGGCGTCTATCGTGAGCGGCAATGCCGGCTTTTTGCCACATAGCGAAGCAAAGCATATGTCTCCTTGCAGAGCGGGGACTGGGGGTGGTGTAGATATCTTGACACACAGCTTCAAAAAGGCAGGAAGATAGATTTTACCACATCAACGACGGGCTTAGCCGTGCCATGTGAAGGAAGGCAACGTTCAATTGCGTTCGCTTCAGAATTTATCCGGGCAATCATCGTTATAGCTACAAACAAATAAATTAGGAGCGCTGCCAAAAAACATGGCAGCTGTAGGGATGATGTACCGTGAATCCTGACAGTACCAGCACGTAGGATATAGCTCATTTCCTGTCAAACACTTTTGTTTGAACTGCTCTTTACATCGATTGACCTGGGGAATTTGTTTTTGGCTTGGTAACTATTCATGGACGAGGAAAAATAATTTACGGAAAGACTACCCATCTCCCTACCATGTATCTTAAGTAGAGTAACTATCTTACTGCTCTACCTAGCTCACTCTCTCCAATGATAGCTTTACGTTGCCGTGCAAAGTCGCAATCGAATAATCTGACCAACCATAGCCCACGGGTGATGGCTCGCCCGTTTCCCTCACCCTCTAGACTCCGCAACAGAATATTCCACCTCGCCCTCCTCGACGATCCGTCTGCCCACGAGCAAACCTTGACTTCTCTCTCCTTCTCACGGACCGCCATCTCTACCACAAAACCCGCGCGATACCGCTTCTCCTGATTCAGTCGGTGCGAAATACGTCCCTGGACAGCCATCCCTCGGATTCCTCCAATCCTTACGGGTTGCCGCCTTGAAGAAGTTGGAAATTTACTACCTCCATCCTGCCGACTTCGGCTCGTTCATCGACTTAGGGTAGGAAAGGGATTTGTATTTTGAGAGGAAGGGTAGAAATCCAGCATTCTGGCAATCTGTATCCAAGACTGGATCACACGCTCCGCCTCCAGCCCCTGAGCCCTTGGCGATGCCTCTCTTCTCCCACGGACGTCCACTGCAAAATGCCAAGATCTACTCGCTGGCTCCGCGCGCTGTGCAATCTGAAAGGCTGAAAACAGTCGATTGTAATTTTTCGCAATTGAGACCTCGCGGACAAGATTGATATGATTTCCGGGCCTCAGCGGAGGGATGTTTGGATGAGCAAGAGCAAGACCGATTCCCCATATGGGCTAAGAATTTGGATCTAGTCTTGATGAGAATATCACGGCTTTCCGCACATCCAAACTACATTTCCATGCAGATCCAGAGTGGAAGAGGAAGGATTTGAAGACGCTTTTGGAGGAGATTGAGAGCGTACTGGGTGATACTGGGGCGGCGAGCCCCACAAAATGGTTTGGGGTGGGCGGTGAGGACGAGGAGAATGGCAGTGAAATTGCATGACTCGCATATCACGTTGGTAAGAGGCTGGGAGAGTCAGGAGCAAGGGCAAGCTCTTGCGCGAGGTGCAACTGTGAAGCTATTGTCTACTATCACTGTGCCTACGTGAAGCTCACATACGCGTACTGACATGTCTAGTATCACGATCCCAGCCAACGAATTTCCCGCCAACGCATCTCTGTTCCCTTGTGCCCCGAGAATCCACTTTCTGCTGACCAACTCCATCCAAAATGGGGTCTATGTGGATCTAGGGAATCCTGATAGTCTCGGGAAAATGCTTTACTAAGTCCCCCATATTTTTCGAACGCAAGGAGGAATGTCCGAAATGACAGCAACTGGAATAGGCTATTTATTAATTTCCGATCTCGAAAGCTCCGCCAGAAGTTTGTCGGTTCGACCAATGCCATTATTGCCACTCGAATGCATAGCCTAGAGAACGACAGACCTGTACACCTGTCGGGAAAATCCCAAGTCATCAGAACAAGACCTAGACGCTTGTCTGCACCAGGCGAAAGGCCATGTTCGACCTCGAGACGATCAGGGAGGGCCAACGCGCGTTCAAAACTCGCTCGCACGTTCAAAGCAGCGTAAGCCATGTAGCAGCATATGAAATATATGCCTTATGCTCGTGTGTGACAACATATCCTCTATGCACTGGTGCGACAATCATTGCATGAGTGTCGTAACGAGATTTCCGTGGAACACCATCTATGAACGGCAGTCATCCAATATTCCTGTACCGAAGTTCCAAAGGATTGGATTTTCTTACAGTCTCTTCGCAGCATACGGGCCCGATGGCTCGTCCTGACGCCTTGAATCTTCCGGACCCCGCGGGTAAGGCTCCCTGAAAGACCACTGTGATGGCCACCATGAGCGCTAAGATGCCAATGGTATCGGCTTCGTTTTGGATTCTCAACATCGTGCCCGCGAGGCGTAGTGTCAGAGAAAGTGTGAAAGTCCAAACGGAGAGCGGTTGTAAGCCGTCAGAATTCTGATCAACAAAAAATGATAGTAGCAGCTGCGATGGCGAAGTACAGAGGGTTTCAACCGTTTCTCCGTCCAAGCCGGTGAGGTGCGGAGAACCGAGCGTTCTTCTGCGCGTCGACGAGAGCTCGCAGGAGAGAGACATGCGGCCGAGTCTTGGCCGAGGGGGGGGCCGTTCTGACAGAGTCGAAAATCTTGTTCGCGGACCTCGGGCGACTCGAATTCACCGTCCTTTATATGTGGGTCTCGTCTGCAAGTGATCAATGGTTCTGTTCTGGCACTTTTCAGGAGTTTCAACTCTCGCCAAGGCTTTGTGATTTCTAGCAGCAGACAGTCAAACCTACGTACGGTATGCTTATACCGGTATAAAGCAGTATTAATATAATAGACCATGGTATGCAGTTCGATAGCGGCTTTGGTATATGTACAGCGGCCACGAATCCAAGCAGCCGTTACGATGCCTAATACCTTTCTGCCCGTTCGTCATTCCGTCCCCTCTGAAATTTCCACGCCCACCCCCTATCCACACTTTCCCTATCCATCGTCTCCCTATCCTTCTTCTCCCATCCCTGCGCCCTCCTTCTCGGTTCCCATTCCCTCTTCCATTCGCCCCTCCCAGGCCCAAGAATTCCATCACTGACCTCCTCTGCCGGCCTTCGAGCCACAGCCTCATTCCTTTCACCCTCAAAGCCGTCATTCTCACCCTCCCCATCCAAATTTGGGTGGTCATCACTCCTCCCTCCTTCCACTTCTGCTTCTCTTGGGAGATAAAACCTTCCCGCCCGTACCCTCATCCTCCCCCTTTTTAACTTCATGACTTTTCCCCTCCGCCACACGGCGATGGTGCGTTCTCGTAACGTATGCCGCCAGCATATGCCTCCGCTCTCTGCACCTCTTCTTCTCTTTACCATCAATCTCCTCATTACCAAGATCGAGCACTACATCAATCGCACTAATCAGTCCCCTCACTAGCTCTAAGATATCCTCTTCGTTCTGCTTCCGAGGCCCACCGGGCTCATAAGCTATTAGACTGCGTAGATTCCTCACTCCAAGCTCGCAGCCACGAATAGCGCTCATGATAACGCGCCAATCTCGAGGCTTCTGGAGGAGCGCAACTTGAAGGTACATGCCCAGAGCCTTAGCGTCCGGATAAGATAGGGTCTCCGTCATTATCTTGACCAGCTTTTCCGCATGAAATATCGAGTTTCTATTCTTATTATCCCTGACGCAACAACTCAGAGCGATTCTGAATGTCTTCGTCTCCACACCTGCCTTGCCTGTCAAATCGCCAGATGTCAACTCGTCGACAAGCTCAACGGCGAGCTTTGCGGATCGTCGGAGACGGAGTAGACGTAGATACGTGTGATAATTTTCGCTATCGGGAATGATTCTGTTGTCGCTATCAGGTGAGGTGAGGAGGCCCCAGTAGTTCTGCGCAGCACGGGCACATTTGAGGCGAACACATGCGTCTACTACAAGGGAGAGGGTGTTGCGGCCGGGACGTACGGCTGACTGAGTTGCCCCAGCGGCTTTGGGAAGAGGAGCTAATGGATCGCTGGGCAATTCGGGGAAGTCGTCTTCCTCTCTTGATGACGACAGTACAGTCTCGAGCTCCACGTTGGCTGGTGAACGGGGTAGGAGCTCCAGGTCGTCATTAGGTCCAGAGGCTTCTCCAGCTCTTCCGAGAGCTGGATCGGCTAGTCTGGCTACTTGTCGTGGTAAACCCATTGTCTGCTCGAGTAGCGAAAGGATGTCGTCAAGATCTTGAGGCTCACCGCCAAGCGACAACAATCTTCCCATGGCACAGACGAGTTTCTCATCCAGGTATAGATCTCCGCTCATCCAGCGTTGTCTGACATCCACCCAGATCCTTCGTCCTTGGTGAACTGCTAGCGCTCTTATTTTGTTTCTTCCCGTACCTTCCCCCTGGAAGTTGCTTTTTGCCCATTGGTCTCTTCAATTGCCTTACTCTGTATACCGTTCAATATGGTTGTGAAAGTGAGGTTGTTGGGAGCACCACTGCCACGAGTAGGTAACTCGGCCGCAATGCCTAGGAGGGCATCAACGTCGTGTGCCAGAGCACAGACTTTCAGGACCGCGTTGGTATGAATGATCGACGGCCTGACAGGGCTGTTCTCGGCGAACATGGACTGGTATATTGAGAGAGCACGGGAACAGATCTGCGGATTTCGAGGACACCAGGAGAAGCCGCGGAAGAGTATAGTGAAGGTATAGGCATCAGGCAGCTGCGCACGCTTCTTCATCTTCGGCACGCGTCAGGCTTCAAAACACGGAAATGGTGGACAAGAGAAGAGCTTACCTCATTATACAGCTTGACAGCGTTGGGAACCCTCGCTTTACTCATCTCATAGTCAATGAGATGATTCCAGCTAACGGTAGACACCACATCTCTGCTGGCCAGTCTGACAATGTCCAGTGCTTTCTCGAATTGGTCTTCTCGCAGCAATGTGACCGTGTGGTCTGCCAGCTTCACGGGATCCTTCAGCCAGCGTACTTCGAGTGCCAGTTTTGACTTTTTATCTTGTTCGAATTTGGCATCACTGATATGAGTTCGATCATGAGGAAAAGGTGCCGGCTCGCTGCCTGGCACATGTCGAGTCAAGTAAGCCTCTGTAGCGTAGCCTCGTCGAAGCCATATTGAACATCGAGTTGCTTGACTGGCCAGGAGATGAGGAGGGGATGATGTCAATATGAGCTGGGTACTGCTGAGGCGGGAGAAGACGGTGCGTATACAGGTTCGTATACAAGCGCTGCAGTGGAGCATTGAAGAGGATTACCAAGACTCAGGAGGTCCTGCAGATGTGGAGTTGAGTTTGGTTGGTTGGTTGGGGAGGGTAATTTTTTCGTCTCGAATGGAGCTATTGACAAACGAGGAAAGGGCAAGCAGACGAAGGCAAAACTTCACTACTGAGTACTGGTGCTATGGTAAGGTAAGGTAAGGTAAGATAAGGTACCTGAACCTCGCTCAGCCTTCAGCCGTCAGCCTCTTCAGCCTCTTGAGCCTTCAAACCTTTAGCCGTTAAAGCTGCAAGTACACCGTAGTGGTTCCCGAGTAGTTGGTAAGCTTGTAGGCATATTGTCTAGGAGATGCTCTAGACGGCCTCTAACGTAGACCTCCCTTTAGTTCCCACGGTTGCGCGAGCTGCTTTGACGCGCACGGCGTACACGTACATAAGTAAGGTAACTAGGTAAGGTAAGGTAAGTAGGTAGGCTCATGGCATTGGCATGGCATGGCATGGTATGGCTAAAGCTTAAGCTTCCGTCGATGTATCTCGCATTACTACCTTACTATTACTATTACTACCGCCACTACCACCACCACCACCACCACTACTTTATAGGGCTGAGAAGTATCATCGTTACCACTTCCTCGGGTCTTCAATTCAGAACTTGCCCAAACTACTGGATTAGCAGTAGCTTTGCCTCGATTGAACCATCGCCCTTGGAGCGTAGTCACCTCTCTGTAGGGCAGAGGTGGATTACTGAACACCCAAAAGTATATAAAACACTACAGTCCCCTTGTTTTGCTCACCGCACTGATCTCGAAAAACGAAAAAACTCCAAGGATCTGGACGGCAATTCAGATGCATGATAGCAAGTAGCAACATTAAACATTCAATCTGCTAGTGGCCTCGCTGCTACCATTCTACATACAGTAGCATGCCGTGAAAATTGGAATCGCTTCAAGCCGCCGTCAACGAAAGCATCGCCGCCCAGTCGCGTGCATTTGGTCTGCATCCCATCTATCGGCGCTCTCCGGGAAACAACGAGCGACTCGGGAAAAGATAAGAGCCTCCACCTTCCGTGTATGTGCATGCGTGCTGAGGAAACAAGATTAATTCATCTGGCTGGTCCACCCTGATTCCATCGGCCTCGGGAGCTTGCATTCCTGCATGCTTGCCGCCGGTGAGAAAAACGCACAGCAGAAATCGTACCAGCAAGGAAATGAAAGAACAGTCGTCATCTCGTGCTGCGCAACTCGACTCATGAAGAAGACAACAACATCACAGCCACCCTGCCCAATGCATGATGACTCCGTAAGCTATGACTGCAGATAGCCGCCACCCATCAGGTATTCCTTTCCTCCACTCCCACCTATATGCTTTTGACCAGACGCTTCCGATATCGTACGCGAATTATCGAGGAAAAGGACAACTTTGAGCATAGCAAGCCGATCCCCATAGGAGCATAGTGATGGAGGGTATTAATTTCTGCGCTGCATGTCAGCATCGTCTTCCTGCCCTTGTTGATCAAGGTTGTTCGTACATTTGTTGCCCTTGGCCGTAGGGCGAGTGCGGGTACTGTTGGTAGACCTGGCCGTTCCCCTGAGCCTGGTACATTTGGTCAACTCCACTTGGGTAACCGCCGGATGGAACTTGACCACTGGCTGGCGCGTATCCAATCGGAGGTAGCTGAGGCCGGCCTGGTCCAGGTGGGTAGTTCTGCCCTCCTGGAGGTTGGTTGGGGTCGGCCGATGGTTCACTGCCTCCGTTTGCAGCGCGCGCTCTCTCTTCTTCAACCTTGCGCTGATTGTCTTCTTCCTTTTTACGTTGCTTCCACTCCTTTCGGATTTCTTTGAATTCTATAGTGATGTGTTAGTAGACGCTAAGCTCATGCTAGTTAAGCGGAACCACAGAAATTCGATGGAAAGCATAAGGCTACATGCAACGTAATATAAGGCTTAGGTTGTGTAACTTGACTAGTAAATCCAGAACCAAATCATGGGGAATTTTCGCGATCTAACCAGAAACGCGACTTTGCGACAATCAAAACAAAAAAACACGTAGACTAACCTTCCGGTGTACGCTTTTGGCCATGCGACTGCATCGTAACATGCGCGTTCAAGTGGTTCAGTGTACCGTATGCCTTCTCGCATCCTTGCCACCCACATTTGTACATGCGTTCAATCTCTTCGTAGCGGCGACGAGGGCGCTTGTGTTGTTGAGCACCTGGAATTGGAACAAAAGAGTAGACCTGAGAAAGCGGGTGAGGATTCTGTTCCAAGGTCTAAGTCAAAAGGACGGTGTAAGAGGAATGCGCGCTACTCACCTGACCCGAACGTGGTCCGGCACTGGATGGGGTTCCTTGGGCTGAAGCGCCTGTCCCAGGCGAGCTGTATGGTCCCCCAGGCATTCCATGTGGATGGCCAGCGTATTGCTGCGGCCAGTGTTGAGGGTATCCAGGCGGTGGGTGACCTTGGTAATGACTCATGTCGTGGGGCGCGTATGGCGAATACGGTGGGTAGGTAGGACTTGATGCAGCAATGTTTGGATCTACAGGTACATCCGCGTTAGACTTAATGTGTGGAGGATGATGATGGTCATTCGAGTTTCCATCTTGCAAGGACATGGACGGACTTGTTGCTTGAGCCATACTTCCTGTATTGGCGTGACTGAGCTGTTGTTGAGCGTAGTGTTGACGCGCGACGTATTCTGGATTCAACTTTGCTGGACGCGCCGAAGATGGATTCACAGAATACTCAGACGTTGATGGCTGAGAAGGAGGATAGGTCGAGGGTCGCCCTTCTTGTTGCGGTGGGTACTGCGCGGTAGATGCCGAATCTGGGGCAGTCTCTTAGGATCGGGTTCTCGGTGGCCAAAGCTCAAAGCGGACGTGTGGGCAAACCTGACTGCGAGTATTGGTCGGATGCACCTCTGTCCATCAACTGCGACTGTCGCCAACGATGCATCAGCCTGAGTGCTCAGTGAAAACAAGGTCACCGCCTGTGGAGAAGCGAATCGACTTACAGAATCGCAATAGTGGAACGCCGGTGAGCTTGTTGTGAATAGCCTCCAACTAGAAGTAGTCGGTGTCTTGGTGAGATGTCAAAAATCAAGACAGGACACTAAGACCACGCGACGACGGTGTGGTGTTGAAGTACGGAGCCAAGCCTGGAGTAAGAAAGTGTCGAGCTTTGTCGGACGGCACGAAGGTTTCCGCTCAAACCTCGTGCTCGGCTCAGATTGAACGGGGCCTCGCTGTTGCAAGGGATATGGCGTGAATGAACAACCGTGTAGCTTCAGAACTAATTTTAGAGGCCTTGGCTAGTGAGGCGGTTATTGATAGCGTTGAGGCCAAGTACGGGAGTTATGAAGAGCCCCAGATTTCACAAGCCGTAGTCTTCACACTTGTACAAAGTGAAGTGGTTTAGAGTGGTACGGGATTCCAAGTACTGGTGTGTGAAGGAAGCGAGACTGGCGAGGAAGTGTTGACCGTGGTGAAGCAGGCAAGTGCTATGCTATGCCCGCCACGCGAGTTGTTAAGCTAAGGGGGGTTTTATTCGTGGGGCAAATTATGAGGTTGGCGCTTTCTTGCCGACTTTGACTTTCGATTTGGTGGTACTCGTGAATCGAGGCCTTTGAGGTGAAGGCTCGAATATGGAAGATAGTAGTACTAGGTCGGCGATCGGCAGGATCGTCACCGTGTACCGAATGGTGCAAACAGTTCGCTCAGCACTTGAGGGTAAGGCGCACTTGACTTTACCGCAGAGAGGCAGGATACTCCGGCTACTCCGCTGACTTTTCACTTTCTCACACTTTTCAGACTTGCTCAAGTGCGTGATTTCCCCGCAAATTATCAATTGACAACGACCTTGAAGGTGTTCGATACGAGTTGGATGGGAGATGGCCGGCGGGCAGAATGGGAGGGAAATCTGTCACGCCAACGACACCTGTATTCCGATTAGAGAGGAGGGAGTGAAGCGTTATAATATGTGGCTTCTTACGAGGTTTCAACCCCAGCGTTGCAGTGTTTCGGATTGTGGATGGATAGTAGGTCGCGATCGTGCTTTCCTTTCTGATGATTGATGATGATGATTGATGATGATGATTGATGATGATGATGATGATGATAATGTTGTGCGCGTTTTGACTTTGCCTTGCTGAGGACGCGTTTTTGCTTTGCTCTGCCTCTTTCAAACTCACACTCAACGGGATCGTTCCCTTGTCTGTAAACAAGAGATCAAATCTGGTGATGCTCGATTTGGTATAGGCTGGACGACTGCAGTGGCAGACGCTACTGATGAGGCTATCAGGTAAGCTAGCGTGGATGGTTGGTGTTGTTAGGTTGGGATGAGAATTTTTAGTCGAAGGTCGAAATTACGGTCGCACGCTAAGGCCACTTAGGTCGATCTCAATTTTCGACGTGTGAAATTTGTCTCGGGAAGAGAAAGGGGAAGGGAAGGGGGGGGGTTATCCCTGCCAAGACAACCCGGCCACTCTTCGGCGTCTTACCGACTTTTGGTAGTGAACAGGTGGCTAAGATAATGGATGGATTGAATTGATGGGATGATGAAGGCAAAGGCAAATGCAAAGGCAAAGGGCAAAGGGTTTCAGCATGTGTGGTGGTGTGTAAATAATGAATAATGTGTGAATTGTGTGTGTAGTATCGAGGCTAAATGAGAATCCAACTACGAAGAGATGCGGCTAGAGTCTTAGGAAGTATGCAAGGCTTTATAGCGACAACCGCTCGCTCCAGGTGGGATCACGGCCAGTCATAGGGGGGTTATGCTTGGTGAATGGTGATTGACGAAATACTCGTCTGACTAATACTTTGTGGGACTGGCGCGTAATGAGGTCGAGGGATGAGTTGTCAGTGGGCGAAGGTGAAAGTGGCGTAATTAATTTGAGGGATGGCTAGCAAATGGGGTGACAGCGCATCCTCTTCCACCTTCTCTTTCAGGCCCGCAACTCCGATGCATTCTGTCCACCTTTTTCATTGGGGAAGTGTGAAAGAGGCGGTGGGCAATAACACTCATTTTATTTATGGCCAACTGCATAATGATGATTGGGACAAAGTGAAAGAATGGCAAGGCAGAGGAAAGGCTCAGGAAAGCACCGAAAGTATAAAAAACAAAAAGAAAAAGAACAGAAAAAACAAAAGAAAAAAAAAAAAAAAAAAACAAAATAATGGCAAAGGCGGGGCAGGAAATCCTGTGGTCTGCTTCGGCTCTCGATGCCGTCTGTTGGAAAGCGCTTCAGAGGACAAGTTATGATTGGTCTGCTCCAGCGCATAGACTAGCAATTCTGACCGATGGTCGACAAATCATGGTCATACTCAGCGTCTGGACTGCAGGATCATTATTGTTCAAGATGCCTTTTCATGCAACCCAGGAGGACTTGTCACTGTAAGCCCACCATTCACGCCGCAGCCTCATCGGCTGGCTATCTGGTCTTCCCAGCCTACGGAACTAAGGGCTGAAGATCTTTGGCCGCAACGGCCGAATTTAGACAAGGGTAATTGCAGGCTTCTATCTGCCTTCCGAAGGAGGGGACCTCGTGCTCGACGCATGCTGCAATGCAACATCATCATTTGCTCTTCCACATGTGGGGCGGGGCGTCTTAATCCACGCCACCGTCAAGGGCAGAGAGATCGGGAAGCCTTCGCGAGGTCGGATCTGTGTGGCTGGAAGCCGTTGAACGTGGGGTCTTGGTCGGAAATAACCGTATCTGAAGGAAAAAACAATATATTGGAAAGTATATCAAGGCACATGACGACGACGAGATTAGAAGCGGCAACGAGAAAGCTTTTACGGCCATAACAGAGAGATGCGAAGGATCATGGAAGAAGTGTCGTGGGATTTGGATTTTATATCGCCATTTGTAGCACGTTGTCGACTGCGGCAGCTACAATACTAGCGGAACCCAGCATTTCGGATGACCGTTTTCCTGGGGTTCTCCTAAGGCACACGACCGAGTCACCGACCATCTAAGATCCTTGGCCTCGAAGAGTAAAGCTTGAGGCTATGCATGGACGCTATATCTGAGCCTCTTCTTGAATTGTTACCGGCGTGTTCTACTTCAACGCAAAAGGTTCCTACAACATCGACCAAAATTATACACACATCCTTTTCTGGGACGGCAAATAATTTCGGCCTGCTGAACATGAGAGGGTCGAGGGGTCCTTGATTGCTTTACGTAATTGATAAGGAAGCGGAGATACAAGACTGTGTGCATCCTTGCCATTTTGCGAAGCCTGGGCAATTCCCGCCGAACAGTGAGTGGTTGGATCAAAGCGCCTGCATGAAACCACACAAGATCGAATTCGAACCGTCATCGACTCCTGCATATGAAGAGCAGCGAGGCTTTTCGCAATAACTTTTTAGATCTAGGCTTACGTGTCTCGCGTATCATATCTGTAGCAGGAAGTTCCATTGATTATCTGATGCTACGGCCATTGGGGGCCGAGCCTTGTCTGAAAGAGGATGGAAGATGCGATGTCGAATACGAACAACGATAAATGTTATCGTCGCCAAGAGGTGGAGGCTGGAGAACATTCCAAGCATTGGTCCTTTGTTAGGCAAGGAGACAGGGGCGCAGGAGCCCAGGCTGTCACAAGGTCCGTTCCTTCTGGCAGCTTGGATCGCTGATATAACGACAATGACCTGAAAGACGTTGAACCGTGGGTGGCATTCGAGTTCGCTAACACGCCGCCGAAAGGACTGGACCTACAGAGAGGGAGTGTTTGGCAAGCAACGCAGCCTAAGCCGACCTGTCGACGGGCATAAGCATCAGGGTTTTGAAAAGAAAAGCTGAGGAAAAGCTGGAGAAAAGCGACGAATGCAAAACTGTACTAGGACGGTGGATTTTGGTGCGCGTCCGCTTACCTTAGGCTATGTTGAACACCGCACTACCTTAGCTCGTCAAATCCACAGGAAGAAAAGTACAAAAGCCGGCACCTCGATCAAGGCCAAGTTGCAATGGCATAGACGATCTAAAAACTGTTCACTACACCTGATGATCAATCTACTAAACCATGTTGTCGTTTTCTAAGTTAGGGATGTCTATGATAGCACTCTATGATGTTGGCTTTTGAGTCTGCAATGACTCACATCACCACTACCGCCATAAAGCTTTGAGCTTTCATTTTGTGCAATTCTCCTCCAACTAATCCACGGACGCCTGCCTTAGCTGCTGTAGTGATGCCGGAAAATACAAATGAAATCTAATGAGGAGATGCCAGTCGAACGCCAGTCGGAGGAGGAACGGGCATGAGTCACCCTGAGGTGACGATTTGAAAGGTTGAAGTACTGTAAGTCGGTCTGAGTTGATGATAGTCGGCAAGCACCAGAAATTCGGTGAGATGTGTTATGACAAAGAGGCACCTGCCGGAGCCGTCGTCGATAAGTGAGGCAATTACCAGCGTCGACCTCCACCCATAGGTGCAGCGTTCGAGCTCGTGAAACCTCCACGTCCACCTCCGCGACCTCCACCACGACCATAACGACCACCCCCTCCGCCACCACCGTAGCGAGCCATCTCGTGGAGACGAGGATCAATTTGCTGCTTGGATTCTGTGAGAACAGCTACTAGATCGCGTGCCTAGTCGAACCTATCAGTACAATTTAGGATGCGGGGCAGGAACATTGAGCGCGCACCTGCTTGGAGTCTGTAACATATTGGTCAGCATTTGCTGCCTTTGAGATAAAGCAGGAGATACATACTCTCAGTTGTGAATAATGTAATGGCAGTACCCTTCGATCCAGCGCGACCAGTACGCCCAATACGGTGAACGTAATCTTCCGAGTTGTTGGGGTAGTCATAGTTGAAGACATGAGTAATGTTCTTGACATCTTCAATGGGGTTAGCATTCAACAAAAGTCATGACGAAAAATGATGTCAATGTTAGTCGTGAGGCAGTATGCATCTGCAAGACTCTCTGCATAGCTCTCTGCATGGAGACAACATCTCATAACAACCTGGTCCAAAGCGTGGCAAGTATCATGGTCCTGGATAATCCTGGGGAATGCAGCTTGAACAAGTCAAGAAAAATCCAATCCGCCTCGGTACCCTGATGGTACATAACGAGACGGAATGAAAGATGTAGCAAGCCACACTGCAACGGATATCCAAGAGCTTCTGGCTGGATAGCCAAAAGAAATCATGATGAGCCTGGACCAGAAAGTAGCAGCTGCAGCGCGTACGTCTGCAGAGAGCAAAGCTTCACAGAAACAGAGCCACACGACGTCAATTGAGGAAATGGGAAAGGAAGGGGGAGGTGCAGATCGGCGGTCAATCATACCAATACCACGTGAAGCCACATCAGTGGCAACCATGATGGGGCTCTTCCCCGTTTTGAACTCATTCAGGACCCAGTCGCGCTCGTTCTGCTGCTTGTCGCCGTGGATTGCTAGACCAACGTCAGCTACGGATAGGCTGGAAGGGCGAGCTCAATCAACTTACACAGCGCTGGCCATCCGTCTTGTCGCAGAAACCTAGTTATCTCGTCTGCTACACGCTTAGTACCTGTAAAGAGCAAGATCTTGGAATCTCGGTCTTCCATGATACGCTCAAGATGCTTGGTCATCTTGTCACGTTTGTCGAATTCAGAAACAATTTCAACGATTTGGGTGATACGATGATTAGCTGAAAGATCCATGGATCCAATATTGACCTGAATGTAATCTTGGAGGTAGTCCGAGGCCAGTTGACGGACGTCCTTAGGCCATGTTGCAGACCACATGCATGTCTGACGGTCCGGACGAATCTGGCCGATGATTTTCCGGATCTGTGGCTCGAAACCCATGTCTAACATGCGGTCAGCTTCATCGAGGACAAGATAAGTGACACGACGAAGATTAGTCTTTCCAGATTCCAGCATGTCGATAAGACGACCGGGTGTAGCTATGCAGACTTCGACGCCTTTGGCGAGGTCCCGAATTTGGCCACCTTTGGGGACACCGCCATAGACACAGGTGTTGCGGATACGGGAGGATTTGCCGAATTTGGTCATCTCCTGTTGGATCTGCACAGCTAGCTCACGGGTAGGTGCCAAAACCAGTACGATGGGTCCATCACCGGGAGCGAGGAGAGGCTGAGCATTGATGTGAACTATTCCAGGCAGGCAGTATGTCAGAGTCTTCCCTGATCCAGTCTCTGCGATTCCAACCACATCACGTCCAGAGAGCGCCATAGGCCAGCCTTGAGACTGGATGGCTGTGGGTGCAGCAAAACCTTGAGCTTTTACCTCATCCATGACATATTTGGGGAAACCAGCCTCGTCGAAAGTGTGGACAGGTCGGGGTACATTGTTGCCTTGGATAGTGATCTCCTTGAGCTTGCGGAAGTCTGCGACTTCGCGTTCAGAGCGAGCAGAAACCTCGGAATCCTCCTTGTAAAAAGACTTTTCGAACTTTGGCATTGTGGATAGATCTATGCCTTTGTCAGACATAGTGCTACCAAAACAGGTAGTAATCATACCGAATGACTGAATCTTCAGATTGGCGCCTAGATTCGACATCTTGTCGCCACCTGCACCTCCAAAGCTTGCTCCTCCTCCTCCGTAGCCTCCTCCTCCGCTGTAACCGTTGGTCGATCCACCGTAACCGCCTCCGTTTGAGAAGCCGTTTGAGTAGCCGTTGCTGCCACCTCCAGAGTAACCGTTGGTTCCACTGTACCTCGAAATCATGTCAGTGAATGTCAACACCTAGCCACAATGACGCGGGACAGTAAGTGATGAGGAAAGGAACAGCAAGTGCCGAGAGAGAGTGCAACGACATGTCATGCAGGGACAACTTAGACTGCAACTTCTAGACCTTGGATAATCATACCCGCTGGAATAGGCTGTAGAATAGTCTCGACCTCCTGAAGTTCCACCCGAATTGTGGCCTGGATAGTCATCGTACCCATTTGAGTATCCTCCCCCTCCTCCACCACCACCACGGCTACCGCCATAGCCACCACCGTACGACATGTTGTCGGTTGTTTATTGATCCAGATACACCAGTCTCGTGTCTGTAAGAGAACAAGGATAGAAAGAGAGAATACCGAAACCAGGATAGGGGATTTGTTGATGGTGAGGGTGAGGACGAGATGTGGTGACAAGGATGAAAATTTCGTTACCGATGAAGTTGAAGCCAGGGCACGATTCAAAATTCTTTAGCGCCCTTCTGTTACCTAAGCAATCTCACTAAGGTACCTTAGGTACCTTACTTCGTGCCAAGACAAAGACTCATCTACTCGAGTACGTGTGACGAAATAAATTGTCAGTTTGGGCAGGCTGCAGGTAAGAAGAGACTTGAGAGACGTGTTCCACGTTCACAATCCATTTTTATTGTAAATAAAAGCTAGCTTGTTTACCTAGTCATTGAAAGCTGCATGCGCTGTCAAAGATGTATGTGCGAAGCAAAATATCATCTCTCTACGGCTAGTCTAGGAGTTGCGTCTGGGGTCCTTTCCTTCCCCAAGATAGTAGAAAGCTCCTTGGCCATTCTCTACCTAAGAACAACCTCTGTGTCCACGGTCATGTAGCATTTACCCCCAAGCATTGCCCGACCTAAGGAAGTTCCAAACTTTCAGCATCTCTCCATACCTGTATGAGGAGGGGCGCCGGACGTCACGAACTAATACTCCACCACTCCGTAAACCACTTTCCCACAGGCACTTCCCTCCTTTACTGTCCATGTGAATACATGATCAGCCTCAGCTCCTCCAGGAAAGCCTCGATTATGCTTCGATTCTTGGAGTAAACTTTCTCTTGTGTCTATCTGGAATCTAGCATAATGCACCTCCAGCACCATTTCTAAATTCTTCAAGTATTTGGAGTGTCTTTAGGTTGAGGCCCAACTCGTTTGTCAAGGCTTTATATCGAAACTTGTTCCACAGCCACAGCTGCTTGTAGCGGCTGGATTGCCCACTATCTTGAATTGGCTTCCAATCAGCTCCATAGTGAAGTCAACCTGACTCCCCTTCAGCAGCTCCAGACTTGGCTCGTCCATAACCACCTTTGCCCCCGAAAAATCGCTCGACTCGAATATTGTATCATCTTCGGGAGATATTGCAGATGTGTTGGTAAGAGACATAAGATATTGAAAGCCGTGGCACCCGCCGGACTCGACTGTGACTCGTAAAGCAAGATTAGGATTGGAGTCCTTGGACATGATTTCTTTAAGACGCTGGAACCGTTATTAGTAATTGTAGTGTGATGGGGTAACGAATAATGAAATGAACATACGTTTGCAGCACGTGCCGTGATATCTATGAGCATTTCATTACCGTATTCATCTTTTCGAGGATTTGCAGTGACTACTGCTGCTTTGGCAGCGGTCGAAGCGGAGAACATGCGCCGCTGTAATGGATGGCCCGGGCTCGCTGGGGCGGATTGAAGGAGAGGTCTGCGACGATGTGATATGGTGGAAGCATGATGCTTTTTCGTGACAGAAGATGGTAGGAGGAAATCGGGTATGGATGCGTAAGAATGTTGACTGGCTGATAAATGTCGTTGAGTATTTGCGTTAGATGTGCTTGCTGTTCTAGCAAATGCAAGCTCGTGCTTTGCTACCCAAACAAGCGGCCGCAAGAGCGTTCGAATTTCCATTATTGTAGGTGCAGCAGTAGAAGATTATGCTGAAAAGAAATGTTTGGGTCAACGTAGGGACGTATTGATTATTGGCCACTGCGGGGCTAGCGATTCTGCCGACGCCAGCGGAGGTAACAAGCCAAACAAAAAGTACGGCAATCGAAGTGCAGAGACGGTTCAAAGAAGTCATATGTGAAACATAGACCTCGTACAACAGTATTTCGTGCTCATATTGTCAACGTTCGAGAAGGCTCTACCACTGCAATTGCCACTTCTTGCTGATAGCGCGCCTGAAGCTTCACCCCACCTCGCCCACTTGTGGCTACAGCAATGTCTGCTACTCAACCAGCAAAACTAAACGGACGAGAACATGCAGTCCAGCTTGATGCCAAAGATCCTCTGAAAAGCTTTAGGGGAGAGTTTTTAATTCCAACCAAAATCGAATCTGGTATGAGTCTCCCTCTTTTGGAGCCAGCTCAATATACTCATTGACAGCTTCAAACAGTGACGATGGCAACAGACCTTGCATTTATTTTTGCGGGAACTCGTTAGGACCTCAGCCCAAACGGACTTCCAAACGCATAGCCTCCCACCTCTCGGCGTGGGCAACGAAAGGGGTGCTCGGTCACTTCACAGAACATGAAGACTCTGACCTTCCCCCCTTCCTACATGCCGACGATGCAGCTGCAAAGCTTATGGCTCCTCTTGTGGGTGCGAATACCAGCGAAGTCGCTGTCATGGAGACGCTGACGGCCAATCTACACCTTCTGATGGCAAGCTTTTACCGGCCAAATCAAGAGAAATACAAAATCATCATTGAAGGAAAAGCATTCCCGAGTGATCATGTATGAAACGTTGGGCCTGCTCTTAAAGCATTTGTCGGCTATCTCTGACATGACTTCAGTATGCTGTGGAGTCCCAAATCCGGCATCACAACTTTGACCCAAAGCAAGCCATGGTACTCATTGAACCGGAAGATCCCACAGCGGCAACTATATCCACCACCCATGTTCTTTCCGTCATCGACAAGCATGCTTCCACCACAGCTCTAATTCTTCTACCTGGCATTCAATACTATACTGGCCAGTACCTCGACATCAAGGCAATCACTGCCCACGCCCACAAACACGGTATAATCATAGGTTGGGATCTTGCTCATGCAGTGGGAAATGTAGATTTGCGGCTGACAGAGTGGGATGTTGATTTCGCAGCTTGGTGCAACTACAAATACGTCAATTCAGGTCCTGGGGCTATTGGTGGACTATTTGTAAATTCTAGACATGGACAGGTAGATGTCTCTGCAACGAAAAACGGCGCGGATGGCTTTCGAGACAGATTGTGCGGATGGTGGGGGGAGACAAGGCAATGCGATTTGCCATGGGTAGCGGTAGGTTATCCCTTTTTTTCCCCGGCTTCTCGGCCGCCAGTCTCTCAGATAGCTATGTTCTGCAAGGTCACTGATGTGCTCGTCTCTCAGATTTCATTCCGATTCCTGGCGCCGCTGGGTGGCAGGTCGGTAATCCCTCGGCTCTTGCTCTCACAGCTGTCATTGCTTCGCTTGAAATATTCGCCCTTACCGACATGGCCACCATCCGGGCTAAATCGAAGACCATGACTGCGTACCTCGAAGACCTCTTACTGCACCCGCCTTCGGCCAACAGCCACTACAAGAAACACTTGCCTTACCAAATCATTACGCCCTCGAATCAAGAAGAGCGAGGCGCTCAACTAAGCGTCCGTCTAGAGCCAGGGCTACTTGAGGGTGTCATGAGGTTTCTAGAGGATGCTGGCGTCATCGTGGACGAACGTAGGCCGGATGTGATCCGCGTTGCCCCAGCGCCGCTCTTCAACACCTTCAATGAAGTATGGGACTTTGTCACCATCTTCACATCGGCTTGTTCAGAGGCACAAGCGGGTAGGGTCCATGGCAGTCAAGAAGCTGCAGCTTTAAAAGGGCGAGACCAGACGGGTTGGGCCGAAATCAAATAGACAGGGTCTTGAAGCGAATGTGCACCAAGAGTGACAGTTGCTACGGTCCAAAACGCCAAAGCAAGCAGAGATTACAAGGATGGACCAAAGTTGGTACTTTTTCGAACACCCTGCAAAGATCGTCACTCAACAAGAAGTGCCAAATCGGTTGGGGTGAAAACTCTGCATGTGCATGGAAGAGGACCTATCAACAAATGAGACTGCAACTCTTGCTGGCTTGACTGGTTTGTTGCTTGTCGACAGTCAAGAAAGAGCGAGCCATAAGCGATGAGTATTACATTCTTCGACCACAGCTTATCGCTGTATATTGTAATATATTTGTACATCATTGTCACAAGCAATAGGAACTGTATACCTGCTTGATGTCGTGTCCTATGCTGAAGGCTTGGTCCCGTTGTGCTGGCCCATCCCTCAAGCTAAGAGCGCTGGAGTTGTGGGTCGAGGACGACACGAGGCAATCAGCATGACTCCACCAAAGACTCGGAATTTTTCTATTCATTTTCGGAGCAAGCTTTTCTAATTTGGGACCACTTTGCGAGTTGCAACACCCGTTCCTGGACCTGAAGGTCCATAGTCGCCCTTCGAGCTGTCTCACTGTATGGGTTCTACCTCGAAAAACTCGCGAAAGAATGGGGGTGAAGGCTGATAATGTCCTTTCGAGCTGTTTCAACGTTGGGGCTCTACTCCGGAATGGTCTTATTGTTCGGGTTTCTACCCTGGAATCTCCTTGGACGGAGGGAACGATGGAACCATACCGCTTTTGGCCAGGCTTCTTGGGACAGCAGAGCAAAAACTGGTGGTTATCTATGGTGGAGTAGTGCGATGTGAATGTGTGAGCCTTGATGGTGGACGGTTTCGCTCCAGACTGAGAGCATCGAGTATCCGTTTTGCTAGTAGGAGACTGCGAGATTCCGCGGTCGAGCTGAAAAGTATCAATCGTCAAAAGCTAAAGCAAGAGGAAGTTCCCCAGGATGGGAGGTCTCGTAGTTGCAACTGATGGTGCGATGATAGAATTGGTTTCGAGTGGATTGTGGATACAGATATGTGCGTGGTGGCGTATTGGCAGGAACACGTTTAGGTATCCGTACCCAGGACAGCTTTGAAAAGGATTGCTGTTGTTGTTGGCGGCAGATGTTCGCTGGGTGAGAGACGGGGCGAGACGGTGATGATTCGCAGAAGCGCGCTATCACGTGATTCTTGGCATTTGGAGAAGGGCTACTTCTAGACTACACCAACCGGCGCCCCTCTTCCCTCCCAACCTTTTTCTGCCTTATTCTGCCTTACATCTTTGCTCGTCAACGTCTTCGCTATTATTGGGGGAGAGGCTTTTCTTTTCTTTGTACTCTCGCTTCGTCGACGTAGCTTAAACACTTGAAGAATGAATGGTAGAGCGTTTGTACCGCCCTGAGCAGCGGGCTTGCTTGTCGAATGTCGGCGTTGATCAGAAGCGGGAGGGTGAATTCGCGACATGGGGATAGAAATGTAATTACAAGTACAGCATAAAGTACGGTAGCTGTCAAAGATCAAAGTGGCATCCCTGTTGATGCAAAGCATAGATTACTCAATATTAACATGCCGGTCTTCTCTTCTTCCTTTTCTTTCTTCTATACATACAGGTACCTACAAGCTGTTCCGAGGTCCCGAGCGTCGTTCTGGAAGCGCCCTGTTTTGAAGCTAACCGGGTTTTGAATCTGACTTCTTCCAATCACAATGGCGAGCGCCCTGATTCAATGCAAGCTCTTAGAATCTGCATGAGTAGCCTCAAAATGTACTCCAGTCTCCAGAGTCCAGACACCGAATCCTGTTTGATCTCTACGCGCTGACCCTCTTGGTACGAGGTAACTGTTGACTCTAAGAAGAATTCTCCACCCTCCTCCTCCTCCTCCTCCTCCTCCTCCTCCCCCCACCCCCCACCCGTTCCTGTTAATGACCCTGATTCCAGCCTCTTCTTCTTGCAATAATCTTCTAGGTTTCCTTTCTCCTGGGTCCTTGCATGTCTAACATCTCGCTTGAGATTCGTCATCTTAGCTGCATTTACTTTGGTGCGGCCACTTTTCGTTGCCGAAGCGCTCGTATTTCAAATTGATCCTCCGGACTTCCTTCCATGCAAATTGCCGATCCTACGTGCCAAAGTACATAATAATCCATCTTCGACTTCATCTTGATCCATCCGTGCTTATAGCCTCCGGGTGCTTATATCCTCCGGGCGAAGGGACAGAGGTCCTCGCCGAAGACGCTTACACAACAAGTCTCGGAGGAATCAATCACTTACAGCAGCTCTCAACGAAGAGCTGACGCCGATCGGAGATTGTGTCGGCAGCAATGTCACTGAAGCAGGTCAGACTAAACAATCCGTTGAATCGCACCTCAAATCTCACGTCATATCATCAATACAGGAAATCGAGACTTGGGTCGAGGCAATTGCTTTCTACGACAACAACGACTTTGACTCAGCGCTGAGGACCTTCGGCAACATCCCGGATACAGCAAAGATACTCTTCAACTGTGGGGTCATACATGCTACGCTGGGCGAACACAAGAAAGCGGTCGGTATCTCAAGAGGCTGTGTGTATGAGTTGGCATGAGATCTGATGTGGTGATAGGTCCAATACTATCAACGGGCGATCCATCGGGACAATTACCTTGCAATTGCGTACTTCCAACAAGGCGTTTCGAATTTCCTGATTGGTGATTTCGAGGAGGCAATGGCCAACTTCAACGACGCGCTCCGCTTCTTGAGAGGAAACAGATTCATCAACTATGAGCAATTGGGCCTGAAGTTTAGACTGTACTCGTGCGAGGTACTGTTCAACAGGGGACTATGCTCTATATACATACAAGAAAAAGAGGCTGGAATGGAAGATTTGCACATTGCAGCCAAAGAAAAGGAGAAACCGGATCATGATGTTATTGACGAAGCTATTGCGGAGGACGCTGAGGTGACTATTCAGCCAATCGATATGTTTAGCATTGGCTCATACTTGAAAGGGCTACACTGTCTTCTCCATTCCCGTCGGGGTAATATACCGGCCAAACGCTGCCAAAGTGAAAAATCTGAAGACTAAAGACTATCTGGGGAAGGCAAGATTAATAGCCGCGTCTGAGCAGGGCAATACTCTCGCTGGGTCAGCGAGTGCCGACACAAAAGCACAAGCAGCTGCAATAAACAGAAGCGTGGACGACCGTCCCCCAAACACCATATCTTACGGCGCCTCCCACATGGTGAAGCCAAACCTATACAGCAGATCAAGACAGCAATCTGAACCACCAGTCCATCGCAACATGTTCCCACCCACACCACCACCAGAAAACGACCAAATCCGTCCCGCTTTCATGGTAGCTTCAACATCTCCACCTAGCAACCCACTTTCTCAATCTCGAGCATCCACTCTCACCAATACCCCGCCCTCCAAGCCCGTCCGCCCCGAACCTCTCAACCTCGAAGCAATCACCCAAGAAAAGCCCCGCATAGGCACCACCCGCACCGCCTCCGAGCCTCGCGGCCCCTCCTCTCGCCGCCTACATATCCACCGCGAGCGCGACCACTCCGGGCGGCCTCGTTTGTTTGGGGAAACCACCCCTCACCGCCCGCATTCCTAACGGCGATGAAGCGGACCTCGACGAGTATCCCGAGGAGCTCTATTCAATGGACCCGCGCACCACCCGCCAGCACAGCTCCCCTCAAAAGCCTCGCTCTTCGCACCATTACTCCTCTGATACCGGTAGCCAACGGCAGCGGAGGAGCGGCCGCTCGAAAAGCAGGCAGAGGAGAGAGCATTACAGTATAGACGAAGAGCCATCTGAAGATCCCGGCACGGCATCTACGACGTCCTCGCTCGACGAATACGAAATCCTACATAACGCCGGTGGTGGGCTTTCTCGCCCTCGCGGCCAATCCAGCAGCAGAAGGGGCACCTCCCACTCAGGTCAATATGTCTACCGATTGAAGGACGTAAGAGTGAAAGTCCACTGCGGGGATGATGCGAGGTTCATAATGCTGACGCCTGATGTGGCGTTTGCCGCCTTCGTGGACAAAGTGAGGGAGAAGCTTCACCTGAAGGGTGGGTTCAAGTGCAAGATACAAGATGAGGGCGACTTGATCACTATGGGGGATGGAGATGATTGGGACATGGCCATGTCGAGTGTGAGGAAGGAAGCGAGGGCGGAAGGGGTGGAGATGGGGAAGATGGAGGTGTGGGTTATCGACGTTGCATAGTGGGAGGGAAGTCTAATGGATATAATAATGGTTGACATGGCGAGGCACTTGCGGATAGCCATGAGCATCTTCCTGTGTCTAGGCATTCTCTTCTCTCTAGCATATTCCGTCTAGCATATATACCACAACAACCAGAATACTCAAGTCATTGGGGCATCTTCCACAACCTTAGTAGTAGCAGCACGCCAACCTCCATGGTCTCGAAGCATCCCTCTGTCAAGACTCTTTGGCCGTTCCTCCTCCATCTTGGGCCTTTCCATATACGCTCCTTTTCAATGTCGACGGAAAGGGTGGTGGCAGCCTCATGCTCAGCGAATGAAAATGATTGATGGGCCCATTCCCATGCCCCAGATCGAAACTCGTCTGTATACCTGCTTCGACGTAACGGACAGCCATTTCCACCGCGTCTGGTATGTCGTTGGTCCGATCAGGAGATTTGGAGAGGGCGATGCCGGAGGCGATTGCTGCTATAACCGGGATTAGCCCGTCATTTGCAACCAAGACGGGGCGTAAGTTGTTGTTTGAACGCCCAAAGCCACCTGCCAAGAGCAAGTAAATATGGCAAAGGCGGGAATACTTGCCCATGTCAATATGAAAGGTAAGGGAGCGCGCACTGCTGGATTTACAAATGTTGGGGCGAGCGCGAGTGCTTGCCAATGCACCAGGGGACGGACCTCTGGGAAAGCTTACATGCAAGGGAGCAGCCCGTGCCATGCGTGTTCCTGCTGGGCAGGTAATCCGTTTGGTAGATCGCTACCTCACGCCCATCATAGAGGACGTCCACGATAATGTGCCTGTCAGCCTCTTCTTTGGAAATGTGACCGTCCTTCGTGAGGGGTAAATGCCCGCCTTTCACCAAAACATAGCGGGGTCCGAGACTCTGAACGACCCTGGCGATATTGACTATGTCGTCCAATGAATTGGTTTCAGGGGCTCCCAACCCGGCATTCTGGAGCAATAACCGAGCTTCGGGGATGTTTGGTGTCAGAATAGTGGTCAGCGGCAGGATGTTAGTTCGGAGATTGTGGACGGCTTCGTTTGGAAGCAGCTGAGCTCCACTTGTTGCGACCATGACAGGGTCAACGACAGTGATAAGTTCCCCATGCTTTTTCAGAGCATTTGCCACTGCATCAACAGTCCTTGCGGAAGCTAGCATGCCAATCTTGATAACATCCACACCAATGTCAGTCATGCAGGCGTCTATTTGCTTGATGACAAAGTCGGAGGGCACAAAGTGAATGTCAGAGACACCCTGAGTATTTTGAGCCGTCAGAGCGGTGGTTGCGGTCATGGCGTAGCAGCCATGAGCAGCAATCACTTTCTGGTCAGCTTCCAGTCCGCTGTACTTGCGTTAGCTATGAAGAGCACATTGCACAGAAGCTCAATACTGACGCTCCTCCAGAGCTGTCTGAGCCAGCAATGACAAGTATTCGTCTTCTGTCCATGTCTATCAGATTCCTTTTATTGGATCACTACATAGTATCTTTGGTGAGGTGGGTTGAATGTGGTGACACGCGTCGCGTTGGGTGTACTGGTGTTCTCGGAAGGAAAGAAAGCGAAACGTACAAGTACGTCATTGGCCGAATCAATTTTCAGCAGGAACAATCCGTCGAATTGCTGCCAGAAAGTTTGGCAATTCTAGCAATGCAAGTCCAGTGAAGCGAATCACCATCAGTACAAGAGACAAAGCTTGGATTGTCATAGGACTCTCTGCTGGAACTCGTTCTACCCATCGGTGGTCCAATTCTTTGTCCATGACTGGATAAAATTCGAAACAGGCCAACACCAAGGACTACCACTTTCTTTTGGACAACCTGCCTGCCCCTTTACAAGATTGAAAACCACGAAACTTCCGGGCATTTGCGTATTCGGTGTCAAATCAATCAGTCAGAATCCCCTTCGAATTCAGAAACCTCCGGATCTGATGATACTCTTAGCATGCAGAATGACAATGGAATGGTACTTCGGGGCCCTTTATACCTCTAAATAGCATGAAGTCGAACCGTCCATCTACCTCTGAGGTAATAGTCTCTCTAATCATGGATTGCTCTTCGTCGGTCAAATTGAAATCCACATCCTGCATCGCTATGTTGAGAAGCAGCCCATCATTGCCCGGGCCAAGGTTCAGGATGAAGTCCATGATCCCATTTGAGGTGAAGCGGGTCTGAGCATTGAATTCCAGTCTGCGCAAGCATTTCATAGAAGCCATGTCGCTCCATATGGCGTCAGTAATAGCATACCCACTTGACTCCCACACTTCAAGTCTTTGCAGGCTATTCGCCAAAGTGCAGAAGTGCTTGTCCAGAAAGTAGTCCGAGACTTCCTGAAGTCGCATGTCCGTGAGGTTCTCAAGCTTGCTCAATGACCCCACAAGAAAGTCCACGTCTTCGGGGTTATCACTGCTCTCGCCTTTCAGCCATAGATCTTGTAGACTCGTCTGTTGCGAAAGTGCCCGATGAAAGTCCCGGCTCTCTGACATCAAATACCCCTCGAGTGCTAACTTAGTAAGATGAATGCTGCTTTCGAGCAGCACAGGCGTTAAAAGAGCTGGTGCACTGAGTAGATTGTACAGCGAGACTATCCGCAGCCCTTTGCACTGGCAAAGCCAAGCAACTACATCGAGGAAAGTGTCGTTATGTCTCTTCTCGAGATCTTGGGTCGCGACGCCGTTCTCTGAAAGCAGCAACGAGCTCAAATTGGTACACCCTTTCAACATTGACAGCGCAGGTATCGATTCAGCTTTGATGCCGTTGAGTTTCAGCTCGGTCAGAGTCTCCCGATGACAGTTCAGCGCTAGAAAGCTTTCGGCTCCGATTTGAGAGACGCTGAAGATCTCAAAGGATTCCAAAGATTGGGGGCGTATGTCATTTAGGAAAGTAGCGAAGTGTTGGTCTGCATCATCCTTTTGCCTGAAAATGGATTAGGGTAGGAGTCCAAAGTTCTCGAAGTATGATCGTACCAGCCATAGAATTGCAGAGCCTTGAACAAGGGGCAATGCGATCGAATGAGATTCCCTGCACCCTCTAGAGCTTCTCCTCGGTACACATTTAGACGCTGTAGATTTGGCAGCTTTGGTATGCACTGAGACAGTACCCCTTTGAGGACTAAATGGATAATCAACATATCGCACTGACAGACGAAACAGGCAGAGACATACTGGACCCAGATAACTCTTCCAGCATTGGGGTCTGCCTTGCGATCACTTGGCACAGAATCACCGACTGTCCCATTGAGAGGAGAAGAGTACTATACCTTCCAAGAGTCGATTAGCTGTTGTCTCAGCATCGATTCGAAGACCACTCTTTTTGTTGGAGATTTGAACATTTCGATTGACTTCGAACTTCTCCAGTCCATCCTTGAAGAACATGCTGATCAAATTCAGCGCTTTGCGAAGGATGTCCCAATGTTACTCAAGCTCACCCACTGGTTTTGCCCAAGAATCTAGCATCCTGGAGCAGATACTCAAGATCCTGAAGACTCAAAGTGCGCACGTATTTTGAATAAGGAAACAAGGTCTTGCCCAAGCTGGAGAGTATAAGTGACCTCCACATACTGGCCCATTTCCCAATAAGCTGCTCTCGTCCTTTCTCGTAAGCAGCTCGGCTAGTTCTTTCTTGTGGGGCCATCTCGATTTCATCATTGTAGGCGCTGGTAACGGGGGCCGTATCGTGCATACTGCGATATGTCAGCATCGAAGTCTGATTCTTGTGTGAGAGAAAGCCCTGGTATACCGGTAGATGCTAGCTAGAGCGGGAACAGCGAGCTGCTTTCCGGCACGAGCGCAATGGTAGAGTGTGTCGAAATCCCTCTGTTCCCATAGCTGGTGGCAGATCATGTGTAGAAGATCATCTGGGAGAAGCGCTGCCATGGTCGCTGGCAATTGGAAGTTCTGGCTGTAGTGGTGGAGATCAATCGGCCGAATTACAATGGGTTCAAGATTATTGTAGGAAATGGGTCGAAACGCGATGACGCGAAGCCAAGCGCGTCTCTCAAAGATCCACTTGGGAAACCTCAGACTTTTTGTAGACAAAGTAGCAACTTTTGATGAGGATGCATACACTAAGCTTCTCACTGACGCTTGAGGGTGTGGTCCGTATCCACGACGGAGTCTTGTGTCTTGCAAAGTTCAGCGAAGTGGTGTCATTGGAAGCTCGCAAGGATAAAGTGCGAGAAACTCCATCCTAACTTGTCTTATTTACGTAGAAATTCATGCTAATCAGCATTGCCAACCCAGCTCATCCTTACTGCCTTGAATTCCTCTAAGTCTGCTTACGCGTCTTTCTCCTTGGATAAGACTGTCTTCTTCGAAAAATACAATTTCAATGCCTCACAGGCCAAAAGTCAACAGTCTACCGAAGATACCGGAGCACGCTTTACATGTCAATTGTATAACAAAGTATAAAGGTTATGTCTTCTTATTACTCTCATGTCATCTGACTTCTTCTAGGCGCTTCTCTCTGTCTTCAAGGGCCGATTAGGCGATGTACGAGACAAAGACACGGCCGTTGAACGCTGCGAGTGTAATATTCAAGATCAGCCTGATAAGACTGAGTGCCGCCTTATCGTGAAGATGCTCTGCAGACATGGTGTGTAGACGTTCTTAGTCGATGTTGAGATGCTAATGCCTGTGGCCACTGAAAGGTGTCACAAAGACCTACAAGCTTACCTACGAGTCAGTCGAGGTGATGCACGCTTTGTTCAATAAGAGCGCAGCAAAGAACACGTGGACCATCGGAGCCAGCACTTTGAGGTCGTTCGCTGAGTATTTTGGGACCAAAACCGAGCAATTGGATATCTCTTCAGAAGGCGGACGGGCAACATTCACCAGCTATACAGAGAAGATCATGAATGGGCGAGGTTCGCACTATTATTCAATCTGAAGAAGGGCATAAGCTCCGATGACTGATGATGATGTAGACGTACTGAAGCAGCCTCTGCAGACATCGATTACTGTAGACAGTTTGGACTTCGAAGACTTCAAGGTAGAGGACCAGCTGCATATCGGCATAAGCGTCAAAGACTTCAAAGCCATCGTCACGCACGCCGAAACACTCAAGGCGAGCATCACGGCCTTGTACTCCTTCCCTACTCGACCGATGCAACTAAGTTACCACGAGCATGGCATGCAATGCGAATTCACCCTCATGACCATTGGAGATTATCGAGGAAATTCCGTCACGCCAGCACCTGCTGCGGTACGGCAAGGGTCAGCTGCGCCAGCTGAGAGAGCTACATCACGCCAATCTACTGTCCAGACTGCCGTGCAGCCGAAGACAACGACCATGCCGCCACCGAGCCAATCACTATCACGCAGCTTTACCAGAGAGCCGCAAAGTCAAAGAACGCAGAGACCTTCACCTCCACCTCCAAAGGCCAGCTTAGACCCCCAGAGCTTGTTCCTACCAGCTGATGAAGACGATGATCGCATATGGGGAGAAAGGATCTATGATAACGAACAGGACACGCTTGGCTGGGACGCGAGCGCCAACAATGTAAACCCTTCTGTCATCGTTCATGCCGTCAACTCACAGGAGGTTAGGATCCAATTTTGGGCGGTCGAAGAAGTGACCAGGAAAGCTCTTCGAGATTGCCACCATATCCGGCCTGGCAGGAAGACCCAAATAGCCGCATAGCGCCCACGCAAAAGATAGCCGAGGCATGTCAAACCCTCAATCTGGCTCTGTTTACCAGCTAATACCACCCCAGATCCGAGGCTTGTTTGGCGACTGAGATGTTTTGCCCGTCGGACTGTTGCTGCGAGAGTTCGCGTTCGTTATCAGACCGAGTTGCACGATTCAGGCTTGATCATCTAAGAGTAATCTGTCAGTGGACTGCCAGATCTTAGAACAGCCGAGGCTAACCTGACCTTGTAGAAGGCAACGTGGATCCTAGAGCGTTTTCGGACGGAACAAAGCGCCGTTAACCGATCCTCAGACATTGAAGAGTTTCGACTCGACGATGGGCTCTCTGATTGCCCGGAAAACGCACAAAATGAAAGCCTGATGCCATCTCTCCTATCAATGTATGTGCTGCTCATACCTACAGAGCGAGAATGGCCACAAAATAAGGGCTTCGCCACCGACAATCCTGTCGACTTGCATGCCGGTGGTACCCTCAAGAGAGAGGCTCGATACCCGAAACTTCGGTCACGCTCCGAAGTGTTTTTTCAGTGTAGTAATTCTAAATCGATCTTGTTGGTGATGGATTCTTTCATTCAAGACTCGGGATCTTCTGCCCAGAAAAAACTTGTGGCACACCCAGCTCCAACCCCAATCACTCTCATGGAATGATCCGAATTAGTGTCTAGGATCTCGTTCCACTTTCCCTTAACATCCCCACTTTCATCTGTGCCGGAACCGCAATTGCCGTGCTCACCCCAACCCCAGCTGATGACCTTCCCCTCCTTCGTCAACGCGATCACATGCTCACTCCCCACGGCGATCTTCTCGATATGCGGTAGGCCAGGCGGGGCGAGCTGGCCGTGGTCATTGCGGCCCCAAGATCTGATCTTCCCAGATCCTTCCAAGACGAAAATACTACCCCAGCTGGCCCCTATGTCTTTCCAATCAGGAACCAAAGCCGGTGCTTGAGATTGGATTTCCCATTTGCTCGAGCCCAGAACCGTATGTTGCCCACTTGATTGCTCTCCCACTAGGTAAGTGAAGTCTCTTCCGCAGACAGCGCGAACAACCTTAAAGCCCACACCTGCAAGTCTTCGTGGTGTGCAAACAATCTCCTCTGGATAACTCAGTTGGCCTTTGCGGCCATTTCCCCAGCCATAGACTATACCGTCATTCAAGACAACCACTGCGTGGTCAACGCCACAAGCAACATCCACTATCTTTGACCACTGATGGACTGGAGGGAAGTTTGGAAGGATTTGCAGTGCCATGGAACCTGATATCCCACCTGTACCCTGTTCACCTTTTGAGCCTAAAGCGGCTGTATACACTTCATTCTCCGAGTTCACGAAGATTGAACCATCCCACAAGGCTGAGCATAACTTCACTTTGTTGCCCAAGACTGATACGTATGTCGTCTGGAAGATGGGCATTGAGCTCATTGACGAGCGTGAATGCAACTTTGCGTCCCGAGATGAACCCGCAGAATACACGGTCCCCTCATCATATAGCACCAAAGTATGGTTTCCTCCTGCTGCGATCGTCATTGGTGATCCTGGCAGCTCTGAATTGAGCCAACATCTTTGAGGCGTAGATTGATCGACCGTGTTTCCAATGCCCAGTTGCCCCGAGCCATTAGACCCGAAACCATACAAAACCATTCTGAGAAGTTCTTAAAGGGTTTTGGACGAGGAAGAACTGTTCAGTGATCTCAGCTTGAATCGATGGCTTGGCATTCCCGGCATTCAGCCCTTACTAGTACTCGCTTAGCGGAGTGCTAGCGTCCCACACCACGCTAAAAAATTGCGACAACTCGTTCATCTCCAGCCCCATCTATAACATTCTCAACATTCCACCATCATGGCTACGACACAGAGTGTGCAGTGCTTCGGCAAGAAGAAGACTGGTATGCTAGGATTGTCCATTTTGCCGTGGTGAAATTGCTAATACGATGCTCTCAGCAACCGCTGTCGCACATTGCAAGGTAGCCTTCACTCGCCTAGTAGCAAAGCGCGCTCAAACCAGCTGATAACCATTGCTCCAGGCTGGAAAAGGTCTCGTCAAAGTAAACGGCAAACCTCTCGCCCTCACTCAACCGGAAATCCTTCGTTTCAAGGTATTGTTTCTCTCATCTCTACCTATAATTTTACCCTCCTCTAACAACGACTACTACCACAGGTCTACGAACCGCTCCTCATTGTCGGCCTCGACAAGTTCGCCAACGTCGACATTCGCGTCCGTGTCTCAGGCGGTGGTCATACATCTCAGATTTACGCTATCCGCCAAGCCATCGCGAAGTCAATTGTGGCCTACTACCAGAAATATGTGGACGAATATGCGAAGAACCAGTTGAAGCAGGCTTTGGTGACGTACGACCGGACGCTGTTGGTGGCAGATAACAGGCGGTGTGAGCCAAAGAAGTTTGGAGGACCAGGAGCAAGAGCGAGGTACCAGAAATCCTATCGTTAGGGTGGCCATGGAGGTACGATGGACTGGATGAGGTGCTGCTTAGCTCGATAATGTGGAGACTTTCGACGAAGTTCTCAAGATAGTCCAGCTTTCAGGCCTATGAGGCTCGGGTCATAGCCGCTTCTTGTCGGCATTGACAAGCTATGTCTATAGCAGGTGATGAACAGGCATACCAAACGTCCTTCTGAAACTTGCGACTCGATATTCGGCAAGTTGGGCCCTCGTGACTGCTTCGGACGTGAGCTGCTTATTGGGGAGTGCTCTTCCACGTTCAGTCTCCTGCGTTCTAAGTCATCACAACCATATTGATCTCCTGCGAGCAGGTCCTGATTCCTGACCATCCTTGCACCGTTCTACGGGTCATCTTATAGTCTTTCCTAGACTCTAAACCGCAGTTGTGAACTCCAATTATTTTGTGCTCAGCCTGGCTTTTGCTTTGCACATTCATACAGTCCGCTTCAGCTTTTGCTGTTGGTGCGTTCCTTTTGTAGCAGAACTCTTTAACCTCGGCATGATTTGGGCTGGGCATTGGTGACCAGGGTCCTTTCTCTAGTGGATCGTATAGCAGTGCGGGGCTAACACAATTACCAACTTCTCATAGCCATTCCACGGTCCACCGCACGTTGAAGCATGAAGACCTTCAATAATGAACACTAGCACGATCGCTTATGGGTGGGGCACTCAACTGCCGGCATATGTCAACGTCTTTTGGTATTCGGAGATATCTTTTGATCCAAATTGGACAAGCCCCAAGGTCAATCCACACATCAAGCATTGCCCCGATTACAGGTGTCTTTACCCAAGATTCTACTTTGACGACCTATCAAAGACCTTGGCACAATGCGTGTCCCTGTCCTAAACAAATTCGCAGTCTCGCACGGACGCAATGCCGGTACTTCAACACGACCCGGAATATGTCTTCACTCGTGGAGCTCACAACAAGCTCCGCTCGGACTCTCAAGTTACGAATTGCACTTAGATCATTTCAAGGATTTCTTCCTCTTGCACTAAACACCAGGCATTCGAGTACTAGAACCATGGCTGAAAGCTGAGGTGGAAAGGTCTTCGAGCGGGGCGGAACACCTTTGTGGTCAAGAGAACAGTGTATATACGTCTTGAGAAGAACCACCAGAAGTTGCTTCTTCATCACAGTTGCTACGAACCACAATGAGATACAGTACGCTACTGTCCTTTGCCTTCGCCCCCAGGACTCTGGCTTCCCCAGCCCCTGATCCTGTCCAAGTCCGGGCTGCTTCACTAACTTATACCCTTACCAGGTAAGCAGGCCCCGTGAGTCGTTACAGATGTTGCCTGTTGCCGGCTTCTACGGGTCTCATTTCGTGATGAAAATTGAGGTTTTCCTCACAGATTTAGTCTTTTATTGGCTGCCATGTTCCTCCTTGCTCAAGCCACTCGTCTCGATCTTCAATTATATCAGTACTGACACTCCCCACAGCGGCTTCACCGGCCTCCCCACTTCGGTGGCTCCAGCTTCCTGCCTCGGAATCACCAACGGCACTACAGACAACGACCTGATCAACGGCGTCTGCAAGAACCTGACCCTCGTTTTCGCTCGCGGCACCACCGAAAACGGCAACATTGGCGATATCGTCGGCCCTCCTTTTGTCTATGCCCTCGTCAGCATGCTCGGCGAAGCTCGAGTAGCCGTCCAGGGGGTTAATAATTATTCCGCCGACGTCCAGGACTTTCTCGCTGGGGGAAGCGTCACTGGAAGTCAGAAAATGACGCAGTGTCCGGGAACGAAGTTGTGTGTGTCAAGGTACAGCTAGGGAGCTCAGGTTGCTCACAATGCTGCGAAATCGGTCTCCCAGGCTCAGACGAGCTTCATCAACTCGGTTTTTCGGTGACCCTGATGACGGTGAGGCGTTTGGCAAGGTGTCTGCGAGCAAAATTTCTACAGATTGCCATATTGGTGACGATCTCTGTCTACACGGAGATTTGATTCCGGTTCCGCACTTGGATTATTGTCTGGACGCGGACACCGAGGCCAGCTTTGCGTTTCAGAAATCAGGGCTGAAGACTGTCGGTGGAGCTGCTTCTAAGAGCTGGGTTAGTCATGGCGAGTTTTGTGCTGCGGAGAGAATTACAGAAGTCGAATTTGAAGATCATTGGTGGAAATACTGTAGGAGAGACGATCTTCATGAGGAGTCTACGTATAGATACATGTAGCACGCTCGTACACAGATTAAGTGCACTTTCACCTTTTTCTGAGGAAATGAGTCTGGTCGGTATTTGTCTGGCTCGATGGCTCAAAAACTCACTTCACGATTCATATTCAATTCATATTCATGTTGCATTCATGCCAAGGCTGGTCGGACATCGTCTTCAAGAAGCACTTTCTGCCCCACCAGCCCGAAATGCCAAGCACGTACGAAGTGGTGGAGAGCCAGCCATGGATTATGAGCCCATCACCGCACCCATCCCTTCCTCCGACGGCTTCAAACCCTACATACCGCCAAAGATAGTTTGAGATACAAGTGAGCACCATGGGTAAATCACTATTCCCATTCCGAGGCCACCACTTGCAGGTCTTTCCTCACAGGTCTGGCCGATTTTGATATGATCATACTTGAAAATGGCGAAGCTTACTTGAAACTTTCCATTCTTTGCATCGATCATGGACACCACTTTGACAGCAGCCGTCCTCCTCCTCGGACTTCCGCCGGGAATCCTTTGCGGTATCGACCTCCTCTCCTTCACCACCACCGCCCAGTTTCGAGGCTTAAAAGATTTGCCCCTAGGATGGCATTTTGTCTTCACTAGCGAAACAACATCTCTCTCCGTCCGCGATGGCTTCTGGTTCCATGTCCCTACTGCAGTCACAGGTTCCATCCCTCTGATCGTCCGCAAATGGGACACTTCCGGCGGCTCGCTACTTCCCTCAGACCCTGATAGCTTCCGTGTCCGCCTGCCTCTTCTATGGGAGAGGAACCTTTCGCCTTATCGACAGTCCGCTGACAAAGAAACGAAGGCTGAAACGGGGGACTGGGCGAGTTTGACGGAGCATGTGAGCCCGAGGTACGTACATTTCGGAGTAATCCTTCCTGTTTGGTAGTAAATTGGGGCTAGAATCCAGGTTTCGGGAGCAGGAAGCTCCTTCACTCCCCTAGAAGTTTCCCGCTCCTTAGGTGCAATGCCGCGGATCGGCAGCGAAAAGTTCTTTCTGCTCTTCAAATGTGTCTCGTTTCTCGGTTTACTACCCAAGTGAACAACACTAATTCCGAAACTTGCGTAGGTTGCTAGGACATCTTACGCAAAATGAAGACTGGAAGATCACGACGGCCAGCTGTGCGAAGGAAGACAGGGATGAGATACCTGGCCTCACTGCTGAGGATTTTGGAGACGAAGAGAGGGAGTTGGGTATGTTGGGTATTGATCTCAAACGGACGTGGAGGAAGGGCGCAATAGGAAGAGAAAGGACAGAGGCCGCTCTAGATTCAAGTACTTCTCCCATTCATGCTGTCCTATGAGTCGTCAGACATATCTAGAGAGTGTTCCGCTCCTAAGACATGTCTCGCGACTCAGAATGCCTCCCGAAATAGTAATGCTAACTCCGGAATCATCAAGGCTGGGCATTAAATGATGTTGTGGAGCGATGGCAACCCCGGAACCAGAAAGACAAGGGGGAGTGGGGCAGTGTGGTGCTTGGGCAGATGGAAGCCTGCTTCCTGATGGTGTTGACGGTAGCAAATTACTCCTGCCTGGAAGAGTGGAAGCGCTGCGTCGGGCTGGTCTTGACGTGCAAACGGGCCGTAAGGGAAAAGGAGGAGTGGTTTGGAACGTTTTTGGTGCTGTTGAGGAGGCAGATGGAGAGGTGCGAGGATGTTGAGGGAGGCTTGTTTGATTTGAGGGACGAAGGAGGAGCGTATCTGAAGAGTCTTCTGAAAGGGTTTAAGATGACGCTGGGAAAGGTGTTTGAAGACGCAGAGGGAGAGCAAGTAAGGAAGGAAATGGAGGAGCTAGAGACTTTTATGAAGAGCGAGTATGGGTGGGAACTAGGGGATGAGTTTGTTAGGAGAGGCATGTTGGAATTGGAGGATGGGGAGCAGGTCGAGATGGAGATGGAGGAGATGGATGGAGAGGATGAGAGGGGCGAATATGCTCCCGTTGTAGTTGATCTAGCCGATCCCTGACAAGTGTTGGGGACTGGGTTCGACTCTAGCTTGCACGGGCTATGAGCGTTTGAAGCAAGCTTGATTTGCACGAAGACCAGGCAAGAGCCGTTCTTCTCGTTTTTTGACTATGACCTCGCTACACAGACCTCCGCCACCAGCAGTACATTCTGCTCATAGACGACGACCTCTCCTACCGCCCTTACGACGTGTAGAGTCCGAAGGCGTTGGCGTCACATCCTCAATCCTTCCAATCTTCATTCCTGAACGAGCAAGTGCACGAAGAGCAGACTGAGCACCTGGGCCGGGGGTTTTGGTTCCGTTGCCTGAACTTGGTCATCAGCATCCTCTGCAGCGAGTTATAGTGACGAAGGTTGTACTACCTCCAGTGGCCCTAATCTTGATATGCAACGCATTGATGCCCAATTCTTTGCACCTGGTAGCTACATCCTGCGCAGCCAACATGGCAGCGTAAGGCGAAGACTCGTCACGATCAGCTTTCACCTTCATCCCGCCTGTGACTCTGCTAATTGTTTCACGGCCACTGGAATCACCCAGAATGTAAGCCTTTGCCTCCACAGCGATGTAGTCATATTTTTGGCACGAACCTGAGATCGGTGACATCTGAACCATTTCGGAGTCAGCATTTCTCTTTCAAGACGAGTTGTTAAGTCCGAAGACAGATTTGAGGAGCAATGACACCTCCTCAGAGATGTCCTGAGACTCGGAAAAGCATATGAAAGGGGGAGAGGTGGCTCAGAAAGGGTGCTTACGGACGAACGTATCGTTGAAGGATGCGAAGATACGGGCGACACCGAAGACAAGTTCGCCTATGGAAACGGGCTCGTTAGCATTCTGAAAGGTTGGGTAGGTAAAGGGCTCACCTTCGCGGACTTGGGGACCAAGAGAAATGTTCTCGGTGGCAGCACGCTCTACCTTCTTCTTGGGAGGCATGTTAAAAGAATTTCGAATCGATTGATTGCGGAGGTGACAGACGTTAGTATGGAGCAAAAGCAATTCAGTGGAGTTGTAAAATTTAGCGTATTGTGCCGCGGCAGCGTTTCGCTTTTCAAGCGAGCTCAGCCTTACCGTAAGACCGAACATTTTTCGTTTTCGCTTCACGAGGTCAGCTCAACTCATTCAATCCTCCTCAAAAAGCATACGCCTATCTAACGGGTTGAGGCATGCATAACGATTCTCTTGCTGATTTTATTCCATACAGGACTGTGGTTTGCTGCCTTTCTTGACATGCTGGCCTTGACCAGAATCCCTGAGGCACACTGATCACTTCCCACGATGGAAAATATAACGGTTGGTATCATTGGGATGGGTGACATGGGGAAGATGTATGCTCGGAGGATTGGTGCTGCTGGCTGGAGGTAATTAATAGCTCTTCCCTCAGGAGCTTGTGTTACTGCGGGCCCCAGAATTGTGAGTATGCTCGCTTCCTTTTCAGTCTCCACACGATGCAATGATGACTTGAGTGCATTTGGCTCGAGTATGGCTTGTGTACAGGTCTTAGGGTCATTCTGGCTCCTAAGTCTGGAAGCAAGCTGTCACTGATGTAAAATCTCAGCTACCTAAATTATATTTGTCTGAAAATTGTATCTTGAAACCTTCGTCTACTTTGAATAGTGTTCTTGGGCTTGAGCTGACAAGTACCCTTTGCAGGTGGCACAGTCGACCACTGCTCTTGCGTGGCGCTACAAGAACTTTCGACACTAGCTGATCCATTGTCTGCGCAGAGTAAATGCCTGCGACAAGCCCGAGAAATACGATTCCTTGAATGATGAGTTTGCTGACAGCGTAAATATTCTTCTGCGACGCTCAATGTGCGAACACAGCTGAAGCCGGCGTAGAGCAATGTGCAAATATTCCATGACGGCCGTCTCGTTTCACGGTCAAGCGATGTCATCCTGTACAGCGTTGAAGCAGAGGCCATCGGTCGAATCGTGAGCCAATATGGACCTTGTATGCTTCATGATGTGACCCTGCAATCCTCACACTAACATCAACGCAGCGACCAAGCAAGGCGCCATTGTCGGCGGCCAGACTTCTTGTAAAGAAATCGAGATAGCTGCCTTCGAAGCTTACTTGCCTGAAGACGTCCAGATCATCTCCTGCCATTCCTTGCATGGACCCAAGGTCGATCCCAAGGGTCAGCCTCTCGCATTGATTAAGCATCGCGCATCACAACAAAGTCTTGCTTTGGTCGAAAAAATCCTCTCTTGCTTAAATTCTAACGTTGTCTATCTTACGGCCCAGCAGCATGACCAAATTACAGCAGACACACAGGCTGTCACTCATGCCGCATTCCTGAGTATGGGCACCGCATGGTGCTCCAATAATCAGTTCCCTTGGGAGATCAGTCGCTATGTCGGTGGTATTGAGAACATCAAATGCAATCTCATGCTTCGTATCTACTCAAACAAATGGCATGTCTACGCCGGTCTTGCGATTCTGAACGCTGAGGCCAAAAAGCAAATCCGGCAATATGCCGAATCCGTGACTGAGCTCTTCAAGTTGATGCTCGGCGGCCACCGAGAAGAGCTTGAAAAACGCATCAAGACTGCTGGTGCTGCTGTATTCGGCTCCGGTCAGAAAGATCTACTCTTGAGAGACGAGGTTCTGGATCGTTTCTCGCTTGGGAAGGTGCCAAAGGAGAGGACACCAAACAATCATCTAAGTCTTTTAGCCATGGTCGACTGCTGGTGGAAATTAGGCATCGTACCCTACGATCACATGATCTGCTCTACACCTGTGAGTAACAGTTACCATTGTTCCATACGGCCAACCTCATTTCTAATGTTGATCCGTTCAGCCTTTCCGTCTCTGGCTCGGAGTCACCGAGTACCTCTTCCGCAAGCCTCAGCTCCTCGAAGAAGTCATCAGCACCGCTATTGATGACAATACTTTTCGTTCGGACGATCTAGAGTTTACGTTTGCCGCTCGCGGATGGTCGGACTGTGTCTCCTTTGGCGATTTTGCATCTTATCAGGATCGCTTCGAACGCATCTCGAAATACTTTGAGCCTCGATTTCCGGAAGCAACTCGCATAGGTAATGAGATGACCAGTGTCATCTTAGAGAAGACTTGATGCAGTCTAAGTGTACTGATGAAAAGGCTTCACGAGACACAGTCAGTCTGATTGGGTGAAGCTTATTGTTTACCCGAGCAACGACCGCCACTGAGGGGGTCAGACGAGGTGCTAAAGTGGCACGAATGCTTGAACTGTATCAATGTCTTCGCCCGGGTTCTTGCCCTTACTTGATGTGAAACCAAGAAATATCTGGAATGCACTTGTTACTGTTCCGATAAACTCCGGTCACGCCACCGCCATCCACATCCACATTTACGTGGATTGAGACCCTCTTTTCTTTAAGCATTCTTGGATCTCTCCCGAAAGTTAGAGTCCAATTACAGTGAAAGACGGAGACCCTCGGACGAGTGAAAGCGCGGGGGAAGCCTCGTGGCAGCGAGAAGCTCCTGCTCAAGATTTAGGACAGCGTACTTGCAGCATGTGGTGGGTATCATCGCTACCCCAATCGGTGGATTTTTGTGAAGAAAAGCGGCGAAAGCAATCCCTTTTCCAAATCTCTTTGTTATATTGAATTGCTAGCAAAGACCGAATCGCGCATGAAACACAGTCAACAAGTATAAGTGGTGAGTTTGAATGACATATGACATCAACACTTGGCACTGTTTCATTCTAAACCAAGCCCTAGCGTCCAAACAGCGGACGCGTAATTTTGTCACACTCTCACTCGCATCATGCATGCCATTATTATATGATTATGATTATTCTATTCGTTTCTGAACCTTGTCAACTACGCCATGTCATCTTCGTCATTTTAGAATCAACGTGTCATCGATTCCCTCTCTTGTTTCCCATACAGGCACATCTTCGCCTTCCCTACCATCTCTTTCTTTCGACTCTACTCTATCGACAGAGAGGTGCGGGCGTGCTCTCAGTTATTCAATCGCATCAGCTATCTGATACCGACGCTTAATATATTACTCCTCGTTTCATTCCACTAGCGCGGCTTGCAGCCAATCGGCTTTGCGCAATCGCTTATTGATCCTCAGCCATTGCGAGTTTCGTTCACCGGTACTGACTAGCTCGGTCTCTTTTTACAGCAGTGATTAGTATTCATGTCTATCAACATGGCACTTTTGGCCCTTGTGCTAACCCTCGGACTTGGTAAGTCTGCTATAGAAGCGGCTCTCCTGCGTGAAGCCGTTTCTTCAATCCGTAAATTTCTGTCCTATTGCAATACTAATGGCTTGGCCATGGCCAGCAAACCCGGCATGGGCGCACGTCAATCCCGACCGCCGTAACGCAGTGACCGCCCATGGCACCATCATGGGCTTTGCATTCGCTGTCCTCTTCCCACTTGGAGCAATCCTCATCCGTACGGCATCGTTCCGTGGACTAGTGGTAAGGCGCTCTTCGAAGTTCTTTTTTCCTGTTCGGGGCTGCTTTGCGAGGCGCAATACATGCTGCAGAAGCAAACTCATCTTGCCGCCCTTTTTAATTCCCCAAACACGTCTTATTACTCCAGTCTTTGTCTACGGATGGGAAGGCTGACTCGGGATTCTGACAGTGGATACATGCTGGAATCCAGGCATTCGCCTATCTACTGGCATTGGCTGGTCTTGGTTTGGGAGTTTACATCGCCATCTACCCCGAATCGCAGGTTTGTCTCCTACAACGGTGGAATCCTCAATTACCTTCGAAAGCTGACAAATCTCATGTTCAGCTCACCGCTAGTAATGGTCATCCCATCATTGGCATCATCGTTGTCGGAGCTCTCGTCTTTCAACCAATCGGAGGCCTCATTCATCATTATATGTATAAGAAGTATCATCGACGTACCATATGGGCAATCACGCATGTCTGGTGGGGTCGGATCATCTTGACTTTGGGAATCATTAATGGTGGCTTGGGCTTGATGTTGAGTGGGAACACGGTCAAGGGTGAGATTGCCTACGGAGTTATTGCTGGTGTGATGTGGCTCATCTGGATGGCTGTTGCTGTTTGGGGACACTTGAGATCGAGGGGCACATCTGGCGAAACAGGAGAGAACGCATTGGGTCACAGTGATGCCGGGTCCAGTCCCAGTCCCGATCGGTACAAAGAAGGATACAGAGCTGCTTGATTCGCACACGCTAACATTGGCAGCTTGATGAAGTACGTAAGGTAGCTTGGGGTACAACTTATGGATTGAGCTTTCCCATTGCCAAATTGATAGTGTTAATGTTCATCATTCTTGATAGAAATTTTGCGATTACCCTAGTTCGACTGTTATGAGAAGCGTAGAGTAAGGTATCTCGTAATGCTTCGTGCTTGTGCATCCTTGAACCCTTAATTCCAAAGTCCGTTCAAGGCAAATGCCAAGCCAAAATGATCGGAACTTCCTCAATCGCCTGGCAAATATATCAATCCAAAATCTTCAGCATTGTCAATCAGCTTCGACATCTGGAGGCAATATGGCGGATACTGTAACTGTTGACAAAGTGTATTTCGAGACTCTGCTTCGGCGGTATGTACAGCTTTCTCCGTACATACCGTCAACCGTGGGCTAACCAGTGGTAGAGCAGAATTAGTCGGTCACCTCTCTGCAAGCCTGATTGGCTGCTCGAAAGAAGCTTATTCATCTCTATAGCATACATATGATAGAGATCTGACCGCTCCCGTCGGCATCCCAATAGTCAGCATACCCAAAGTCGACCATGACAAATTAGTCAGTCCTGTCCGTTACTCGACGGCGTCAATAGCTAACATGGCATTGCTTGAAGCTTCGTATGGTACAAGAATACAGTGTGTCTCTTCCCTAAAGCACCGACCAGACCAGATGCTACGACGACTCCTCAAATGTTGCGAGGCCAACCCGGACTGACTCTATGCAGCAAGTCTTAAAGATGCACTGTGCAAGGGAGGTATTGAACCGGAAACTCTCGAGGTTCGATCGACTTCATCAGAAGCAGCTTCACACTCGCTCAAGTCATATAGGTTCTCATCCGTGGCGAAACTGTCCCAATATCTCAATTCGACACCCTCATCGACGATGACGACCAACCAGCGTCTGGATGCGCGGACCCTTACGATCGCCTCCAAAGGACTCGGATTGCCATGAGCCATCCTTCTGGCCACTCATGGGCTGATTCTGCGCCTGAATGGCCTCCAAAGAACTCGGCTGGCGGCTCTAGGGTTAATCTGAAAGGGAAAGGAGGCTTCTACAATCATCACAATAGCTCTGCGCTGGAGGTTGAAAGTGCTTTCACACCCGATTTCGAGAAGGATGATCCATATCTTGCCGCACCGCAGCCGGAGAGAAAGCGATTCGCCAAGATGGAACAGCGCACAATATTTGCTAAGAATCTCTCGGTCCGTGCAACGCACAAGGATATCGCCAATCTCGTACGCGGAGGGCTTATTCTGGATATATACTTACGCTCCCACGAGCGCACCGCTAGCATCTCATTCGTCGAAGGATCCGCAGCCCAGGAGTTCATGAATTATGTCAAGCGCAATGACATATATGTACATGGGAAGAGGGTATGTCTTCCCCTCATATTCTAAACACGAGGAGAACTTCTGACAAATGACTCCAGCTCGCATTCTCGTGGAGCGAACGTCAATATAAGCTTCCCCCACATGTTGCAAACAAGATAGGCATTGGTGCGTTGGTTCGGACTCGAAGTTCTGCTCTTTCCACCAAACGTTGAGTCATGTGTCTTGAGTCATGTCTCGAAGTATCTACTGGGCAGGTGTGTTGCCTTCTGTAAATGGGATGCTGACTTTCGACTTTTGTTCAGGAGCCACTCGAAACGTTGTCATACGTGGCATCCACGGAAATATCACCGAGGAGCTTATTAGGGATCATTTGGACCATATCCACAACATCGTGGTTATCAGTGTTTCTTTCAAGGACGGTGACGCCTACATCTCTCTTAACTCTATCAACAACTCGCTCTTTAGTCGGACATGTATGATGTCTCGAGCGACATACAAGGGCATGAGGATTGAATGGTATCCTGATGAGTGCTCTCAACCTCTGCCGAAAATGCAGTACGCTCCGAAGACAGATAATCTAGCACAACCACAGCCTAAGAATTTCACTTCTGCCATGAACCGTTTCCAGATGCTCAACATGGATAATGATGGGACCGAGGTTGACTCGGAGGAGACAGATGAGGAGCCCACAGTGCTTTCGGATCTCTCGTCTATGAACATCAACAGCCATCGATCGCCATGGAACTCTCAAACGGTTGCCGCTTGAACCTTTGATTGCTCGGAGCATTACTAATAGGTTTTCTCAAGGTCTGCTGTCTCTGCGCATCCTTTCGCAGCATGCAGTCTTAGCTTCAGGGCTTTTTCTCGCGTCCGTAATTGGGGTCACCTTCGCTCGGGCATACTGTAGGCATGGAGCTTATTAGCGGTGGGCAACAGGCGGAGGTCTTGTATGGCGTCAAGCAGCCCGCAGTACACTCTACGGACTACTCGAATTCGTCAACGTTTCATATTAGCTTTTCGCATGCTTTAGCAGAGATACCCCGGCTCGCAATGTGCCTGTATCTTTCGTTGTTTGGTTTGTGAATAACTTATAGGCTCAATGAATATATACACAACACGCATTTGCGAGATGCCCGAATTGCAAGTGTATACTACATCAAAAGATATCTTTCCTCATCCAGTATCGAACATATGCAAAAAGATCGGCATCTTCACCAGTTTATTTCAGGGAGCCAGCTTCCTACTCCACCTTCCCACCTCCTTGATGCCGATAAGTATAGTGCCATCCTTCACCCTCGATGTCTGCCCTGACCTTATAATTTTTCTCGGCTTCCTCTACCAACTCCATATCCACATCCACGACACTCATCCCTTCTTTATTGGTATCTTTCGTCTCGTCCCCTAAACCCCCAACGAATGGCATCGCCACTCTACTCAATCCTGCATACATTGATTTCTCATTTTCGGGCGGAGCGCCGGCATTGACTGATGATTATTTCGGAGTCAGCATTGCCACTTCAAGATAAATTGCGAGCCTTGAAACTTCTCTACAGAATCAGAATCATCGCTCCCTAAACAGGTCTCAAGCCCCAGAATATGATCCAGTAGGAAAAAATTGATCGCCGAAAATACGTACCGAAGACTACTGCACACGTATTCTCAAAAGTTCGCGCGGTAATTGTTGATTCGAGAAAAAGCTTTTCGGACATAGAATTCTTGGAAAGACCGTAGGCAGAGCAGTCGGCGTGCTGACGCAGACCTTGGAGTCAGCATTGCTTATTCGAGGTAGGTCCGGGGAGTTGGAGACAGGTCTCAGGTCGTCTTGCTCCAGAAACATGCCTTGCGACTCAATTCCAATATCAGGAAGGATGAGGTCCGAAACGTACGTACCGTCCAAAATGTGGGAATGATTATTGTTTTTGCGCCTTTGGCTATCAACTCTCGAAATGCTTCTGGGAAGGCTAGATCCCAGCAGATGAGAATCCCAACGGGGCCAAGGGGCGTCTGGAGCATCTCGTCTACGCAGATTTCGGAGTCAGCATTGTCTATTTGAGGTAGGAAATGGAGTTGCAAGACAGGTCTGGGGGGTAGAAAGGTCTTCTTGCTCCCGAAGCATGTCTTGCGACTCAATTTCATTACCAAACAGGAAGAATCAGCTCCAAAATGTACGTACGTGGGGCGTGGGTTGAAGAGGTCAGATGTGGGCGCTCGGGATGCCTTCAATGACACAACGATGGTCAGTCCAAGAGTTTATGCGGCAGAAGGACAGTCTAGGATGTTGAATGAGAGCACAGTAATACCAGAGGTTCTTTTTCTGATACCGTCCCAATATTTCGCCCTTATCATCAATGAAATAAGCAACATTATGCAATTGATCCTCCCCAGTCTCTTCATCCTTATGTGCTTCCACTATCGTGCCCGGCACTATGCATATTTTGAGCTCTTTTGCCAGCTCTTGATATCTGTGCAGATAATCGTTCCATTGCTTGCAAAGGGGAAAAAATTGAGGGTCTTCGGGCACCCAATTTGTGAGATGATATTCGGGGAGAACAGCGAGGTGGGCGCCTTTTGAAGCGGCGGCTCGTATGAAGTCGGCGGCCTTGGAGAAGTTGTAGGAGGGGTTGAGGGGCTAGGGGGAGAGTATCAGTTGATGGGTGTGAAGATTGTATTCATTGGATGGATGTGGAGGACCTTAGGGTGGAGCTGGATGACAGCAATCTTGTAGCGCGGTGCCATGGTGAGAGAGTATCACATTGGCTGTTTGGAAAGGACTGAAGCTTTCTAACGTGGTGGAGTGGGCCGGCGGGGAAGTTGATGAGCTCCGCAGATCCCCTGCACGGATAGGGTTAGGGTTAGGGTTAGAGTGTGTACAAGCGAAAAAGCCGTCAGACGCCAAAACCTCCCACCACCAGCACGCAACACAAAACACGCAGCAGTCACCATGGCACTCTACCAACGAGCACCTTATGAGACGGCCAACCGTCAAGACCTGGTCGAAGATGAGTCAGACCGAGAGGAAGAAGCGCTGGTGGAAGACTACAAAGAGCAGGTGCACTTCGACGACGGGATGAGCGAGCTGGACCGTACTGCTTCGTTTGGAGGTGCAGCAGCCGGAGGTGGACCACAGGATATGCAAGCTCAGCTTGCTGCAGCCGCTACGCCTCTGGAGTATGGAGCAGCGCTGGATACGAAGTTCGCGAGCTATGACAATTACTGCAATCTTTTCCACTATATCCTCAACTCAGAGGGGCCTGTGGACCTTGAAGTGCCTACAGTAAGCCTCGCTCCTCCTGCTTCTACATCTGAGCCGCGACTGATGGCGGTTGTAGTACTACTGGGCATGGGACGTAATCGACGAATTCATCTACCAATTCGAATCCTTCTGCCGCTACCGCAACCGCATCGCCCGCACTGAATCCACCAGCGAAGAAGCCCAACTCCTGCGTGATAACCCTAATACCTGGGGCTGCTACTCCGTCCTCAATGTACTCTACTCTCTCATCCAGCGCAGCCAAATCAACGAGCAACTCGATGCCATGAAGCGAAACGAAGATCCCAACCAAGTCGCTGGCGAATACGGCAATAGGCCTCTTTACCGAATGTTGGGCTATTTCTCGATCATAGGATTACTGCGGGTCCATTGCTTACTGGGAGATTTCTCGTTGGCACTGAAGACGCTGGATGACATTGAGTTGAATAAAAAAGCCATGTTTGCACGAGTGATGGCGGCGCATTTCACGACATATTACTATGTGGGGTTCAGCTACATGATGATGCGCCGCTACGCCGATGCCATTCGCATGTTCTCGCATATCCTCGTCTACGTCTCGCGGACCAAGAACTTCCAGAAGAACGCGCAGTACGACTCCGTCTCGAAGAAGAACGATCAGATGTACGGTCTCATTGCCATATGCGTGGCGTTCAATCCTACGAAGCTGGATGATACGATCCATACAGCACTGAGGGAAAAGTATGGTGACCAGCTTGTCAGATTGCAGAGAGGTGGACCTGAGGCTTTGCCGCTCTTTGAAGATTTATTCCGAAGCGCATGCCCGAAATTTATCTCCCCCACACCCCCCGACTTCGACACCCCAGACCTGAACGTCGATCCCGTAGACCACCATTGTAAAATATTCATGGAAGAAGTGAAGAACACAATGTGGTCACCCACCGTCAAGTCATACCTGAAGCTCTACACCACGATGGACCTCAAGAAATTAGCTGGCTTCCTGGATGTCGAGCCGGAGAAATTGAGGAGTTGGCTACTTGTGAATAAGCAGAGGAGCAGGCAGGTGAGATGGAGCGAAGGGGCGCTGTTGGACGGAGAAGTAGTGAATGGCAGTGATTTGGATTACGCGATGCAGGACGATCTGATTCATATCAGCGAGGCGAAGGTGGGAAGGAGGTTGGTAGATTGGTATTTGAGGAATTTGGCGAGGACGTATTAGGGTGGTGGAGGGGGTTTTCAAGTCATGAATGGAAATGAGGTGTTGCTAATATAAGCACGCTGCGAGAAAGGGAAACGCAGGATTGCTGATCAAGGCCTTGATCCACTAAGCATGCCTATGAAGGCATTACCCAGCTGGAAGCTATCCGCAAAGACATGGCCTCCCGACAGATTATTCAAACATACGAAACTCTTCTATCAAATAACACAAGAGCCACTACACGAGACACCCTCGAACAACCTCCTCACAAAAATCCCAGATGCTGGGCACTTTGCCATCTTAACACAGCCTCGCCACTGCAACCCTTTTCTTGCTACCTTCCTATCCGTATCCCCTTGCCATTCCCCTTCCACCTCCTCCCACCTACACCACCTACCACCCCCCCGAGCCCCTCCTCACCTCCTCAATCCACCTGCACATTCCGGAGTCAGTATGACCTCTTCGAAGCAGAACCTGCAGGTTGCGAAACAAGATTCGGGGAAGCCTCATGAGTATTTGCTCCCGAGGCATATCTTGGGACCCTCCCATTGCCATGGACTGGAAAGTGCACTTACGCCGTGCTAACCCTGTCCGTCATCTGCGGAAACTCGGTTTCTAGAAGAATGATGGCACTCTTCGCTTCCTCGCCATTGTCGAGCGACTGCAGAATGAAGGCTGTCATGGTGGTGTTCCAGCCGGTGGGCTTTTGGGTGCATGTGGTGGTTTTGGTGGTGGTGGAGCGGGATGGGGAAGACATTGCTGGTGAGGAGCAGGTCGGTGAGAGTGTTGAAGGATGGAAGGTTGGTTGGGCAATCTCGAGGTTGTTGATTGTGCTGGCCTGAGATGATTGTGCCCGGTGGATGCCCCAAATTAACGTGGATTATGATCGTAGTCGTAGGTGAAGTGGAATGGTGGGTGTGCGCTTCGGATAGTGTTAATGATCTATCGAAGCAACGTAAAATGAGATGCAGGCTCTCAGGTATACTTATATTGTTGAGCTGTCACGGGAAAATTCGAAGCATGGAGAGGGCGTAAAGGCGTGTTGTCTCTTTCTTTTGCCAAGCTGGAAGCAGACCTGGAAAAGTAGGCAACGAGGCTCCAATAGATATTTTGCCTCACACTCAACGGCTTCAGTCTCCGGAAAGGGTGCCTCATTAGATTGTATAGAGAATGAAGGAGGGAGAAGGCACCGATTGGGATACGGGTCTGATGGCTCGGACAAAAAGGCAAATGGCAAATCAAGGCCTTCAGGTTGTGGCCGTTGTTTCAAGGTGACGGGATCCATCTGGGCCACACGACTCGAAATTCGAAGTGCTTCAATATTCCACTTTTTCCTATTGTGCATATCTGATTCCTTCGTCAAGGATCAAGCATTATCCGGATTGAGAACACCAGTACCCGATGCATCCACCTGCCAGCCATGCCAAGCGCTAATCCAGCCCAATTTTTCCAATATGCACCCCTGAGTAAATGCAGAATCATTGTCGCCGGTATGAGGGCGGTTGTAAAGCTTTGGGGTTGAACAACCTAGAAAATGCCGCCAACGAACCAGGTAAAGGACAGTACAGTGACGATGCACATGCCAAACATGAACTTCAGAGCCTGCCGCTCCGTGTCCGATAGCGCAGCGCTGCACACCGCACAGGTCCAATCTATAAAGCCATGAGTCAGTACGCAACCGCGCGGACGTGTGCTCTCGAAAAGCACTTACCAGATAACGGCGTATACTTCTGCGGGATGTACATGCCGAAAGTGAAGTCATCCGATACACCAAGCTTGCCTGCCGATGCAACCTCTGTAATAGCCTCTTGAGCATCATAGATAACCAGCGTATACGTTTCCGTCAGCAGCGGCGCTGTGCCCGTGATATCCGGCGAAGTATCCCAGACAACACTTCCAGTCTTTTCAAAGCTCGCGTTGCTTTGCAATGTGTATGTCGCGCTATTGGCGCTGCAAGAGATCAAAACATCGACCTTTGAGGGCGTAATCGAGAGGGAGGTGTAGTTCCAGGCAAACGAAACATAGTCGCCTATCTTGTAGTATGTTGTTTGAGCTAGCGCGGAGGGGGTAATCATATTGACCCCGCCAGCAGGTAGGACGGGATTGACGCTCTGAGTTGTCGCAGCGGCCTTCTGAGTCCCACTGGCGCTGGCTGCTGCTCCAGACGTTGCGGCCGCTGTATCGCTGGCTTTGGCTGTCTTGGAGGCTGCTGTTCCGCTGGCTGACTTGGACTCTGACTTGGACTCTGACTTGGACTCTGAATTGGACTCTGATTTGGTCGTCTTGGATGCTGCATCGGATGTTTGCGTAGGAGATGCACTCGAAGATGATGAGGACGTATCTGCATGTCAGGTCAACTACCAATCCTAGTACCCCAGCTAGACGGGACCACTAGAGCTCTTACCACTCTTTGAATCGTCTTGCCTCCGTAGGATCAAGCCTTCTATATCTTTGTATGATGGCGGCCATGGCCAAGCTGAGGTGATGGAGGCGAGGAGGAAAAGCGTCAAGAGGACATGGCTGGGTCGAAGTCGTTGGATCATGATGGGCGACGAGCTGAACGAATGAACTTGAACAAATTGACAGACGCCAACACCGAGGGCCCAGAATCAAATTCTTCAACAACGTCTTCTTTCTGATCAAACGTCTCCAAGGGTCAGGACGGTAGTCGACAGAAGTGTGGGGTGTTGATCGTCGCCAATCCCTGATGCCCCTGGCAACTCCGGCGAAAAGAAAAGATAAGACGGATATTGGCAGAGAAACAGCGAATTAGCAAAGCGAGTGTTCAGGCAGTGAACGAGTGTTTGCCTGGAGTGGATGATATCTGTACGGGCAGATATTGCTGTTGTTGCTGTTGTTGATGAAGAAGAGGAGGGTGAAGTTGAATGTTTTTGGATAGAAGCCTACGCTCGGGAAGGAATCTATTTTTGGTTGACTGGTTGCCACCACTCGACATCCTCGACATCCTTCCCGCCTAGAATACGAGTTCAAGGGAGTATCGGCATCGGCATTGGCCTCGCACAATCATGGAAATGAAGTGCATAGGTGCTTTATTGGGCTTGAGCATTCGGTATCTAGGTAATCTATGTCCATGCAGTGGTCCCTCGTTAAAAGAGCGCCTGATGCAGATGCGACTCCCGTTAAATCGACCTACAACATATGGGTATCTCAGGTGCTCATGCTTTTGATTTGTATTCATCTTTCAAGACCCAACGCCCTCTCCCTCTGGTACCTCGCTCCAGTTTCGCGATCTCTGTGAGCATCGCCTTGAACTCCGCCGTCTTCTCTGGTGTGTTGCAGTATCGGTTGAAATGATCGATCAACATCTGCGTATGCACTTGCCCTCCTTGAACGACGAGATAGTCTCGTATCATCTTGATAAAATCGGTACCCCTTGGTCCCGAAGCATTGCTGTTTGACGTACTCCCTCTTGAACCAGCGGCGACGCCGATTGCCGCTTGCCTGTTCTGCAAACCTGCTAAAATGCTTGAAGAAGCTGGTCCGCCCCTTCCTCGACCAAGTCCTCGCTGTTGCTGCTCTGGTCTTCCAGCTGTTCCAAATTGGCCAGTCCACGTCGGAGTACCTACTGGTACATCTCTTGCCGCTTCACCTGCTTTCTTCAATTCTTTCGCAGCCTCAGCTGCAACCCTCTTGGCCTCTTTTTCGATCATCTTCGGGTCAGCCGTAATAACTTTCTTGCCATTGACGATCTGATCGTGCTCCAAGGCAGATTGTACCCCAGACTTAGCGAAGATGCCTTCCATGACACGGGCTTCTGAGTTCGCAGCTCCGTTAGAGGCAGCAGCCTTGCGTTCCTCTTCCTCTTCACCGTAGAAGCGCTCCATTGAAGCTACCCCGTTCAAATTGCGGACGGTGAAGGCGTTGTCACCTCCTTGGACAGTACTGGCTGGTGTCGCGCCACTGGTGTCACTGCTTATAACCGGCTCGGCAGGTGGCTCTTCGTTGTCAAATCGTACCTCAGTACCCTTGAAGAGCGTACTGGTCTCGGTAGCAGGCTCGTCAGCTCCACCAAGCGTGAATAAGTCGTGTAGATCCTTCATCTGGAATGTCTGTCGTTGCTTCGGATCCCTCAATATTTTGTTGATGAGGAATTGCTTGAAAAGCTGGCGGTGGTATATCTTCTCTTCGATGGTCCCCGCGGTCATTAGTCGATAGATCATGACCTCTCGTTTCTGACCTAAACGCCAAGCTCTTTCACGCGCCTGGACGTCGGTTGATGGGTTCCAGTCCGGGTCGTAGATGATGACTCGATTGGCTCCAGTAAGATTGATACCAAGGCCCCCCACTTTTGTGGTGAGAAGGAAGACGTGAGCGGCGGGATTGTTGTTGAATTCATCCACTAAGCCCTGCCGAGTGTGAATAGGGGTAGTGCCGTCCATGCGGCGATAGTTGAAGCCTCCTAGAGACCCAATGAACTTCTCAAGGATATCGAGCATGATCCGATGCTGAGCAAAGAGCAAAGTCTTATTCCCCTGCTCTTTCCAGAGCTCCAGCAATGCTTTCACAACTTGCATCTTGCCCGACTTGGCGCCACTACCGTAGTTATAGCCAGGCTTGACGGAAAGAATCTTATGATCTTGCAGGTCTGGATGGTTGCAAATCTTCCGAAGGATATCAACACCGTACAAGATCTGACGTTTGCCATTCATAATGGCTTTCAGATCATCGGACGCAAGGAAGTTCTCGTATGTGTCACGCTGGAACTTTGTCAGCTTGCAGAAAAGCACCTGCTCGCTCTTCTTAGGCAAGTCAGAGGCAACATCAGCTTTGAATCTTTGCAGGAGGTATGGGGATATCGTCTCTTTCAATGTCTCGGCACATTGCATGGCGGTCTGGACTTGAAGATTTGAAGCATTGGCGTACCCACCTTGCCGTATAGGGAACTCGAACTGTTGGCGAAAATTAACCAGGGTACCAAGTCGCATTGGAAAGACAAAATCAAAAAGAGACCACAGCTCCACGAGGTTATTCTGCATAGGCGTGCCTGATAAGATAATACGGTTTGCCGTTCTTAATTCCTTGCAATATATAGTGATAGCGGTATTTGGGTTGCGAATCTTATGCCCTTCGTCAAGCACGGCGTACTCCCAGTCTGTTGGGATCAGAAGCTCCGCGTAACTCTGGAGTCCAGAATAAGTCGTGACTAGGATATGTCCTTCTTGAACTACACGATCCACGATTTTCTTTGCCGATATCTGAGCCTTGGTCAAAGGCTTGCTTCCTATCGATCTTGGAGGTGCCGACATCAGCTCATCTTCTTCCCGAGACTCTCGACCCAGGTCAACCATGCCACTCCCAGAAGTATGGAGGATTGATACACGGAAGGGTGGCCACCAAGTGTGGAATTCATTGACCCATTGCTTCATCACTGTAGCTGGCGCCACAACAATGATGGGTTTCGTAATCTTCTTACTATAGTGCAGCCCGGCCAAGAATGCAATTATCTGTATCGTCTTTCCCAGGCCCATCTCATCACCTACAATACCACCCACTTGTTGCGAATAAAGCTCCCACAACCATTGAACACCGGTCTTCTGGTAATCGAAAAGGGAAGGATATATGTCTCCTGGGATGCGATAACCACCCTCGAACTCAGTATCTGGTGTGACAGGGTGTGGCTGGTGCCATTCCTCTTCTGAGTCGTGGCCATTTTGTGTCTCTGTGATCGCCGGAACATCGTCCATCGGAGTATCGGACTCCGCTACTGAACTCTCGGCTGCTCTGGCTGTGGCTTTCGCTCGTGTCGCGCTCCTCCTGCTGACCCAGCTGCGCAAGCGATTCTGGTATAAGCGTTCATTCCCATCATCGAGGCCATTCAAGTCCTCTTTTTCAATCTCAACCGGAGGCTTCTTTTTCCGCCTGCCTCCAGCTCTCCGTGGAGGCGTCGTGTCCAGGAATCTGGCGTCTTCCGACTCCTCATCAGACTCAAGTTCCGCCTCACCCAGAGCTGCCATGTCGCGATCGTCCAACTCTGGGATATAATTATCCCCTTCATCTTCAGAGGATGCCCCCCTTTCCGCTTTCACCTTCGCTGTAGAGGTCTGCTGTAAACCATTGGTGTGTCCTTCAGCGGGCGAATTCTTCGTGTGCAAACGTCGCCGCTTCCTTGGCCTATCTGAGTCTTCTGGCACCTCAAGAGGAGACTCATCCTCCTCATCCTCCCTGAAGCCAGGTTGAAGTAGGTTGCGGTGGGACAGTTTCTCCGTGGTCTGGGGCGTATCATCGCCAATTTCAGTTTCAGCTTCCTCTTCCTCAGCACCCAAGAGTACACCTTGAAGGGTAGAATCATCACGGCTGAGTGTCTTGCCGGGCAATTTAGAGAATGGAGTTATTTTTCCTGTTCGGATGAGAAAATCTCGCTGGCTTTCATTCGGCATTCTTCGATTCCCTGCTTCCTCGTCAGGGTGAACGTCATCATGGACTTCGTCTGCGTGTCTCTCATCAATGCGTGCCTGTATTTGCTCGAGATCACTCATGAAAGCCCTGATACTAGCTTCAAGATGTGAGATCTCCGCATTGAGACGTGTAGCCGTAGCCGACCCCGTAGGACGCCCTCTACGTTCGCGAAGTCTCCGAACTTGACTTTCTAGCTTTTCCTTGTCTCCCCGAGTCTTCTCCAGACGCTTCTTGTCCCTCTCATCCGCTTGCTCGGTGAGCAACTGGTCTGCTTGACGACCGATATCCCGCTCGAGGTCATCTTGATCCCTCACTTCTGTGGCAAGCTCTTTCAAACGACTAGCTTCGTCTTCGCCCAAAGTGTCCCCCCGTACGAGGCTTGGCTGAGATGTTTCAAAGCTTCCTTCAGCTGGGTGACTACGATCCTGCACATCCTTCCTGTCGTCACCGTTTGTAGGCTGCTTGGATGGGTCCATATTTGATCAGATCCGAGGATCAAAGCTTACATTCACGGTTGTAAATTGCTGGCATGCTAGCGGATTGGTGAAGCTTTGCGGAAGTCATGGATGGCTGAACGGGCCCATTCGTTGACCTCTTTGCTATAGTTTTCCTAGTTCACTTTCTCGTCTCACACCTGCATAGATTGTGCCTTCAAAATGAAAGGGAGTGTAGCACCAACTGTACGGCGGTGAGCGTATCAACATTCTGATGCTCAATAGACTAGAAGCACGATAGCCTAGAAGTGAATGATATTATTTAGGAACTCGTTGCTTCCCAGGACAAATTCAGACAATAATACTCTTACGTAGTGAATGCCGTCGCAACGGGAAGTTCCGCGCCCAAGGGAAAGCCCTGCCGCGACCATCGTCCAGTGTTCAGATCACTTACCTTAGCTCACGCTTCAGCGTAACAACTCCCTCTCTATGTATGGGATCGTGTCACTTTTGCCTGTTCGTGGATGTACTTAGGGTTCTGAATATCCACCAGGGATTCAGGCAGGCCGATCGCCAAGGGTTGCTTGCATAGCTCTAGCCTAAGCCACTATCCAACGTCGGGCAGGGGCACTTCGAAAAGCAGCAGGCCTCAGGCGCTCATGCTTCGACCCCCCACATTGAAACCCCGAGCAAGTAAACGCTCTTGAAGACGCCTGGGACCTGCTTTGCTTTTTGGTCGCCGTCATCGTTGCCTTCTAGCGTCACAGGACAGGCCAGCTTCTCGCCCAAGAAGGAAGGCCAATTGCTGCTCAACGCTACACGAAGCACGATACTCGCCGGGGTGTCTCACGACTTTTCAGCAGGCGCTACGATGGATCAGAACTGGCAGCCCTACACGGATGTGGCAGCAGCGAGCCGACAGGGACGATACCCACAAACAACAGGACAGCAACCAGCGAATGGTTCGGCGCAGCATCAGCCGCAGTCTGGATATAGCTATGAAGCTTATCAAACTCCTTCGGTACCTTCTCAACCACAGTCAATGGCTGTGTCGCCTATCGGGACTCCTCGTACGCGTGCCTATTCTGGAGACGGAGATGTTGCAATGGAAGATGCGGATCCCTACAATAGGATGAAGTACCCTTCAAGGCCTACTCATTCGCAACGCCCCTCTTCACAGTACTTGGGACAAGAGGATTCTTCCGCCGCAAGGAGGTATTCACCAATGAAGGCACTCTCACCTTCTTCACCTTACGCTCCGAGCTCCCAGCAATCGAGTCAAAGCCCATATGGACACTATCCATCACAAAGCACTTCGGCGCGACAATCCCCAACGCGCTCGAACCACTACTCTACTCCATCTCAATCGTACTATTCGACACCCAGTGAGTCACTAAGCATGCCAAGCTACCCCTCTCCCCGTCAATTTTTTTGCCATGATGCTAATCGTGCTCTAGCATCTTCTAGGCAACCACCCTTACAGCTTCCTCCCATCCACCCAAATTCTGACACCACTGACCAATTCTATCCGAACTCTGCAACAGCGCAATTGAATGCTGTTTTCGGCCGGGAGACAAAGTCACCGCGGCAAATGCGGCCAGTCCACCCTGGCACGGCAGACATGCCACGAGGACCAGTGCCGAGATTTAATAAGTTAGATTCTGTGCAGGACCTTCAGCCTAGGGTCAATCCGCAGCCTGCTTTTCGGCGAGCAAATCCAGAGGGCGGTTTCATTAGCGTAAGCTTGCTTGATCGATAGAATTATCTACTATCACTGACAGTTCTGGCCTTAGCCTTTGCAAGCATTGACCACTCATTTGCCCTCGACATATCGGATATGCAACCCAGCTTTCAAATACGAGTCATCCAGAAACCCACGAAGAGTCCTTACTAAGCCGAGCAAAGGCGTCAAGAACGACGGGTACGACAACGAAGACAGTGACTATATCTTGTATGTCAATGATATACTTGGCAATGAAGAGAACGGGCACAGGTAAGTTCTGTAATCCAAAAGTGCGCGTCGGGTCTTGTTAGTGATGCGCTGCTCTAGGAATAGGTATCTCATACTTGATGTTCTTGGCCAAGGTACCTTTGGACAGGTGGTGAAATGCCAGAACCTGAAAACCCAGGAAGTAGTCGCAGTGAAGGTTGTTAAGAATAGAACAGCATACTTCAATCAAAGCATGATGGAGGTCTCAGTGCTGGACTTGGTAAATCCATACAAACGTTCAATTTAAATAGACGACTGATTGGTTACGCAGCTCAACGGCAAGTTGGATAAGAATGACGACCATCACCTCCTACGACTGAAGGACACCTTTATTCATCGGCAGCATCTGTGTTTAGTCTTTGAGCTGCTCAGCGTGAATCTTTACGAGTTGATCAAACAGAACCAATTCCGCGGATTGAGCACAACACTAGTGAGGGTGTTTGCACAGCAGCTCTTGAATGGATTGGGTCTGCTCAACAAAGCAAGGCTCATACATTGTGACCTCAAGCCGGAAAATATCCTTCTTAAGAACCTGGAAAGTCCGGTCATCAAGATCATCGATTTTGGCTCAGCGTGCGATGAGAGACAGACAGTTTACACTTACATCCAGTCACGATTCTACCGGTCACCAGAAGTCCTCCTAGGACTACCGTACTCCTCAGCGATCGACATGTGGTCGCTGGGCTGTATTGTGGTGGAGCTTTTCCTGGGCCTTCCCTTGTTCCCAGGTTCGTCTGAGTACAATCAGGTATCTCGGATAACGGAGATGCTTGGTCTCGCCCCAACATGGATGCTGGAGATGGGGAAGCAATCGGGAGAATTCTTCGAAAAGACTCATGATGATTTTGGGAGACGTACGTACCGGCTCAAGCCAATGGAGCAGTATTCTCGAGAGCACGGTTCGAAGGAGCAGCCAAGCAAGAAGTATTTCCAAGCGACGACCTTGCCAGAGATCATACGGAGCTATGCGATGCCAAGGAAAAATATGAAGCCTGCTGAGATTGAACGAGGTACGTGCTTACTGATATGGTATAGTCTGCAAAACTGACTTTGCCTAGAAATGACTAATCGCCATGCTTTCATCGACTTCGTGCGCGGCTTACTCAACATAAACCCGCTCGAACGGTGGTCTCCCCAGCAAGCGAAGCTGCATCCATTCATTACGCAGCAAAAGTTCACCGGACCCTTTGTTCCGCCAATGAATTTGAAGTCCTCTTCTATTACGAAATCACCGGCTCCTGGAGTGCAGCAACAGCAGCAGGCCGAGGCTGTTAGCAAACAGCGAGCTCAAGCGGCTCAGGCACAAGCTCAGGCACAGGCACAGGCACAGGCCCAAGCACAGGCCCAAGCACAAGCACAGTCGGCAGCCCAGAACGCGTACGTGGCCAACATGCAGATGAGCCAGTACACGCAAAGTCCGCTTGGTCAAGCACCTCCAGCGTACAACAACATGTACACACCTCAACAAGGAGCACCTCCAGCTTACACTGCGGCCTCAGCTACCTTTGGTCAGCAGATGGGCATGATGCAACAAACACCCAGCCAGATCGCCCCAGCGCAATACACTCCTCAACAGAACCTTTATGCGCAAGCTGCAACCAGAGCAGGTCGGCAACGCGCCTCCACCATGGACCAACAGCAAGGCGGAATACCACAATCGATCCAAAGGGTGGCGAGCCACCTTGATCCGAACGCGCCAATCAGGTTGCAGCCAAGTCCCGCGTATTATCCTCCACCGCCAGATGGATATGTTGATCCAAATGCCGCGAATGCCAGGAGGAGGGGGAGCCGTGCAGCGAGCGGCCGGAACAGAAATTTCATACAGACTTTAGAAGATCGGACCATGGAGGAGGGATTTGTTAACCAGTCACAATGGCACTGAATGGGGACATAACATCTACCATACTGATGTTGTATTTAGACAGAGAGAGATTTACGGCCATTCCGCCATACAAATGGACATGGGATAATCGGGTGCGATTAGAGGGTTCGTGGCAATCATAAGACCGCAATCTGGACGAGGGCAACTCGCTAATAGCACCACTGCTCAATGATGCAAGCTACCTTTAAGACGCTCTGGCAATCGATGGCCGCAGCCGATACGCCCCCTGCCTTTGAAAAAATTCGAAAAGCACCAGAATGACTGCTTCACTACAGCGCTACCGATTGCGTCCTACAGATGCGATACAATACACGCCGTACGTTACAACATCCCTTGTCTTGGCTGGGAAAGGGGCTGCTGAGCAATGGGGATACGAGACGTTGAACCTCTCGCTTTGAGCTTTCAGCATTCTCTGGGCGATAGGCGTGACGATCCTATGGATGTATGTACGAATTAGGGCAGCAGGCCTGAGAATGAATTAGATTTAGTTCCTACCGAGGGAGGTGGGTGATTTATCCCTAAGACAATCCAGAACAGTGGGGACGAACCGGCTCTTTACCACAGTTCAATGCCCTTAATTACCAACGCAGGACCCAATCAGTTGTCTTTCTTTTCAAGGGAGCTCAGATTGACACTGCCTGAGGGTGGGGAACCCCTGATTGACTCAATTCTGCTGTCTCAGTATCGAAAAAGTCCATTGGCTTGGAGAACCTACCAATCATCCATGGCCTCGTCTTCATGTTCCCTGTTCTCATCTTCTGAATCGTCCGAATACTGTATGTTACCTGCATCCCCATTAGTGAATAAGCATACGTAGGGTCGAATGGCCTCCTAACCCTCACGGATATTAAGGAGTGAAGATATGAATATGACTGTAAGATGCGTATGCAGAGGACAGAAAAAACAAGATGATAGCTAGCGCTCACAGTAGCGCTAGTCCTCGTTCGGTCTCTCATATCAAGGCTAGCCCAGGTACATCTTCAAGGACATCTTCATGGCTGGCGAGCCGACGTAGTGATTCATATGTATTTGAACGTAGTCCTAACTCTCTAAGAAGAGTGCAAAGACTCCTCACACAAGAAATAAGAGCCGCTCACGGGCGCCATCGAAAAGAAGTCTCAAGCTATTACCCATAATCTCTTCTTTCTGAGCAATTTGTTCATACGCAGAGGGGAGATCTGGTCCATCGTAGTATGGAATTATATGCGTAAGGTTCGTCCACTCAAAGGCGGGGATCTGACGCTTTATCCTGATGTCACCTGGGCCTCAATTGGAGGTGATGAACTGGTTGTACTCTATAGCAAATGCCCAAAACTGTTCCTCCGCTGGCGAGACTTCTATTGGGCAGTAGTAAGAAAACGTACCAAATAGCGGCCATGCAAAGCTCTCCAATCACAAGAGGCGTATGAGACGGAAGCTAACAGTGAAATAGACCGTTCACGGCAGAAAACGAACACATCTCTTCACTGATCTAAATGACTTTCACTCCAAGTTGATGTAAACCAAACCCAGGCTTGCGAGGACTGAGAATTAGAGTGAAGTCCAACGGAGATACTACCCTACTGTGAGTCGGGTAGACCGCACATTGATGCAATGGAATCTCTGCGCCAGATGTCTTCAACTCCCACATGGTGCTTAGATCTCAGTACTCATGTACATGAAGATGCGATCAGAAGTGCGGCAGAAATGCAGTCCAGTTGACAGACTCGTACGCACTTGGCGGCAAAGCTCGAAGGATAATGAAACCCTTGACGATGACATCATCTCTGGAGAAGAATCCACTATGCAGCAACCCAGTATAGGTATGATGGCCTTCAATGGAATGTCTTGCACAAGGTCGTGTGGGTATGGGTTGTTCTTCGGCGGGCCAAGGAACTTCTCAATGCGGCAAACCAAGCGGAAACGTGCTGGGGTCATCATTTTGGCGTCGCAATGAAGCTTCGTGTACCCCTCTGGATGATGACCGGCGCTCCTTGTTCGAATGACTGCGGGTATCTCCCAGGCGTAAATATGCATGATTCGGTAGGTCAGAATAGCGCATATGATACCTCGAGTTGTGATATGCCACATTAGCTTCTCAGTATGGGTTGGAAATCTGAAGTTCCATCCACTGATATGGACTGCAGCATAGCCGTTTCGGGATAGGAAGAGTATACACACGGTGGTGTTGGGAAGAGGAGGGTAGTAACCGTCTGGGAATCTTTCGATAGGCCGCTGCGTGGAAGCAAAGGTGATATTAAAGAACTACCTGAGAACGCCCATTCAGTATGACCAGTATAGAGTCCATGACCAGTCCTCACGCCCAACATAATCCAGAGGAGTTCTCCTGTACGGCGCTTTTGCTCGGTCACCAGCATCGAGGAGAATTTGTCGAATGGTGGCATTAGGTTTGATGACAACGGCCTTTCCAATGTCGACTGGCTTGTAGTACCAGGAGTAGTATGTTCCCAGGGTACATATGATGAAGCCAATGGCTGCCAGCTCTAAACTTATGATTGCAAGGTGCTGAAACGCCCTGCCGACGGCTGCAATTACCAAGATATTCGAAGTACTGTTATAAGACGAACGAGAGTATCGACTTTGTTTCTTTCCTTGATGAGATCCTGCTCGATGCCCACATCTAAGTAGGGCACGTACTTATTGACAACGAGATAGTGGACTTGCTCAGCGTCGGGTGGGAATGGCGTCCACGGTTCCGGTCTCGGAGAGATCAGGGTGTAGCATATAGCCGCCCATATCTGCGTGGAAGGCATGTCTCATTGACCATTCTGTAGCACCAGAGTCGGGTAGTGGATACCCATAATGCTTGAATTTGTCAACGGAGCCACGCGCGGAGCACCATTGCCATATGGCGATCTGGAAGGTGAATTGAGGTCCTAGAAAGGTTAAGCAGGCCATAAGAGATTTGCGGTAACTACGCTTCTATCTGCCGAAAGATGCTGGGAAGACATTGAGACATAGGATTGTCCAGCTGCAGAGGACAAGTGTGACGCAACTGCTGACCAAGATCTCGTACGTTCCTCGGCCACTTGGTGAAGAGGTCCAGCCTTGCAGAGGTAGATGGTGAGTTGAATTTAGGAGTACAGAATGTGGTCTAGCAGACCATGCGGTACAGTGGGGATGATGTATGGATGGTCCATACACAAGTAAAGGGCAAAAAGTAGATTTCTATGGCATGATCTAGCAGCATAAAGAAGAACACTGTCACACATAAGCGAGTCCAGAAGCTTGGAAGGAATCAGTAAAGATGCATGACGCCGGATGGATTCCACAAGTCACAACAGGTTTCTTTAGCGCACGCTGCATGAATGACCCGAGCACGTCTGGTACGGAATATTATGCCGCTTCATATTTCGTTCAAACGGATAGCTACAGCCTCCATCTTCGGGCCAGGGATGCTCGAGAAATTCCATCCCATGTCCATCGCAGCATGCTCAATTGAATAATTACTCTGAGGCAGAGCGAAGACTGAGCGATAGAGCTGGCCGTATTTCTGCGCAGACACCCAACCAGGTTTTGCAGAGAAACCTGAAGGGGTGGTCTTCATAGCTTCATCCTTCATGCACCACCAGAGAGAGAGAGCTGCTGGCGTAGGGCGGCAAATGGACGGGATTGGCCAAGCTCAATTTAAATCTAAACTCTAAAGTACGGAGCGGGAAGACCAACAGGAGCGAGGAGCCGAACATACGCGCGCACTGATCCCCTGCATATTTAATATTGCTCCCCAAAGTTCTCCAATGATAAAAAAGGTGATTGATCTCGGAGGCTTGTTGTCTCGACAGGATTTGAGGTCCTCTAGCCCCGACACTGATATTCTCCTCTTAAATCTCGAGCTTGTTAGATGTCATGCTGCTCCCGCTATTGAATGCCAATCCACTATACCCATGTATATAATGCTCCGTTTAAAGGCGTTGTGCCTTCATTGATGTGCTTGTCAGTGGTTCGGTCATCTTATCCTGCCTAGCATCCGACCCTATCGACACTGTTTTTCTATATGTCTACACTTTTGTAACCCATAGCTCTGTGATTCCGAAGAGTTTAATTATATATTCCAGTCATTTTCAACGAGCAGAGCCTATCGGTCGCTGGCCTTCACGCCATCACTGCGCACTCATGGAAAGCCACAATGATGCGGTGAAAATCATTGCTGCTCAAGTCCGAGCGTTCAACGCACGAAAGGAACCGTTCCGCATTTATCATGGGTCCACGAACTGCACCCGTACGTCTCGGCGTCAGCGAGATCAGATGGTTGACATCAGCAGCCTGAACCATGTCCTCCAAGTCGACACCCAGGCCAACTTTGCTCTGGTGGAACCCAATGTACCTATGGATGTGCTGATAGAAGCAACGCTCCGTCATGGCCTAGTGCCGCCAGTGGTCATGGAGTTCCCCGGTATAACAGCTGGTGGCGGTTTTGCTGGTACCGCTGGTGAAAGCAGCTCCTTCCGATATGGCTTCTTCGATAGGATCGTTAGCTGGATCGAGATTGTACTCGCAACCGGTGAGGTGGAGACTGCCTCCACTGTCCTGAGATCGGATCTTCTCTATGGCGCTGCAGCCGCTTTTGGTACTTTGGGGATAACAACCCTGCTCAAGATTGAACTGAAAGAGGCGAAGACATACGTGGAGCTCAGCTATTTCCCAGTCAACAGCATATCTGAAGCATTGGAGAAATTCAAACAGATCGCCAGGGACCCCGCGATAGACTATGTGGACGGGATCCTCTTCGCCTCCAATGCCGGTGTAGTATGCTCAGGGCGGTTGACCAGCGAAGCATGCGGTAACGTCCAAGGTTTCGCCCGTCCAAGTGATCCATGGTTCTATCTCCATGCTCAAAAGCTCGTCGAACGGTCATCCAACCCGACCGTAGAATCGATTCCTTTGGTCGACTATCTCTTCCGTTACGACCGTGGCGCGTTTTGGATGGGATTCTACACCTTCAAGTATTTTCTCGTCCCATTCAATCGCATCGGACGCTGGGTTCTGGATCATTTCATGCACACCCGAGTAATGTATCATGCGCTTCACAAGAGCGGCCTCTCAACAAAGTATATAATTCAAGACGTTGTCGTACCGTATGCGACTGCCAACGATTTCCACAAGTACGTCGATGAGACTTTAGGCTTTTACCCGCTCTGGCTTTGCCCTATCCATCAGAGGGGACAGTCACAACAGGCTCCACAAGGACCGCTTGCCGAAAAGCCTAAGCCTAATGACCCAGAGATGCTCCTCAATTTTGGCGTTTGGGGCCCCGGGCCCAGCAATCGGCGCGCCTTCGTCGAGACCAATAGGAAATTGGAACACAAAATCCAAGAACTCGAGGGTAGAAAGTGGCTTTATGCCCACACATATAATACAGAAGAAGAATTTTGGGAAATGTATGATCGCAAAAGCTATGATGCTCTACGGGCCAAGTATCAAGCCGCTTACTTACCAAATATATATGAGAAAGTCAAGGTTGATGTTGAAGGAGAGGAGAAGGCGATGAGGGACTCTTGGATAGTCTACCTGCTAGCTATTTTCTGGAGTATCTGGCCACTGGGTGGGCTGTATGGTCTTTACAACGCAACCTTTGGTGGAGATTATCTGCTGACTCGTGATGTCTGGTGGAATGGGGTCCAGCAACTGAAAAGATAATTGTCCAAAGTATCATCCGCTTCTGCTCTGTTGGAAATTTTGCACGTAGACATAGAATAGTGCCTCTAACGCTGTAGCATAGCGGGCTGACTCGAGCCTGAAGTTCAGGGCACCAGGGCTGACTCGTAGCCGAAGAATTCTTGCTTACTAATCAATGGCAGTCGCGCACCGAATTTCAACAGCTCACAATTGAGCTTTTGGATAAGTACCGCAAAGTTCTACCACCTAATCTAAATTCGCCCATTTACATATCTGCCAAGATGTCTCGATTCTTCACACAAGGCGATAGCTCCAGCGAGAGCAGCTCCTCAGACGAGGAGGAGCTCTACAGCGAGGAAGAAGGCGCGCAAAAGTCCGAAGAAGAATCAAGTGAGGAAGAAGAAGCATCGGAGGAGGAGGCGTCGTCATCCTCGGACGAAGGGGGAAGTCCGGGGTCTCCAAATTTCTGCGAGATGTGGCCTCGAGTGATGAGAGCGAAGATGAGGACAAAGTGACGGTCGTCAAGAGTGCGAAAGACAAAAGACTGGAGGAACTGGAAGGCGTGGTAAAGGTCATCGACAATGCGTCTAAGATTGGTGACTGGAGCACAATAGCAACTGGTAAGCACACATATTGCTAGATCTACAATCTGAAGGCTGCTAATACTGGGCCTCTACAGAATTCGACAAGCTCAACAGGCAGGTCACGAAGATAACGGCTTCGGAGAAAGCGCCAAAAGTCTACGTCAAGACTATATCCGATTTAGAAGATCTCATGAATGAAGCGATTGCAAAGCAAAAGGTCTCGACGAAGAAGATGAACGCTACAAACGCTAGGGGGCTTAATGCCATGAAGCAAAAGATCAAGAGAAACAACAAAGACTACACTACCGAAATCGAGAAGTATCGGGAGGACAAGTTTGATTACATGATGTCAGAGGAAGAAGAGGAGGTCGTGCCTGTCGAAAAGACGAAAAAGGCAAAGGTGTCATACGCAGAGGGAATCGATGCTGGAGATGATGAGGGCTTCTCGACCGTAGGCCGAGGAGGTAAAACGCTACAATATACCCCCGAAAGTATTTTGAAGCATCTTCGATCAATTGTGGAGTCTCGAGGGAAGAAGAATACAGACCGGGCAGAGCAGATCAGAATAATGGAGAAGCTGCTAGAGGTCGCCGACACGCCGTATCGCACTATTCGAGTCCTTCTCACCGTAATAGCAACCCGTTTCGATTTGACTACCGGCTCGACGGCGACTTTCATGTCTCAAGAAAACTGGAAATCCGCCGAGCATGAGTTTGGCAAACTTCTCGAAACACTAGAAGCGAACCGAAACCTGGTCGTGGTCGAGAACGCCGAGGAGTGGGATGATGACGAGAAGCCACCGCACCCTGCACCAGGAGAGAAGCTCAAGATTCCTGGAAGCGTCGTATCAGTAGTCGAGCGTCTGGATGACGAGCTCACGCGGTCACTGCAGCACATCGATCCTCATACGGCTGAATACATAGAAAGATTGCAAGATGAGCAAGCTCTCTACACCGATATCCTGCGGGCTTTGCTCTACGTCGAAAATCTGAAACGGGATGAAAAGCTTGAACAGTCCGACGATGCTGCGAACAGGGTCGTGATGAGGCGGTTGGAGCACGTATATTTTAAGGTACGTTGTATCTATCTACTTGATATCACAGGTGCTGAAAATGTATCAATAGCCTGCGCAAGTCGTGCACATCCTCGAAGAAAATGCTTGGAAAGCAATACCGTCCCAACTCGATTCATCTATCACTCCTCGTGCCAATGATGCAGACATAGATTCCCTGGTCCAGACATTAAGCACATATCTTTTCAAACACAGCGCGGATATCATTCGCGCAAGAGCCTACCTTTGCCAGGTCTACTACTTTGCGCTGCACGACCACTATTACAAGGCTCGAGATATGCTGTTAATGTCTCACTTGCAAGAAACGATCGCAAACTTCCCCATCAATACACAAATTCTGTTCAACCGTACTTTGGTGCAAGTCGGTCTCTGCGCTTTCAGGGCAAACCTAGTCTACGAGTCACAAAATACCCTTCAAGAAATTTGCGGTAGCGGACGGCAAAAAGAGCTTCTCGCCCAAGGCGTCATGATCCAGAGATACTCACAAGTAACACCAGAACAAGAGCGACTCGAGAGGCAACGACAACTACCCTTCCACATGCATATCAATCTTGAGCTGCTAGAGTGTGTCTACCTGACATGCTCGATGCTGTTGGAGATCCCTCTGCTGGCGCAGACCGGTTCGTCACCAGACGTCAAGAAACGAATCATCAGCAAGACGTACCGCCGTCTCTTAGAATTTCACGAGCGCCAGATCTTTACTGGACCGCCTGAAAACACTCGAGACCACGTCATGCAAGCCTCAAGAGCGCTAGCTGCTGGCGAGTGGAAAAAGTCTGCTGAGCTCATCAACTCAATTAAGATCTGGGAATTGATGGCCGAGCCAGAAAAGATCAAGGACATGCTGTCAGCCCAAATACAAGAAGAAGGCTTGAGGACGTATCTTTTCACATACGCTCCATTCTACGACACCTTGGCAGTTGGCACACTAGCATCGATGTTCGAGCTTTCAGAGAGAAAGGTTGCTGCCGTCGTGAGCAAGATGATCTCGCACGAGGAGCTGGCAGCAGCTCTTGATCAAGTCAATAGCGCCATCATTTTCCGAAAAGGCGTTGAACTGTCGAGACTGCAAAGCCTAGCTCTTACGCTCAGTGACAAGGCTAGTGGTCTGATAGAAGCAAACGAGCGGACTTTAGAACAAAGGACACAGGGTACAGCTAATGCTTTCGAGCGACAAGGTGGCCAAGGAGGTAGGGGCGGACGTGGTGGGAGAGGGAGAGGTGGAGGCCAAAGAGGAGACCGTGGCGGTTCCAGAACTCGTGGTGGACAGCAATTTGGTGGTGGTGCTCTTGGTGGTGCAATCAAAGCTTAAAACGATTTGCATTCTTTCATCTCTTGCTGCGGAAACAGAAGAATGAGTCCATACATGTATTCATTCAAATGAGTACTGGCGCTGTGCTGTGCATGAAGCAGGGGGTATCATTGAATGCAAATAAAAAAATCGACTCTCCCAAAATTGACTCTCGACACTCTATGCTCTCAATCCTCAAAGTCGTTCATGGATGTCGGTGACCAATATTCTTTCTCCGGAGCTTGGAGATCGACCCAAACCAATGAGTCTGCCAATAAATCTTCGATAACGGTTTCCGCTCTTGCATGCTCCCATCCCAGGTTGTCTTCCAGCATGGAAGCCGTGACATACCCCAGTACTTGAATAGCCTCCAGAACCCGCGATTGATCCGTATTTAGTTCCTTGGGAATCGATCGTATCATTTGCTTGCTTCCAACGGTTACGATCGAGAAGCCAGATCCCAACGGGTTGAGAGATTTGACAGCCCGCAGTATATCATCACTGTAAAGCAAGGACTGTAAGCTCTACCAAATCTTTGAATTGGAGAATACGAGCGGACGGCCGTGAAACTTTCTACATACTCACTAACATCCATCCCCCCACCAATTCCCCTTCCCTTTTTGACCTGTTCTTTACACTCCTCCACCCCCAGCAACCCTCCATTTCCCCCTCTGCTTCCCCTACAGACCTCCACCACTCTGACTGCCAGCTCAAAATAGAAATCATTGACATCCCCACCCAGCACTTTCGCCCATAGACTCCCGATCGCTCCCTTTCCCGCGCCCTTGCCCTTCACGTTGCTTCCAGCAAGCGGATCGACACCAATAGCATTACACATGCGAGCAAATTCGGCGCGGAAGCTCGGATTTGACTTGATGGTGTCGGCATGCTGGAGGGCAAAGTTGTGGAGGAGGGACTGGAAGACTGAGAGTTGGGTTTGGAGAGAGGAGAGGTGCGTGCTGCGAAGGGAGGCGCCGTGGGTCGCATAGGAGGTCGAGAGGGAGGAACGATTTTGGAAGGCAGAGAGACCTACGCCTCGGCGGGCGGACATGGCAATAGCGATGCTCCTTATCACAACCACCGTTGGCAGATTGAATCTTGTAGGAATGGATGCCTCGTAAGGTTCTGTTTCTGTGATAGGGCTGAGAATCCATTAAGACTTGGAGTAGCTTAGCGCCATATTCAAGCGAAAATTTCTTGGCACACAATTTTGACGTCGGCAAAGACTTTTCTGTTTGCTCCCTACAGCCCGCATCTCGACGACCATCTCGCATCTCAGACCCCAGACAATCGTCAAGATGGCGCCAAAGAAGCATCAAGCCCAGGTCAAGACGTACGCACTCCCTCCGACGCTCCTCTTCTCCAATTTGTCGCTCGTGGTCGTGCCATAGCTGTCCGCTCCCTGGCTGGGTTTGCTTTCGCAATCGCCTGCGTCAGCACCAGCTCGATCAGTCCCGCAGTCTACTGTTGATGACTTCAGTCTACCAGATTGAATACTCTGCAGAAGGCAATGGGGTGTTGAGGTTGAAGACCATCTTCTCCTTGAAATTCAGTGCAGCATTCGACCTTCGACCTGCAGCTTGTACCATGCTCGCTGCTCGTCTATGAAGCCTCGAACACATGCGTGCAATCGTCCTGAGCTCTGCTCGGGGTTTTGTCGTCTGAGGAAAGCGTCTGAGTACCGTGAAAAGCTCGTCTCCACGAGGCTTAGCTTAGTAGCCGAAATGTCCTTCTCACCGATTAAATTCATTTCGTCGAGTCATACCTCAGTCCGAGAATGCCGCAACGCAGCTGCACTTCTTTACTTGGCGTTTTTCTACACTTGACTTGCGGACAGACTATACTGACCTTGTCGTTATTTGGGTGTCTACAGATCCGTGCCGACTGAGGATGAGATCCTCGTCCCCGAGACCCTGTTGAAGAAGCGCAAGAGCCAGGAAAAGGCGCGTGAGGAGCGTTCCGCTGAGCTCGAAAAGAAAAAGAAGGTCGGTCACGATTTCATTCCTATAATCTTCTGCCGCTTGAAGAAGCTGTGGATGTGGACGATCGTGATGATAAATACCAATACCGCGACTAGGCCTTCGGGTCGATGCTGTCGCTCTACATTAACCATCTTTCGGGTCTGAATCGTCCACGAGAAGCGTTGCTCTTTACATACCCTCTTGGCACGACATTGCTAACAGCATACAGGCCCAGAAGGAGAAGCGTGGAGTCATCTTCAAGCGCGCGGAATCCTACGTCAAAGAATACCGGGATTCAGAGCGTGAGAAGATTCGCCTGTCCCGCTTAGCGAAGCAAGAAGGCAACTTCTACGTGCCCGGCGAGCCCAAGCTCGTCTTCGTTGTCCGCATCAAGGGGTAAGCCTCCCTTACCCTCACCCTTACCTTGTCCCCACTCCATTGCCCTCTCTAACATGCATTCCCAGTATCAATAAAATGGCCCCTAAACCTCGCAAGATTATGCAACTCCTGCGTCTCCTTCAGATCAACAACGGCGTCTTTGTCAAACTCACCAAAGCCACTTCCGAAATGCTCAAAATTGTCGAACCTTACATTGCCTACGGCTACCCCAGCATCACAACAGTCCGCGACCTCATCTACAAGCGCGGATACGGAAAAATCAACAAGCAGCGGATCCCTCTGACCAACAATCAGATCATCGAGGAGAATTTGGGGAAATTTGGTATCATCTGTATGGAGGATTTGGTGCATGAGATTGTGACTGTGGGGCCGAACTTCAAGCAGGCGAGCAACTTCTTGTGGCCGTTCAAGCTGTCAAATCCGACGGGTGGGTTTAGGACGAGAAAATTCAAGCACTTTGTGGAGGGTGGTGATTTGGGGAATCGGGAGGAGAAGATCAATGCGCTGATCAAGCAGATGAACTAGGCGGCTAGTAGACGAGATGTGGTGTGATTAAAAGCAATGTCGGCTGTTGCCAATCGAGGGACTTCAGAGCATGTAAATGCTGTGGTGTAGCCTCTTGTGGTTATTGCTAGGTCAAGCTTCTTGCATTCAACTCTTCTTTCTGAGCTATTGGAGCCTGATTTCTTAGTGCTTTGAGTGCGTGCTATCCAAGCATAAACCCTATGCATACAGCAAAAAAATCATCACCATGAACAACAGTTTCTCCCTTCTTCTACTTCTGTAAAGCAAACCCAAACAACCCATCCATCTGCACCCATACCCTCCCGCACCTCTTCAAATACCCCTCCACAACCCCCTTACACGTCCCAAACCTCTCCCTATTCCACTCTTTCACGGCCTTCACTTTCTCCCTCTCCTCCCCCTCACCGTCACCGTCACCCTTCACCACCCCATTGCCTACCTTCTCCACGTCCCACAAACCTCGAAGATACAACAATTGATTATACATATCCTTTTCAGAGTACTCATACCTCATCCGGCCCAAACAACCTTCAGCACGACCTTTGGGTCCAAGACAGCGGTGTCCATAGACGCTGATCTCCCGCGTGCGGTTTCCACAGCTGCTGTCGTCGCAGATGAGGTGGGCGTCGTAGTACTTTGATGTTTGGAGACGGATGGCATGTTCGAGTTGGGATACTACACCTAATGTGGAGAAGGGGCGTTTGCAGTCTGGTGCCGGGCAGACGATGCCTTCGGGGGTGACGTTGGCAATGGAAGTGGCTATACCTTCGAAGAGAAAAGCGTGTTTGCAGAAACGGCATTTGAGCGATAGTCGAGCGCAGTCTCTGAACCGGATAGAATCCGGTACTTGACTTTCCAGCGGACTGATCTCCTGCGTTTGGTTCGAGGACGCCGCAGAAGCAATGCTGTATTTCCTCGTATCAAGACCGAGGCATTCGGCAAGGTGAACGGCATCGGTGCCAGGCATGGGGGCACATAGACGTTCGATGGGAGGGAAGATCTGCTTGTAGAGGTACCATTCAATGTCTGGTTTTAAGGTTGAGGAGGCCGATGTTACGTCTGCAGGGGCGTAGGCACGTTTGGCGGTGGATTCATGGGCTGTGGTGGTCCCCACGGCATGCGCGGTCATGATGTAGGAGATCACGTCGTTCACGCGGACACTTTTGCCTTGGGCGAGGGCGCGGAGAGCGACTTGGACTTGGGGCATGCTGTCGGAATTGGGGTAGTCTTTGGGGTTTTTGCCGAGTTTCTGGGATGAGGTTAAGACGATTGAGTGAGACGGGCAAAGGACAAGGGTATAAAGAGGACTTACTGTGAAGATGATATATTTCTGAGCTGGGACCTTCTCCTCTCTCATCCTCTCGGACAGCTCGCGAAGGTACTCGTGGACTTTGCCGACCACCACCTCGGGCTCTTCGCCAGACAAGATTAAATTCAACAAGCGTGATGACGCTTCCTTGGACAAGGCACAGTATTCTCTTCGCTTCATATCAAGACCTTTGACTTCAAGCTTGTCCACATACTTGCCGTCAACCTCCATCATGTTGATCGCGGCGTACTTCTTCTTGGCATGTAGCAAGAGTCTTCGGAAAATGTTGTCAATGTCGATCTCCAAGAGCTTGTACTTCTCATTGACGGAACGCTTGAAGTCAATGCCAACTTTCATCGCGTCCTCGATATTATCAGCGTTAGTATTGATCATAACAGAATCGGTGTCTCCATAGATGACTCGCAACTGCGTGCTTTCCGCAAGGTCTTTGGTACTCCGCAAGATCTCTCGGCCCTTGGATGTTGTGAGCATAGCCAAAGGCCGGGCGTAGAACCTTGACTGCGTATATCCAAGACAACCGTACATGGAATTGGCAGTCAATTTCAAGGCAAGTTGCTTGATGTCCCAAGTAGCAAGCTGGTCAACAGTGGCCTTCTTGTCTTTCATGAGAGCCTTGACCTGCCTTCGACGGCTGACGAGGGTAGCGATGAGTTTCGGCAGTATACCTTGGTTTTGGTCCACAGGGACATCAGGAACTTTCTCGTCGTTCTCCAACTGTTCATTGTCAGCCTGATCTGAATAACATTGGGGGGAAAAAAAGAGTACGTACCTGATCTGATCGATCGACTGTAGTAAAGCATATGTTGTACTCTTGAATAATGCTTGGGTACAGACTGTTGAAATCCATGACCAGGATAAATTTGTGGTAAAGCCCCTTTTCTGGCTCGAATACAAGTCCACCTTTGAATTTGTCTCTCTTCTTCACATCAGCACCCTCCTCGCCCTCAGGCGTTTCTTCTTCGATGTGTGCTTTGCCCTTGCCAAATACTTTGTCAGGACAGATGTACTTGTTCTTGTTGAATTCGTGTAGCAGGATGTACTCGTTACGCTCGGCTCTGGTACCACTCAACGTCCTTGCCCAAGAGTTTCCGGCCAGGTTCGTGAGGACTTTCGTCAGTGGTAGCATCTGCACTCGTAAGGCGAGGGCGGCGATGAAGTATGTATCAGCCTCGCAATGATTGACGTAATTTAGGAGACCTTCTCTTGATGTCGCCCAGGTCTTGAGAGCAACCTCGTTGTCTATTTCACGCCGTGGGTTCCCTTCACCAAGGTAAAGCTCGCACATCTCAGTCAAGCTCCATGACTGGCATTTGGTCATTAATGACTTGCCCATGTCGTTTGCAACATCACAGAGAAGGCGTCCTGAAACTAGTTGCCTCTCTGCAAAGAAGCTTCCGCCACCCTTTCCCATATTTTTGGGCCATTCGCTTCGCCTCATTCGCCCTATTTTGTGCCAGCCTGGAGTCTTCCTATCCCGGAAGCGACTTAGCAAGATCGGGTAGTCAACATCTTGCAATTGGTGGCCCATGAGAACATCTGGATCCGCCCTCTCTAAGACTGCAAGGAACATAGAAAGGAGCATACTCTCGTTCTTCCCAAGCATGATAGTGCCACGCTGCTTCTTGCTCAGTGCATCAAAGCCGGTTGGATAAGAGGTCTCAGCAGGGCGCATGATGGTGTAAGTCTTGCATGGCAGATCCTCCGGACGAGTCGTATCAGTAAGAGAAATGTTCTCATAAATACGCGCACTGGCGACGAGGATCTCTTGCTTGTTCTCTTTCACATTCAAACTTGTTCTGAGTGCGATGCTCATGAAGGTCAAAGGCGGCGCATCCATGTTGTCGGATTCTTTCAGCGCAGTAACGGCCTTGGGAGATGCAACTTGAGCCTCAAATTTGCACCAAGAGGCGTTGTTGAGGGGTGCAAATTCAGCGCCGTCGATCTTCAACCAACATGGACCCATGATGTTCTTCCAGAGAACGAACTGCTCAAAGAGCGCAGTCGTAGTTCCAAAGACGTGTGAGAAGGTGTCCCCCTTCATGCCTACCGGCAAAGCAGGCTTCTCATACGGGTACATCAGCTTCAAGTAGTCGGCTTCCTTTGGTATATCTGGAAGTTCAAAGGCGTATTTCCTCGAACATGGTTTAATTTTGTGCATGTCCACGCGAAGTTTTGTCATGACCTCGTCTACTTCTTGATAGACATCACCCATCTCAACTTCGGTAGATGTGTCTCGCCCATGTTTTTGGCGGTAAGTTCGGGGTAGGAAGTAGAGCTTCCTTAGAATATTATCAATCTTTACAAAGGCACTGACATATGCGCCTGAGTTCTTGTCTTTGACCTTGCCAAAGAGACAGAGGCTGCCATGGACCTCAGTGTAGTCTGTCCAAAAGAAGCGTAGACTGCCGTCATCCTCGGTTGCGTCTTCGATCCTGACTTTTCCAAAGCTAGATGTTGCTGGCTCTTGGCTGCTCAAAACATTGAGCTTCGAAGTGATGTCGTTCCACGCAGATGCGTCAACAACATCGGTTGGTGGTCGGGTAGGAGAGGAGCTTGCTGGTGATGGATACGCAGGAGCTTTCACGACCTTCGGGGTAGGACGTGATCCAGACATATTGACACTTGCAGCCTTGACTTTACTATCCCCAATGGCTTGAGCTACCTCCATCATGTCTTCATCCTCCTCCTCGACCTTGACTGACTGCTGACCCTTACGATCCACCGCATTCTTGGTCGGCGAAGATGGTATTGGATCGCTGGCGGGGAAGGCATCGTCATCTATGCCTCCCATAAAGCCATCGTCGTCATTGTAATTTGTTTCTAGAGGCGGGGTGTTGAGCAAGTGGGCAGCTTTGTTTGCTTCTCTCTGCTTGGGAAGGGCGATTTTCCTTTCTAGTGATACTGGAGGCGAGAGCACGCGAGTCTTCCGTCGAGATTCCGTCTTGACCGTCTTCAATGGAAGACGACTTGGTATGTTCGTGTCCACTTCACCCAGCAGATCTGCCATGAAAACAGCATCCTCGACAGTAGCGACAGGCTGGGAAAAGTATCAGTATCGTAGATGCAATGTCGAGTTGAGGAGCTGACCTTCGGCTTTGGAGCCGCAGCAACAGGTCCATTACTAAAGTACTTGTTGATGCTGTTGTTGGTTCTTTCCGTCTTTTCCTTGTCTTCTTCACGCTTTCTCTTCGCTACGGTCATGCTTCAGCCAGTCCCAGAAGGGAAGACTCCTGTGAGACGACTGACCAGCTTTGCCTTTCAAGGGCAATTCCTCCTCGCTTCCACTGGCACTGTCGTCCCTCCGCTCGCCCATCCACTCTTCCCGCCCATCGTCCGCGTACCCCTCGCCATTGTCATCTATGACGAAGTCATCTTGATCAAGGCGAGCCCTGACCACCTTTTTGTAGCCTTCTTCGTCTACCTCCTCATATACATTCTCTTCTTCTTCTACATTGTAGGTAGAGAGACGTGTCTTGCCAGATGCTCGCAGCGCTCGCAATTCTGCGAGACGTGCGTGGCGCGACATAGGTGAATGAGACTCCAGATGACAGGTACAAACGGTCAATCCATCAAGGGTATGATTGAACAAATTGTTATTGCACAATTGTGTCAAAGAGTTGGATTTCCCGAAGTGCAGGTCGCGAAAACACGAGCACGCGCAACGCGGATCACTGTTGGCGAACTAACGGAGCTAAGATAAGATTAGGGCTTGCTCTTCCTAAAATACTTTATTGACACGACAAGCGTTAACGAGAAACCTCCTTGCTGTTAACTGTCTAACCTGGACCGGTTTTGTTCGTGAAAAGATAGCTATTTTCGGAATACCACCAACATCTGACGTAGCAAAAGGGATATTCAGCCTCCCAGACTGCAACTGTTTCTGACGGTTTGCCTGGCAACGGAACATGGCTCTTGGCATAAAAGAGGGATAGTAGATATCGGTGCAAGAAATGAGCTGTCTACTTTCAATTGAACCCAATTGCATTCTGATTGGGAAGGGACGTACCTCAAATTCTAACCACACCCACAATCGGGCTTTGAGGCTCTTGCAGGCTCGACGCTATGTAATACTGCAGAATGTTTGTCTTTCGACTTCATGTGAGGCTATCAACTTGACAAATGATTTGGGGATTAGCTCAGTGACTCGTGAGTCTTTGGCAAACTTGAAGCTTGAGAAAACATCAACTTGACGCACACAGCAAAGGTTCATAGGGCCGCAGGCTTGAAAGCCTGCGAGAGCTATGACGTGATCGAACAGATACGTTGGAAGACAGGCAAGGAAAGTGTGGTATTTCTGGGGCTTGAGAAGCAGACGCATCGGCAGATAGTCTGCACCTCAATCGTTTGGTTTTGCCATACGGAGTATCAACGATTTACAGACATAGAAGCTGGCAGACATGTTGGAAACTGTGCCCTGATTTGAATCCGTTCGCCGTTGTCTACATCTTTTTGGCGATATAAACACTAGTCACAGATTTTTCCTATACTTCTTGTGAATTGTTTTAATCAATGTAAACAGAGTGATAAGAGATTATGGTACGTTCATGTGGGTAGACGAGGATATAGTTTTGTTTGTAAGCAGCTATTCCACCAGGCCAAGTACCCTTAACTGAATTGGGCTAGTCGCTTCTGGTCTCCAATCAATCTGAGATCCCGCTCCCGTTCATCCGAGGTCCAAACTTTGGTGGATGCGGGGTCCTTTTGTTGCATCCACTCCTCTACTCGTTACCTTACCTTACTTTAGGTATGCGGGGAAAAGCCAATCGTCGTGCCACGCCTCTCAAGATGCCCACTTCCACACCTTCCCTTTGGCCCCGTACTGGCTTGGCCTGCGATGTAGAAACAACGCATTGCTTCTACCATCTTCTATCCAAGACCACATACATATACCACTGCAGCATCATCCAATTGACACACCATGGCTACCGCAGCAGTGCAAATACCGTCGCACAATCGCATCGAGTCGGGCTCAAACCAATTGAAGCCGGCAGCATATCCAAGTGAAGCCGACTCTAATGCCCCGCCTAAAGCCGATGTCCACAAGATTGCTTCGGAATGGGCTGAATCGTTGAATAAGGCTCTGTCGAACCGAGATTACGAAAGCCTCAAGCAGCTGTTTCTACCAGGCTCGTGCTGGCGTGATCAGCTTGCCCTCTCCTGGGATTATCACACTTTCAACGGACCAGAGAAGATCATCTCGTTCCTCGAATCCTCCCCTCACGGCAGCCGTATCAAGTCCATAAGCATCGACGATAGTAGTGCTCTGCACTCGCCTCATGTGTCTGCCGCGGACTTCAATGGCAAGATTAACGGTGTGGGATCGTTTCTGAACATCGAGACCGATGTTGGTAAGGGACCCGGCATCGTTAGACTGTTGCAAGATCAGCAAGACGGTGGGAAATGGAAGGCTTTCACACTCTTTACGGCAATGCATGAGTTGAAGGGTCATGAGGAAACCGTGCGTGGGAACAGACCACATGGAGTTACTCACGGTGGGAAGCCGGGGCGAAAGAACTGGCAGGAGAGGAGGACGGCGACGGAGAATTTCGAGGGTGACATGGAACCTACAGTCCTAATCTTGGGTGCCGGACAAGGAGGCTTGACGTCTGCCGCACGTCTTCACCAATTGGGCGTTCCAACCTTGATCATCGACCGCAACCCTCGTGTTGGAGACAATTGGCGAAACAGGTAAGCTCCTCGCAAGAGCTTCTTCATATTTCCACTGACACCTGAACAGGTATCACCAACTAGTCCTTCACGATCCTGTTTGGTATGACCATCTACCTTACGTCCCTTTCCCTTCACACTGGCCAATCTTTACGCCCAAGGACAAGCTTGCGGAGTGGTTCGAATCCTACGCCAAGTTGCTTGAACTGAACGTATGGACCCAAACCAACCTCGAGTCAGCAAGTTGGGATGGCAGCAAGCGGCAATGGACCGTAAACCTTGAGCGTAAAAAGGCGGACGGTACCACCGAAAAGCGCACTCTCCACCCTCGCCATGTCATTCAAGCTACCGGACACAGCGGCGAGATGTCCTTTCCTCAAATCAAGGGCATGGAGGACTTCAAGGGAGACCGTCTCTGCCACTCCAGTCAATTCAAAGGTGCCACCTCAGATTCTAAGGGCAAGAAAGCGATCGTTGTGGGTTGCTGCAATTCAGGCCATGACATCGCACAAGATTTCTACGAGCATGGCTACGATGTCACTGTTGTTCAGCGATCATCTACGTATGTCATGTCATCAAAAGAAGGCCTCGATGTGCTGCTTGCTGGGCTCTATGAAGAAGGTGGTCCTGATACAGAAGACGCAGACCTACTGTTCATGAGTATTCCAAACGCCATGCTGAAACGCATGCACGTTGATGCTACTAAGGAGATCGCACGGAGGGACGCCGACCTGCTTGCCGGGCTTCGAAAGGCGGGCTTCAAGCTTGACAATGGACCCGACGACGCAGGCTTCTTCATGAAGTATTTCCAACGTGGAGGCGGCTACTACATCGACGTGGGAGCGAGTCAACTTATCATTGATGGCAAGATCAAAGTCAAGCAAGGCCAAGAGATCGCGGAGGTCAAGCCGCATGGCTTGCTGTTCGCTGATGGCTCCGAGTTGGAGGCTGATGAGATCGTTTTTGCGACTGGATATCAGAACATGCGTGGAACCGCCAGAAAGATCTTTGGAGACGAGATCGCTGATCAAGTGAAAGATGTCTGGGGCTTCGACGAAGAGGGTGAGCTGCGGACCATGTGGAGGAAAACAGGCCATCCTGGATTTTGGTTCTTCGGTGGCAACCTCGCTTTGTGCAGATATTTCTCACGCATGCTAGCTTTGCAGATCAAGGCGATGGAGGAGGGGATCATGAAATACGAGGACCCGTGAAGGGCTGAACGGGATTGCGCGTCAATCTTCTGGTTCAGTAAGACTCTTCAAAAGCTTTGTATTCAGAAGCTGTATTTCAAGAATCTATTGGTTTTGTCTTGCATGTCGCATCCTGAAGAATTCCTTCGTTGAAAATAGCCTAAGGATGAGTCAATCAAAGCCTAAGATACACAATAGATCTTATCGGAGATCCCGAAAATATGAGTAACAAATCACAAAGATGGATTCATGCGTTTCCATGCAGGTGTACTGCAACTGAACGTCACTTGCATATCCCACTACCATTTTCAGGTCTTCCTCTCCAAAAAAGCAGACACATCCATAGGTATTATTCTTGCACTTCTTCTTCTCATGGAAAAATGGATTGTTTCAAAGAATGGAGACTTCACGAAAGAAAATCCAAGCATGGCTTATTGATACCCTTGCACGCACGCGATTGGGTGAGGTTGTTTGCCTTTGCTCCGCCTAGTGCGCCTGCGACAATACGAAGTTGAAGCTGAAGTCTCACATCCGAGGGACGCGATGGGCTGATGGGCTCGGCTGAAAACAAAAACATGGCTCACTGCCGTCTGAGCCTCGGAGACGGACAAGGAGGCGAAATCTTACAGTGTGGAAATGGGTACGCGGTCATCAGGGCGTTTCTCGTGCCTCTCCGAGAGACCCAGTCGGCGGCCAGGAGTAACGTGGCATGTATGCGATGCCCCCGTTATTGTAGAAGATGTTTTGAATGGTACTCCAAAACAAAAAAGCCACATTCTTCGTAGATGACTCGTAACACAGATTGAATGAGTCAATGACTGTGTTGTAGAGTGCAGACGCTTTTTATCATCGAATTTCGTTACAAGAAGCTAACGACACTAAACCGCATTTGCCACTAGCCGGGTAGCGGCTCGCCTGCGAGCAATCTCCCTTAGAAAGATTTCAGATATTTTCTCTCACCACATCCTTCACGACAATCAACCACCCAACAATCATTCTACCATATCCTGCGAGTCCTCTTGGATGTACGCGGATACCTGAAGATACTAACAACATCTTCTAATACCACCACTCACGCTTGCTGAGTCCACACTCCTTATACCGGTCTAGGGTAGCACGCCTGACCAGGCTCTGCTTCCTGTGCGAAGAAAACCGACCACTCGACACTTTCTTCAATCACCCACACCCACAAATCTCCACTCTCATCTACTTCGACACCGGATTTGACATTCGGAAGTGATTCTTGAATTTCGTGTTGGAGCCAGAAAATCTGGATACGATACCGTTTAATACTACAGAAACTTCACCAAATTCTCGATGACAAGCATTTCTCAGCCAGTCCTCCCACCGCAAGCCCCAAGCAACGCATCACAGGTAGCGCCAGCGCATTCGCCATCGGCTTCGGCAAGCGGTAGAGCACCGCCTCAAGCCGCGGGTACGGCTTCTGCCACTGTCAAAACCAGCTACGCCAGCGCGACCAAGAAGACCTTTTCGCCGTCGTCTGCGTCAGGCACGTCAGCTCCAACAGCACCGGCAGTCCAGATACCTGCGCAACATGGAAAACCTGACACTAGCTCACCAGTGAACGGCAGGGTAGCTATTCCGCCTGCCGTTCCAACCGTGGGTGCACCAACAATAGTCAATGGAAACACACCCACAAGCTCCAACTCAGGGGTAGGCGATCATAGCCGCAAGCCTTCAGTCACAATTAGTGCTGCGGGCGCATCTGGATACATGCCAAATGGAGGTCCGGTAGCAGGAAAGCCAACAGGTGGGAGCAACATACAGTTTGGGTCTCATCCTGCAGATGCCTCAGCAGCCGCGCAAAACGCAACGCCACATCCCAACCAGTCTACGAATTCTTTGGCCGTCAACACTCCATCGAATCCGCGCGTGACATCACCCCAGACATCACCGTCACCAATCCCACAGCCACCTGCTAGTGGCGGTGGCCGACCTCCCTCTAGTCTGCATGGCAACAGCACTAGCCTCAGCTTTGGCAACTTTGGTGGTACTGAAGCAAGTGTGAGTTTTTGTTGCGTCTCGTTGTAGCGCAGCTCATTAACGTGACACAACAGCAAATGAGGCCGCCTGGTGCACCTCAAGGTCCTCTCGCACCTGGTGCACAACCTAGTCACCTTCGTCGCGAATCGTCGCAATCTCAACACAGTGACATGAGCAATCATGCAATGTCTCCTGCCGGCAGAGGCGGGTATCCTCCCCAAGGCGGCCGAGGAAGAGGTAACTTCCAAGGTCAATATCCTCAGCAAAACATGGGATACATGCCTGGGTCTAACGCTAGACCACCCCCGAGCCAACCTCGAGGTAATCAAAACATGACTCCATACCAGGGTCAAAATCGATCACTCGCACCTTTTCCGAATTCGCCACTTCAAAGCGCTCGAAGTCCAGCTTTGGCAAATTCGCAGCCGGCTCACCCACAGCCTGGCCAAGTTCCGATGTCGAGCCCTCAGATGGGTGGGCAACAAGCATATGGCTACCCCAGTCAGTATGGTGGATACCCCCCTAATATGGGACCCCCACAAGTAAATCCTCAATCTTCTTCATCTACAAAACGCAATTTTCCTACACAGCAGCATTCAGGACCGAATCAGCGCCGGCACTCGGATAAGAATGCTGCTCCAATCCCCCTTGATCTTTCCCCTGCCAATGGTCAATTTGAACAATTTCTGACATTGAGACAACAACAGGGTCAATATAGTTATGATCCAAATTATATGGCTTACTACAACGTGTACGGAATGCCTGGCATGCCTCAACAGCAAATGCCGCCAAGCTCTCCTCGACCTCCACATCAGATGACTCCAGGTCCTCAACAGCCGCAATACCACCCGGGCCAATATAACAACCAGCAACAACCATCGCCCATGTCACGCACGTCCTCCGCAATTTCGCACAGTGATCGGCCCAGCTCAAGCATGGGCAGACCACAAGGAAGCTCAACTCCCGCAGTGAACAGCGCAGCTGCAGCTACCCGTCATGCCAACAGCCCAGCGCCCAAGACCACAAACAACTTCCAGATCCCTCCAAAGAAGAAGAGCGCAGGCATTATCATCAAGAACCCCAACAGTGGTGATGTCGTCACCTTCGAAAAATCATCTGCTTCCCCTGCGCCGCCCAGCAAGTCTCCTGCGGTTGCTCCGACGCCGACTCCTCCCCCTCGTGTACCAAGTTACTCTGATACTCAGCAACCTCGAAACGAAAACAAGAGTGTCAAAACCGACGATGAGAAACGAAAAGAGATGAGAGAGACTATTGCTAAGAAAATGGAGGCGGACAGAGCGGAAGAGCAGCGCCAGAAGAACGAAGAAGAGTCCAAGGCAGCTCAAGAGAAGAAAGACAGCGAAGACAAGATTCTCAAAGAAAAGGAGGAGGCTGATGCCAAGCAACGAGAGGCAGCCACGGCTCAAATGGAGGCCGAAGAGGCTCTGGAGAAAGACAAAGCTGAGGCCGCGGAGGCTGAGAGTGCTGCTGCTAAGGCTAAAGCTGAGGCCGACGAAGCCGCTGAGAAGGCTCGCAAGAAACAAGAGCAAGAAGATGAATATGCTCGCATGGAGGCTGAATTCGCCGAGATGGAGCGTAAGGAAAAAGAAGCCGAGGAGCGATATGCAGCGAAGAAAAAGGCCGAAAAGGAGGAAGCTGCACGAAAAGAAGCTGAGGCTTTCAAGATGGCGGCTGAAGAAATGAAGAGAGCAGAGCGAGAGGCTGAAGAGGCCGAAGAAGCTCGGTTAAAAGAGATTGAAAAGTCTGAAGGTGACGACTCACAGAAAGAGCGAGAGGATATGTTCGCACAACTCAAGAAAGATGGTTCCGCAACTCCCACCAGTGATGCTCCAGCTACTGCAGAAGAAACACCTGTTGACAGTGGTGTTGCCACGCCTGCATCAGATGCTCCGGCTCCTGCCGCTCCATCAAAACCAGCAGCCACTGGTGGAAAGCAGAAGCCAACTGCGCTGAAGATTGATACGGCGAAGCCTGTCGAGCCAGCCCAGCCTAGCGCCCAGCTCCTATCTCTGCGATCCGCTCGGCGACTCATGTCTATCAACGATGTCTCCTATCCTGCTCCCATCAGTTCACCAAATCCGGCGCTAAACACAGGAGCGCCAACGGGCAAGTTGCGATACAACAAGGAATTCTTGTTGCAATTCCAACGGGCCTTCGTCGAAAAGCCATCTGAGAATTGGACGGAGAGGGTCAATGAGACGGTTGGTGATACATCAGAGCCTTCATCTGCTCGTACTCCTGCACGAGGTGGAGGCGGCCCTGGTTCCATAACGACAGGACGACAGCCCTCCAACAGAGCTCCATTGCTACAAATGGGTGCCTTTGCTCAAGGTGGAAGGACTCTTCCCCCCAATACCACATCGTCGCAGCGCTTCGAAGCAGCTACTGCCAATCGCAATGCACAACCAGCACGGCCAACCATGCAAAACCCATTGGCGAGTTTTGTCTCACGGGGTCCTGGTGGGGGTTTCCCTGCGCCGGCTACCAGCACCAAGATGGACCGTACACCATCTTCCACGTCACTAAACCACCCAAATTCGCCACGCAACGCTAGCCAACGTGGCGGCTCTCAACGTGGCAGTAGGGCAGCCACGCGACGAGAAGACCCCTAAGGATAATAAAGCTATGCCACTGACTGCTGGTGCTAATCTTAAGCCTATCGAGGTTACTGCTTCTGGCTGGAAGCCTCGTTCTGTCGGTGGCAACGCTACCGGCATGGCTGGGCCAGCACCAGGAGGTAATGGCCACCTTGCTCCGGACGTTGTACAGCGGAAGGTCAAGTCGAATCTCAATAAGATGACTCCAAACAATTTCGATAAGATTACAGTCCAGATCTTGGACATCAGCTCTCAATCCAAAGACGAGTCTGATGGCAGAACCTTACGGCAGGTCATCCAGCTCACGTTCGAGAAGGCAACTGATGAAGCACATTGGGCGGAGATGTACGCGCAGTTCTGCAAGCGTATGCTTCAGTCTATGAGTCCCGAGATCAAGGATGAGAACATTCTTGACAAGAAAGGCGTCGTCCATGGTGGTGCGCTCTTCCGAAAGTACCTGCTCAACCGGTGCCAAGAGGAGTTCGAGCGTGGTTGGAAATTGGATCTTGGTGACAAGCCAGAAGGCGAGACGGAAGAAGCAAAGATGCTGTCTGACGAGTACTACAAAGAGGCTGCCGCCAAGCGACGTGGTCTGGGACTTGTACGTTTCATTGGTGAACTCTACAAACTTGGCATGCTCACAGAACGCATCATGCACGAGTGTGTGAAAAAGCTTGTCGACTACGAGGGAATGCCAGACGAGGCTGAGGTGGAGTCGCTCACCAACTTGTTGAGGACTATTGGCCAGCCCCTGGACAGCACCACTAATGGACCTAAGATGATGGATGCCTACTTCATGAAGATCAATGAGATGATCGTAATCGAGGGACTACCAAGTCGATTAAGGTTCATGCTTATGGACATTGTTGATCTCCGCAAGAAGAACTGGCTTTCCAAGGGTGGTGTTCTCAAGGGCCCTACAACACTCGAGGAAGTGCGAGTTCAAGTAAGTTTTTTGGCGATTGTATCTTTGGGACTTGACTAATGCCCCTCTAGGCTGTTCAAGCAGAACGCGAGAAGGATATGCAACGCCAGCAAGACAACTCGCGAAGGGGAGGAGGTGGCGGTGGTCGCCCACCCATAGGCCGCGGCGACGCCCGAAATTTCTCAGGTGGAGCTCAGTATGGCATGATGCCACCACCAGACTACCACAAGAACACGGTTGGCATGGACGATCTTCGAAGACTGGGCAGCAAAGGCGGTTCTCGACAAGTCAGCTCTCAAGGCCAACCTACGTTTGGCCCTACTTCCATGTTCGGTGGGCCAAGAGGATCGAACACTCGAAGACCAGGAATGGCTGGTGCTCAGAAAGACGACTCTGGTGCGTCAAGTCGGACAGGTACTCCGCCAGCTCAGAAGGAGAAGAGGGAAAAGGAAGAGAAGGAAGCCGCGAAATCCGCAAATACATTCAGGTAAGTCTCTTCAGCTCTGCGGCTATTCACTGAATAGCCTTTAACCTCATTGCAGTGCTCTTGCAGGATTGGAGTCTTCAGAAGCCGCCGACCCAACCTCTCCCCCGTCCACCTCGCCACCGACCGCCAATGCTCAACCAGTTGAGCGCCAACGAACGAAGTCCCCCAAGGACCGAGAATCGGCGGAAGGCGGCAAGGATGCCGAAACATCATGAGAGGTCCTCTGCTTCTCAAATCTTCACTAAATCTCCACGAAATCTCCAACAGTGGCATAGCGGCCGCCACATCTACTTCGCTACATTACCTCGTGCCACATTCCGAGTGCTCAATGATACCAGCATTTGCACACCTTCGATAGATTGTCTTAAAGGTTCCTTCTTTCATATCCACTGTCGGGCACATCGATTCACAGGCGCTCGGCAAATAAAAGAAAGGATCCTGCATCTTGCATATCGGTACACAAGCTTCGTGGCTCCTTGCTGCTCAGTGATAGAGCCTCGAGCTCTGATTCCGCTCTTTCTAAAATTCGACTTGGGGAGCATTACCAAGCTCACTCGTCAATTCCCGCCCTCTCTAAAATCATAGCTTGCTCACTCACCTGCTCGTGGGGATGATAGCGATTGCTTGACACAGCATCGCAACAAAAAAGGCACGCATAGCTCAGGGTGGACAGGGAGGGCTGAAGGGCATTAGCGATTCAATTCAATCGATTTCCGCAGAGCCGCTGCATTGCAGGTTGGTGATGGTTCGTGCATGTTTTACTTACACACACATACAAGGACTACCTCCTTTTAATCATGCTTGTCATAGTGCCTGCGGGCATTGAGTAGAGAATGCAAACATATTTGTTCAATTTAGAAGAATAACAATGCCATGATCAGTGAAGCATATCTGTTGACACTGGAGTAGACACACTTAAGGAGACGAGTTGTGACTGGCGGAAATGAGTTGCGCAGGCAAAGAAAACAAGATAGGGATGGACCTACTTTTCGTAGGGTCTGGACCACTCACTGCATTGGTGGCTCGAATGGTCCCGAGCTTCTTGGTATTCGTAATGGTGACAGATTATGTGGGAGTACTCCTTCCGTCTCCTCGGCGAAGGACAGATCCAAGGGAAGCACAGCCGTACCTTGTGACAACCTGTCCTCCGACACTGTACGAGTGCAGGTGACTTTTGCGGAAGCACGATCTATGCTAGTTGGAAATGAGTTTCCAAAAGGGATATTCAACAGGTCTGTAGTCATTTCATCGCCGCCCCGGGTAATAATTGGCCCAGGGATGTGGTATGGAACCCCCCTTCACTGGGCGTTTCGTAGGGTATGGTCACGACCGCCTCAGGCGACGCAAACGGTGAGTGGCCAGCTTGAGCTTTTTGCATTTTGAGATAGGGTTCGAGCTGGGCTGTGTCGTTTTCTTTTCTTTCCTGAAGAGGTAGTGAGGAAGGGGAAGTTGTCGCCGTTTACCAGGCCAGCTGTCGAAAAAGGGTGGCAGTACGAGACGTTGAACCCTCTCTTGTTCTCGTATCAAGTCTGGGCATCGACCCGGAATCATTCGCCGTGAATGGACTACATGATTCGCTTTGGATGGAGTATTAGACAGCCGATACTTTCCTTTCCTTGCACTCCTTGATGCTGCTCTGGTCAAAACCTTGAGGATTTGTACCGCTTCAGCGACCACATTTTCGGACACCTTGCCTGGTCTCTACGGAGGTAGGTCGTGGATGGATGATGTTGGCAATAGTCGGGGGTGGTAGGACCGGCAGTAGGCTTTCATTGTTGGGTCTAAGTACCGGTCGAGGGGATATCGTAGATGCATGTAGGTCACCTTGAACGTATGAATCCGTTGTAGTGTTGGCTACGAGACTAGGGCTCACTGAGTCTCACATCAGCGCCCAGCGAGTGAGTTAACATGTACCCACTTGATCTTGGTTATGCTATGGTTGCTATCTATACACAGGCGTAGCCAAAGACCTAATTGCATAGGCAACGGCAACAGCGCTGACCCTTAGAAGACAACGCTTCGTAGTTGCGAACCAATGTTGAGTCCAGCTTCCTTTGAGCTGACAAGGCATAGATTCAAAAACAGCTTTTGGGGATATCATGCTTAAAGATCCTGATAAACGCTGATTCATGTGCTCTAATCACCGGAAACCACGGCCACGAGGGCGAGGATACATGTTGTCGCTATACAGCCGTTGATCGTTTCGGGGCCGACCACCGTTTCGATCTCTGTCGATGTATGACTTACCTCTGCTGTAGTCACTTGGAACATCATAGCGAGCGTCTCGTCGGTCATCTCGCGAGTCCTCCCGTCGATCATCTCGTCGGTCATCCCGGCGGCCGTCTATGCGATCATCACGTCGATCGTTTCGGCGGTCAGAGCGTGGAGCATCAAGTCGTGGAGCATCGGAGCGCGAGGCGTCGGAATGTGGAACATCAGACACAGGAGCATCAGAGCGAGGGGCATCCATATCCACGTCCATTATGTCCTCTCTCGCGTCAAAGCCATAACTGCCATCCTGGAACTCGGGATCTGCCCGTCTTCTGTTGCGATCCGATTGTTCTCTTTGAATATCGTAAGAAGGCGCTGGATCACGGGTAAGGTCGATACGAGGTCCTCTAGGCTCTATGGGTGTCTTGCGAAGAGGAGCCAAGGCAGGGGAAGGCGTGGGTCCTCCTACTTTCATGTATACGTATAGGATACGACCGTCCGCCTGATTCACGCATTAGCTCGAATCTTGGAGGTTTTTGCACATTTTGCCATACCTTCTTGTTGTTGAATGTTGAAATGACGCTCTCTGCATTATGCTTTTCGGCAAAGACCATCTCAGCCATGACTGTTGGTGTAGAGCTAATGATCCTGCAACTCTGCATCTCACCTCCACTAGGTATCATAGCAGATTCGATGTCGGCAGCTGTAGTTCCAGGAGCAAAGTTGCTGCCAATGACCACGTATGGACCCGCTGTTCCTCGTATGCTAATCTCCTCACCTAGGCCACTGGACGCCACGCCATTACGTGGTGTTTGAGTCACAGCAGTGTTAAAGAGGAGATCATCTTTGACCTGACGTGACATAGGGTTCCCTCTGGGTGGTCGAGTGATGCGCGGTGCTCTATCATGGCCCCAGGTACCCTCAATATTTGGGCTCGCCTTTGGAGTGGATGATGAACGCTGAGATGCCTTTGCTTCATGTCAGCACCCTGTACCATCGCATACAAGTGCCTTGTCATTCAACATACTTTTGCTATACCGACTCTACTTGCAAGGCTGGGGCCAGCGCCAGACTTGCGACTGCCGTTGTTTGGAGCGTTATTGCTTCGTCCTCGCCCAAATATTTCTTCTGCCAGTCTCTGTTTCTCTCGTCGTCCTTGCCCAAGTATATCACTTGCGAGTTTCTCTTTCTCTTTGCGTTGACGCCCTTGCGGAAGGTCAGCACGAGCAATCGAAGCTCAGAATACTCCGTGCTTACCAGCTTGAATAATTTGGTCAAATGAGACGACGCCTTGTTTTGCCGCCATGGCTGCTGTACACCGAGACTCGCCTGTAGATTAGTTGCGAGACTCGCACATGTCAGGCAACCCTTTAGACGTTCTGACTAAGTGTCGTTGTGAAGATGGTGTGTAATTGCAAAGAAGTCTGAAGCTTGAGCTCCAGAAATGGAAGTAAGTAGGTAATATTCATATCGCGTACCGTAGTCTGTGTGCTAGCCGGATGCGGCACGCTTTCCCGCTTTACCGGATGAAGTAATTCACCTGGCCCCCGCCGCCCTACACTTCCTGCTGCCCTCCTCACGGGTTTAGGTTGTCCTCACAAGTCCATAACTCTTGGATGCTCCCTCCCCGTCAGTGTGAAAACACCTCCGTTTCCTGCTCTTCTGGTAATCTTGTCAATGTTTCCATGCTTACCGGACCTCGACCAGGCTCCTACGGAAGCGAGACGGTGCAATTGTCCACGATGGCACCTGGCCTGTTGAAGGGCTCCTGGCCCTTTCCACTCCCTCTCCTCCCTTCTTCTTTACCCTCTGCCTCTCTATCCGATTCTGGGCTTTCTCTCGTACCTCGCATCCTTCTCTTCCCTACCTTCCTCCCGTTTTCAGTGTCCATCTTCCGACACCACAATGGGCGTCTTTGCATTCCAGCACGCGTACTCTAAGACAGGTGACTGCTCAGTGGGCGAAAGCGACGACGAATAGGCCGACTTTGACATCGACTCAGACGCCTCTGACGCAGAACTTCTGGAGCTGAAGCAGGAGCTGACCAAACCGGGGCCGAAAAAGGCACAGCGAGACCTGGCAGATGCCATTGTTGCTGCACAAGAAATGACCCGGCAGAGATGGAAATGGTATGTCTCGAATCATTCATTGTCCCAGCTGTGTCTTTGCATATCGACCGCTGAGGCTGACTCCAGCTGCTTTTCCTCTACAATAGGTACTGCGACTTTGTCCGGAAGGTTCACCTGAATTTGCTCAAGTCCTGTTCAATCATGTCCTTTAAGGGCTACCTCATCTGGTACCACAAGACACCCCCTCGCGCCCAGAGGTTGCATACGTATGAAAGCGTGTGGAAGACCTTGTGTCAATTGTACTACGAGGTATTCCACAAGGTAGCGGCCGATGATGTTGGCAAAGAGATCGCCAATGTAAGTCGTCTTAGATGCTCTCGAACAGGCGGACTTGATCTGACCGTGTACTAGTACGCAGCACCTCCACGGGCAATCCTGCAGTGAGCGTGGCCTGATCAAGGGCATGAGACAAAAGCATGTCGTCGGTCACAACGGCCTCCACGGCGCGCTTTACTACCAGTGGAAATTCGATACCGATAACTTTGCTCTTAAACTGGAACGTGTGCAACTTGCCACGAGGATCCTTTTCCTGGCCTTCACCAGCGCCCGATCTGGCCCTATCTTCGAGAGTGGCTGCGAGGGGATTGCTGGGACGAATGCCGCTTTACTCTACAGAGATGTAAAATTAAGGCTCTTACAGCCGCCGGACGAAGCGTCGCTACTGGTCCTGGAGGTCACCATAATGTTGGATAAGGGCAAACGCAAGCGGAATGCGTCGTAAGTTCCCCCGCGAAACGAGGCTTGTGTTCATTATTGAAAGCGCTGGAAAGAAAACCATCACCCTTTACGAGAACCATACATGCCCTGCGATGTGTCCTATCCTTCATTTTGTGGCCATCGCCTTCGCCCACAACGCTTTTCCCCAGGCTTGTCTCTGCCGGGCTGACCCCATATACCTTGCACAACTTCTCCAGCCCAGACGGCCGCATTACCATTGACTTCGCCTTCAGGGACGACAGCCTTGAGGTCCCCATCCTTCAGCCGCTCCACACGGTCAATGGAGGGTGTACACGTTGACCCTCTCAAGGCTCTACCCGCCAATTCAATTTCGTACTGGATCAGGAGATCAGGCCAAAGAGCGGGCTTTGATCATCCCTCCCAGCCTTATGCTCTTCGGCAGGAGGCGGGAACGGAACTGACAGGTAAGTTTGAAGGCTGAAGCGTCTTGCACATACTCGTCACTGACGTTATTTTAGACCGCGGAGTCAGTGATCAGCAGCGTAATCAAATCCTCGGCCACGCCTGATCGGATACGTTTCTCAAACATTACATCTCATCGAACGTGGTTGTCGATGTTCAGGCCACCTTTCTCGGTACTGCATCGAAGTCAGACTTGATCAAGGAGATCGGAAAGCTCTGCTTGCGCCGTGACCCCAACCTTCCAAAGCGGCTGTCGGAGGATCAGCGCACGCAGGCTCATCAGCACCCTGATGTCGTCCGCGCTAAGAAACAAAAGGACGCCCTGGCCCAAAGGCTCCAGGATGGCCCTGGCTCCATCAAGAACGGTTCGAAGTCGCCTGACGGCATTCAGCATACACGGGTGCAAAGCAAATTAAGAGGTCTGAAGCTCCGCCTGGAACGCGATGTTTTCGCACAAATTCTTCGTGAATTTCACAGTGCCGCGGTCCTAGATCACATGGTGACACAGCTCAATGGAGAAGAGCCCACTTCCAAGAATACTCGCTCCAATGCCACGTATCTTAGAAGAATGCTGGCAGGTCGCTCACCATTTGTTTCAATCGGCGACCGAGTCCTCCTTCGCCAACATGATTGACATCGTAGCCCGCCTTTATTCACTCTTCGAAGGTAAAGACCGGAGATGCAACAACCACGAAGGGGACGTTGTGGATAAGACTAACAAGCCATCTACTTGCGCACAACATTCCCCACCAGCGATCGACGAACCTCTGCACAGCACCGGCTCTATCGAACTTGCTATGGACATTAATATCGTCAAATCTCTCAAGGAAGCTATATTCACTAAAGTTCTTGAACCAATCAAGTCGATGAAACCGGTTACATCTTCTAAGATCACCAAAGCAAAGAAGCCACCTACTTCCCTGGCGTGTCTTTTTTTACTACCGCAACCCAAACCGTAGGCGGACGCAGAGTCTCGCACGCAGCGATAGTTTGCGAGGGCACTATCGTCAAGTACACTTCCAATACAAGGTCGGCCTGTTTCCGTATCCACTACCAAATCGTATAAAGATCATCCACGGTTTAGAACACTTCGCCAACCATGCAGTCACTATGCATAAATCTGACCTCGGAGTTCGGGCTGTCATTATGGAAGCACTGGAGCGGGCAGCCGAGCCTAGGCAACTTGCCTCATTTACTCTCACATAACATATGAAATCGTATTATGCATCTTTTCTACACGTGGTGGATGTTAGATTGTGAATGGATTTTCCTCTGTTTATTCAAAGTGGCCGAGAGTAGCTTGTTATCGCTTTTACTGTTGCCTTACATTACGCTACGCGAATCTTGGTGGCGATCCTTTAATTGAGAGGGAAAGGGTGCTGGAAGGGGGGTCCGTTTCTCCGCTGCAGTTTACTGTTCGCATCACCGACATTATTGATATCGATATGCTGATAGCCTTGTACCTCCTGTGGAATAGAGAAAAGAAGCTCTGTTCATCACATACGATACTTAAATTTGTTCGACTTCAAACCGTCTTTGACATTCAATATTCGAAATGATTGGGTTTCAATTGAAACGATCGTGCAGAGATTCAGCACGAAAGCGACGATGCGACTTCATCGCAATCCCCGCGAAACGCGAGGTCTAGAGGAACTTTCAAACCGGATGGTGGTGCGTCCCTGTTGATCCATACGGTGAATCCCTCAGCCTTTGCGGCGCGACAGAGCTCCGTCACCAACATACTCGATCCAGGCACATTTGGAGCTGCTCCCACCACGAAGACCACTTCTGGACGCATCCCCATGTCTTTCTTCGTCATTTCTCCAATCATATCGCCTCTCGGGTTTTCTTCTCCGTAGTGAACGTCGTTCGGAGGAAGTCTGCCGACGCCAAGTCGTCGTTTCCCCTTCTTTTCTCGCCCCAGCGAAATCTCTTGGCACCGAGTACAGTCCGGAAGATCAAACCCACAGAACGAGTTGGACACCAGATGTCCATTCCAGCCATAACATTGGTACATCGCCTTGTCGATTCGTTCGTAGAGCTGCACGGTTCTTTCCAAGAGATTGGGAAGACGATGCTCGATGCAGCCAATGTTCTGCGTGTGATCTCGAAGGAGATAACCCTTATGGGCGGGTCCGTCTCAAGAAACGATAAAAAGGGTCAGCTCCGCCTGGACAGAGAGAGCCTGGACATATCACAGACCATCGCATGAAAGCGGTCCGTGTCGATCGGTGAATTGCAAACGGATATATCAAAAGAAATCCACGTTGACTTTTGTAGCTTTTGAAACATCATTAACTTTTAGAAAAACGTCAGACTCGCTGGAGCCGAAGCAAAAAGAAAAACTCACTGCCTGCATTGACAGAAATTCCAGCGCCGCTGACGACCACGACGTACACATCAGTATCCAATCCGAATAGAGATTTCCTCAGTCAATTTTGCTATCCTTTGACGGTGACCTTCAATGCGCTCATCTTGCTGAAAAAGAAGAGCATCCCAGTGGGATATGTTATCTTGATCATTATGCAGCTCCCATCCCAGCCCCACCCCCACCACGTTTTCAATGTAACAATCTTCGAGGACGTCTAGCTCTGCCTGTAAGCTAAGAAGCTCTCCCTCGCATTCTATGCGATTTTTCCGCCAATGGTAATGACCCTCGATTCCCTTATCCACAACTGTCCAGTCTGAGTCTGAATATCTTTCCTTTACAGCCCACCTGGACATTTGTTTTGCAAGCTCTTTGATCGGGGCTCTGATCCTGAAGTCGCAGGCAGCCAAGCCATACTGATAGCCTCTGTCAAAGGGAGCCAAAGCTGCAGTGCGCTCTGAGATTTGTCCATGAAGGTCGCTGAGGTTGGGGAAATAGCTCTTGGCCGGGCTGCAAGGTTTCAGATTGAATCCTCTGCCATGGACAAGACCCAGGGTAACTGCGTGGATGACATTATCTTCTGGAATTCTCTACTCAGACAAGTACTCATGGTCATACTTTTTGAGTTCTTCTTCATCAGATGTTGACTTTGCTGCCAAGTTTTCGAGCGTTATGGATCTTTGCAGGTGACAGACCATACTTTGCAACAAATGCAATTGTAATGTGGTCTAAATCTTCCCCTTTGTGTGCCTTAGAATACCTTATGCGGCATGCAGAACTCTCCAAAAGTTCGAGGTTGTTGAAGCTAGGGCAGTCGGCTGCTCAACCCATCGTTGTCGATGCTGTTTGAATTCATCATGTAACTGTTGTCCAGTCAGCTCGTGAGCTGGCCAGCCATGTGACAACTTGCCACACGTCAGCCCTCCAGCACTCGTCGATGACCAAAAGCGAAACATAATTCGACGCCAGAAGGCTACATTGTAGTCGGTGAGGAGGCGAGAGAGAATAGCCTGATGGCTCTAGCATGATTGTCGTGAATGGGGAGGCCCGAGCTCAGGGGGCTCAATTCTCACTAGACGATGTGGAAGTTGTGACAGCTACAGTCGACCTTGAGGAGGTTCGCTCAAAGCGCTACGAGCCATCGCGAGGGTTACAAGCCGTCCGGGCGCCCGACTATGGCCGCATTGAAACTTCATTCAGTCTTTCTCGAGAGGGCCGTGACGTGAGATATGACAAAAGCCCTTCGAAGAAACAGAAAATCAGACTTCACGCACCCGAAGAAGAAATCGCTTTGGGTCCAGCCTGCTGGCTGTGGGATTATTTGCAGCGATCAAGGCTTGCCGGCTTTCGCCGCTAAGCGGAGGCATCGATTCGTGTGCTACCGCGGTAATTGGTTTTTCTATGTGCCGCATCGTAATGCAGGCAGTTAAAGCAGGAAATAATCAAGTTGCCCAGGACGTGCAACGTATAGCGGGTGCGTATGAGAAGGAGGATTGGCTTCCAGAGACGCCGCAGCAGCTCTGTCACAACCTGTTTCACACAATTTATGTGGGAATGGCTACGCAATCCTCCCAAGCAACAAGAAGCAGAGCCAAGGAATGGTCAAACGCGATTGGCTCGTACCACGTTGACCTCAATATCGACGATATGTATCAGGCTCCGGTAAACTCTTTTCAGAAGGCCACCGGATTTGAGCCAAGGTTCAAAGTTGATGGAGGTAGGCTCTTTTAACTCCTGGATCGTATCACTCAAGACATCTGACGCCGGGGAAAATGCTAGGGTCAATGGCGGAGAACATTGCATCAAAATATTGAGGCAAGGCAGAGGATGGTAGCGGGTTATCAGTTTGCTCAGCTGCTTCCGACCGTAAGACAAAGACCAGGTGGAGGCAGCCTGCTCGTGCTTGGAAAGTATGCATGACGCGCCTCGAGAGCCGTGACAAACGAAGTGATAATTTCTAGTGCCAATGTCGACGAATCTCTCCGTGGCTACTACACGCGCTACGACTGCTCTTCAGCAGATATCAATCCCCTAGGGTCCAGTAAGTCTTGCTCTGGAGATCTAGCAGAATGCACAATTGACTTTTGGAATCATCATAGTATCAAAGACAGACTTGAAGCAGTTTCTAGCCTTTACTTGTAAAGGTAGACAGTCTTGACCTTCAGAATTGCTATACGAGGTAGCTGATACTTGAACATCTTCTTAGATTTTGACTTGCCAGTATTGAAGCACTACTTCATAGAGGCGACGCCTACCGCAGAGTCGGAGCCTATCACGAAAAATTATGTTCAATCTGACGAAATAGATATGGGCATGACCGTGAGTGTGTTACTATCCCCCCTCCTCTCAGGCTCTCTAGTATAGCTCAAGAGCTCGAAGTCCCATTTTTCGAATGCTTTGCTCAAAGCGGCCTTCTGGGAATTTCCGAATCAAGAGCTAAACATCAACTGTAGTATGATGAGCTCAGCAAGTTTGGATTTTACGAAAGATAGAGAAGCTCGGTCCATACTCGATGTTCGAGAAGCTGGCTCGGGAGTGGATGGTTGAGAGAGGTTTAGAGCCGAGGGAGACTGCGACCAAGGTCAAGGTGAGCCTAATATGAAACGAAAGACCATAGGAAACTCTAATTCTTGGGCTAATCTAAACTTGGGCCGTCTTAAAGCGTTTCTACCACTACTACGCCATAAACCGCCATAAGATGACTGTGAGGCTTTGCACTCAAGACTTGCTAGAAGAAATAGCTGACGCGGAACACTTCAGACTCTTACACCAGCATATCATGCAGAATAGGCACTCTCTCGCCGTTTCAATTTACGACTCACGGAAGCTGACAGTCGAAAACCTTATCAGGGCATACTCGCCTGATGACAACAGATTGTACGCCCGCCCAACATTCTTCGCTGTACGTGAGACTAATACATGAGTCAGTGATCTCCGGCCGTTCCTCCTTCCTCCGCAGTACGAGGGCTGGGAATACAAGAAGATTGATGATTTGGTCGAGAAGATGGAGGCACAAGAGAGCCAAGAGAGCTAAAACCTGTGTCGAAATTGCAACTGCTTCCAAGTCATCTAGACCAAGGTTGGAGATCCTAGGCAATATGGGGTTGTCGAATCGGATAGTAGTCGTGCAAGCAGAGGAAAGTGGGGCTTGGATTCTAGATAGCCTAGATTACGATGAAAGCAATACCATATCGTCCATCGGCATTTTCTCATGAATTTACTCTAGATCTGAATCACACTCATCAGAGTATAAATGTAACCGAAATCTTGGGGCTAAAGCGACCGGTGGAACCACCTGAGAAGCAATTTTGTCACACACGTGCACGTAGCTCTAGATACAATTTATCTAGCTTGCAAGGACTTTCAGCGAATGAAGCTTATGTTGAGTCTCAAGCCCCGAACGAATTGACTTGGCTCTCGGTGCAGTACTCTATACTCCAACGATACGACCTAAGACGCTCTTGGATGTTGGATGGGAGGGGAGAAGGTGATATGTGAAGAAACTCGAACCCTCAACCATTCACATACCGCGTTCAAACTATCATCTAGACTGGCCATAGCATTTTGGATGTCCTGCTTCCTTTGAACACCGTAATCTAATCCCATATAGCTCCGACTTTATAGTCACGATGGAAGATGATATATCGTAAGAGGCGTAGGCACAATTTCCTGATAGCAGGAAAAGTCACTACGACGTGTTTGAGGCCGTATCTCGCCATATGAAAGCTATGGCGGTAACAATGTCGGCGTCGAAGTACTCTAGGCCAACCGAACGAGACTGGTAGCTCAAGCCGAGCCTAAGGTAGCTAACTCAGCGAATCTCTTAAGTTTGGAACATTTAGGCAGCTGTCCAGCACTTAGGACGCTTTCTCAGCACTGCACTGTGCACACAAAGAGGTATCCGCGTCTATTTTAGCGCGTGTTTACAATACCGTACGGTCGTACCTGACTTCCTCAACTGAACTTCGTATTTTCTCATCCACTTCAACTTCTTCAAATGCTTTCATAGGTTTTCTTTTGCATTGTTCGTTGGTGGTCGGTGTTTCGCTTTCTTCTCTTCTTGGATTTTTGGTCTCATCACATTCAATCCGTCTTTCCACTTGTTCAAGCTCCATCAGCGTACTTGAAAATCAACGCCATGGCTTCTATTCGCAAGAAATTGAGTATGGCGCTGGGCATGAATGGCAAAGGATCGCCCTCTACAAGCAAAGCCAATAGTATGGACGTGGACAGAGGCTCTATTGACTCCGGCTATCACAGCATGATCGCTAAGCACAAACGTCAAAGTCAAGGCAGCATCATTCAAGGAACCACTTTCATAACCTCGGGCGCCGAAAGTTCTCCGGAACGTTCTCCAAGAAAGCTGCATAAAGCCATCTCAACGACTTTCTCAGGAGCAATGCAGGCCTTCTCTAACACCGTCCGCTCTACGACCTCGTACATATATCCCACCGCTGGCGAGCCCGAGCTTCCTTCAAGTGAATGGGCTGAGTGTGAGACACCAAAGAAAGAGAGCCGCCGATCTTCCATCATGTCTTCTGTTCGACGGCGGAAGCAACGATTCACTCCACGAGCACCAGATGCCAACATCGAGTCCCCAGAACTACCGCAATCACCCGTGCCAGTGACACGGGAGAAGGCACCGGCGCTTCACGTGGAGTTTCCCAACCCTTCTTTCAGTTGTGAGTCCCTGGGGAGTGCCTCATTATCCAGAGGATCACAATGGCTTGCTGGTTTAAAGCTACCCGCAGGACCAAAACATCTGTGGCCAGGCCCTACAAGATTGACCGTTGACCAAGCCTCGGGTAATGACGGACAGGAAAGTATGCATCCTGTGCCCTCGAATTTCGATGATCCATACGTCGAACAAGGAGATAGACTTCAGCACGGTCTTTCCTTCATCACCTCAGCATCCGAGTCGGCCTGGGAGTCTTCACTTCCAGAAACCAACAAGCGTCCCCCCAGTGATGACAAAGGGTACTTTTCAGAAGTGGAAAGCAATGCCGATGTTTCCGAGTCTGATGGATTGGCCCCAGCCTGTCTGAAATATGTAATACCGGGGTCGCCAGAGGCAAGAACCAGCTCACCATGCTGCCATAAGGATCCTGCAGCGCCTCACGTCCAAGTTGCGTCGTCTGCATCTTCATGTCGGAGGACCATCCCGTCTCGGATGTCTCCTTCAGTGCTATTAGGGTCGAAGCCTTCGAAGCTGGAGACTTTAGACGGCACTGCCGAACAGACAGCATCGCCGCACTCCCCAAGCTGGACATCTAGCCCTCCCTGTGCCGGTTTCGAAGACGGTCTCAATGCTTTATTCCCTTCATACGAGGATGCGATGACGCCGGAATTGAGATTGCTCTACAAGCGGCTGCAGTCTGATGCCTATGACGCTGACGCTGAGTCTTTGGAGTCGAGCATGGGCTCTCGAGCTGCGTGGAAGCGTCATCGAGCAGATCGCGAGAGAAGATATATGGAGATCATCGACATGGCCCCAAACACCGAGTCTGATGAGGATTTGGGACCTGAATTAGAGTTAAAGAGATCCCCCTCAAAGAAGCCAGTGCACTACGCAGAGGAGTTGGTCCAGGATACGGTCAGCATTGGAGGGTCTGAATCCGTACCAAGATATCCAACCGGCGCTCTACGCTACGCTATTGAGGCTATCGAAAGGCCAGCTTTTCCTGTTGGTGATTTGGCCTATGCGGTGGAGGCAATCGAAAGGCCGGCTTTCCCTGTTGGCGATTTGGCCTATGCGGTGGAGGCAATCGAAAGGCCATCCGTTACGACATTCGATCCTCTAGAGACGGTGTTCCAACAACGGCCCATGTTACGTCTGAGTGACACAATCGACGAGCAAGAAACCTTACAAGTGTCTGACCCTCAGGATTTGTCGCCATCGCGCATGGAGGCCCCTTCGTCGCCACCTACAGACTTGTCTCCCTCGCGAGTGATGCTCCCACCGTCTCTAGAGTCTTCCCCGGTCGAAATCCCAGCAGCTCCTAAATTCACGATGACGACTATGACATTTACAGACGAAGAGCTTCTGACTTTCGGAGCAGGCAACCTTGACGGGCAGCGCGTTCGTCAGTTCTCTTCTGAGTCTACTGATGTATCTGCAAACTCCTCGCCCGAGCAACAGTTCCGTATGGCACCAGAAGATGCCTATGAAGCAGGCCTGAAAGCTGGAGGTCTTTTCACTCCGACGTACTTGTCACGATCCTCGAAGACAAGCCCGGTGAGAGAAGATGCTTGCGAAGCTGGGCCCAGAGCTGATGGTAATATTATGCCCACAGGCCCTTCGGATGTGGTGCAGGCAAGGCCTACGTTCGCAATGGACAATTCTTATGAAGGCGATCTCAAAGCCACCGCCCCTTTCACTCCGATCTACAAAGAGACCAGCCAGTGCACTTATCGTGAGCAGTTGGAGGCTGAATCTACGTTGCCAAAGCCACGATCGCGAAACGGTACTCCTTTCGGGCACAGCAGGACGGTATCAGCTTTTAGCGATGATACAGACGATAACTGTGCGATCACGACGCACAGTCCATCGTGCAGTGTTCCACCACCATTCCCAAGTCTCCATGTCCGATCAGAGCCTGCACGTCGCATTCCAAGTGCCATTGATGCATTAGCCGCACATGGTGATGAGCAAATACGCATTGCCGGACCCGCAAATGCTGGTATCAACCCTTCACTACCGTCACCTTTTGATGATCCTGGAGACCAAACCGACGAGGCTATATCGAAGCTTTTCTCCCCTAAGACCTCGGAGGGTGCAAAATCGCCCAATAGCTATGCTCAGGTGACGTGGCTAGAGCTGCATGACCTTCAAAGTCCATCACCAGATACAACGAGTAGCATACAGTCTCCAAGCAACAGCAACACTCCGCAGGAGACGTTCAATGCGGCCAAACTGCCGAGCTTTGTCTCGCCTTCTCTTAGCGCGTCCAGGAAAGCTCGTCATAAACAAAAGAAGAGCTCCAGTGGTATGGGAACCGTTCCATTGACAGACCTTACAGGGCATCCCAGAAACATCATCTTAGAGCCGGACTTTAGCCCCTATAACTATGAGCTCAACAAGCACAGCGCCTTCGGTGAAACGCAAACGTCACTCGGTGAAAGCGCTAGGATTGCAGGAGGCAGTGTTCAGACGCCTAGCCCTAATTGCCAACTCGGCAGGAAGAATCGACGTGGCAGAGGTCAAACATCGCCTGAAGAGTCTACTGAGATAGTTGGAGGTAGTTTTAGGTGGTTGGATCCCAGCTCAAAGTCCAAGGGGAGCAAGAAGAGCCCTGGCGGTACGGGGCAAGTAACTGCAACATTGCCCATGACGTCTAGCCCTCCACGAATGAAGATCCTTCGAGCCAAAGGTCAAGTGTCATCTGGTGAAAGCAGTGAGAATGCAGGAAATGCTGTCAAGGGCTCGACGTCACGCTTTGAGCCCGAATTCAGCATCAAGCATTTTGATTCAATGAGTGATGTTCCTCCCTTATATGCCAATCGAAAGTCAGGTGGCACCTCGTATGCCGGTCACGAATTAGACAGCGTCCTCCAGACAAATCCCTCTGTGTACTCCCGCCACGAACTGGGCGAAGGCCTTCAGCAGGACTGTGATGATAAGGCAGCACACTTTACCCGCGACAATGAGACCATTGGCAACGACAGTGAATCAGGCAAGGATGCTCCACGTGCTCGAGGTCAGAAAAAGAACGGCAAGCCGCCTCCGGAGGCAGAGAAGAAGCTTGCGGTGCAAAGGGAGCTTGAACGAAAGTCGGATCGCGCATGCAGTCGGCTCGTTAGCAAGCTGAAGAGCGGGGCTCTTAGGGAGGATGATGTTCCTGAGGACAATTCAGCTCACGAAGAAGGAAGACCTCCCTGGCGACCTTAAATTGAGACTCATGAAGCACGGAAATTGGATGCGTCAAATGATGGTCTTGGCTCCAATACTATACACTCAGAATCCTCAAGTCTGGTAGTATATGTGCTCCGAACGACCCTTTGTCTTTGTTCCTGAGGTATGAGTTATGAGAGTATGATAAATGAATTTTACGACTGTATGATTAGAAGGCAGCCTCACGATGATAGGTTTGTTTTGTTTATTTGAGGTTAGCACCGCATGAAATACGAAGTAGGAGTCCCATAGCAACGAGCAGCATAGATGCCCCTGGTATAGAACAGCATGGCGTGGGATAAGGTAGCGTGGTGTTTCACTGCATAGCTTCAGAGGACTTGGGGTAAATATCGAATTATTAGTATTTGGAATCATGGTCAAGAAGGGAGTGTTCGTGTTCAAGTGATGCTGCAGTCCCAATACCTCCCCTTCCTTAATCAAGGTTCTTCAAAGCTTTGATTTGGCAAGAAGTACCTCCAACGACCGACTTCTCGAAGGACTCGTAAGGAACGTCATTTGCTGTTTTAGGGCATCGTGTTTTCGATGCCAATTCCAAATCTTGCGTCTCTCTCTCTTTCTTGCCAGATCTTTCCATTGTGTGTGGCAATGCTCGGGTTGATACCTCAAGTTTGGCTGTATATCTCACTTACTATCATTTTTCCTCTCCCATAAGTTGTTTGTACGCTCAGCACATGGAGCATCCATACTCACAGTATACACGTCTGTCTCTGGCGAAAAGGCCGCCGCTTTGCCAGTCAATATACAGCACCGGTGCGAATCAATAATGGCAAAGTGGTCACTACCAGAAGCGCCGAGTATCTTGTATTCACAGACCTTTCGTCTCCATCATCGGATGGATCAGCGCTGTTTCCTGCAGAACCCGCAACGGTAGCTCCCACCTTGACGGTTGCCTCGATTTTGGCGAGCAGGTCGTCTTCGCGTTGTCGGCCGCCGATCTGGGGTTTCCAACGGCTCGAATTTGACCCCACGAGTTGGGAGACCACCGATAGGGCTCGTGAACAGGGGTTTCGTTATTCCGTAGAGAGCGTTGCCTCCGATTCTGCTCCTGCAGGATGGGGTCCCATTTCGCGGGCCAAGATTCGTAGCCATGATCGTAATTTTCCGGTCGAGGCTGCTCAAGGAGTGTGGGGTGGTAGTTGTACAGTCTACCTATCTGCAACGCGACAGCTCGATTGAGTGGGGAAAACAGTCCATCTCGAATGACTTGTACGGCGCTGAAAAGTCGTTCCGCGGACCGCCGTGTCTCAACGCCGGCGAGTTGCAAAATCTCGGTACACCATGGCAATCATCGTAGACATGGACGAGCTTTTGCGTCTGAGTACCATCTCATTTGATGAAATCTTGAACTCCATAAGCAGAAGTGTGACGCAGCGTACGAGTAGGTAACGCTTTCTCGGAACGGATATTTCAGGAACAAGTCATTCTTTTGGTTCGATACCCATTGGCCGTACATTTGGGAGGCTTCCGACTGCCACCTGGTGACTAGAGCTCACCTGCCTAGGTACGGGACACACTACCTTACTGTTGTCACTCGTAAGATAAGGTAAGTGTCGCTCTTGAGCTTCCCTTACGCCTATTAGCGTATGCACAAAGGTCCGGTGTCCTTGGCGCTGAGAAAATCGCACACACCCCACCAAGAATAGTAGTGAATAGCTTCATGTTCTTCTTTCCGACCTTCCATTACTCATAGCAAGCGAAGTTCCTGTATACCTCGCTTAGCGATATCTTAGTATTTCTTTCTTCACCCACAATACCTAATTACAGACCTCCCCTCATTCATTCGCTCGAGAATCGTGCCCTACCTACTCCATTAAGAAACCCGAAGTCTTAGAATTAGATATTAAAAATTGGGTAAGCGAGGTATATAAAGAACTTCACTTGATATGAGGGTAGCAATAGCATTATGATATTGGATGAAGCATATCTACTACGTACTATTCTTGGTGAGGTGTATGCGATTTTCTCAGCGCCAAGGATTCCGGACCTTTGTGCATACGCTAATAGCATCCCGCTCCCGTTCCCGAAGTATATTTCAGCTTAGAGTACTCCGGGTACTGTGATTTACTTCCCCAGATAATAAATACAACAAAGCGCTTCTCTTCGCCTATAGGCTATGTACCATTTGTGACCTTACAATCTGATTTGCTGGACCTCATTTACACCAACAGCCTCTAATCCATTGTGTCACGGAATTTGAACCAACAATGGCTACGAATGAACAAGCACTCGATCAGGTTCCCCCACTTGAAAAGGAGCTGGACGAAGCCAGCATCATGTCCTCCCTTGCCCGCCTGCAAGAGGTTCATATTTCCGTAAGGCATTATCTACCTCTCTAGATAATTTTTCGCACTAATTCGCTGATTGCATGCCCTACAGCTTCGCAACCTTCGTGAAACAATCCCCAAAGTCATGGATTCCGTCCTAGTCGACCCCCTCTCTCCAGACCAGCTACACTCGAATTTCTCTCAAGCAGCCAACGGTGCCGCCCAAGCCATTAAGCATTTCACACAACTAATGGAAGACAGCGGGACCAAAGAGGTGATGGAAAGGGCCAAAGAGAGTAGGACGGAGAACGGCGAAGGCATCACAGGGTGGAAGGTCATAGAACATGAGGATTGGCTCGATGTCAAACAGGAGGATGGCAACGATGATGTTGATAAAGAGGAGGAAGGTACCGCCGAGGCTGGTGACGCTCTCGGCTTGAAAGACGTGAATGAGGCGCTGGACAAGTTTCGTTCCGCACACGTGGGCCTCGAGGCTTCATTGATCGAGGATTCAAGGATGGTGACTGTAAGTTGTCTGCGTGGTTTGATTTTAGATGAGTTTTGCTAAATCGTGCAAGCTCCATCTACCTTTGCCAGCTCAAATCAATTTCCAGATTCAGCTCAATACCACCCCTGAAGGACCTAACAATTACAGCGTTGACAGCAAAGACAAATCAAAACTTCACAGAGCAATTCTTGAGGCAATCAGAACACGTCCTAGACCAAACGATTTGAATGATCTCCTCGTATGTCTGAAGCTAGCGCCTACTTATCTATGCCATGCTAACCAGGTGCTCAAGGAAATGCTGGCTTCATACTTGGACATCAAATCAAGACCCTGCGTGAAGTGTTCCCGGCTGCTCGACCGCAATGCTCAGTTCCCGATCATCAGATCAAGAAAAAGGACCAAGCAACCTGATGGCCGATTTGCAAGCCAGTGGCTGGCCTTGCACGCAGCATGCAACTAAGCCTACTCGTCAGGCACGCCATCATGGGGTGCCCATAGTCTCAGCGGTCAGGAGGATCCCATCTTCCGTTCGCGCTCCGTACCCGAACTGGACAATGGGGCTTGGTCCTGGACCAGTCAACATTGCTCCAGACATGGTCATGAGGCCTGCGGTATCTTCGAGTCGCGAAGTCGTACTTGGTGTCAGGATCTCTGCGTTGGAAATCAAACACACCGACGAACTCTTCGTCCTGCCGGAAAGGTTTGCCACGATTGTCCCAGCGAACGTTATCGCTGTTGGGATGCTGGTGTCCCCGCGTCTTCCAATTACTCCAAATAGGTCGCTCAGGCTGACGAGTGTTCTGTTCTGCGATGAAGATGTCGGGGCCTTTGTTGCTGAGGATGTCTTTCCATCTACCCCATAAGCCTCGATGCTTGTCGTTCGGCCATACGAATTGCCATCTGTTGTCTTGTCTCCACGAGCTGCTAGGGCTTGTTGGTGTTCGACTGGGGCTCCATTGTGGGTCCTGGGATGATGAATCGCTCGAATTTGTTCGTGGAGGGCGGCGCCTGTTGTACTCCATGCTCTATGGGGAGACTGGTGAGATATCTGAAGTGCGATTGTGGCAGATGTGATGCTCTTAAATATGTATAGATTTGATTCACCCAAACATTGCCTTGCCCAACATTTTGATCTCCTGGTGTTTGGACGGATACAAGGCAAACATCTCAAGCCTTGCAGCTTAAGTACCTGGGCTCACGCGCACAATCAGGCAACATTTTCTCGTAAGTTATCGAAGTTTGTCCGAATCACGAAAACAAGACTCGGGTGAGCATCGGAGAGCTGATCCGAGGCCGCCATCCTTTGCTGTTTCTTTTATCGTCACTTTGGTGCGGTCAGGCAAATTCGGGAGCAACGCCCGAAGGAATTGATACCTTCGTTCATGGTGCATTGCAGATTGGAACATCTAACATTGATGAGATCTTTCAAGACTTGAGATTAGATCTACTCACAATTGCTCACAAGAGGTTCAATGCTAAACAGAATCTTCTCCTTCACCTCAATGTGCGCGCGATGTACACCTTGGTGGCCGATGGGCTCCGTAGCTCTCGATTGCATTGCTTCCATGATGAAATTGCGCTCCAGAAGAAGTCACAATGAAGCTCGATGCTATTTCGAGACACTTCTACCAGTGCGCCTCCGTTCGACCATCCACCCACCAGACCTTCCAGCCTCATAGTCCAATCTCACTACCGTAGTAACCCTATCACTCCTTCGCCCCCCCCCCCCGGCACACCCTCGTTCACTACAACTTTCTCACAACAACACCAGTAAGCTACAGGCTTCGATCCATCTCATTGAGCAATCCGCCACAATCACAAGCTCACACTCGTCGACAACACCTCATTGCACGGGCTCATCAAGCTCCATACATCACCAAACCCATCACCCTTATCATCCGTCGCCCGAGGCCTTGACCTATGGCCTGACCCTCAGAACCCATCGAGCAAACCACGCAACGCCATGGCCGCCGACGCAGAAGCCTACCGGCAAGCTCAACGCTACGGTCGTGCTCCCATCACAGTGCGCACCGAGCGAGCGCAGATGTGGGTCGGTGGTGGCAGAGCTCATCGAGCTTTGGTTTTGACGGACCGTTCACCGGGCCATTCGGGTCGAGAGTGGTGGACGAAGGATGGGCGGTCGAAGCGGACGGTAAAGGAGTTGCGCGGAAGCTTCTGTGGTGCGTGCAACAGTCGGTTGAGTCTCGAGTGGGCGACTGGATTTGATGTACTTAGGTGGCATGTCGGGGTGGTTACGGGGATGTTTCTTCCGGTAGAGATCGCAAAGATGATGCTTGGCGCCTTGTATCCTTGATTCTGAGTCGGACCTCTGAGCGAGGGGAAGAGGTGGGAGAATGAGGGATTGGAGAGAGTGGGAGAGCGGACTGCACAAAGTGCTGCTGCTGCTTGATGAGAAACGTGGACCTTGAACGGCGCGATGGACTTGCTTTTTGTATCAACAGCGTGAGCTGCTTCTTTGGCTGCTGGTATTATAGAAAGCTTGCCGGAAAACACGTGCTGCTCTCTCGAGGCGCTCATTCTTGCTTCTGTCCGCGCACCGCACATTGATTGTATCATCCGTGACTACGTAGATCTTTGCTGAACTTGTTGGTTCCCGCACGGCTTGAGGAAAGGTGCGTGATGCTTCCCGAGGGCAGTGATCTTTGCCCCCAAAGCGCTCTACCAGGCATCGAAAAAAAAAAAACACAGAGATTATGGGGAGCATTGTAGGAGTACCAAACCCTTATGATCACGCATTGAATGTCTCGCACGAGATCAGGGTGAGTACATGCAAGATGGTGGTGTTGGGTGAAAAGGGGGTGGGCAAATTGCCAAGCGAGCCGGCAAGATTCTGTATCAACACGACGTTGGTGAAGGTCCTACAGCACTGGAAAACTCATGGTGAGGGGAGGAAAAAATGGGCAAGACACGGAGGAGTATGCCCACTTCTCTTCCCCATCTTTTCGCGCCGGTGGGAGAATTGTGGCAAGGTGGTGAGCCAAGAAAGTGTCCGTCAAGTCCGGCGGAAGAGGTGCTGGCTGTTGTATTTTTGGAGAGCAAGACACTCACTCAGATCACCAGCGCCCATCAAGGAGATGAAAGGAAGAGACGAGAACCGAAAACCAAAATAGAAAAAGATTGGTCTGCGTAAGGCAGAGATGTGTTCCAAAGATTTTCGCCTTCTTGTTGGTTTCTATTACATACCAGGTCGGCGCAAGGGAGCTCGGCAGCGCTATATGCAGTACAAGACGCTAGCATGTGCCAAACCCCCCAAACTTTTGCCAAGGTACATTTGGGAAACCCGATAAGATACTTGGCTCCTATTTGGATATATAAACAAAAAATATTCAAATCATCAAGAGACCCCCAACCCAGCACCGATAAAGGGCCTTACCATCTCAATGCGTCAACATCGTGGTCGCTGTCGCCGCATCACAACTCATACCCACGTACACACACGCAGACATTTCTCCGTACCTGTCGACATCTTGCTGGCCTATCCCCAGTCAACATCAACGGGACATCTTCAGCACCAGGGCTCTTACCTTCTACAACGCGTCTCTGAGAACCACAACCACAACACCGCACCTTCCGCATGACTCTACAGTCTTTGTCAAAACCGCTGGTACCCTACTGGTTCTTCCAGCCCTCGATATCAAATTGGAAGGCGCGATCGCGATCTGGCGCCACCGTTGCTTTGCCGGTCGCATCATACAACGTCCTCTCCACAAAATTCACTCGGCCTCGACGATCCACAAGCACAACGGTCTGCTTCTGGGTGCCATACACACCATCAAGTTCATGTTCCTGCTCTGCTGCTTTCGTCACGTTCTGAACATTGACATGCTGATCATTTTTCGCAGCAGCCAGATCCTCAGCTCTCGATTCCTCCGCGCCCTCACCTCCGATCGCCGGTATGAAAATGCTCTTGCGCAACTCCTGCACATAGCTATCCCATGGATAGTCTTTAGGCTTCCTAGGCAAAATGTCCTCGCCCAGGATACGGAATAAATGTTCGGTGAAGCTGGCTTGAGATCTCTGCTCTGAGAGGTTCTGCTTTATGGCAGAAGACAAGAGCGCTTCTCCTCTGACTACTTTCGGCCAGGACCTGTTGCCAAAAGCTGCATTGCTGAGACCGATCGTTTCGTCCTTGTCTTTTGCAATCCAGGCCGTGTCCTCGACGTTGGGCGTGCGATTTGAGATGACCGCAAGAGGCTCTCCAACCTTCCCACATACAAGGCTGAAGCCGCCGACACCCTTCAAGCCCTCATCCTCCACAAGATCGTGAATAAACTTTTCAGTGCCGTCCAAACTTTGAGGTTGAGTCAGGAACGCATTGACCATAGCACCCCTGCTCCTGGCTTCTGGCTTGATGGCGCCTTCTTCTCGAAAGTTGGTCAAGACTGCGACGCGGCCTTGTTTGGTGATGCCAAGCCATGTGCCTTGCTCCTTACGTTGGAGGTCACGACCCCCGAGGACGTTCTCGTTGGGTGAAGCCCACCAATTAGCCGGCGCTGTTGGGCGGGCGAGGAACTCCTGGTGTGCTCTCAGCTAAAGGAGAGACAAGGCGTCGCACGGCATACATCACGGTTGTTGATCAAGATCAAAGCATAGTCCGGATGAGCAGTCGAAAAGAGGGCGATGCACATCCTTGCAGCAGTCGTGCCAGCACACCGTGCAGAACGCACCAAACGCTGCTACAAGTGAGGGATAGCGAACCGAGTATGCCAACGTCAAAAGCTGGCGAGGTGCAGGGACTAGAAAAGGCGACGAATACCAGCTACGGGAAGATTACTGGCCCAGCAGGAGAGTTGGACACGGTGCTCGAGACTTCACAGGGGCAGCAAGCAAGCAAGCAGATTGACGTCGTCGAGAGGATATATGAGTCAAAGATGAAAGGTCCAAGATGACAAACTCCAAGAGATGCTACTTCATCGATACAAGAGCCAATCTCCAATCGTTCCTCCATTTGAATGACATGGAGTCTGCGGAGAAAGAGCGGCAAATCAGGCGTCAAGAGCGGGTACGGCGGAATATTTGTCGATGTTCTTGCATCCACGCTAGCCTTTAGCGTAATTAGATTTTTACATTTAGGTAAGCGAATACGTTACAACTGCCTCCTGACAACTACTCAACCTTCAATAAATCTTGTTCATATTTCCATTCCCGGGGGACTATTGAATCCAGAACGAGCGTCTATCTCCGCACCTGCACCAGCACCAGTACGGAAGACGCCATCTGAAGAAGTAAGAGTCTTGGTCGTGAACGACACATTTTCTATATTGCAAGTCTCAATCGACAGCAAGCTTGAATTGACAGAGTGCCGATTGTATACTACATCGACACTTCGTACCTACGAAGTATTTACGTAGCTGATTATGGCAGTCGGGTACTTCTCGATCGATCAAGTAGTCTGTGAATACGTGGTCTGCATGTAGTTTTTTATAGCAATCTCATATCACTGAGACGAGTCCCTTCAACACCTGTCAAGTAAGAGGATGTAAATCAAGCATGAGAGAATTCCGATTCGCAACAGGAAAGCATTAAACAAAAAAACAAAGAAACCCCCCAATCCCCTTCAATACCAAGAATCTTTGGGGGAAAGGTTGGTGAAAATTGTCATTCTTTTCTGGTACAGCGCCTGCATTGAACGACTTCTACGATTTCTCTTCTGCAGGTAAAGTGACGGTGTTTAGGGAAGAATTGTGAAAATCATTGTTATTTTCTGGCAACTGTAGGACTTCTACAAGCTCATCAGGGGTCTTCGCCCTCGTATGTATGCACGATTTTTGCTTGATCCACTCACTGAGCAAAAGCTAGGACTTAGCGTATCGGCAATGAATGATGAACGACCCCTCACCATCTCGGAATATGCCGAGGTAAGAAGTTGTTGTACCTTACCCCTGATCTAACATCTCTCTTTCCTTCTCAGCCCTATCAAAACGTCATCTGACCGTTATCGATAAGCACTGGCATCTAAGGCACCGTCATCTGCTCCGATATCACCTATCTCCCTCTCTCTTCGCTCCATTGACATCTATCCAGCTTCTTATTTAATTGAGCTGAGTATACATGCAATCATGGGCCTGTTTGATATCGTCCCGAATCTACTTTCGTAAGTCAAATCATCAGCCAATGCCCCTCCTTCCCCACCTCGGCCCGTTTGCTGCGTGCCCAAAGCTTCCGTAGCACCTCAAAGCGATACCTGCGCTGACAAGGTCCGATCGGCAGTTCCATCATCACCATCCTCTTCCCAATCTTCGCCTCCTACAAGGCCCTCCGTACCTCTGACCCCGCTCAATTGACACCATGGCTGATGTATTGGGTCGTCCTCTCCTGCTTCTCTCTGGTTGAAAGCTGGACTTGGTTCATCCTCGCGTGGTAAGTCGTCAAAGCCTTCCGTTGAACCCCGAGTGAATGAAGCTGACAGTCTCCAGGCTGCCCTTCTACTCCTCCCTCCGTCTCCTCCTCCTCTGCTACCTCGTCCTTCCTCAAACCCAAGGCGCAAGGTTCATCTACCAAACCCACATCCACCCGTTCCTCGCCCGCCACGAACACGACATTGACAATCTCATCATCTCCGCCCACGATCGTGCCAAGTCCGCAGGTCTCACGTACCTCAAGCGCGCAATCGAGTTTGTGAAGGAGAACCTGCTCGGGATCCAACCAAAAGCGACACCGCAGACACCGTCAAGCCAGGGAGGCAATTATGCGCAGAGTCTGTTGTCCAGATTCAACTTGCCCAGTGCAAGAGAGGGCTTGGCTGCCCCGGCAGGTGATTTCTACGGGCTGCTGAGTGCGGCGCTGGGAACGATAAGCGCTACGGGCGGCACAGGCAGCAGGGAAGTGCAGGCGGAAGACCTCAGTCGATCTGGCACATTGATTCCGCAGGGTATGACATCAGCCTCGGAGAAGATGACGTTCCTGTCTACGCAGAGGGAGAGGCTGAGGGTTCTGCTGTCAGCGTTGGATAAGGAGGCGGATGGCTTGGGCACCGAGGCGGCCATTGAAAGGGATGTGGAAAAAAGGTTGACGGGCGAGCAGCTGGGAGAGGGGCTGAGAAAGAGTAGGAGTGAAGCGGAGTTTGAGGAGATTGGGAAGGATGACCTGAAGGGGGAGGGAGCGAAGCAGCAAGCGAGCGGGTGGATGCCGTGGGCCTGGGGTGCAAAGGGCGAGAGTGGAAACGTGACCAAAGGCAAAACCAGTGGCGTTGACGCTGGTACCTAATGGCAAACGTTCGATGACTACCTGCTCATGAGCAATGATAAGTATGCATTGGTAATGCTCCATCCGCCAGGTCCAATATAGTTTTCATATCGCAACTAAAGATTACCATGTGTCCCTTCCTATGCCCAGCGATTCTTGGGCTGCTACTCACTTGAAAAGCGCACTTCCTGAAATGTCTACCCCTTATCGTAAATATTACCCCGGAATTTCGCCAATGCACGCCAGCAGCAAACCGGCTTATGGTCACGCCTGCGCCAGAACGTGCGATTCGCCTCGAGTGCTGATAAGAACCGTGCACCACGAAGACGAAGACCCTCAAACTTGAGCCGCAGAAACATCGCGACTGGCTTTTTACTATTGATCGAAATGCATTCATGGGTGCGAATTGACCAGATATTCCATGAGACGATGGACTTTCTCACACCGCACCGTGGATATGTTGCAACATGCTCTCCCGGAAGAAAAGATCGCATCCGTCGGCCCTGTTAGCCTCTGCAGCAATCTTCCTCGTCAGTACATCCACTGCAAATCCCACATCCCTCCGCTCCAACAGCAGACATACCGAGAGCGCTGATCTCATATCTGCAACCGCTGTCGATCATAGCGTTCGGACCAGTATCCAGACCCACGTCCACGAACGCTCAGATACGACGACACTCCCGCCACGACCTCTCCCCCAGGAACCGTATCGTCGGTGGCTGGAACATCATCTTCAACGACCGGGAAGCCTTTTCCCCCTCCTCCAGCACCGCCGAGGCCATCTCGGACATGTACGCCTCCGTCCACAACACCCTTGGTGCCCTCATGCGCAACCGGTCCCGAATATTACCCCCGCAAAGGTCCTCTCGCTCACCCACGGCGGTCTGCGCCTCGCTTTCCACGCCGCCGAACGAGCCGTACCGTGGGGTGCCGCTGATTCTTTCCTGCGGGGGATGGTGGACCTCACCCGCGCGGGGCTCACGGGGCTGGACACTGCGGCTTTCTATGACCTGCAAGGGTCGATTTTGTGGTCGAGGGTTGCGATCGGGTTGATTTTGCTGCCGTATGTGAAGGAGGGTGTTGCGCAGAATAAGATTGCTTGAGATGATGGGGAGCGTGATGTCCGCGCGGAGGTGTGATGATTGAAGATGGACGGGGCGATGTGAGATGGTAGAATTAGACCAGGTGCGACTGGTGATCGATTGATGAAGCGAGGGAGTGGGCTGTTACGTGGTAGGGCAGGTTAGAGGTGTGGACCTTTGACGGAATCGGCACACAGCCTCTTGGTCTGCAAAGCAGTGTCCACTCCCTTGATACATTGTTTTTCCCTAGCCATGATTTGCAACCACTAAAGGCTAAGGTTCACTATCATCGCTTTCGGGTCGCTGAATTACGTATTGTAGTTGTTGTTCCCAGGAATAGATTTGTACTCGAGCAAGCCTGATTTGACAGCTCGATCCGCTGGTATGTCATCGGATGGGATTTGCGTACTTTGCACCCCATGTGATGCACTCGTTGGCATTGCTTTTACATGTGTAACCACAAGCTCTTTATCGGTGATGATGAAGCCGTACCGTGCCTTGGCCTTGAGGCAATCCGTCTAGATCTGGGCCCGAGGTCGGATCCACTCTTCCTTCGTGAATGCGATTTTCGCAGGGTCTCGCTCGATCGTGTCACTTCGCTAAGCTCGGTGTCTCCGGGTAGTGTGGGCCGGGACGAATTCGAAGGCTGTATTGCTCCCCAGTCCGGACGATAGCTCGCGTCATTCCCGGGGTGTTGCGTTTGGCCATCTTTCAACATGTCAATCTTTTTAACGAGCGGTATGATAGCCAGTCAGATCAACGAAGTTGTTGAAGGTACATCCACGGTCGATCAGGGTTCAATGGTGGTGACTCCGTCATCCAGGCTGGGCAGAAGGTCTGTGGAACTTTCCAAACTAGCAAGAGATGGCTGCTTGGTGCTGCCAGAGCGCACCTGCCATCCGCGATGGTGCGAGAAGGGGAGAAAAAGTGGAGGGGGAGGGGGTTTAGCTATTCGAAGATAGGAGGATTCATTGCTCCTTGTCATTTCGCTGCTGTTCCTGCTGCCCGGAGTGGTCCGAGGTAAGAGTCGAATGATGCTAAAGCGAGGATGCTGTTATCACACTTCTGGGATTTTACAATGAGGAGGTGTGGTATACCCACTCCTACAGAAATCATGAAGCTCGGATTCTAGTATCTGTTCCGCAGCGATACATCCGAGGGAGAGGTTCCGTGCCGCGATGATGGCCGGAGAATCTCCTTTTCGAGAATAGATGGTGTCAGCATTAGGAAAAGCGCGTTCCAAATTTCGTCATTCGGTTGACCGGAATCGGCAGTTTCAAGCCATACTCAAAACATTCACGCGGCAAATCTATCCGACAGTGGAAAGGGTTGTCATTAAGCCCCTTTCTCTACCTTTTTCTCACCTTGTACTCTCTGTCCTGGATGTTTCGCGCGCATCTCATTGGTATTATCAACCACACTCCTGGCTGGCTTGTAGATGACCCTCCTATGTTGTACGAGCCCTTGAGTCGTGACAAGAAATATGGTGCTTGATTGGTTAATGCGTGTTTTGGTAGGTTCGGCGGAGGAAAGGGTTGCAACCATGGTTTTGCGCGGTTGGGGATGATGAAGCCGAGATCATCATCGCCATGTGATATCCTCGGAGAAAGAAGTAGGTGGCGAGATGATCTGATCCTTCATGAGCAGTTCGAAAGCCGAGGTGCATTTCTGCAAGAGAAAGAGACGGCTATAAAGCCAGAAGAGACATCTTGCTGTCCCTGACTACCCTTGCAGCAGCACTTCTCTTGTGGAATCGTTGCATATCTGAGTCTTCACCATGTTGGCTTCCTTGGCTCTGCTAGCTCTGTCAGCCTATCAAGTCTCTGCTTTCCCCTCCCGCCTCTCTGAAGCTTTCCTCCAGCGACGAAATGCAGACCCAGCCCAGGTCGACTCACCCTGCCCCCATATGGTTGAGCTCGCCAAGCGCGCTGTCGCAGAAGGACATGAAATCGCCAGGCGCCAGGCTCCTGGAGTTGTGCCGCCTTTCAATGCTACTGAGCAATATGTCAGTAATCAAGGCCAATACGTTTTCGTTGCACCGGGACCGACAGACCAGCGCGGACCGTGTAAGTCTTCTCGTATAAAGGTCGAGGTGAAGTCTTCTCATACCTTCTCGTAGGCCCGGGTTTGAATGCTATGGCCAACCATGGCTACCTCCCTCATAGCGGCGTAGGTACCATAGACGAATTTATAAACGGGACAGGGGCTGCTTTTGGTATGGGCTCGGATCTAGCCAGCTTTCTTGCCGTCTATGGTTCTATCTTCGATGGCGATCTTACTTCTTACTCCATCGGCGGCCCAGTTGCCGGTCTCACCGTGGCTGGCCTATTAGGCGACCCACAAGGTCTTTCAGGCTCCCACAACAAGTACGAGGGGGACGTGTCTCCGACTCGTGGCGACCTATTTGAATAGTAAGATGCTTGCACGTGTTCCATCCAGATCCTCCAACGCTAAAACACTCACAGCGGCAACGACTACTTGGTTCAGGTCTCTCAATTTTCTGCACTGTACGAACTCGGTCAACAAAACGGCGACAGCATCGACCTTCAAGTACTCACCGAGTACCGCGCTACCCGCTTCCAGCAATCCATCAGCAACAACCCGTACTTCTTCAACGCACCCTTTAGCGGCGTTGTAGCATCTCCCGCCGCTTGGTCCTTCATCTACCGATTCATGGCTAATAAGTCCTCCGAATACCCCGAAGGTCTCCTCACAGGCGACGTCTTCAAATCTTTCTACTCCATTACTGGCGACTACCCCAACTTCCAATACACGCCCGGATACGAGTCCTTCCCAAACAACTGGTACAAGCGAAATCCGGTCGATTTTTACACCATCCCCTACCTCTCCATGGACGCGGCCACGATGACTCAACAGCATCCGGAATTCCTCAGCCTCGGCGGCAACACTGGTAAAACCAACACCTTCACCGGCGTAGATCCCCAAAATCTCACTGGCGGCGTCTACACTTCTTCGAACCTTCTGCAGGGCAACAATGCACTATGCTATGGCCTCGAACTTTCACTAATGGAGTCGCCTGACATTCTTTCCGGGCTGTATTCGGACGATAATGCGGCGCTGGATGCATTGGGAACAGCGATCAACGAGGCGACTGGCGCGCTGGGTTGCCCGCAGTTGAGTGCGATCAACGAGGGCCAATTCGCTAGCGACTTTGCTCAGTATCCTGGATACACGAAGCTTTCGTCCACGGGGACTTATTGATATGAGTTTTTGTAATCTTCACGATATTGGAAGTCCGTCTAGCCGAACGTTGTAAATACTTTGTTCTTTCGTGTGAAGACATTCGGAAGCTTGCAAGTCAGTCTTAGCCGACTTCAATATAGCATACACCATGCTACTCAATACCAACCCTCATCTCCTCATGAGTTGACAGGGTTGGTCCACCATAGAGCTCGAGGAGCCACTCTTTTTTAGGCTAGGACAGCGTAAAACAAAGCCGCAGCTTCCGCAATGGTTTGGCATCCGCTAGTTCCCATATGGCATAAACAAGGCATTCTGAATGAATTCCAATTCTTGCTCCTGATAGATTAGGATGTTGAAACTGTACTGTAAGGATTATGAAAATTAGGGACACTGTTCAGACAACTGTGGTATGTTGTATAATCGACCAGGGCGATATGGGGATGGCGAAAGGGGTAATGGAATCACTGAACTTCACGGTCCCGTGACTGCCGGGCTGCTTTCACTCCGTTCCAGGGTGTTATTGACATACGTCATTGTAGCTAGCAACGCGCAAACATTTCACATAATTTTCTATATGTTAATGCTCATGCATCCAGCACCCGTACTGGGAGTACGTGTCTTGGTTCATTAGCTTTCGAGACTTCTCAACCGGCATTGTCTAAGTCGAAGGATTGACTGGCCACACTCAAAATGGCCTCCGCCTCTCCTTCGAGCCAGTCACGCGCGTTCTTGAGTATCCCACCTGGTGAGTACCAAGTCAACTAGCCTAGGCCTCAAACAAATACTAAGCCGAGCAAACAGAAATCAGACTAAGGATATACCATTACCTCTTCGAGAAGGAGCCAGGAGATGACTGCTTTCTCAGCGGCCCTCGCTTCGGACCCTGGCGTGAAGGCCCAGAGACCCAACGCCCTAAGGTCGAACGTTCCATCGACATGCAAGACCTCATCAGTATGGGCCGACATCCTGAGATCCTGAGGGTGAACCACCAGGTATATTTCGAGGCTTTTCCGGTCTTCTATTCAGGCCTTGAAACTGTAGATCCAAATAAAGGGACTTGGAGATATAAACCCCTCGAGGGCGACTTTCAGGCATATCACTTCGGAGATTACGATCAATATGAAACCTTCGACGTTGTTTACGATCCTCCCCTGATGCAAGGCTCAAGGAGCCCTCAAAAGCTAGCCAGATTCACAAAGGTCCTGCTCATCGCTAAATTCATGATTCCAAGTTGTCCGATAGGCTGGAGGTACGATGAGGAAAACGGGGAGCTCGACTATGCAGCGCAGCAAGACTTGACTGATACACTGCGTGCATCGAACATGATCGAAGACTTCGTTGAGCTATTGGCCCGGTGTTCGTGGGTAGACCATGTGGATATAGATCTCGGTGTAGTGGCCAGCTGGCAAAGAGATCAACAAACTGTTGAGTATGACTCGCCTGTTGAGGATCTTGAAACGCCCCATTGGGTTGGGCTGAGAAAGATATGGCACAAAGGCGACATCCAGGTAGCCGACATCTTACTAGCCAGTGGTGTTCTCAGCCCTTTACAGAGGTTGTCCAACATAAGGTCCTGGTGTATAGAATTGACAGTGGAGGGTTTGATGGAAGAAGAGCCGCCTTGTATGCATGAGAGAATGACTTTGGATTTGAGTAACGCGGTTGAGCAGGGAAAGTAAGCTGAGAAGATACCATGCTACCAGCCCTCTTCATCACACTAATACGCAAGGGTCCAGGACTGAACTATGCAATGGGCATAACAGCAACGTCGTCCCGTGTGGACTTTTGTGGAAACCTATATCGGAACCCTGATCCAATCCTTTGCTCTCTCAGACATGGAAGGGTAGGAGATGAACAGTCGTCGATCAATGCCGGGCTGGTGCTCGATTCCAATCGTGCGGTAAATGGCCAACACAATTTTTTAATACGAGCATGCCTCCTTTGGCGGGACGAAGCCTTTTGTTTGGTGGAGGAAGAGGACAATGCCGTCGTCTTCGGGGGCATATCCCTGGCAAATACCACTCACTGAGGCAGCGATGTTGGGCAGTTATTAATTTCGTGTGGCTTCACGTATCCTGTATTCACGAAACCCAATGAAGTGCAGCTATTTTACAAACTGCGCAAAATGTGAATGTGTGCATAATTTAATGCAGTTTGCACAATTTTCTCCAACCACTCCCTAAAGTACATGCCCACGTCCACTTAGTCCCAATTAGACGTCTTGTCAGTGCGTATAGCCTAACTCCTGTGAAGTGAACAGCCCCCAGACTACTAATGTTCGGAGCTGAGATGCGGCTTCAGCTAGGCCGCAGCCTCGACGCTGGCTAGTCCAGCACTCCAGTCAGGCAGCAAGCAAGGATATAGCACTCTCTGTCCCTCATAGTATCTATAGTACCAAGAATATGGTCTCCACACCTTCACGCATCCGCGGCTCTCTCTACGGTACCGCCGTCGTCGATGCCCTTGGCGGTCCCGTCGAATTTCGCCGCCGAGGCACCTTCGCTCCCGTAACGTCGTATCGCTTCAATGCGACCTTTGGTCTGAAACCTGGGACATGGACTGATGACACTTCAACAATGTTGTGCCTCGCACAATCTCTAGTGGACACAGATGGGAAGTTTGTAATCCATGATCAGATCAGAAAATACGTGAGGTGGTACCAGGATGGCTATATGAGTGCTACGGGGAAGTGTTTTGATATCGGGAATGCTACTAGGCAGTCGCTGGACATATGGAGGGAGTCCACCCAAAAGGCTGGGAACATCAGTGCATTGGAGCTCCGACACTACCAGAACATGGTCGATAGAGCATTGACCCATGAGGTTCGGCAACCCGAACATCCATTTCTCTTCACCAGCTGACGTTCGCCCCACAGAGAGCATGCGGCAACGGCTCCCTCATGCGCTGCGCTCCCATACCACTCATCTACCACCACTTTCCAGTACTCGCTCAAAAGTCCGCCGCACTGGCCTCTACACCCACGCACCCTCATGCTACCTGTCAAGAAGCGTGCCAAGTCTATACCCACCTAATCACTCTTATTATGACTAAACCTGGTATCACTAAGGCTGAACTTTTCACTGCTCTCCAGGAGTTTCCGTTCACCTCTACGGTCCTTCGTACAACATTCGACAGGTACAAGGACAAAAAGGAAGAGCAGTCTGCAACCGATTTTGAACACTTCGTCCAGACGCCTGACTTTCAGATCAAAAGCTCCGGATACGTGGTGCACACGCTTGAGGCGGCGCTCTGGGCCTTCTTTTCGACATTGACTTTTCAAGAAGGAGCGCTGAAGGTCGTCAATTTAGGTGACGACGCTGATACCGTTGGTGCTGTCTACGGTGGGCTATCTGGAGCGTGGTATGGCATTGAAGCGATCCCCAATGAATGGATTGATGGTCTACAGGCCAAGAGTATACTCGACGAAGTGGCAGGAGGAGTGGTGAAGCTAGTCGAGAAGGGCGGGTATGGTGAACAGTGATGGGAATTACCCAGCGTCATACCTCGAACATCCTACCAGGCTTCCATCAATTGGGGCTTAGATGTTGAAGCTGTGCCCCTCGGTGTCTCTCTCATTGAGTTTTTACACTTGCGGGACTCTTTGGGCATGGGCACCTTCTCAGTCGTTCTGGCTAGAAACAGCATTGAACGCCACCCGGGTAATGACATTTGCTGACGCTGAGGGAAATTAGTGTCACGTAAGCTGTCCAAAAAGGTACCAGTCTGAGGATTTGAAACCCTCTCAATTTCACTTCAAATTTGGATATCAGCCCGGAAGAATGTGTTGGCCGTCATCGACCGGTCTTTTTGCACCTGTGTTCGACTCCTTCAAGATTGCGCTGTGTGACAGCCATCCAATGACATGTCGCCAGCGGACTTTGCTTTCAAGGCAGGGTCGCCTTATGGCACGGCTACGCGTCGTTGAGCTTGCATCAAAAATCGATGTTTCTCCGTCTCGGCCTCACTATTGTGCCAATCGATCCCACACCAGCGTTGTCCTTTCAGATGTCATGACTGATCCCCCGAAATTCGCTTTCTTGAAGGCTTACGCGAAGGCCACAACAGAACTATGATGACACTTGCCTCACCGTGAACGAGAGTCCCACCTTCTGCAAACGTTGTTCAGGCAACGCCTCCCACAGTGACCTGCTCTCCTGATCTTTTGCCCCTTCTGAAGTATAATTCGAGTCCACGTCTTTTTTGGTTCACTTCAAGACTATGTCTTCATCATCTGTTGTACGCGTACGTGGATACGAGGATTCTCTGCGATGTCACGCTAACAATGTGACGTATGTCCTAGGAAAAACTGGGTTCTAGATTCTTGACTTCATCATTCGTCATTTGTGGTAAGATCCATCCGAGCCCCAAAAGATTGCCATAAACCAAACCAGATCAGATCTACTGCTAAGCCAGTGAGTGGCTCCACGACGATGATGCTGAAGCTACTCACAAGTCTAAGCGGTAAATATGCCCTTAGACCTTTCTGCGAATGCATCGACGATGATCGCTACTTCTACACCATCTCGAAATTGGGGCTTTCGCCAGGCACCAGACTGAGCTTTTGAGTTTGACTGCAGTTCTATAATTGCACTCACAGATCCGTGCAACAAGCTACAGGTTATTTAGTCTTTTGATCTTCCGTGTTCACGTGAATAACGTCTGTGCATCATCGAGACTTTGGAGAAATGAACGGAAAGCAAATACATCGAAGCTCCCAATTATCAGGTACTTTAGGGCCCTGTGAAGGTTTTATCCGACAAAGTCCTTAATACGCGCTTCTGGCGAAGTCATGGCGTGCGCCAATGAATTCCCTGCATTGACCACCACTGACGGCCACCGGGAACGGGTGCGGCTCTAACCTCTGTGCCAATTAAGCAACGTATCCATCAAATTTGACGCAGCTAGGAAGCAAGCCACCAGTGTCACAGAAACAATTTAATGCATGTATCTGCATATGGTGAAAATACACTGGCCTCACAGTGAGGAGATGAGGACCGCGAGAGCGCTTGAATGCAACTGCAATTGAGTAGATTGAAATCGTCTAAGCTAAAGTTACCAGGAACATGGCACGTACGATGTTCGTGGATTTATACATAAGGAGAAAAGGTAGGCTGATCCCGTCAACAGCAACTTTATCTCGTTGGAATGAACCCGGAATACTCACCAGCCATGTCTAGACCAAGCATCGTCCCAAGTGTCGACGAATTTCGCCTTCCCAAATTCGACTTTGAGCCATGGTCAACAAGGTCCTCGGTCTACTCTCAAGGGACTACTGAAGATGAGAAGGCCCTCATCGACTTCAATAAATGCGTATCGGAAAGCGCGGAGGATTGGTCGCCGGTAGGTCTATCCCTTCACTACCTGTGCACATTTCTGACATATTACAAAGACCAAGAAATTGTTCGCCGTCAGCACATGTTTCCTCGTTGTTCTCAATTCAGCCATTGCGTCTTCGCTTCCTGGCGGAGCCGTCTCCTACACCGCAGATTATTTTCACGTCACTGATGAACAACAATACGGCCTTCCCATATCCGTATTCTTGATCGGCTACGTATTCGGACCTTTGCTTTTCAGTCCTCTGAGCGAGATGTACGGTCGAAGAATCATAATGATCGTATCCTTTATTGGATATACTGCTTTCACGTTTGGCTGCGCCATGGCGCCTACGTGGCCAGCGCTCCTCATATTTCGCTTCCTCGTCGGACTTTGTGCTGCTGCGCCCTATACTTTGGGAGGAGGCATCTGTGCAGACCTCTATTCGAACGCTGCTCATCGGGGACTAGCCATCATGGTGCTTATGATAGTGAGTCCACTATCTTCTTATTCTCATCGCACTTTGACTGACTCGGTGCTAGGTTCTTAATGTTGGACCTGCTAGTGGACCTATCATCGCTGGCTTCGTCTCATCAGTCAGTTGGAGGCGGAAATACTGGGTCGCTCTAATATTAGCTGGTGTATCTTTTATTCCTCTACTGTTTCTTCCGGGTAAGTACAAGTCTCCCTTCCGGGTTTGGAGCACGTCACTGAGACGAATAGAAACATATGGACCAGTGCTACACGCTCGACGTGCTCGAGCCGCCAGGACCTGGGTTGGTAAGTCAGCCAAGCCAACGCCTCTTGTATCGAACAAGCAAAGCTTGACAAAGACTCTATCGGTGGCCTTCATTCGCCCTTTCCGCATGTTTTCTGAGCCAATCGTACTGGCCACATCCCTCCTCATGGCCATGGTATATGCCATCTTCTATCTATTCTTCGAAGCATACCCGATAATCTTTGGAGGTGAGACGCTTCATCTACCGGCTGATCTCACCAGCTACCTCATTGGTCTGAGTTGCAATGGCTGAAATCTCGACCAGGAGTGTACCAAATGAGCACCGGCGTCTCCGCCCTTGCATTCATACCCAGTGAGTTTCAGGGATGTAGTCTATTTCTGAGCGTGGTACTGATTTTGGAAAGTGCCAATCGGCGCCTGCCTCGACATCATCATTGTCTTGTGGTGGGAGCGTTATCTCGAACGTGCGAAAGCGAGGAATGCCCCCTGGGCTTTCAACGAGGAATACCGGCGCATGCCTCTCGCATGCATTGGCGGTCCTCTATGCGCGCTCTCACTATTCTGGCTCGTATGTCAAGTCGCTCCCACCTTCTAATTTTTCACACGCTAATCTCCGCCTTCGAACCACAGGGCTGGTCAGCCCGCCCCACTACCCACTGGATCATCCCCATGCTCGCCGGCATCCCCTACGGCATGGGCGTCGAAATCATCTTCATGGCCCTAACCAGCTACCTGTCCGATGGCTACGGGACTCTCACCGCCTCCGCACTCGCCTCTGCAGCCATCATGCGCAGCGTACTCGGCGCTCTTCTGCCGCTGCTCGCGCAGCCGATGTACGGTGCGCTGGGAGTGGGTTGGGCGTCGAGCCTGCTGGGGTTTATGACGCTGGCGATGGCCGTGGTGCCGTTTCTGCTGCTGAAGTTTGGAGGCGGGCTCAGGAGGAGGAGTAAGCTTTGTCGGCAGGTTATCGAGAAGAAGGAGGCGCTGGAGGGGCAGGTATAGGGCGGGGATCTGGAGAGTGCGATATAATGGTGCCCTGTGCAGGCAGGACGGGCAAGACGATTTGCTGATAGAGACCGCTGCTGTGAAGGTCTCTGTTGTAATAGTAGCCGGAAGAGCTGCCTGCGCTGAATGAGTTTATGAGGAGGGGGGGGGGGGGGGGGTTGGGGGGTTGTACATGTGGCAAAAAGGGTTGGACGTCTAGCTCTATCCTTTGGGACTGTTTATAACGTTACAGAGTCGGCTTCTTAATGCGCGATTCCATGTTACAAAATTGTGGACAAAAGCATTCATTATGTTATGGTTCATTCATTGTCCTATCCTATATAGATTACATATGTCAACGTTCCAAAGTACTCCACATAAGCAAGGAAAGCACAGAAAACAAACCCTATTCCCATACCATTTCACCATATCGCGTCTGGATTTCACCAATGTTTTGACTCCAGTCTCATATGACTCACTGTATATTAACCAACCCAGACCCATGGTCAGAAACCAGACACGAGTATACTTCGCGACTCCGCAGTGTCATCCTAACGCGGGTCTGTCGTCGTGAAACAGGCCCGAAAGTAGTATACCCTGATATCAGCCATAGCGTTTGCGACGGAGAAGTCTTCATGAATGACAAATTAGAACAGTCCGTAGCGGACCTCGAAAACCCCTTCAGAAGCTCAAGCTTGGAGTGTGAAGAAGCAGGTCAGACGTTGTCTGGGCTGGCGAGGAAATCCGCCGACGTTTCGGAGCGCTCGTGTATGCTACGAAAATTGAGTTTGAGAGGCGGAGTCGTTTTGATGTCCTGGAGGAAGGTAAGGTAGGAAAGGAATGTGAGGTTGGCGGATCAGAGGAAAAAACACCCAGCGAAGATCTCAAGTAGCCTACCTTCGTGAGTTGACATGGACAGTCATTAAACAGAAACGGTGAGAGCTTCACGATTGCCACCTTTTTTTATTTAGAATTTCTTTATTACCTGTGTGGATCTGGGACCTTGACTCGGTAAGTCCTCTTTGGGCGTGAACTGGAGGCCCGCGCTGAGATCTCGGATACTTAACGCCCCGGCTGGCCTGGACGGCTACCTAAGTAGGTAAGGTAGATACGTATCTAGATGTTGCGCTTAGACGCCCCGTGCTTCGGAAGTTGCGCCTGACCTAATTAAGCCCAGTACGGGTCACAGGAAGTCCCTAAAGTAGAGTTCAATATTTTATGCGCTCTCAGGAGGAGATCGTTCTAGGGCCCTCCGCCATTGGGACGCTTTCCGCAAGGGAGGTAGGGTTAGGGCTGCTGTTCAGGCCTGTGCGGGCTTGCTCCACTTTCTCGGAGACATGCAGGCGAGCGAGGATTGATCTCTTTCCAGTATCGAACAGGGAGGAAAACAAGATTTTTGGCATTCATCTTATTCATTTCCATTGCAGGCCCAAAGTAGATTAGAGTAGAGAAGCACCGAGACTCTATATGTACAGCGCGCAATCGATGTTGCATGTCAAATACCTTGGACCAGCCCAAATGCGCCTAACCATTGACTGAAGACCAAATTTCCGATAGTCTCAACCCTCATGACGCATTTCCCTGGCCTTCGCACCGCTCGCTCGATGCCAAACATCCCCACCCCACCTCAGCATACGCTCAGCCGCCGCGGTGGGTCCATCCACCGCCGGTCTCACGTCCAAGTAGAACACCGGCTCTCCTGTCGGCTCAGGCGGACCAGAGTAGTAATCAATCACATATCTCACCTCCCTCGTCTGCCCTCCCGGGGTCGTTCTTTGCACATACCAATCGTGACGATCAAACGGTAACTCGCTCCTACACCGGCCTAGTCAGCAAGAGCCACAATCTGATGATGGCCTTACTTACGCAAACTTCGAAGGCCACACCCGCCCTAGCACTTCTATCATCCTGGCCTTGGGCGTCAAATCCCCCGGCCTCCCCATAAACCGCATCAATCTCGGCCTGTCTCCTTTCCATTGAGGCATGTCTTGAAAGCCCTCTTCGCCTCTGCTGCAAGCCTGCCATCCGTAGCCCAACCCTTTGCTAAACCTTGCTTCCCATCCTTCAATTTCTGCCCAAGCCCCCTCATTTAGGAAATTGTGTACCGCCACCATACTCTCAACAGCATCTTCGGGCGTGTCATCGTAGCCTTTCCGTAGCATGGCATTATACATTTGTTGCGGAGAAGGGTATTCCCAGTTCGCTTCTGCGTCGCCCCGGGGGATGGATGATGTGGTGCGGGAGGTGGGGAGGGCAATGGTCTGGTTGGTGGAACGGGATTGAGAGAGATTTGATGGCATATAATTCAGAGGGTTTAGTTTGGAGAGAGTCGACGGTTTAGCCGTGGAAGGCGAGAGAGGCGCATTGGGAGAGGAGATAGGGCATGAGGATGCGTCTGCTGGCGACCGTGACGAGTTTTGGGGAGGGAATGGAGAGGTCGAGGTGGCTTTGTGCATGGGGCATCCAGGCTTGGGCTGTCAGCTACGTTTTCTGAAGCCGTACCTAGGTATAGCTTACAGGAGGTGCAGCATCTGAGCTGGGTAGAGATTGAGGTGCGAGCGACCTCGGGGGCGTTGCAGTGTCTGCCCAAAACCACCCCATGTCGACCCGTCTCCTGAGGCAAATTCAATACTTAGTGACGGTGTGATTCTGTTCCTTGGAGAGCTCTACGCAAAGCGTCCATTGTCGTAGCGTAAGAACTGTTGTGGTGGAGGATGAAGGAAGAAGCTCGGAGGCGAGACCGTCGCTGGATTTGCGGGCAAAATGACGTCCGCATTTACGCATTTACCCCTTCCTTTCTCATCCACGACGTGAACAACATGGATCCTACGACGAACGATAGACCTCGGTGACCACTGAAGGACGTTCTGGTATTCTACGATGAGAACAGCTTTTGCGCTTGGCCGACTATGCCTTCGCCAAAAGCCCAACCGTCTCATAGCATCCATTGCGCGCCATGAAAGGCATTACTCGATTCTTACACCATGGCCCGTATTCCGCAGACCTCCAAAACCGCCAAAAGGCAGGATACTCATTTGGAGCTTGCTGTCGCCGGCCGCTTTTGTGGCATTGAGTGAGGAGGACACTGGAGATGGCAAGACACCAGAAGAACACATGCTGGAGGCCTCGAGGGCAGAGATCGCAAAAGAAATTCCAGAGGATGTGCATGGTCTCCGAAGAGTGTGGAAAGCAATATACCTATTCGTGGACACTTTGATCGTCGAGCCAATAGCGACAACTTTCCGGTTCCTGCACCTTGTCATAATATTCGTGCCAGTAATAGGGACTATGCCGTTGATTTGGCTGGGTAGGAGGCAGAAGAACCGCGACAGTGAGCGCTCTGGCACGCTTTGGTGGTACTCCTTCCTGGTCCGGTCAATGGAGCGGGCGGGTCCAGCTTTTATCAAGGTACCCCATCCAGTTCAAGCAGAGCAAAGCTTCCGCGCTGATCTATGTACGTCTAGCTTGGTCAATGGGCAGCTTCAAGATCAGACATATTCCCTCAAGAAATGTGCAACACCATGTCGTCTCTCCATTCCAATGCTCCAGCGCATTCCCTGAAGTATACGAAGCAGTCAATAATGAGAGCTTTCGACGGCCGGCCATTCGAGGAAATCTTCGACGAGTTTGAAGAGAAGCCCCTCGGAGTTGGAGCGATAGCACAAGTCTACAAGGCGAAGCTGAAGCCAGAGCTTACGACTCCCGGTGATACCGATCTCGAACCGCAGCAACGTAACATCAGTCAGCGGATGAGGAAGAACGTAGACATGTTGGTAAAATCCACACCACAAAGGACGCCATCATCCTACGTTGCAATCAAAGTGCTCCACCCAAAAGTTGAGAGAATGGTGCGACGAGATCTTCGAATCATGGGTATCTTCGCTGCGGTTCTGAACGCAATTCCAACAATGGAATGGCTCTCACTGCCTGACGAGGTAGAACAATTCGGTGAAATGATGCGCTTGCAACTCGATCTCCGCATCGAGTCTGCAAATCTGATCATGTTTCGTAAGAAATTTAAGGATCGAACTACAGCATGGTTTCCCTTCCCCTACGCGGAGCACTCAACTCGTCAAGTTTTGGTAGAAGAGTTTGCCCAAGGAATACCCCTTGCAGCCTTCCTCGAAGATGGCGGTGGTGTCTTCCAACAAGAAATAGCAGATGAAGGTCTCGATGCGTTCTTGCATATGCTGCTAATAGACAACTTCGTCCATGCAGATCTCCACCCAGGCAACATCATGGTGCGCTTCTACAAGCCTGAACGAATAGACCTGTCTCTAGGCCGCCATAAGCAATCAGACTCCCCTGCACACTCTACAGATGTCACGGAAGAAGTCCTCCAACAGCTGCGCCCTCACCGCCACCATCCCGAAGAATGGAACGCCGAGCTCAATAAAATCGACAAAGAAGGCTACCGTCCGCAGCTCATCTTCATCGACACAGGTCTCGTCACAGCTTTAAATGCCACAAACCGCAAAAACTTCCTTGATCTTTTCAAAGCCGTTGCTGAATTCGACGGCTACCGAGCCGGTCACTTGATGGTAGAGCGATGTCGGCAACCAGACGCCGTGATTGACGAAGAGGTGTTCGCGCTGAAAATGCAGCACTTGGTGCTCGGCGTGAAGAGTAGGACCTTTGCATTAGGCAACATCAAGATCGGCGACGTCCTGAACGAAGTCTTGAGCATGGTCCGAGGCCACCATGTGCGCATGGAAGGCGACTTCGTGAACGTGGTCATCAGCATTCTCCTTCTCGAGGGCATCGGGAGGAGTCTCGATCCCAACCTCGATCTGTTCAAGAGGTAAGCCGCGCACTTTCCACACATGTTCCATCCTTCCCTTTGTGCGCTCACACGCATCGTAGCGCTCTCCCGATCCTCCGCCAACTCGGCGCCCAAGGCGGCGGCACTTCTCTCCTCAAAAGCGTACGCGAGGGCGACACATCCATGCTCAAAGTATGGCTCGGTCTTGAGATACGAAAGTACCTGCAAGCTTCCGCCGACCAGGTGGAATCGTGCGTCAAATACGATCAACTCAGTCCGAATATTTGAAAAGTCGTCATGTCCCCACTCATTTCGTTTGGCGGTTGGAGTCATAAGCAGGGAACGTTCGAAAGGCGGGCTTGGTCTTTTTGTAAGGCTTGTACATGGAGTAGGGAGTCTAGGTCTTCTAAGACCGACCGTCAGCGGCATCTATCAAATATAAAAAAGAAGAGGATCTCCGTCTAATGTACATACAGCCAACCGAATTATCCACGCCATGCGTAGAACCAAATGTCTATCTTATTGCTCCACAGCCTTAACGCCTTCAGATGCTGCTTCCATGCAAACGCAATATCCGCTTCTAATTATATCTTCATCAAATCTTCATAGAACGCCGGCATCCTCCCACTCCTCTCCATCCCCTTTCCCCTGCTCTGTGCTTGCAGAGCCCTATCACCCCTGCCTTGACCATGGCCCTGGCCCTGGCCCTGGCCCTGGCCCTGGCCCTGCCCTGACCCTGACCCTGACCCTGACCCTGACCCTGACCCTGACCCTGACCCTGCCATCTCCCCATGGTCGTCGTCGCTCTCTCCTCATTCCACCCCCTACTCGCCACCTTCTCACCAACCTTGACATCCCGATCCAGCACCTCCACCAAGCCTTCTGCAAACAGCTTCCTTGCTTTCTCATCGGCCAAAAAGGTCCTTTGCTCTCTCTGCTCTAGAATTCCCTGGCCGAATTTCCTGCTCGGTGCCGATGAGAGGGTTCCTAGTTCTTTAAATGCGATGACCAAGAGCCTTTCGAGACCTTTCCGGAATTCGATGATGGTCTTTACAGTACGCCGGTCGGGAGAGGTGACGTAAAAGGGGAGCCAGCCGTCTAGCTCGACGATGTTGCCACGCTCTTCGTTTCGCTTCAATTTGCCCCCGAAGAGGCTAGCCATGAGGGGTGTTGCTTCTGTGGTATCACGGAGGAAAATTGAACGGCCATCGTTGGAGCGTGCCATGGAGCTGTACATGTACAAAGAATTCCTCGCGAGCTTGATCTCGTCTCTCCTCCCTTTAAATAACGCTGAGTTGATTGAGGATGGATGTACGATGCTGGCTTTTTCGCCAACGGTTCGGAAGCTCACACCGCCGTTGTTGACAGCGAGGTTGGGGTGGAAACCTGCTAAAGCTAAGGCTTTGATGAGCGGAATCTTGTGACTGTTTTCATTGAGGGAGGGGTCGCCGAATTGAGAATTTACGCGGCCCAAACGCGAGCTTCTGGGGATAAGGCGGGCTTCAACGAGGATGTCTTCGATTTGCTGGGCGGTAGCATCGATAGTCTTGAAAGCATTGATATGGAGGAAGTTGCGGTGAGCGAAGTCCTTCATCCCGTAATCACCTTTGCTGTCGCGGACGCGGCGGAGTTCTCGAACTGCGTTTAAAAGGGCGATATGGTCGGAGCCACTGCCTTCGACAAAGGAAAGTTTAGCTTGGGCAGCTTCGTTGCGGGCATCGAGAGGATTTAGGAAGAGGGAGCGCTCCGCCGAGGCGGCTCCAAGGACGATCATGGGATCCAGGCAGCGGAAGATGATGCCAAGAACTATCATCTTACCGAGGCTTGGGTGGACGGGGAGGGAAGATAGAAGACGGCCGAGAGGTGTTATGGCCTCGCCATCGTCTGTGAGGGCATCCAGAGCTTCGAGTTTGACGATAGATGAGTCCACGGCTTTTGGATCGGGCGGCTCTATGGCCTCAGCTAAAAACTCGCGGATTGGGGCCTGAAAAGCCTGTGCCTTGACTTTGAGACAGATTTCTTGAAGGTCGATGCGAAGAAGCTCCGGCAAGCCGATAGCACGCAGCTTCTCGTAGCGTTCTTTAGTGAAGAGTGCGTAGTAATTTCCATTCTGGACTCGTCCAGCTCGGCCTGCACGTTGCTTTGAGTTTGATTTACTGACCCATGTGCAAAGAAGCTGGGAGATGCGACGAGTTTGATCATATTGCTTCTCTCTGAGCTTACCAGTGTCAACCACATACTGTACGTCGGGAATAGTGATCGAAGTTTCAGCGATGTTGGTGCCGAGAATGATCTTTCTGCAGCCTTCTGGCACGGGATCGAAAACAGTATTCTGACCAGCTGGTAGGCTAGAATGCAGTAAACAGAGCTTGAACTTCGACTCATCGCTAAAGTTGATGCCGAAACCCTGACTCTTCAGGATCTCTTCGACTTTTACAATCTCTGCAAGACCAGGCAGGAAGACTAGTATGGCTCCTTCGTGGCTTGTCTTCGCAATATGCGCAATGGTACATGCAACAAGGCCGAAAGGTATCAGGGCGTTCTCTTTTTCGGTTGCCGGATCTGCAGCCCCTTCACTAGCGATGGAGTTGCGCTCGCGTTTCCAATCAATCAGAGATATCTCCTTCCTCGATCCATCTGCCGACTCCTGACTGTCTGTTGTTGGGTGCTCATTACGAAACCTAGTTTCAACATCAAGATAACCCTTGGTGTCGGAATCGGCGTGCATAACTCTCAATTGCGCTGGAGAATTTGCGGCGTTTATATCCTTCAATATCTCATCGAGATATCTTTCTCTGACTGGGAATGTGCGACCGGGAACGCTCAGGGAAGGGCAATCAAGTGTACCCTTACCGGCAATGTGGCTTTTGAAGTATGAAGCGAACAATTCAGTATCCATGGTTGCGCTCATGAGCACAACTTGTGGGTTCGACTTGCCGAGAGCTTGCCGTCGCATGATGTTCTTCTTCAGTACTATGAGAAGGAAGTCTATCAGCATGTCACGTTCGTGCACTTCGTCAATGACCAGATGCGATATATTGTCCATCACTTCGTCAGGATAAAGCTGCAGCTGCTGTTGCAAAATACCAGTCGTGCAATACGTGACGCTGCCTCCAAACTGGGGTAGCTTTGGGTCAAAGCGAACATGATATCCAACGCTTTCCTGTAGTGTCTCTGCTCGCTCCACTGCAACTCGCTTAGCAACAGAGATTGCAGCTATGCGGCGAGGTTGAGTACAGACAATGTTGCAAGAAGCGCCTTTTCCCTTGCTAATGGCGTCTTCCAACAATATCTGTGGTACCTGGGTAGTTTTACCGCTTCCCGTAGCCCCAACAATGATACTGTAGACATTGTTGTTGACTAGGTCCAAGATTTTAGCCCGGTATTGATTCATTGGCAGCTCGGCTTTCTGGTTCCGGAGATCTGCAAGCTTGGGATCTTGATAGAATTCGTTCAACTTTTGCACCAATTTCTCGTCTCGCTGTTGAGCTTCATGAGCTTCCAGTGGGCGTCGATAGCCGCCTTTCCGGCTTTCGGAAAGGTCCACTCCGGATCCGACATCTTGAACTGCGTCCGGTAACCCTGCCTTACGAGCTCCGAGTAGTGTCTCACGCATGACAAGGGAGCAGTCTTCGTCGACTGGCATATCCACAGGGGCGACAGGCCTCATGATCTGTCCATTGCCAATTCGTAAAGCTCGAAGGAATCGGGGATATAGCCCCAGCTCTCGTTTCTTCAAGGAGATAGCGGCGGTGAGATAAGCAGTTTCCTCAGCTTTCTTTTTCAACAACATAGTCACGGGCTCGCCGATCGCTTCGCCATTAATCATCACCTGGACGCGAGTAGGCACGCTTTGCAAGCCCGTTTTTTCTAGCGGTCGTGTGGCTTTGGTCTGTATATCGACACCGGGTCGAATAATCCTATAGAACTCCATGAACTTTGACGCATTATCCGTTGTCAATTCACCGGAGTCCTTTATGACGATTGTTTCACTGCCATGTTCCTTTTGGTATCTCTCTGCCTCGTCCTTGAACATATTCGCAGCTCGAAGCTCAGCAACCTGGATCTCTCCACCTTGGGATTTGACTCGAATGCCTTGCTCTGGAAGCTCCACTATCATTTCGACGAACCTTTTCCGTCTCTTACGTTCCAAGCGAGTAGCAATATTAGTACTGATTTTGGGGACCGTGTCAAATCGGGCTGCGTAGTTGTATATGTCCATTAGTGCATCCTTTGCTTCGGCTTTTGATTTACTCATAGACTGTTTATTAATCTGATTTGTGCCAGAATTTCTGTTGAGAATCTCCCCAAGTATACCTTGCTCGTGAAATTTTGCCATCATGTGTAGCCAAGCGGTGTCTTCGGCGGCTTTCTACGAAATATTAGTACACCTTACTTCATGAAACTGAGCGGCTTGCCTTGGTTCGACCTTCCCCAATGACTGCTTCGTTGTGCATCGCAGAATTGTAGTAGGCGGTGCACTGGTGAGCATCCTGTGCTAGGGTGGTAAATTCTGAGCGGCACTCTGCTAACCCATCTGCTACATTGTGAATGGATCCTTTGGAGTTCTTGAAGACGTCTCGCGGTACATCGGGATATTCCTGGGGTGTGGGCATATGCATGGTGCTTCTGATGTAGGCTTCATCTTTGAGCTCCGGAGCGTTGCCGCGCTGTCGTCTAGCTGATGGTTGGCTGAGGGAAGCTGTGGCCTTCCTCTTTCTGCTCCCAACACCAGGCTGTCCCCGCTTCTGGGGGCGGTTGCGCGGCTGTCTAGACTGTGTGGAAGGCTGGGCGTTGTGATGAGAAGGGTTTGCCGATTGATGAGAGGAAGGATTTGATGCTGCATATTCTGGCGAAGGTCTCTTGGAAGCCTCCTTTGCCACTCCATTTTTTTTCTCCCGAGTAGTATTGCTTCCATTCTCTCGTCATTTGGTACAGCCCTAAGCTCCTGTCCGGTGGAGCTGTAGCGATTCTGCTTGGGACCTCTCCATGGTTGGATGTTGAGGGCGTTGCGAGAGGGTACAGCTGACGGCATGACACGCGTACGGAGGACCTAGAAGGAACAAGTCAATCCAAAATTGCCAAGCTAGGAGGTCAAGTCACCAGGAACATACCAAAGTCCGTATCATCTTTCCCAAGTGTCGGTCTTCGAGCAGCTCGAGATGAACAAGATGGTATGCTCAGATCAGCACATATGTAGAGATGAGACAAGGAGCATGCACCAAAGATTTACGAGGCATAAAGATTCGAGTATCCAATCACTCCTCATTCGCGAATTCCGTATTGCTTGCCTCCAACTCGAAGAATCTTTTCTTGCACTAGTCCCATTAGCGCTTGGTGGCTAAACTAGCTGCCGGAAGAGCTCCCGCTGCGAAGGCATGCTTCTAAACCCGTGTAAAGGGGATCGACTCAAACGAAAGTACGAGCCATCAGCTGCAAATTCTCGTGATCTCAATGTCAATGGTCAGTGTCTGAGACCACCAATGACAGTCTGCATATCGAGTTAATTCCCTGTGCGTATGCCAAAACATTTTCTCTGTTCGAAAACCGACCAGTCACTCTTCACATCGTGCCTTGATACATGGTTACCGCATGCATTTGCAGCTAACTTTGGCCAGAATAATCATCGACGACTATGATATTGACAGATCGTATCAGCAATCTCTTCGGTGTTAGCACTCCATTCGGACTTGATAGGATCGGCAGTGCTAAGCATGTATCGCACATCGCCCCGAGTAATTATTACTCATTACGTGGAATGGCTATGCCAACACCTGAGATATACCTGGATCGACACAAATACACTGGCTCCGCAAAACCAGCCATCACCAGCCACCTCCAGTACCTCAAATATTTTACTCAAGTTCCCTAACGCCAATACCCTCCCTAAGATTCTTTCCTCCCACCTGACTAAATCTCTCCTTCTAGACCCGAGGAGAAAGGATCGCGGTCGTACGAACTTGCGGAGCCCAACCGCTTATAGAAGTACTTTTTGTACGTCTATGATATTTCCCGCGACTCGGAATGTATACTTTGTGTGATGCACTGAAAGACTGTTCCGATGCTGGTGAAAGACCAACCTTAGGATGCTAGCTCACCCATTAGGCCTGACCTTGCAAGTATGTCTTTGACGTTCTTGATGCATTGAGTGATGACTTCGCCGTCGATGAATGACCGACTTTGCTGATGGTATCAACCGTCGCATTACTAAAACTCCCTATCTATATCCGATTGTCACACGCTTTTCTGCTTCTCTGTATTTTGTGTTCTCGATGGTAGTGGCCGACTCTTGACCGCTTCATATATTGAAAGCTTGGTCTGCTCTTCTTCTTCATATACAGAAATGGAGGTCTCGTCATCTTGCCGCACTTTTTTCCCTCCGCAGACCAAAGAGAGCGGCTACAGCACTCAGCTAATAGCACGAGTACCTTGTCCCTATTCTCGATTACCAAGGAAATCAAATACTCTTTGTAGCCAAGCTGTTCATCACCGCCGATGACTGCCGATTGCTGCGAGACTGCCAATACCTTCAAGCGTCGGGAGTTGTCCGTCTTCTACAGCGGTGTGGACAAAAGCATTATACCTTGGAAAAATAGGCATGTGGTTGGCTACATGTGTTCTGTGTTCCTCGTGTTCCACAGATAAGAAGGACAAACAATTGGCTAAGTATGAAAGGGCTTAGTCTCTAAAGTAAATTCGTGTGCCATTTGAGTGGGAACATTATTTCGGCTATTTTGTGCTTATTCTACGGCCGCATGAGCGGGATGCCGGGCGGGCCGGTCCCGCGCGTCACCCTTTTCTGCGTGGACAAATGGGTGCAGGATGCTGGATGCAGGATGCCCCCTCTCCGAATTGGCATGATGCTTGGGGCCCTTCCGCTGGATCCCACATTGGCGTCATGGATGTTGGCATACAGCCCTTGCACAACATCGACTGGAGGCTTTTAGCTGTGACGAACGGAAAGAGGAGAAAAGAAAAAAACAGTGAAAAAGAAAAGCATGAAGAAATAGTATAGACCAATGGAGTTCCCACTGCACAGCTGCTGGGATTGCAACTCGTCTATCACTGATATTCGTGCAGGATGCATTTCTCTGCTTGTACTTTCACCCTCTCCGCCATCTTTACCTCAATTATATCAGTCACTCCCCACTCAGAGCATTCGAGGATGTCTTAAGCAAGCGCCAGGCTTCAGGCATCCTCAACGGCAACGCTTCAATTGTCGACCTGGGCTTTGAATGCCACCAAGGTATCTTGAATAGCAGCACCGGATTGAATAAGTGGTTGGGGTACGAACGAGAACTTATAAATCCTGATGCATCTGGTTATTGATAAATGGTTCATTATTCGTCATGTAGCTCCTCCAACAGGCCAGTGAAGATAAAACCCCCCCGCAGTCCCTACCGTGAATCGTGGTCCATTCCCCCGCTGATCATACTATGAACATCCCCAATGATTCCACCCTGTTTACCCACCGCGCGTTTGCCTTGTCAGATCTGCCAACTTACGCACGATCCTAAGCTGCTTCTCGATATGTGAAGGTGTGACTGAACCAAGTCAATCGGAAAGCCATGCGCGCTGGAACTGTTGCATGGTTGGAGATGACGAAAAAGAAAAGATGTGAGTAGTGAGGGCGCGTGAGGGTTGAATGTTCTCGGATGCAGGATGGATTGTTTGCGCACATCCATCGAAATGAAGGCGAAGGACGATGATGCAACAGCCAAGAAATCGGAGAGCGCCCTGTACTACTGCTAAACTCGTTCCCACCATTATAAAGGCACAGCGCAGTCAAGATTGTCTGTTCAATCCTGTCCTCTTAGAGCTTGATGCCAAGCGTCCCACAAACCTAGACTGCCCAAAAACTGGCCGCATATTGAGCAGAGACCAATTTGACCCTGGTGTGTCGGTCAGGAAGTGTGATACGGGCAAAGGTAACGGATCGTCCACGAAAGGAAGGATGTTAAGAAGAACTCACGGATCGAACCTTCACTCTTTCAGCGTGCCATCTTGACCGGCCGACCGCCCACGCCGCTCAATCATGGCAGCCTTGAGCTTCGGGAAGAAATCTCGCGCTAACACTGTATCCGAGTACTCCTTCGAGCAAGTGATCTTCTCGCCACTCTCATCGAAATCGAGCAGCCACATGTACTCATTCACATACTCTCCGGCCACCGTATCGCCTCGGGCGCTCAGGTATAAGCAGATGCGGTTGGCTTGTTTGTCTTCGAGCAGGTCGTTGACGGTGCATGAAAAGTTGTGGAAGATACCGGACAGCTGGTGTAACGAGTCGCCATATGTGGCGTTGTTTTGCGGCGAAAAGCCTAACGATTTGGGTATGAAATGGCGGAGGCAGTCCGGACTGCGGTGAGCTATGATGCTATCGACGTCCATGTTGTTGAATGCTGCCACTACTGCCTCGGCCGTTTGTCTTTGCCGAGAGACGGTCATGGTGGGGGTTTGCTTTCGGTTCTGGTGTACAGGCGAGCCGAGAGGAGTTGCGGGGCCAAGCTGGACTTGTAGATCGATGCCATCTCGTCTCAGGGATGCTTCCCTTCCTTTATGTATTCTGTCTGGAATGAGGTGCTCCCTGACTGGCATTGATAACCTCGGAGCTAATATGAGCACTAGTCGCGATTTGGCCACGGGATATCGGGCGTCCGAGATTCCGACTGTTCGTGTCAGGATTAGCGCAAAGTGTGCTGCCACGCGCTCGCAAAATAATCTCCATTTGTTGGTTGGATGATAAGGCACGTACGAATCGAGTGAACTCTAAAAATGCTCCCACCACACCATTATACTTGGAAGCGGAGGCAGAGACTGGTCCATTATTGTCTTGTTCCCGGCAGTGTATAGTGAGAGAACGGACATATGGTAGTGGCCTGAGACTGGTGACCACCATGACGGTTACCGATCTTGAAGAGAATTGAACCCTTCACAACCGAACGTTGAATCATGGCTGAAGCCTGTCGAGCTCTGGATGAACACAGAACATTGATGGTAGAGAAATATTCATGCAATGAATCGTAAACGATGAGGGGCTAAAGAGAAGAAAGAACCGCCCAATGGGCTGGGCAGTGAGGGTTGGAATCTTGCTCGAGTCCAGTCAAAGACATCAGCTCTTGATGCAGGTCTCGGAAGCAACAGAGGCTTCGCTGAGCCCGAAGCATCTACAATACAAGGAAAACTCTCATGGCTTTCAAAGACATCGCCGCAAGCGGAACAAAGCCTGCTTGTTTCATTCGTCTCCCTTATCTTCTCGTTACCTCCATAAAATCTACGAGGATTTCCATCATTTTCTATAGTTGTCTTTAGCAGTCCTGCCGGAAAAGTCTAAAACTTTGGCTTCCCTATTTTCATTCTGACATCTTGCAGCATGGCACATCCAAGCAAAGCCAGAAAGACTCGGAGCCAAAAAGGCGTCAAAGATGCCGCCACAGTCGCTGCTCGCCATACCGCAGTGGGTGCTAGTACGGCTGCTGCCTTCGATGAACCAACGATGAACCATAGGTCTAGTAAAGGCTTTCCAAGCCGTGTCCGCAATTCATCCAGCATTGCACGAATTACTGCAATCAATGCTTCGAAGCTTCGAGTTGACTCGATGTCGGACATGCAGCTCAATGACATGGCCACGAAGCAGCTCTTGGCCGAATTCGAGGCTACTCTAGCGAGCCCCAGAAAGGGTTCGAATAATCATTCCAAGCATCACGGCAAATAGCCATGAGTCGAACCTCGCGACTAGCTTGCAGAAACTTCCATCTTCGCCTGTGGAACAAGAGTCATACTCTTTGGCAGCAATCGTACTTTTTCGTTGCTCGCCTTATTGTTTTTGGCATAGCCACAGCAGAGTACCTCTTCAGTGGACGTGGAATTCGGAATTACCAGAAATGCATTTCTGGAAGCACATCAAGATTGCAACCTTTAAGATACCAGAGCCAATGGAATCAACTCATGTGAAGGGCATTTCGAAAGAGCCTGTCATACTTTTGCCAACTCTGCTTGCCTCGGCAAAGCTCTCGACAATGAGACACCAGCCCAGATGTCTTCCAATCAAAATCATGCTTTACGTAATCAATTCTCGTATTTCGAGTCGATCGACAACAGGGCGACCACGGAAAATTCCGATCCGAGAGCAATCGAGCACCAATCACAAGTACCCTACCACGCCTGCGTCGGTCTGCGCGACGAGACCCACCTATGTCTCTCAAGGGTCACCATAGTCCCACTCAATGTTCAAACAACACCAAAAGAATCCTTGATGAAGTACATGTTTTTCGACAAGGTCAAACATCTCAAGGCTTACCACACTAGCAAATCGACCGGGCCGCTGAGAGATGGTAGTCCCGCGCAATTGCTCGTGCAAAACCTCGATCAAAACCTTTCCACCAAACGATCAGGACTCGGTAACGCCCATATTCCCATGACGAATGGAGTAACAATGCCAGAGCAGGCATCAACCAACAGATGCAAGCCATACTATCTTCATGGGATGACGAGAACCGGCTTGCTTATGATCTCGGCCGGTACGGTGCAAAGGCCCAGGAAAAACCACACCCCGTCCGGGCAACTCAAGATGTTTACCGCGCCTGCGGAAAACCGGAGGGTCTAGTTCAGTCACACCTGGACTTTTTGAAAAATCTCAATGGACAAGGTCAGGATTGCGCTCGCGAGTCTTGAGGCTGTGTTGGTGGATGTCGCAGTGGCGGCCACTTTGGGCGCTGGTGCGGAGAGAATCCGAGATATGTAAGAGAGTTTGGCAAAAGCAAAAGTAATGCATAGAGGGTGGGAACAAGCAGGCGAAAAGTTTCGAAAGAAAAGGGGCACTGTAGAGCTTAGGTATCTTCATTTTTGGACACGTTTATGGATATCAATCAAAATGAATTGGCGATTCCATCTCAGAGTTCTCTAAACAAACACGGTTCGATGCGGGAAACATAGCTTCCTTTCACTTTGATAGATAAAATTCATGGTCCGTTTTCTTCCGATTATCGTATCTCTCTGGCAGCGCACCTCTCGAGGCTCAGAAACTTTGGGATTGCCTCTACATGACCCATCTACATCTCTCTTATCACCAATCAGATGGCTCGTGAATTGAGCAATCCGACATAAGAACAATCTGCGTACTTTTATTACCCGACGCTGTCAATGATCAGCGTGGAATCTTCGATGCAACACGGTTACAGAGCTTGGTGACACGAATACGCTCAACCGGCCTCCACCCTACTTGTGGCATCACTTCCTCCACTTGACTTCTCCGACTTGACATGACGCTGACCATAACCTGGGGCCCCTACACGGATGATCTGACAATCGCCTGCTTCAAGGTGGTGGGTATGGGCGGCAGGGGACAACCGTTGAGCAAGGACCTTTCCGGGTAGAGAGTGATGCGCGTGCTACTGGATCGTCGGCTCTTTCCCATTCTCAAATCACATATGCATAGTACAAAAACAACGCTAGCACATTGTATTTCGTACATAAGATTACTGCTCGTAGGAATCTTACGGTTACTCGGCTGCAACCACGTCACCGGGGTCGAGAAAGGTGTGTTTCAACCGTATATGAGACATTGTAGGATCATGACTTCATCTCCTTAGGTTTGGCCACGATGCAGGGTCCCTTTCCAAGTCACCTGACAATTCGCGGCTCAAAGATGACACCGGCGGTAAGAGATTGGCTGGTGGCAATACCGGCTCCGACGTCTTCCCGACCGTCTAAGGCAGGCGACTCCTGACCTTCTCTCTTTGATCAAATCTATTCCCATCATCCTAGTACCTAGCACAGCACTTCAACAAAGAAATGGATACTCAACGACAGCACCACTCCGGGAAGAAGCCACTGTCGGGCGCATCGAAAAGACCTGACGCATTCTGGAGTTTGATTGTGCCTTCGGCACGCCTAAAGAAGGGAAGGCTAGATCACAACAAGGGAGCCACTCCAGCACCCCCTCAATTAAGCCATGCTGAAGAGCTCAAGGGCACACAACCAGCGGTTCGCAAAGAGAAGGGAACCCCTCATGTCATAACAAGAGCAGATGCAACAGATCTTCACACCCATCTTGGTGTGACGCCCAAAGTCCCAAAACCCATGGAAGGCAGAGCGAAAGGAAGACCAGAATCCGGCACGAGAGAAAAACCAGTAGACCTTGATGCTAGCACTGATGAAGATCGCAAAGGCACGCAGGCTCAGCCTGGGACACGCAGAGAGAAAAGAAGATCGGAATCCACCGCTAGAGCACAACCAGCACTCCCTTACATCAGCCTTGCCGAACAGCTCAAGCGCAAACAGCCTGTGGAAAACGATAAGCAAGTTGACAACGGTGGGCTCTTTGAGCGCGGGTTTTTGGCTCCGACCTCTGCGTTAAAAAGGGAAGACAAAGACGAAGAATCTTCTGAAGGGCCGGACGACATAGAAGGGTCGGACGACGACGAAGGATACCCGTCGAGGATGACGACGAGGATGACAGCGAGACTGCCTCTGATGCTTCGAGTCCTGCTAAACAGAGACCCCAACCCTCGTATGGAACGCCTCGAAGAGCAAGTGCCAGAATCCGAGGAAGTAGGTGGAAGTTGTTAAAGGAGCTCAGCGAGCCGACTGCACCAAAGCGGAAGAAGGCACCTTCCCAACCAGCAAGCGCCAAAGGTGAAAGACCAAGAAAGAGAGTCAAATTCAGGGTCGAGGAGTCTGACGATGATTCTGACGAAAATTTTGGCGAGGAAGAGGACGAGGAGGAGGCCGCTAACAGGAGCGTGCCTTACAAAGTGAATCGCCGAACCAAAGCCTGCGCTCAGAGACAAAAGTTGTCAATTCTGCCGGCTGTGCCTCCGCTATCAAGGCAGTACCAGCCGTGGACCGAGAAGGAAGATGAGACCTTATTCAGTCTACGAAACCAAGGCAAGAGTTGGACATACATTGGCGAACGTATACTTGGCAGAACAACGAAAGGAGCCAAGAGCCGTTGGGACATTTTGAGAACCGAGTCTCTACGTCCCGTTGAGAGTCGAGCCAAAGGGCCCAGTCGACGACTGCAATCTTCGGTTGTATCTGTGATGGCCAAAACCCCAATGATAAACAAACCCTGGTCCAAAGATGAAGAGGAAATTCTGATAAGGTTACGCACTCAAGGTAAGCGTCTCAAGTATATCTGTAGGCAGATTCGGGGTAAATCATACGCCGCGTGTAAGAATCATTGGCGCAAGATCAAAGGCCAGTATCAGCAGACGGTCACGGCTCCTAGAAATCTTGAATCTGACGGGAAGGGAGATCCATCAGATCGCCGGGATACTCGGTTTTCTTCTGCAAGCCAGCTTGACCAAGAGGCAAAAGATGCCAAGTCAGACTCAAGTTCTGCCATTGTTGAATGCAAGCATCCTAGGCCAAGCACCGATGGCGATTTACCCATCGACCCTGATGTCAGTATCTTATCAGCAACGCAGCCGTACCAAGAGCCCATAGCAGTCCATGTGAACCTAGCATCTACTGTTGCTAGCAAGAGTCCCAAATTCAAGGCCACTTTGAAAGATTACTACGATCAGCAGGCTTCAAACGCCCACGCGGTTGGCGAGGATCTCTCAGCCAATATTAATGGTTCAGCACCCCCGGATCGGCCGGACCCGCAAGATGTCATTGCTAGAAGAGATCCCGAGACCAAGAAGGAGGGGTCATATCAGGAAAATTTACTGCTTGTATCTCTCTCTGCGCAAGGAACGCAGAAGTTGGGAACACATCGCCGGTCGCGTTCCTGGCCGCAATGACGGCCAGTGCGAGGAGCGTTATGGGAGTATGGGGGTTATTTCTTGTTGTGACGAGCGTTTTGTGTCGGAAGGAGAGAAGTTGCAGAGAAAAGTCAACGATAAATGAGCATTCGGAGAGACGCCGAGGGAACCATACCTGGCTTCTACCCTCACCCTTGGCTTGCATCCTCATACGACTCTCCCAAGTTGGGGCGAGGATGATTTGGTCCTTTGGCTCGAGAACACCTGGACCCAGCGGGTCTGAGGAATTTGTGTTTACGATTGGTGCATATAGAGAGGGCTGGACCTTGCTTGCGGTTATTTCCAGCGTTCAAGGCTCTGACTTGTGGCCAAAAAAACTCGATTTTGTGTTTCCAGTAGGGGAAATTAGTCTTTTGACATGTCATGCTAGCTTCCTATCTCTTCATAATGCTAACCGTGATCCCAGCGAAATCTATATAAAATTCTTCGGCCGAAAAGCCAACAGTTCGCGCCAAGACATTTTCAGCCCTACATGCATCTCCAGAAATTTGTCTCAGAACGGGTCCCGCCTAAACGTATACTTCAAACATACCAACATAGCATCTTACAACTACCTTCTCACGGGCTTCAACGCAGGAAAGTGCACCAACTAGCCTTGTATTCTCACGCCTCCCATCACTGGCCGCCATGGCCCAATACTACCCGCAACAACAACCCCCCTACAACCCCCAAAACCTCCAATTCTACCAGTCCACCTACCCAGCCCCCGTCTCCGGCCATTCCACTCCCTCACAAGCACATTACGGCTACGGCCAACCATCGGCCCCACAACCCTACCCGAGCTCTGGCGGATTTGGGGCGGCGCCCAGTTTTGGCGGGCAAGGCGTCAGTGGGCGCATGGGAGAGCAAGGGGGATTGAGGACAGGCTGGATAGCGGCGTTTGGAACGGAAGGATACGATGGGGAGCCGCCACTGTTGGAGGAATTAGGGGTCAATTTTGGGCATATTAAGGGGAAGGTACGTGACAAGAGCTGCAGCACGTGCATGCTGAAGCAATAGTCGAGAGGGACCTGAGTGCAGCTGTCTTTCGATTGTTCTGGACAGCAGACACGGATTGTGAAGAACGTGGGCTAATGCTGTGGCACGTTTATAGACGCTCACAGTACTCAACCCTCTCCATCCCATCTCCCAACACATAATGGACGACTCCGACCTCGCCGGCCCCATCCTCTTCTTCCTCCTCTTCGGCACCTTTCTCCTCTTTTCCGGAAAAGTCCATTTTGGTTATATATACGGCCTCGCCCTCGTCGGCTCCCTCTCCCTCCACACGATTTTCTCCCTCATGTCCCCACCCCCCGAAGGCAATTCTCCAACATCCACACCCTCATACACCCAACCCACCCATGATCATATGAGTGGAGCAGGCGGCATGGGAGGCGGTGGCCAATTGTCGAGTACGTTGACGTTCCCACGGAGTGCCAGTGTACTGGGCTATTGCCTGCTTCCACTGGTCCTTACGAGTTTCGTGGGAGTGGTATTACCGATGGACACGGCGGCCGGGTATGTGATTAGTTCACTGGCGATTTGCTGGTGCACTTACAGCAGCAGTAAGATGTTCTGCGCCGTGGGGAGAATGCGGAGTATGAGGGGGCTGGTGGCGTACCCGTTGGGGCTGTTTTATGTTGGATTTGGGATCATGGGGATATTCTCGAGTAAGGGAACGGGTGGGTTGGGCAGGGTTGCTACCGGATGAGGCGAAGCTGTGGTTGCAGGGTAGATGGTTGGTGGAAATGTACAGATATGCTAGGAATGTCACTGGAATCATAATCGAAAAAACATAACGTATTTTCTAAGTGCATCAAGCCTGGAGACTGACCTGAAAAGTTATGTTCGTTCCGAAGTTCAATCTCAGGTCTCATGCTTCCAAGTGCCAAGCAGATTGTCAATATTCCTGCACATGAGAGGCTCCTTCTTAGACATAAAGGTGATTGAGAAAGTGATGGACGATGCTTTTCAGATATTCTGCTCATACATGCCTGCGATCTTACACCCTGTCAGACCGCATGATTTAATTTTAGGGGGTAGAATCCCCTTTTCATGCTCGTGTTGTAGACAAAAAAACATCAAATTCGGGATTCAAGCCCAGGGATATACACCATCATTTCGCAGCCTCCGCTCTAGTAGGCGCAAAATCTCGTAACCAGCCCCTAGCTTTATCCAAATCACCGCCCGTCGCCTCCAACGAAGCGACACACCATTCCGGCTCGTACCCACTATTCTCCGTCATGTTTTGTCTCTCTTTGGCCTTCCCTTTCCTACTCTGATCCCCCTCGGCGGCAACCATCTCAGCCAAACTCCTTCTTTTCTGACTCGCTTCATCTGTACAAAAATGCATGGGCACGTTCCCCTCCTTGAGCCCCTCAAGGATTGGCTTGATCATGGCCAGGGCTTCTTTCGACGACATGCTTTGCGACTCGGCCGCCATACCTATATTTCTGCGGCCGGTCTTGCAATACCCGTTTCTGCACCAGCTTTGCCCGCATCCGGTGAGCAGCTGCGTCAGGTACTTGCGCTCCACGCGACGTCGGAGGGCTTTGCCATCGGGGTCGTACATTGTTACGTAAAGAGGGCCGAAACAGACGTCACACACGCCTAAATCGTTCCTTGGTCCCTTGACTTTGACTTCGCCGCCTTTGTTTACCCCGTCGAGCGTGCGACCGCAGTTGACATTTCCGCATAGGCGTGGCTTGGAGCGAGAGAGGCGTTGCAGGTCGTGGTGCTTCAGATGGGTTGACATATCGCGGAGGCGAACGATCTTACTACAGATATGGCATTCCGTAGTCCTGGCGCCATCGGAGAGCTCGTGGGGCGTGAGACCTGAGAGTATTACTTCTGCTGAGTCGGAAGATGGATCTTCCGAGCCTTGCTGTGGGACTTGTAGGTGGCAGAACTGACAGAGAATCAATTTACCGGGGCAGGTCGTGGTTCGGTGGTGTGCTAGATCAGGGGTGTTGGCAGCTTCATAGTCGCAGGATGGACATGGCCGGGAAGTGTGCATGAGGGAATCGTGCTTGGTATGCGAAGAGAGCGTGTTACCATGAAAGGAGTCGTGCGGGCAGTGCCAGTGATTTTGCCATTCTGAGGAAGATTTTTGATAGACGAGGTGACAGTGCGGGCAGAGGATGTTATTTCGGAGGCAGAAATTTTGATGTAGGAACATTGTGCGCTTAGGAACGGCTTGGTGGCAATTGGTGCATCGTTCCTCGTCTGGTCCAATGGGCTCGTCATCGTTCATGGTGGTGTCGTCTTGATTGGAGATGGACAACCCATCGATGGATGAGACGCGAAAATTGTATTGTAACGGAGCTTGTCCCTGAGCGTCTTGGTCAGATTCCCCATAGCCTCTCACAGACACCCATAAGGCTTCTGCATTATCTAAGTCTGCGTTCGTATGCCGTATCTTGACTCTTTTTGTTGCTCTGCTTGAAAAGTCGCCAAATACGAATTCCTCCTCCCTTGGTTTGCTGCGATGGTTGGCTCCGAACGGGGAGACGAATAGATCAACGTCCTTGTCGTTATCAAGAGCTGTCAGTTCGAACTCTAAATCCCTGCCCTTGTCCCATTGTTCGAGGCTGTAGTCCACGTACTCGCCAGGGCGAACCTGACCCGTGTCATTGGTATTCGCGTCGACCGTCCCACCTGCAGAACTACCTTCGCTTGTTCCTGGAGCTCTTTTAGATTTCTGTACGAGTTTTTGCAAGTTTTCTCTAGCTTGGTCCTCGTTCAAAGGCTCAATATCCACTTCGAGATCTGTATCCACTAGAGAAATCGCCTCCTCATTCGGCTTCAATCCATCCACTAGAAACCGAAACACTTCTTTGCCAGCTGGTACTGCGAGAACTTCACCATTCGTCAACGTGGTGTAGTTGTCACGCAGATACTGCTCCAGAAGTGCCTTCCAGTCTTCTGGGTCGTAGCCCGCCTCCAGTGGTCTCAGCTTGACATAAGTCCCTTTTGGTATTTCTTGTACATGCACGGTGAGCCTGGGGAATGTTCCATCGGCTTCTTGGACTCCTGATCTGTTGACCTCCATGTCATGGTCTATCCCGCTCACCTCTTCCGGACCCTTCTCGCCACCAAAGCCCAGGGATTGCCTCAAGAACGGACTCAGTCCCACCACGTTTTCCGCAGCCGAGAACTCTCGGATACCTGCGAAAACAATCCTGCCATTTGCAGGGTTGACCAGTCGGAACGTTAAAGGATGGGGTAGGTTCTGTTGCTGCTCGACCATTTGCTCTCGAGCGTGTCGTTCAGCGGCAAAGCTGTAAGGATTATAGGGATCGAAGTTCGCTGTCGCTGGCTGGGATATGTTTGAAATGGTGACGGTCGCAGCGGACAGAAGTTGCTCAAGTGCTGAGGGAGGTAGAATGATCTTATCACCTCGCAGAGGGGGAGTTGCCTCTAGAGGTAAGACGTCGAATTGAGTTGACCACTTCAATGGTGGCCGATCTGGCGTTGAGCTCATGGTGGATGATTGAGGAGGGAGTCAAGCACGCGACAAGGTTGATGCCACATTGTGTAGGGAGCCGGAGTGTCCAAAGTATTCCCTCGAAAGTGTTCTAGAAACATCGACGGGTATGTAATCAGGCAAAACATGTCGCCGACGTGATAATCTAAGAAACTTAGGGCTAGGGCTGACTACGAATTCTCATCTTGCCTCTAGATATCTTCATTGTCGCTTATGCCGTTGCCATACTTCAAAATGCTGACTACCTTACAACATGTTAAGCCCCCAAAGCCAAATAAACACAGGGCTCCTCCCAAAGGTATGTTTTCTTCTTCTTCTCTTCTTCAATGTTGGGAGCCTAATACCTGATTTCACGTAGGATAAAAATTTGTAAATTTCGTTGCTTTCACGAGTCTACGAGAATCAATCTAAAGAAGTCTTTAGGTTGCAGTGGCCTCATCGGACGAAATATTGAGGCGCCAGCCTCTTTGGGCGATGAGTTCATAAGATTGTATCATTGACGGGTCGCAGCCTGGACAAATCATCAATCCAAACCTTCACTTCATCTCATTGAAAGCACCAGGCTCTCCGGGTCAAGAACCCCTTTTACTTGCTTTTCAGATGTCTGTAGTGAGCCTGCAATATAATACTCCCTTCACTTGGGCTGGTACTTTATATGTGAGGCTATCCCCTGGTGTAGATACGAGCCTTTTTCCCAGGATCCGCTTATCCGCCTGCTTCAGGTGCGCCGCAATTGCAGGGCACTATGCACTAGAAGGACGCGTGCCACGGTCGTTAGGAATGGTTATAGTCGTTCGAATCGTATCGTGAGCGACATTCATAGCCACTTATGCCGATTCCGCTGGCACATCGACTTTAAGTAATCCAGATTTGAATGGGCCTGTGAGTTATTCGTATGAGACTTTCTAGGGAATTCTCGCGGGATTTTCTGATGTCCGGTAGATCATTCCTTCTCGAATTCCGTGACAACAATCTTGCCCTTCGGATCCACTGCGAACAAAAATGAGCCAGATGGGTCAAAGCGTAGGCAATCAGTCAAGGGCCTGTCCTGCTTGCAGAGAGAATGCGCCAAGATTTCAGCATCCCCATCCGGGCTATGAATGCCACCGTCGTCATGTCTGTTGAGCCGGAGGACAGATAGTCTGCCTGAGTCCTCCAGGACCGCGAAGATGTGGTGTTGACTTGATGGACGGCCTGCAAACAAAGGGCGATGGCTTTTTAACTGCTCGAAAGTGTGGACTTTGCTGTCGAGATGTATATGTGGTCGGGACGTATTCGGAGGAATGAGCAGGATAAACGACCATTCACCTTCATGGTGCCAGCGTTCTGTTGATGGTGCCGTCGTGCATAGGACGTAAAGTCGTTTCGACGGTGACTGATAGACCGTAGCGGAAGTTACCCCCGTTTCCCTCGTCTCCTGTGAATCTGATGTCAGCATCTATCTGCAGGCGAGGATGGACTTTGAGCGCTTACCGCTGTGTATTTGTTTTTCAGGAACTCAAATGGCTCTACTGATGAAAAGAACTCATTATCCAACTTCCATATAGAGAGCTTGTTCTGGATCCTCGTGATACAAGTAAGGATCTGCGATTCTGTATCGAAGGTGATTCTCTTGGGGCAGTCGTTCGCTGGCATGTTCAGAGCAAAGACGGGCATATTTGTAGCTTGACCGTCTATTCTGTACCTGGAGACTCTAATCTGGCCGTCGTACTTCTTGGTCTTATTTCTCTGACATTGACCAAGAAAAACCACCAGATGAGTCTTGCTCTCGTGACACGCAAGTCCGCTGGGGTCCCAGTCCCCATGCGAAACAGTACCAATCAGTGTATCTGCGTCAAATTTGAAAACAAGTAGGCGTTTATTCGTAACTATGACAATGAATGCCCGGGATGGGGCGACATTTCGAATGAACTCCCCGTGCTTGTATTGCTGGTTGAAGATCCTGGAGAAGCTCGGCGACGTGTCCTTAGTCCGTATATCTCCTAACCGATAGACCGAAACTTCGCTATCGTTGTAAAAGAGCGCGTGGCTGCAGTCGTCTGATAGGCCGGCGGAATGGTAAGAGCTGCTAAATTTGCGAACGGAACGCAGCGAATAAGTGGTAGAATTTTTGGTCATTGATCTGGTCAGAGGACTTTCGTGGCATAACTTGCGGGACGTATTGACTTCTCCAACGGGAGATTCTCCGGGAGTCAGGCTTGATGATATCGTTTGATCCCAAAATCACCACAAGGTTTTCGGGAGACATGTGTAAGGGGTCGCGATACGCGGAGTCTCAAGCTCTCTTCTTCGTCACTTTCCAAATGAGCTCGAATTAACCGCATTTCTTCGAGGATTTTTGACTTGGTCTCAACAGTACTTCGTGTCTCAATCTCTCTTTTCAACATCTGATACTGGTCCCAGCGAGTACTGTGACAGGAAAAAAATATCTCTATCTGCGAACAGTATCAGAAGCCATCCACTGGTGTTGTTCTAGTCACGATGCACTATAATGGGGATGGATACTGACAGCTTTCCATCGGAACTCCGGTACAACGCTGTCGAAGATCAGACCATTCACTCGGTTCAGCAACCCTTTCCCCAACATTTGTGGATCCGAGACAGCGGCAATTTGGGAAATGCAATCCAATAGTCCGTAATAGTAATACCCCCGATCCAGATCTGGGGGTCCACGGGAAATTACTGCAAGCGCCTTGTGCCATCGTCTTGCTAGTTCTCGTGGGAATTGTCCGTGCTCCACGGCCAGGATCTCATCCACTTTGTCGACTAAGGCTGATACAATAGCGGTGGCAGCTGTCCGCAGTTCACCCGATTCGTCGGCGATAGCAGATTCTTGGCATAGACTGGTCGCTAGCCGGGTATACTCCTGCAAACCACAAAGTGCTTGGTACTTGGTCCGCGGCTTTTGCCATATGTTAACGAGTTGGTTCAAACCGCCGATGATTTCTCTTATGTGGTTGTATTGACCTCCACCCTAGAGCTTGAGGTAAGTCATTGTTGTATATAAAGGAGTTACGTTCCTACCAGTGATAAGGCTGAAAAGAAGATGTCCACGGTCGGCCCGAATATTGAGGGCCAAGGGGAGTCGCCTCGATTGATGAATGAGACGTATTGTGAAGCAAGCTGTATAAGATAGGGATTTGGGGCATAACGGATCGAATCTGCCAATGTCGAGCTGCGCTGTAGCTGGAACGCGATCTTCTGAAACCGTGCGGAGATATTTTTGAGCCTAAGCTTATCGTAAAGCTCTGGATCCAAGGTATGAACTCCATTGTGCTGGAGTAGGGCAAGGGAAGAGATCAAAGCTCGGAGTTGGACTTCTTGGAACATAGATGTGCCCGGGTAACCGCACTGGCTCAAAGACCCAGATAGAAACATCGCTAGCCCCACCACGGACTCTACCTCTGATGTCGAGTCTTGCGCGGGATCCAAGGCTCCATCAGTAGCGTGTCGCAGGCATTCATGGTCGAGCTCTAGCAGTAAATTGTAAAGCCGCCGTATCGTCGTGCTGGTGGGCAGACTGAACGATGCCAACGTTTCACGTAGGGATGGATGTGATGACACAGCTTCAGCAGTGGAGCTGCCTTCGCTACCAAGCAGCGATCGAAGTCCACCAGGAACCTGGGCCGACATAGCTTGAGTGGAGGTTGACATGGCGTGGCGCCGTGGATGATGTCAAAGAGAAAGAGCACGGCAGTCTCGTACAGTGGTTGTTTCATTGAACAGCAACGTCGTCGTCATCGGGTCGTAGTGGTGAGGCTGCCCAGAGCACAAGCCCCACTAGATTACGCAGCGGAGGTTAATCCTTGCAGTAGCCTCATGCAGCCTGATAAGGAATCAGAATCCTAAAATAATGACATGTTGATGGTGATTGGTGGTAGAGGCAAGGCTGTAGCTCTTAGACAAGGCTGAAGATGCACGAGCTTCCTTGGCGCGCAATGCCGTGTAAAGACTCCCACAGGAGCAAGCAGATACTGTAAGCAGGCCGATCCTCGGCGCACCACCTTAAGAATCATTGCACCGCCCACCCTCTTCATTTGAAAAACCAGGCAGTCCTTTTCTTTGGCCCTCTTGCAAGATTGATCACTTTCATCTGAATCTTAGCTAAGGGCTTACCGCCTACGATGGCACCAGGTAGTATCGAGATTCGTCACGAAGAGCTCAGCATAGAGCAGGGCGAGCATCACCAGAGTGCACCAGTGAGCAAAAGCTCGGACGACCTGCTTGGCAGGCTCAGTCACGAAGTCTTCAAGTACGATTGCTTGGACCGTAGACTAAAACGACACCATGTCACCGGTAAATGTCCACTAGATTGCTTATCAGACTGCTGACTCACAATGGGCAGGAATCGCATTCTCGGGTGCTGTTGGTGTTGGCCTATTCCAAACTTCGGGACAGATCATCGCGTTATCTGGTCCTGTCGGTGCTTTACTAGCGTACCTATTCGCAGGTCTGACGATTTTCGCGGTTATGCGATCGCTCGCCGAGATGGCTAGTATCAGACCGATTGCTGGAGCAATCATGGACTATCCGGACGTCTTTGTTGACGAGGCTCTGGGGTTCGCAGTGGGTGTGACGTACTGGTGATTTGAGCCCCAGCCTTGGCATGTCTCTCCTAGTCCTTGCTAACCGGAGAGAACAGGCTGGCCAACTGCATGAGCTTGGTGACTCTGACCATAGCGGCGGCAATGTTCACACAGTACTGGGGCCCAGGATTCGGCATTGCTCCAGCCACATTCGTGTTGCTCCTAATTATCATTTTGATGAACGCGTGTGGTGTGCGGGTAAGAAAATTTCGCTTAACGATGGGGAAAGGAGTATGCTTAGCAATGTCAGATCTATGGAAACTTAGAATGGACATTCAAATGGATCAAGATCCTGCTGATTCTTCTCGTCTGTTTCTCCATGATTGCGATCAAAGCTGGGGGTGGGTAGCCTTGAATGAGCATGGAAGAAGACTTGCTTACCTTCACAGCTGGTCCAAAGCCAATCCATAGTAGTGAGCTGGCGCGAGATTCACGGCAAAATTCCCTCTGACGAATGATTAGATTTTGAAATAAGCCCAGGCTATAACTCCACCGGCTTCTTCGAAGGCGGTGCTACAATTGCCATACCTGGCACTGGAGGTCAAATCATGGCTGTTTGGTGGGTGCATGTCGTACAATCTGAGTTCACCATCCGCTGATAGCGCCAGGACATGCCTAACCATCGCAATGTTCCAATTTATGGGTGGTGAGATAGTATTAGTAACAGCAGCAGAGGCGGAGTCCCCACGCCGGGACTTGCCCACAGCAGCACGATACATGTATCTCTTACCTGTGAGCTTGTACCTCGTTGTGATCTTCTTTGTGGGACTTTGCGTCAATTACTTGGATCCCAGACTCCCGCATCCGCATGTGGAGTACTACTCACCAGGATCTCGTCTTGATGGCATCACCACCGGTACCAGAAGTCCCTTCGTCATAGTGATTCAGAATGCTGGAATCTCAGGACTTCCAGGCTTTCTCAATGCAGCCTTCCTGTTCTCGGCACTCACTGCTGCGTAAGTTGTTTCTGAAGTGCCCTTTGATAGGCATAAGCTGACCCGGTCTTAGTAACTCTGCCCTTTATGTTTCAAGTCGGACAGTCTTCTTTCTTGCACGAAAGAGCTCATTCAAGTTCATCAAGGAGACCGTGGGGCGGACTAACAATGGCCATACACCACTCGCGGCGATTGTAATCAGTTTCGTGCCTGGAGTGTTGGCATTCCTCGCGATTGGGGCGGCCAAAACGGATGTCCAAGAGGTTTGAACCCGGTATTGGTCGCGTAGAGTCCTGACTAATATCAATGATTCGGACAGCCAATTTTCGTTTTGTACCGCCTTTACTCGGGACCTGTCCTCTGTATCTACGCCAGCGAGTGTCTGGCTTTTCTTCGATTTCGACAAGGGTGATGGTGCCTCCACCTTTCGCGTCGAACAGTATTAACAACTCATAGCATGAAGTTGTTCCCAAACACAATCGATCGGAATACATCGTATTACAAGGACAAACACTATAGAGCGCACTGGCAGCCAATGTGGGCAGTGATCGGATTGGTCTCATGTACGACTCTCATGCTTTCTTTTGGATGGACTGCAATATACGACCTCTGCGCCAAGACCAAGGGAGTCACTAAGGAGGATTCGATTGTGGACTTGGCCACAGCCTATTTCGGAGTTGAGATCCCTCACCTCCAAATCACCGTCGAAATATGCTGACTTATTAACAAGCCGGGATTGTTCTTCAGCGTATACTTAGGCTACAAGTACACATACAAGACGAAGATCAGGCCGTTTTCCTCCTTCGAGAACCTTTGGTATCCTATCGATGTTCCTGACGAACCGGATACCCGCCAGCGTTTGAGAACAACGTCTAGAAAGAGGAAACTGATTCTTGATTTCTTGAGCTGGCTTCGGTGACCGTAGCCCACCCGGAAAAGGTAGGCTAGTTGTGTGAAGGTATGGTAGTCTTGGATGTTGGCTTCATCTAAATTGAACATAGAGTAAGGTCGGGTCTCAAGCGGAAAGAATTGGCAATCGATGTGCGAAAGCAGCTCAACTGCGTTGGTATTGTCGCAATCCAAGGGAATATTGGAGACGTCGATAACATTAGCTTTCGCACCGTAACTACAGTGAAATGGCATGAGCCTTTCATAGCAATAATTTGTTCCACTTTCACCCTTGTTTTCGGACTTTTTTCCCGTGCGAATGTTTCTCCACGCTTGACTCGGTACAATATCACATCTTCCTACAGAGCGACACAGCTGGAAGGAACCCTCAACGACCATGATTTCGTCGTCACTCTCCTAAAAATGAGGCACGCGTCTGCTCTTCGTCACCACGAGAGCCGGCCCCGACCTACATGTTTCAGGTACATTGAACATTTGCTGTGCCACAGTACTTACAGATACAGAGGGTTGCAGCCCAAGAAAGATTGTCAGTGTAAGCTTAGAGATCCACAAGAGCGCCCCGGTTGTTGGGTCATATTATTTTGAAACGGCCGTCCGCTACCGGTCTTGAAGCGGTCGGAGACGATATTTTGAAAAACAAGCATGACTGCGGGCGCATTGGAAGGGCCTATCTTCTCATTCAAACCGGAAATCGTGAAACAGCCCCGTCACAGGTGCTTCTTTCCCAGTCGCTCGGAAGCCCAGTCTGGACCAGGACAATGGCTGGAGGCCACAATTGAGCTCGAGGGTCTGGACCTACGAGGCTGATGCAGAATCAAAGCAATCAAGCTTGCGCGAGGTGGAGGTGGGGGATGCAAGCACCAATTTGTTATACGTCGACCAGGCCATCATTTGATCAAGAAGGCTTTGGTGCTTCTAGCAGATATTTGGAGTCCTTTCAAAGGTCTGGTAGCGGTGGTGGTAATGCGCGATGATTCGTATGAAAACCCTAGAGATAGTTTGCATCTTGTGGTTATCGAGCAAGGATCCATTACCGCACAATTTCATCAAGCCCACGACTACCTGTCTAAGCGTCTCCCCACACATATGGTACAGACGGTCTGGCTGCGTGTGGAGGGCATTCCGACTTTGGCTTCAGCTAAGGCTGACAGGACGGCAGTGGCCGAGTGGATCGCGAACTTGAAAGGCGAGGTCTCAGCCCATAACGCTCTTCGTTCAAAGTGTGTAGAGTTTGATTAGACTATACATCCAACGGAATCCAAGGTCCAAGGGATAAAAACCTGAGTATTGGATCTCAGTCTGGATCAAGTCCCGCTAAACCAATCGTTCTCTTCTATTGGTGGATTTCGTATTGGTGCAATGGAAGGACAAATGTTGCTTCTCCTGGTGTACATCATTTGGTTGTAGACTTGGTGTCCTGGCGCGTAATTCTCCATGATTTCGAATTATCACTGCGCGATCGACAGCTCTTAGGCAAGAGCCCTTTTCCGTGTTGGAAGTGGTGCGAGCTACAAGCGGAGAAGTGCCATGAACTAATACCGCCAGCTGTCCTTCCGGATGATATCCCTCCGGCTAACATGGATTACTGGGAGCTTTGCGGCCAATCGAATGACTTGGGAGATGCGTTCGAGTAGCATTTCAAGCTGAATTCTCAACAAACAGTGTTGCTCCTCCGGCATTGTGTCCAAGTCCTGCATGCCGAGCTTGTGAATGTATTCCTTGCCTCCGCTCTATAATTTTTTGGTCAAATTTTCCCGGGTCGAGCTCCGCCAACCCTCTATTGCGAGAGACACGGCCGTGACGGGGAGGAAGAAGTTGACCTGTCAGGGACCGTGGGATGCTTCAACACATTGGGACCACTTAGCTTAGGAGGGCAACATCTGAAAACCTTTGAAGAGACAGTGCATAGTATACGCACCACCAGAGGGAAGATCGCGGGGCAAGGGGAATCCTATTTCGCCTATCTCTGCTTGGATCCTGACGGCAGAGAGGCATGTAGAGAGTACTCGAATATGGAGGTATTCTTTAATCACACCGGGTATCGACATCTGGAAGATGGGAGCGCTCTGCTACGGCGTGAGACCTTGAGTGGCCAGGGCAGTGAGGATATCGGGACTGACACGAGGCGGTTGGCTTTGCTGAATATTTTGGTGGATTTTAGTGGCGGGTGCTTACAGTACACTTTTCTCTAGAATCGTCGTATGAAACAACAAGAGAAGATTCGGCGCTGGGTGGAGGAGTGCTGGCGGTGTTTGAAGACATTAGTGGGCGATATGTGTGCTGGTTGATGGCTTGTTCTGGGAAGCGCGGTGCTTTGTAGATCAATAGGTAGTGTTGCCATGTTTCAAAGGGTGATGCATCTGGCGGAATGTTTGCTTGAAATTGCTTCAAGATGTTAATCGATAGGCCGAATTATCCGTGAATGGACTTGATGAAATTTTTTAAAGCGTCAATCCTGGCGAATTGTCAACATCGACTGTCAGCTTTTGCAGCCCCTACAGAAACCGTTCATTGGGTCAGTGACCATGTCACCTATAATTTCACCACGTCGAAGCTTGCTAAATTGGGACAATATAATTTTGCTCAACAGCAGTGCCTCGCTTAGACGAGAGCTGCTCAGAGGCGCATCCGAAGTTATGGTGGTATGGTGGTACTGCAAAATTCCTTTTCTTGAGCCCGCAAGGATTTGCCGATGCGCGCTATGCCTGTTGAACCGACGTCCCTAATGCCGTAAGCACACTCCCTCTGATCCAAACTCCTCGCTTTCTATCACGAAAAATCGGTTTCCTCCTTATGGACTTGCCGCCCCTCCCTCGCCCACAGTCTCGCCATCAGCACATAGCCTATCACCACGATTCCCACCACCAGGAGCTTATTTCTCCTTACCCAGCTTTGACCCGCGTCTCTCGCTGCCCTTCCCGCATCTCCCAGGCCAGTCGTGCCCCCAGGCCCTCTTTTTAATGCCGCCACTTCAGGCGAGCACGCTACACTGGTTGTGTTATTTTCACCCTCGGGATTGGCCAAGATCTTCCCTGTCGCAGCATCGATCCTGTGCTCTTTCATCCAATTCCAGTTCTCCTCATCCAGCTCGGGCCATTCAGCCCTAAACTTGACACCTCCGTCTCCCGCTTTGACTGCTCCCACCCCTCTGACTGTTGCAGTGTTGCCCTTGACGGGTGTTTTCACACTCCCCCCGCCAGTGCTGTTCCACCACCTACTCCTCGCAGCAAGCCATTTTCTCTCTGCATCACTAGCCCCCAGACTACCTGTCGTCATCTCATCGCTTGTCATAAAAGACATCAAGCCTATTAGTATCGTCGAGACTTCCCAGGCGGGGTTGAAAGACTTTGGGTGGAAGTCGGAAATCGAAAGGCAGAGGCGAGTTGAAGGCTGGAAGCGGCCGGAGGGCGTGTGCATACGGATCGACGGTGGAGCAAAGGGATAGGTGGGTGGGAAGAGGAGGGTGCCCCAGTATTGGCCGTTCACGTAGGGAGTATTTGGGGGACCGGTAAGGATGTAGTGCCATTCTAGGATATTGTTTTCGGAAGGGTGGGCGACTATATATGGAGGAGGGTTGGCTTGGATGGTGGCATACTCGCGAGTGAGCTTGACGTAGATCAGTATGGTGCTCTAAGAGGTTTGGAGAATGGGGTGCGAACCCGCTTGTTGGCTGCTCGGGTTGCCATTGCTGGGGAGTCGGGTCGCCGCGTGAGAGGAAACGTTGACTTATCGTAGATAACAGGAGCTGTTTATGGTGGTAACCGTGAGATGTCTCTGAAATTGTGTAAATTAGATGCCGTGAGTTGATTTGGAAGAGTATGATGAATGAATCGAGAAGTTGCCAGCATTGAAATGATTAACAAGGCTGGATGTCGGCATTTACAAGCGCCGATGTTAGCGCGACGCGGAGAGCTCCATCGTGTTTTGAACTTTTGGAGAGCTCCAAGTTCATTCCTTGTGCTCCAATGGCAGACCCATTGGACTCCGGAGATGATGTGAGTGTCACCATCAAGCTCGTCGCCAACAAACGCTTAGCTACTAATCGTCTGTCTGATTCAGATCTTCGATAGGCTCAAGAAAGGGGTGGATCCAAAACTGCAGGAGGAGAAGACGAGACTGGCAAATGAGAGGGAGTTAGCACAAGTCGAGAAAGCTCAGCGGCGGCTGGGAGAGCTGGTGATACTCTTCCATTCCTTCTGCCTTATTCTCAAAAGCGCAAACCGCACCTTGGTAGATTTCAGTGCTAATATATCGCCCAGATTCAAGACAATTCCACGTTACCCACTACCATATCCTCAATACGCATTCTCAATGCAACGAACACACGAAAAGGATTCCTTGACCGCATCTTCAATCCAATCATTAGTGCCAACCAAGATCGCCCTTACACACTAGCTGAAGCTATCCGAGAAGTCTCAATTGGGGCGGACAAGCTTCACAAACTCGGTATCCTCCACCAGCTTCGATCAAGTTCCACAGCTTATATTTCTGGCAGATGTCTTTCATGAACCTATCTCACTCTTCATCGACCGACCTTCTCACACCGACCCGTCGATGACACCTACAGACATTGACATATACCTCTCCGTTGTAGAGAAATCACGATTCAAGTTCAAAACAGGTACCGATATTGGGAATGCAGAAGGATCTGCCTACGTCCATGGCCTTGCACGCAACATATTTGGTGGTGCAGAAAGCCTGAACGTCAACGCTTCGTTCGGAACACGGACACGATCAGCATACCAAGCCAGCTTTGAAACCCCAATACTAAGTAATCCCGACCTTCGATGGGAATTTGGCGGGCTTGCTAGCTCGACTCAAAAGCCATGGTCAAGCCACGAAGAAGTTCTTAAAGGCGGTTGGACGAAGCTCAGATGGATGGCTCTGGGTGGAGGCATGCATGAGTTGGGCTACAATGGGGTTTGGAGACAAATCACAGGTCTAGCCAGCAATGCATCGCCTACTGTTCGACGTGATGCAGGAGATAGCGTCAAGAGTAGTTTGACGCACACATGGGTGAAGGATCGACGAGACAACCCACAGCTTCCCACGAGAGGATACCTTAATAAATCAACGCTGGAGCTGGCGGGATGGGGCCCACTTCAAGGTGATGTTGCCTTTGGAAAGGCAGAGGTTGAAGCGCAAGGTGCTATACCTGTCCCCATACCCGGGGTTCAAGGCGAAAGTGGAGTGTCCCTGACTACCGGCTTACGAGCTGGACTTCTTTACCCACTACCTTTGGGTACCGAGGCTGAGTCAAAGCCATCTCGCATCAATGATCGATTCCAGCTAGGAGGACCAACAGACGTCAGAGGTTTTAGACTGTCTGGTCTAGGTCCCCGAGACGGCAGTGATTCTCTGGGTGGGGACGTCTATGCCGCTGGGAGTGCGAATCTACTCTTCCCAATACCGCGCGTGGGCAAAGACAAACCGTTCCGTTTCCAACTTTTTGCCAACGGTGGACGACTGCTTGCACTGAAGAAATCCGAGATTGAGGGTACAGACGGCGAGAAAGTGAAGCAGACCTTATCACCCACTATCGCTGAGCTGGGCAATGGTTTACCTAGTATGGCTGCTGGATTCGGTTTGGTGTATGCACATCCTGTTGCAAGATTCGAGCTCAACTTTTCGCTACCTCTTGTGCTTAGGAGAGGCGAAGACGGCAGAAAGGGACTGCAGTTCGGTATTGGAATCAACATGCTATAATCGAGTTGTACATATGATAATAGCATATCTCATAATTTTCATGCTACCTGGGTTTTCAACCCATCGTTGCTGGCTTCAAAAACGTCTCCAGCGACACCTGCTTGGAGTACTATTTGATTACCTTAGGCTCACCAGTGATTTACGGTCTTAATTGGTCAACGGTAAGGTAGCACATACCTTGTTATCGCCAGCTTTCTGCACCTAAAGTAGACTTCAGCGAAGAAGCTTGCCTCAGTCCCCTCAGAGTGCTAAGCTCGCTAAGCTCCCTCCGGTTAGCTTCCGTTTTCTAAGCCCCTTCGAGCTAGCACCTTCTGCTTACTACCGAACCAGGTAGCAGAACTGAGAGGCTGACTGAGACTGCCTCTGATTGGTGATGACAGCTGGCTTCGCCCAATATGGTCTAGTGTCGATCGTCGGAAGTGCTCCTGCTAGACTCTGCCCCAACTTGCCCCGCGCTCCTCATTTCACACATCACGTCGACTTGATATCTTTCTCGTTTGAATCAAACCCCATTTCGTGTGACAAGTGAATAGTGGAAGTGATTAAAAGGAAGTGAATAAATGCGCATGGTGAAACTTCGCACCGGGTGAATAAGAACAGGTGTTGATTAATCGAAAACGCTGAATGAGCGCACACAGTGAGGCAGGATGTAGCTGGAAATTTCCAGACCACCATATTTAAGGAGTCTCCACCATCAGACAAACGATCTCCGCAACATACAGTCTACCGGTACTCCCTAAGCAGAAGTCTGCACGTCGCTGCATCCAAGGAGAGCGGCTTCCCCGCTCGAAAGACGCTTTACATCTATCAGTACCGGCGGACCAGAAAGTTCCAGACACCTGCATAAAAGACATCCTCTAACCAGATAGACAATAATCTCAGCATACAATCTATCCGCAATCTCTAAATAGAAGTCCTCAGGTCGCTGCATCAAAGGAGGGTAGCTCCCCTCACTCGACAGACACACTCTATTCACCATCACTCCCAACCCTCCCAACTCGGAACTTTTCAGATCACGGCTTACAAGCAATCCACAGCTCGGCAAACAGTAACTATTTGCTACCAGCACTTCCAAAACATTCCGGACTAACCTTAAGTGGCCGGTCGATACCACAGTCGTTGTTGCCTCCGGATCTTCTAGATCTTTTGCCAAGGTCGAGTTGATTCAGAGTCTCGCAGAGCGAGTTACACATATCTGTATCATCAACTGAGACCATTGGTTGCGCCACAGGTGCGTGAGCTGTTCGAAAAACATGCCGCAAGTTGCTAAAGCGTGCATGATGCCAAACATCACATCCCGGAGTGGAGCTCTAGAACCTGTTGGACCCTCTGTATTCGCGAGGGTTCAGGAGAGTAAAGGAGCAAGTGGCCCAATCCATGCGATCGAGATACTAGCAAAGTCCCTAGGTTGCTTCTGACCGCTCTCTTTGTGATGTCGATACTGATACATGCTAGGAGCTCCTAATATAAGTACTTCTGGTGACGGAGATCCAGAGCTGAGGAGTGCTTGCACTCTATTAATTGCCTTGGAGACGGAGAAGGACTCTAGTCGTATGATCATAGATGCAAAGATCGAGACGCTATACCCGCTATACCAACATTCAGGAGACCATGTTCTTGATATTCGAATGCTCGCTACTCTTCTCGGATATGTCCAGAAGTATTGTATGGGCCGTGATATCAAGCATCTCAGCATCATCACTATGCCGGAGCATCCAGCCTGGCTTACAACTTTCTTTACTTTGGCTGGCTTTAGTCCCTGCGAATGTCTGAAGTCTGATGATTTGGAAAAGGGACGGAGGGTTTGCCTCAAGCTTGATAAGTCTATTCAAGAGCCGGCAAAGGCTGTTGAGGGTGCCTCCAAGCCCAATACCAACGGCACCAAACAGAATCATACATCTGCGCCAAAGCCAGCAAATAAGCTACCAAGTCTAACAATCAAAGGTACCGCCCCTGCGAAGGATCTGGACGAAGATGAAGCCGCGAAGTGGCTTTCTCAAAATCAGCAAATCCTGAGTCCTGCTAGTGCTTTAGCACATCCGGTTCTACCAAAACCCGAGGTGGTGCAGACTCCTACCAAATCAGTTAAACAAAGCCCAAAGATTGGTAGTGGCGTAGCCAGTGAGCTTCCTCATACAGGAGAAAAACGAAAGCGTTCAGAGACGTTCCCGCGAGACCATGTTGCTGAGGCTGCTGGTCGGAGTGTCCGCCCTCGCGAGGAGAACGGAATGCGCGAGCCTACTAAGCAAGAGATGCGAGAAGAAGAGGAGCGGTTAAATCTGAGATTACAGAAGCAGCGCGAAGCACTACAGCGTGCTACTGATAAAGCTTCGGGTAAGATGGCCGGTAGTATGCCTCCTGCCTCAAAGCTTAACCCGCAGATCGAGGATCGATCACGAAAGTCTGGTGACATGACGGACGCTCTACTGGCCCAGTATTCCAAACAATCACCTGCCACATCCTCAGTAAGCGTGAAAAAGGAAGCACCAAAGCAGGCTAGCCCACCTAATCCACATCTCACTCCTGCTGTTAGAGGTGGCTCTCCTGATCCGAGTTTTTGGCGATCAAACACGCTGCCCGCCAAGAGTCTCACGTGCTTCTACTGGGCTACCCAAGGATATTGTCTGAAAGACGAGCGCGATTGTCTTCACGCACATCATCATACGGGCGAAGTGGCCAGACCACCCCCAAGTTACAAGTACAAGGCTTACAAGAATGGGTTTTACGCTCCGCCCATGGGTTTTGATGGCGCAGACGATGAGTATGACCCTCATCACCCCGGGCAGGGTTACAAGGGCAAGCATGGGCGACCTCCTGGGGACGTGGAACATGGTCAAGATCAGGGTATGTCTATTAGAGGGTTGGACAACGGGACGAAGATTGTGAAGGAAGAGAAGGGTGCGCCTACACAACCTAAGGTCTACCAGGATATGAAGTTGCGACCTGGAGACAACCCTTATGATAGCTACCGACCTCGACACTAACCTCTCGGCAACAAACATACTTGTGGATTGAGGGAGCCTGGATCTCTTTCGAATAGCGTTCGAGACATTTCGAAATTCAAAAGGTGCAGTGCGTGCTAATAGTGGAAGAGAGAACTATTGCCATCCAAAATTGCGAAAAGGTATCCCCACATGCTTGGGAGGCCACTACCACGGCAATTTAGACATGACAGGACAGACACTTCTATTACAGGTGTGAAGACTCGCTCTGAGCAAAGCGTGCATACTTTTTACGGCAGACATAGACGGTCACACATAGTATGCAAAATTCGACTTTGACGACGCCCTTTTCTCCAGCTGAGTAAAACTGATGTCCTTGACCACGTGATACTCAACCGATCTGGCTGCTGCAGAACCGCAACAGTAGGACAGATCTCATGCAATTTGTTTCCAAAACCAGAGGTCAAAACTAAGCCGCTATCGCCTCTCGCAAACCCAACAATAGCTCGCAGCATCACGGTAACCCAGCCCTTCCTTGCCCAGCGCTCGTCCCTCCCCCCTGCCAAACAACAACCACAGCTCTTGTCCAAACCCGCTCAAGATTCTCCTCCCCACTCTCAACGTCACCCGTGACACTAATCTCCGCAATCTCACCTCCAGTTTCAGCCCAGTCCGGCGTGCTGCTGGATAAAAGTCCCGGTTGTTGCGGTACGGGTCCGCCCCAAAAACACCGAAATTTACGACGAAGAAGGTTAGATTACCTTTGACTTCAAAGCCCGTCTGAACTGAAATGTATCTAATAATGGCAACGACTGCTTTCGACTCGATACTCATAATCTGTGTCCCAACAGCGATTTGAGACTGCTACTTTTTCTGGCAGCTTGTCTCCAGTCAGGTGAGGTATGGAGAGCCTGGTGAAAGCTCATTAAGCAATGTTGATCTATGCACCAAAAATATAGATTCAATATGTCCTGCATTCTCGACGCGAAACTATCTTCTAGAAACATCCTAAATGTTGCTTTTGCGGTGGTATCACGGCACGAGTGATGAGGTCAAGTGAGCGTAGAAGTTTTGATGACATTACGGCCTGTACTTCGTTTCAACCATAGGTGAGAAGAAACGCAAGTATCATCTACAATCCGAGAGACGATGACCGTTAAAGAGGTCGTCAACCCAGAAATCCAGGAACAATCCCGCGATGGAGAACCCGATTGACTCAGAGAAACGACCAGTGTCAAATCTTTGCTGCCCTCAAAGGCTACTGCTCATACCTTACTTACCCCCCAGCCTCGGAAACATCTTCAACGCAGTTACCGCGATGGATCGCCTCCCGCGCCCCCTCATCCATCTCATACTCCCCAGGATACCGCGTGAAGGTATCGATGCTCTTCCTCGGCGCGAACGGGGAATCGGTCCCAAAAAGCAACCGCTCCGGCCCTACAAACTTCAGCAGCAGATCGAGCTGGTCCTTTGATATGCAAAGGCGATCGTGACCGAATGAGTGATTGCTGGCACCTAGCCACTGCTGACCCAACACTGCACCAGGCCAGGTACTCTGGAAGGTCCAAGCCTAAGGAAAAATAAATATAGAAAGGCTAGTATGAAGTATACATTAAGAGATGAGCGGGTTGCAGATACCGCTGGTGATCTGAAGGTCACAGCAAGTGCGAGAGGGAACTCTTACTACTCGGTTCTCTTCTCGGTTCTGGAACGTGTATAGAGCCTTGATCGATGGAAAAAGAAGGGATTCATGATACAGTACTCTGCCATCCACGCAAGTCCGCACTGCACTCACCTATTCCTGAAACAGTGTCCGGTAGGATGGTCAACGCATGTAGACGGATAAGCTTTAATGCCGTGGGACTCCGGTGGCTTTCACATGCGATCATCTGTAAAATGAAAGCGTCCGGAGACTTGAAATAAGGGAACCCATATCTTCGAGAAATCAAGCACATAATTGCTGTGATAGTGGCCCCCCAGGAGCCGATTGGTATCGGCAAGCAATAGAGTCAAGTCTCGTATCATGGCGGAGACGAGGGGCCAGTAGAGGGAGAGACTTGGAATCATGGTTTTTTCCTTACATACGCTCTTCAGCTGCCGGAAAGTCACAATAACCGGTGCTGTTGCACTTCTGGAACCGGATGTTTTCGGGGCCCAAGACCCCAGCGCAACGCAAATCTTTTTGCAGCAGGACCTCTCTAGAACCAGAGCCAATGGTCGCCCTTTGAAAGGGTAAATCGTTATCGCTTTGCATTCCCCTTCTTTTGCAGGTATTTTGGTTCGAGTTTCTGGGCTTGAGCCCCAGATTGGTCTTGAGTTCTGAGAAAGCGTAACCTTATCATCTTGGAGCTGTTACCTTCTGTGACCGCTTGAGCTTAGAATCTCGGTGCGAAGCCCCTATTCGATTCCGTCTTTGAATTCGTGGACCTTTGCCACTTTGCGTTGCGCTGAGTCCTTACGCCCGCGAAGGCACCTCGCTTTTGGAAACCTACTCAAGGTGCGGGAGGAGAGCTGATAGTCTGGCATCCCGGACGCTCTTTTGTTGGAAATGCTTAACCCAGAGGTCATCATCAGGAGAGTGTGATTGGACTTCAATGGCAGACCGATGCCTGAGCTTTGAACCTCAAAAGTCGCAAGTCGGGGTTATAGCCAAGTCATTCTTGCAAGCTAGCTCACAGGTATATCTCCATTCACCTTCTTCAAAGCCCATCCGATGATGTTCTCAGGTATTGAAATACACAACAGAACGGCCAAATTGATCGAGCGGTGTAGTCAGAAAACCTCAATGGGTATGCAACATGGCGTTGGCAGGCGGACTGGCTTCGAGTCTAGTATTGGTGTCTGTCGCTAATCGCTGCCGTTCACCGGCTCAAGCACCTGAAAGTTAGAGATGCAAGTGCGACTAGAGTCTTGGGCTGCAACGGGACGGAATGAGGACGTGTAATGGAGATATTGTGTGTTTTGAAGTTCGTGAAGAAGACAAAATCGACTGAAGGTCTACTGTCCCTCGGCCCAAACCCAACGTATGAGGCAGGTACGATCCCGACTCTCAACATATTTGCCAAGTGTTTATTTCTCAGATTTCAAAAACTTTTCAAGACATGGTCCGCAGCCTCGTGTTGCCTCTTTTTCCAGGTGCAAAGGTTGTGGAAAAGAGAAACTCCAGACAATAGAGTACCTTAAAACTCTCTAGCTCAAGTCCTTCGACGATCAATATTTTTGTAAAGCCAATCCATTTTGTCCTACGACATGAAACCGCCCCAAGTTTGACTTCTCGATTCCACTTTCATCAAGTATGAGCTCCGATTCTCTGATGATAGCCAAGAGGGTTTCGTGCTGGGGTTCCATGGGACGAAAGCGCGATCACCGAATCCTGCATATACGACTTCCCTTGGTCAACGCCGAGGACTATTTTTATTCCCATCAACGCCGTGAATTCTCTTTATAAGACGCGTCAACCCTCCTCAGACCCTCAGTAACACATACTGGTGTCAGCAAGGCGGACAACCATTGGCATCAGCAAGGCAGACAACCATTGGCATCTGGCATGGCTTACTCGATAGGCGATCGCATCAACAAGGTAGCCCCACATCATGACTCTATCGAGGCATTGTGGAACACGAAATGGAAGAAACCGGTAAGTTGTACCGCCTTGCGGAAGAAGAGAATGGCAGCTTGCTGAGAGTGAGTGCCAATTGCAAGTGCTCGATAGGAATCTACCCGTTCTTCGACGGTAAATTGGAAGATTTTGAGCCTGTCTTCGCCAAGTTGATTGAAGTCTGTCTTCTCTTCTAGCAAATAAAATGGCAGGTACGTCGTTACTCAACTCTACAGTCCAAACTCCGCCCACCCTACGACTTCGACGCCTACGCCGCCCCTTTCTTTCCCGTCGCCTCAGCCCTCGATCAACGCGCCCAAGCCGCCGAGAAATCGAACGATCTCCCGCTCGCATCATCCCTCTACCTCCGGGCGGCCGCTTTATACCGCATCGCTCGTTTCCCCATCCCACGCTCTCCAAAGCAGAAGGAAGCATGGAGCCTCAACAAAGCCGCATACGTGAAAGGCGCGGGGCTACTTCCTGGGAAATTCAGCGACGTTCAAATACCGCACACGCACCGGATCGAAGGGGAGGGTGCCACCATCCCGGTCTACGTGCGACTTCCAACGCATGCTTCACCCACGAACCCTGTCCCATGTATCATTCAGATCTTTGGCTTGGACGGATACAGGACCGAAATGACGCATGCATCGAACAAGCACCTCGCTCGTGGATGGGGAACTATTGGTGTCGAGATCCCAGGGACAGGCGATTGTCCTGCTCTGCGTCACGATCCTTCGTCTCCAGATCGGCTGTGGTCCTCGTTACTTGACTGGATGGATGGGAGGGAGGAGCTTGACAAGAACATGAGAGTTGCATGGGGGCTGAGCACCGGAGGGTATTATGCGATGAGAATTGCGCATACGCATAAAGAGAGATTGACGGGGGCGGTGAGTCACGGCGGTGGGTGTCATAGGATGTTTGAGCCTGAGTGGTTGGATAAGGTGGATCATCTAGAGTATCCGTTTGAGTAAGTACAGCTTTGTGGTCTCTCCCTCAGGATAGAGCGTAAGAGCTGACGTGTGCTGTGCCATAGTCTCGCGGAGTGTCTAGCTGAAAAGTTTGGATATGAAAATGTCGAAGAGCTGAAGAAGGACGGGAAGAGTCGGTTCTCGCTAGTAGAGAATAGCATTCTGGACAAATCTTGCGCCAGATTGTTGCTTGCCAACGTAAGCTTTCATGCCTCTCCGGGAGCTTGATGCAAGAGGCTAATCAACGGAATAGGGCACGAATGACGAGATCTTTCCCATTGAGGATTCGATGATACCCCTGCAGCATGGGAGCGTGAAAGAGGCGCGGTATGTCTTCTTCTTATCCAAAGTGTTCTGTGACTGAGCATTCTGGCCGTCTGCTGTAGGTTTGTTCCGAATGCAATGCACATGGGGGAACCAGCTGTGGGTCCTGTCATTCTCAAATGGATCGAAGAGCTATTTGGCCTCGAACAGTCGCCAAAGACAAACGAAGATGTGCAAGTTGGGAAGATGCAAATGTTGCACCAGATGCAGGTATGGATTGAATCTTCGTACAAGTCCTTCTGGAAATAGCCGAGACTCTGGAGATTGAGATGAAGTTCACAAGAGATTGTGTTTGGGGCCCTCGGAGGCAATCTAGCAGTCGTATGTATTGGCATCAACGAATGTAAGAGTCTACCATGCGCGAGTGGTCTGATCCTGCGGCACTATTTTACAGATGAAGCCACTAAAAGGGTGATCTGAATGACAGTCCGAGACAGTCCGAAAGTCGACCTGCACGTTCGGAAGTAGCAAAGATTACAGCGTGTATACCATTCGCTGATCACAGCCCGAGAGGTGCTCATGATGAACAGAAGTTGACAGCTTCCCTCTCAACCCAGGCGAATGAGAAACGGAGTGTCTCAAGAGTAGAATTTATCCTCGGTCTGGATACCCAGGAATGGGAGAATGGCGAGAGCATTCAGCATCACATGGGCCAGTACTTACCAGCTGAACTAGAGTTTCAGGGACAAGGCACAGAGTGCATCAGCGCAAAGCCATCGCCATTTGCCGGGAGTTGATGATAAAACACGCTGAGGATGTGCTCGTCGAGGCTGAGCAGTCCCGAGTAAGTAAGCTCATAACAGGCAAGCCCGAACAGTCGTACAACTGCAGGTCTTCCAGCCCCACAAAATGTACAGACTGAAAGATGCGAATCTAAAGAATGCATGTTCACCGAAGCGCCTCCAGATGTACTTTATTTGGTCTCGGAGTCAGAAATTGAGACGTCATCGATGGTGTACCAGATCTCGTAATAATGGAAGTATAGCGACGTCGGTTCATTTCATTTTCAATACGGTAATGGCCCTTGAAAGATCCGTTGCGAAAGCCCGCCCTTCACACCAAAAATGTAAGTAGGAAAAACAGTAGCAAAACGCCGCACCCTGACCTGTAATCTTTCCGACTTTAAAGTACTTTACATTATTATTACGTAGAGTCCCATTTTAAATTAGTGGCGTAGGTCGGACAGGAGAGCCTTGACGGCTCGAGTCTAAGGTACTTTACAAGTAAGGTAAAGTAGACGTTTTGACGGAGACCGAGACTAACCGCGACCCCCCCGCAGCCATGCGAGTGGGTGTCCGGAGATAAGGTAATTGCCTCCGTCAACTGCCGCGCTTACTCGTACGTACTAGTACTAGTAAGGGAACTCAAAAGGCAGAATTGAGATGAGATGAGATGAGATGTTTTGGTCATGCTACAGATCAATTGTACAAAAGGCGTCATATATGCATCCTGATCCCATCTTATCACCTGGGTCCAAGCAATTCCTTGCATCCATCCTTCGCCCCTCTTCATTGGACCTTGCTTACCGCTTCCCCAGACCGGATCAATGCATTGGATCAATGCACGATTCGGTAAACGAACCTTACGCCGTCTGTGCAACATGTCCACTCAACACAACACCGACCCGTCCATCCGCCCGCCAGCGTCCAGATTCATTTTCCTCCCATTCGTCAACATTCCTTGGCTTCTGACCCTATTTTTAAAATTCGGGGAATTTTCGAAACCCTGAACAGTAAAGAGGCCTGTAAGACTACGTTTTGCACGGGGACCAACGTCTATTACCACCCATCCTCTCGGTCTTTGCCACGACATTCACATCCCAATGGGACCTGTGAGACCACCTCGTGCCCAGGCCCTCATGTCTATGACGGCCTATCCCTTTCGGTATTTGTCACGGTATAAGCTGCTGAGAATCATCTCAAAATGCTCTTCACCTCCAGCTCATCCTATTATCTTTCATGATTCTTCTCTACTGATCTATTTGTCTGATTCTTGGCTGCTTTCTTGGATAGTTCAACAATGTTTCTATATAGACCGTTCTCGGCTGTATGCCTCTTGGCATATGCGCCACTTTCTCTTTGCGCTCATGTTTTCTTTGAGATCAATCTTACTTGGGAGGTCAGAGCCCCTGATGGCCAACCTAGATATGTCATTCTGAGCAATGGGCAACTCCCAGGCCCACAGCTGAATATGAATTATGGAGACGATGTAGAGGTTAGTCACTAAGTCCGACCAGAACTTTATAGAGCTAACTCTTCCCAGTTTGTCGTTCACAACAACCTTCCCTTTGATTCGACCGTCCATTTCCATGGTATTGAGTATGTTGGCAAGACTTTAAGAAAACACTAAAGTTTGAAACAGCAACGCTGACACGATACCAGGCAAACGGATACCCCATGGTCTGATGGAACACCGGGTGTTTCTCAGAAACCTATTCCCCAAGGCGGAAGTTTCACCTACAAATGGACCGCTACTCAGTATGGTGCTTACTGGTACGGTGACAGGCCAACCATCATCGTAGAGCATCAGCTGACATGACCTCAGGTACCACGGTCACGCACAAGGAGAGATCCAAGATGGCCTTTACGGACCGATATTCATCACGTAAGACGGTAGCCCAAGCTAAATGATTCCCAGCTCACACATCACGGTTTAGGCCACCATCAAGTCAGCCTTCACCTTTCGGACTCATTGCAAATAGCACCAGCGCCAGCATCGCTGCAATGCAAAGCGCCGAGAAGAAAGCTCAATTCGCTCTGCTCTCCGACTGGGACCATTTGACGTCTTCAGAATATCGGGCTGTTGAAGAGGCTTCAGGCCTTGATCTGTTCTGTGTTGACAGTCTTCTGATCAACGGCAAGGGAGCTGTGAATTGCCAGCCCCAGGCAGTGCTTAATGCGCTCACCCCACCGCCTTTGTTACATCTGCTAAATGGATCGACTGTGAGCGATAGAGGGTGAGTCTTTTCCAATTTTCGATTAGTAGTGCAATCGTTGACATCACAAAAGGTGCACACCACCGAGCAAAGCCGCCTTGGATGAAGGATTGAATTTCACGTCCAACATTGACCTCGTTCCAGCTGGTTTGCTCGATGGCTGCACGCCCACGAATGGCAGCATGGAGACCTTCTATGTTGATGCTGCGGATGAGTGGTTCAACCTACAAATCGTCAGCGCAATGAGTATCAAGACCCCAGTCTTCTCTATTGACTCTCACCCCATGTGGATTTATGCCGTGGACGGTATATACATCGAACCCCAACTCGCCGACACAGTGTTCTTGTACAACGGCGAGCGTTTCTCCGCAATGATCAAGCTAGACCAGACTCCTGGAGATTACACCATCCGCGTCGCAAACTCGGGCGCCGATCAGATACTCTCGGGCTATGCGAAGCTCTCCTACCAAAACCACACACCGCACAAAGGTCACCAAAGCTACAACGCGACAACCAGCAGCAATGGCACAGTAAATGCTACCGCATACATCAACTATGGTGGCGAAAACACCACTGCTTCCGTCATCCCCCTTGACGAAACTCTCCTGGTTCCTTATCCCGCCAATAAGCCCGCGCCTACCGCGGACGCAACCCACATCCTCAAACTCGGCCGCCTTGGCGCAAACTACAACTGGTCCCTCAGTGGCAGCAACCTGTATGACACCCAGGCAAACTACCAAACGCCCCTCCTTTTCCACCCCAACTCTACGTCCAACCCTGACGCCTACGATCCTTCCCTGATCATTCGTACCATCAATGGTACCTGGGTCGACATCGTCCTCCAAGTCGTACTCAATGCTGCCGCTCCTGCTCAACCCGCCCATCCGGTCCACAAGCACAGCAACAAAGCTTACCTGATCGGCGCCGGCACCGGTACTTTCAACTACAGCACAGTTGCCGACGCAATGAACGTGATACCGGGCAGCTTTAATCTGGAGACGCCTTCGTTGAGGGACAGCTTCACTACCCCTAGTGTGTTACAGGGACCTGCGTGGATTGTATTCAGGTATCAGGTGGTCAATCCCGGCGCGTTCTACCTGCATTGTCATATCCAGACACATTTGACGGGCGGGATGGCGATGACGATTATGGACGGAGTGGACGTTTGGCCGACTATCCCTGAGGACTATCTCAACGGCAACGGTGGGTACTAGGGGGTTCGATATCAGGGCGGGGCGGGAGCCGGGGCGATGATAGATTTGCGATTAGAGACGGTTCATACTTGGGCTATACTTAATACCAACACCAGCGCAAAAGTCGCACAATCGCAACGGTAATCACCGGAGATGGAAAAAAAATAAATCCATACAACCCGATCACCCCCATCGACACCTTTCAAAACTCCATAGCCACCACCGCTTCCGGCCCCTCTCTCGCTTCTCCACCTCATCTAATTATGCCAAGCAAATCAAATCAAATCAAATCAAACACCACCGACGCAAAAGATCCCCATCGTTCCCTTCACCCCCTCACCCCACATCCTCCATCCGGGATATCTCCAACAACCAGATCGTAAACTACCCATCCATCCATCCATCCATCCGCTTTTCCAACCTACCTAACTCCTTCCCACCCACAAATACCCTCCTCCTCCTCCTCCTCCCCTCCTCCTCCTCCCCCCTCCTCCTCCTCCTCCTCCCCTCCTCCTCCCCCCTTCCAATCACCCACCCGCACCATTCCGAGCCCGTTGGGCGGCGTTCGGTCAACGAGAGGATTGGCTGGCTGCCGGAAACCGGTGATTAGGTCATTTTTGTCGTGGGGGGGGGGGGGTGGGGGGGTGGGGGGATTAGTCAGCGGTTGTTTTTGGAGGTTTGGGGGAGAGGTGGGAAAAGGGGGGAAAGGGGGGTTTCATGATGGATGGGGCGTGGGGGTGATGGGATTTTGGGATGGGGATGGGTAGGGATGGGGTTTTGGGATGGGGATGGGGATGGGTTGGAAAGGGGAAACGGAAGGGTGTGAGATGTTGGGTGCCAGGTGGAATATTGTAGTGCGGTAGTAGTGAGGAGATTGAGGAAGATGGACGGATTTTTGGGTTGATGGGGAAAGTTTTTATTTGGTGTAGATATACACGTAAACCTCCACACCATTTCCTTGCCTCCCAGTCCCCTTGCTCAATTACATCCCCCTCCCTCTTCTTCCCCCCTCTTTCGCCCTCACTTCACCTAAAAGTAAGCAATGGGGTTCTCACTCGCCTCCACCCCCGAAGCCACATCCCAGTACTCCACCAGACACGTTCCGATCATCCTCCATATACCGGCGATGTCACCCTCGCCGAACGCAACGCTGTTGCCTCTGAAGTGGATGGTGCCGAAGGATGTGCCGGTTAGGTTGGTGCCGACGAAGACACGTTGGAGGACGACGGAGCCGCCTTTGAGCTCGGCGCTTTGGAAGGGGATTACGATCGCGGTGCCGTTCTGTGTCGTGTGCGTATGTGTCAGCTGTCAGATTGCTTCCGGGTAGGAAATAGAGCGACGAGACGATTCCGCGGCTAGGAGCGTATGGAACGGAAACGGAGGGATTCGTGCAGAGAGAAGGTCTCTTGTGATTGACAAACGGAGATGAAATAGGATTACTGCTTACACCAGCGACCTCGGGGGCATGATTGATAAAATTCACGGCGGCATAAGTGTCGTAGCCAAGAGCTACTTCTTGGTGCACGAACACCTCGTTGGCGAAGGTGTTGAGGACCTCGGTTTGCTGGTATTGAGACGCGTAGGGCTTGGTGGTGTTTGTGGGACAGCCGAGGGAATAGTATTCCTCTGGACCCCAGCGGCGCGTGTCGAGGGGTGCGGTGAGGGTGGTGATGGCGAGGGCGAGGAGGGGAAGGAGGGTTGTGGCATACATCTTGGTTGGTGCGTGAGTGGGTGAGTTGGTGGTTGGGATGTGATAGGTGTTGGGGCGGCAGCTTTGGATGCAAGGGGAGTAGAGTTGGAAGATCTGGGTGTTGAGACAGAGGGCGAGCCGGGTTTTCTATGATTCTTCCTTGCTTCTCATCTTGTCTTGCTCGGCAATGGAAGAAGCTCATCGAATTACCTGAAGATAGATGGGCTGTCTTTGTGTAACCTCGAACGACGCGATCTCCTGGATCGCGTGATTTTTTTGCATGCCCACCCGCCTTAGTCTCAAAAATCTTCCATAGTGTCGGATTGCTGCATGTCTAGAACAGTCTCAATGGGGACTTCGTGTCTGGGGAAACTCGGCTTGACCACATCCAGGTGCTGGCTTGAGGGAGCTTTAGGGCAAAACGGAGCAGAGTATGCCTGCTTCCAGTCTTTTCGGCTTGTCATGATGTCTGTGAGCTTCCAATCGATGAGAGGTCGTTCCCGCTTCGGTCAGTGAATAATCAGTAGCTTCGCAAAGGAATGCATAGTTCGACTCTGGGGGTTGATGATATGGTGGCGCAAAAGAAGCGATTTTAGACTTTGAGCATCTATATCCAAGATTTACATGCTACTGTAATATACAGCGTTTTCTCCGTTAGCTCCTCAGGATCCGTGTTAGAGTGGTGGAGTATTCGGCTCTTATTTATAGTTAACCCGGTATTTTATCACCCGTCTTTCACGCGCTTGTAACGGCAAATCTGCCAAGAATCCTAACCGCTCGGTCACCGAAAGACGCAGTCAATACTTTAATTCTCCGTGATGAGATGAGAACAGAAGAAACGACGTTCCTGAAGCTTGATCATGGTCAGAAATTTCTGTGAACTACCTAAAAACTTAGCTTGCTGGCGGTGATGGCTCCGAATACGAAAAGTCAGCTGAGTTGTCTCCAGAACGGAGGACCCAGACCGCATATCAACAAACCCATGATCTTAGCCACACTCTAGGATCTCAGCTAGCCTGAGGCTGGAGAGCTTGAGGCTATAACCCAGTTGCCAGCATGGGCACATGAGATTTATAGATAAGCTGGAATTATCACACCGTAGGTGTTGTCATCGTCCTCAGTGCAGCGTCTCATGCAAACCCAGGACATGTGTCTCAGTGTTGGAATGGCGGGATCGCGTAAAATCTACGGTGCGACTTGCGCCGTGGAAGGACCACGGTCCGTCTTTATGATACATAGGAACTTGGAATTGGTTCTAAAAATGCTGTGTACAGATCAGAATCATCCTGCAGATATAAAAACGAGATCAGACGCCATGCATATCTCCCAGGAGAGTCTATACCCATCCTGCATATCTGAGCCTAACGGCTTCCACTTCTCATCGGATTGTTCACAATGGCTGCCACAAAAGTCATGGGCACGGCACCATCTCCATGCAGAGATAGACGAGAACCGAGCTGGGTTCCCAAGGAGCAAGCATTCCGCCGGCCCTATGAAAGTATTGAAGGTTGGCTAGGCTGCTCGAGCGTGTACAGCGTCATGTCTGTCGTCAACAGGTGGCATGAGCTTACAGGTTCGTTGGCGCTGAATACGAAAGCTTCCCTTCAGGCATCTTTCCACGCTTCCGTCTTCTTGCCCGGCGCTGTCTATCAAGAGCTTCGTCAGGCTAGAGCAATGGCGGCGCAGAAGGGAGCGATAAATCGCGTCGATGGTCACTGACGATCCACGCGTGCCATCTTCTGTGACTTATCGCCCCCTGCCCGCTTTGCAAATGTGGACTGTGTCTAGACAACATTGTCAATCTCGCGGTCCATGCCCACATTGGCTGCGAGTCTTTTTGGTACTCGATCCATGATGACGTGACCACCTGATTGAAACACGATGAGCCAACGCTTGTTCCGTTCGCGACCTTCGCTTCGCGAGATTCCCGCTATGAATAACTTGTAGATTACTGGGTCGGTCAAAAAAGTTCATCGCAACATAATTGTCATCTGTAACTTGCCTCACTCGTGGGACCATCGCGGATAGGGGTTTCTTTTTTGATATCCCGCGAAGAGGTGTCGAGTTTGTCTTTGTAAGTCTTCGATTAGTCGGGTCTGATGCGCATCACTGCTATTTCTCACCGACGGAAAACACTTTGGTAGATCGAACGAACGACTCGAATAATCTAAATAGATCCTAGAAACACAAAGGGTTTGATGTCCCAGTGAAGAAGCAAATTGGCGCCTCCCACTTCTCCCCAGTACTGAGAACCATGGAGGCCCCGTGCTTTAAGGTATCACCCACTCGTCGCGGTCGAAGTCTCTCCCGAGCCGCCTGGTACCTAGCCAGAGGAGCCGGGTACTTGACTACGACGCATTAGTCGACGACGCAGCGCCTGGTTCTCATCCCGAAGTATGAAACCAACCCGGAAGAATGCTAGTGACGCGATAGGAACAAGATCTCTCCCACTGTATATGTTCTTTGCTGCGAAAGGGTCTTCTCACTGTTGGGGTCCTTGATTTCTTGCTACGTCGACTTGCAAATGGTGCTCTTCCGTTCGGGACAGCGCCCTGTTTTCTCAGGAGATGCGGGAGCGACAGTCTCAGTCTGTAAGCGGGGAGTCAGGCTTGAACGATTTGGCTCCTGCTGGAGATTCTCGAGCAATCACTCGTACTCGATATCTTCTCCTTGAAACCCTGTATAGGTGAAGGATCTCTTGCCAGTACAATAGTCGAAATGTGCCTTTGGACTATTTGGGTTTTCGGATCGTCGGTCGTCGTCGCGGCTTCCTTGCCTTTCGGCTACCAGTGTTTCCCTTCCATGGGTGTAGGAAGGACTGATGTTGCGAGTTGCAACGCAAACCCAGCCGGTGGTTGTGGTGGTAGTAGAGGCTGTCCGAGCGCTGCCGGCGGTGCCGGTGGTAGGAGGTCAGTTTTCGTAGAACCGTCGACGTAAGTTGGACCGTCGATGTAGGTCGAACTATGGACGTAGGTTGGATAACCTCTCAAGATTTGCGCGCTTGTCTCTGCTGTTGATGAGAGCTATAGAAGCTATGAAAGAGCATTGATTTGGGGGTTAGGAACTGATGAATTAAGGGATCGTTTCGGGAATGAGCTTGAGGGTGCTGCGGAAAGGGAGGCATGTTAATGGTTGTGATGGTGGTGTTGAAAAAACAGTCAACTCCGCCTCGGCTTTGCATGCTCTCGTCAAGTCAGTTCTTACCGTGATTCAGACAAGTCAAAAAAGAAAGAAAGAGAGATAGCTGATCCCATCAATATTCGTATCTCGGCCGCACAGCTTTATGGAACCGACTGAAATATCAATATTTGCATACCTGAAGGAGAGCATTGCCTGTTCACGATGGGCCTGCGTTGTATCGCCGTCATCGCATGAAATCTTGATCTTTTTCAACGCTGTGACATTCGATCTGATCACCACCTTCAATCTTGCGGACAAGAACTGAGAGTTTACTCTTGCGTGGAGAGGGTCATGCGTATAGGGAAATTGAGCGTTGGTTCGCTGAACAGGATACTCCAAGTAAAGAAGTGGCTGACTTGGAGGAGAATAGGGATAACCTGCATCTCTCCCTCGACGATACGAAAACCGAGCTCGAACACCATGGGCTTCTGAACCTTAATCTTGGTGACCAGATCGAGGACCTGACGAAACGATTCCAGCATTGGAAATATACCGCTCTCGCTCATTAACGTGCAACGAGCCATGTAGCTAATCTGTTATACCATCTTTTATTGCTATCGCTGTGGTGTTCGTGTCTAGATCTGTTGCTATCTGGGTTCTCATGTTCCTGAGTTCCTGCTTGGATTCCTCGAGTTGAAGTTTCAGATCATGGATTTCCAAAATACTGGGTTCCTTTTCCATAACAAATGGGAATTTTTGTCCGCAAATGGGACCATCGGTGTATCTTCAGTACCAGGAGGCGTTTACTTTTTCAAAACCCAACTTCGGAAGGCCTGCACTGCTTTTGCTCCTCTCGAAGGTCTGACGCTTGCTGTTATAAATTTGCGTTGTCTTGAAATGCTGTTTCCAGCGGTTTCCATGGATAGCTGAGTCTAAAAAGAGCGTGGAAAAGTCGTGTAGAGAGACGAGAGGCCTACAATTCCAGATGCCAGCGCTTTGAAGGAAGAACAATCACTTTCGGCACCGCTTAGAGAGTTGATGCTTGCTGCCAGGACGGCTCGATGGTTCAAGGGCATGCTGGAGCCGCTTGATGAAAAGTAATTTCCATCTCACGCATGGAGATGCCAAATATGACGTGAGAGATGACACTATGACTTCGTTGTGGACAGACCTGGGTGATCATAAGGGTAGGATTTTATTTATTTAAGATGAGAAAAGGTGAAACATACCTAGTGCGTAGAGAATAAAAAGAGACTAGTTCTTGCTAGATATGAAAGTACAATGGATGAAATGAAGTGCATGATTCTAGAGGAATATAACAAGCTGCCCGTCTTTTTCCTCAAAGTGCTACAGTAGCGAATGAACTGCCTCAAGAGGTTCTCTTCCAAGACGGACTTGCACACATGCAAAGCATAAGGTAGGTAGGGTTGAAGAGAAGCTTAATTCTTTTAGGTCAGGTGCGATGCTTTTCGAGCCAAAGTGTAAAGTAGAGTAAAGTAAGGTAGGTAATAATTCCCGACAAAAGACAAACAGACGGCTGTGCAGGTTTGAGCCCACTCGACCAGACGGCGGATGGCGCCAAGTTGAAACACTCGGTGCAATCCTGTCTCATGGGTACGGAAATTAAATTTGAACTTCATCAACAATCATGAACCACACTCCAAATCTTCCAAATCCCAAGCACCCGCGGTAGCTCGTAAATCATCATTGAGCATTGTAGTACGTGGGAAACGTATCTGACCTCGCTCTCGGCCGAGCAATGTCTGACGCTGGCTGCCTGTTGGCACCAGTAGCGACTTCTTCTTCTCCCACGGTTCTCCGCTGAGCTTGAGCATCGGTCTCCGTGCTCATCTCTTGAGCCGATGAGCTCGACTTATTGTAGTACTGGTCGCTATGGCTGTAGGAGCGTTGGTCATACCGATTGACAGAAGCATCCTGGGAGAGCGAACTCTGCGATGGCGGACTCCCGGGTCGTTCCTCGCTTGTCTGATGAGGCGGTAATTGCTGTCCGTATGGATACCCCTGAGCGCACATCTGACTCCCGTGCCAGAAATTGGTGTCTGGACTCTGGTAGTAGGACGATGGCCGATATCCAGAGCCGGAAGGGTAAAGCATATGGGACTGGTCGTAGGACAGAGTATTTTGCGATGATTGTTGAGAGATGCAGCGTTGGTCCATCGCCATGCCACTCTCATGTGAGAGCCCGTCAGTAGTCTGAACTCTGCCGAAACGCTGGCCGTTTCGTGTTTGAAACTGGTTTCTGCTAAATTGTAGGGGAGGCAAGTTCTCATAACCATAGGTATTACTGGCGAGGGACGAACTCGAGGGTGAGGTAGTTGTAATTGATTGGCCACCTAGTTCCATCATGCTGTTCTGATTGGAAGGCCGATCTAGGCGCTGAAAGGCAGAGGAACCTGCAGACAGACTGAGAGAGCGACCGAATGGATTCGTAAATTGAGGACTGGTGACAAGGGGGGACTGCGTTGCAGAGAAATATGGACCTGAACGTTCAGATCCTTCGTTGATTGAAGAAACTGGGGATGGACCTGCGGAGCCTGTTGCAGAAACTGGCGACGGAGCGTGGTTGGTGAAGTTTGAATTCATGCTGCTTGACGCCGTGCTCAAGTGACCGATCCCAAGTCGCAGACTAGGTCTTTGACTCATGCCACCCCCGAGCATCAAAGGCTCGGTCATAGTAGACGCGTACGAGAATCGAGGTTCTCTGAAAGAAGGCTGTAGCGTTTGGCTGAAGTCAAAATCCTCAGGAAGGGCTCTTGACCTCCTCATCCGCTCTTGATCATCAGTTGTCAGTCGCCTGAGCTTCGCCCGCCTGCGAGCGTAAATCAGCAAGTCAAGTTTGCCAAAATGCTGTGAAGGATGCCGTAAGAATATACCTGTTTTGAAACCATACTTGTACTTGGCGAGGATTCAATCCGGGAATGTCCCGTGATAGTCTCTCTCGCTGAGCTGCATCGGGATGAGCGTGACGGGAGAATTCGCTCATGAGATATCGTGTTTGAGCGTGCGTCAACCTGTATATACCATTAGTGAACGTTCCCCGGTGTAATGTTGTTCATGCTGACCTAAAGCGCTTCATCTTGCGTTTCTCCGCCAATCGCTCGGCGCCCGATTTGACAGCCTCCTTCCCACCAGCGATGTCTTCCTCCTCTTCTGAGCCTGTAAACAGCTCATCACCCTCAGACTGATGTTCCGCTTCTGTCAACACTAGCTGCGGCGTTGGGTGAGAAGCCGCGCTAGACGCTCGCGTAGGCCTTTGCTTCAGGGTATCCTCCTTTCGCAAATGACATGACACTTGATCAGGTGAGGGGAGTTCGGGAGTTCTCAAGTTGGAGCCCACAGAGCTGTTGTCCTCGACCGTAGTGACTTGATGAAGACTCGATGAGTGAGGTGGAGTTCGTCCATCGCGTGGTGGATTCTCGTAGGACTGCGAAGGTGATCCTTTCTCGTCGCAGGCTTGTCGTCCATCCTCTGCCGATCTGAAGGTTGCACCACCAGTGGGACTGGGTAAGACACGGCGTGATGGCAGTCTAGTAGTGTACCGGCCATGTTCTCCAAGTGCAGGATACGCGTACATTGACGGTGATTCAGGTGGAGATGGAAGAACGTTTGCACATTTTCCGCCAAATAAACTAGCTTGGAGGTCCATTTTTGCTCGACTACGGTCAGTGGTCTGCACCCAGCCCCTTATAGAGCGTCTGGAAATATGATCGAAATGAGTAACACAGATTTCCACCATCGAGGAACACGAGGAGCCAGCAACCGCAGTATTACTGCTTCACGCGAGTGGAGGATTAATGAATGGAGCCGCAGATCGGTACGGGAGTAGAAAAGGGTTGTGACGTGATACTGGTTCAAACGTAAGGCGTACTCTCAATTAAGCTCAATACTCCGAAGACTTCCTCATATGGGGGCCTTGTTACTATGGATTTGACGGACTGTCATAAGAGGCCGAGAGATGTGGCCAACAATCACAAGCTGAACCCTTTGGTGTTGGTGGGCGGCCGGACAAGAGCGGGATAGAGGGAAAGTACTGCGGCAGCTTGATTTTCAAGAGATATGATATGCTCGATTGTAATGAAGAAGAATACGAAGCGTCACATTGACGGGCTCGACAATGCAGAAAGAGTATTGGCTCGTCCGTCTCCAAAGGAGAGATGCACGTGAGTGCCTGGGTGCCCGGGCCTCGATTCCTCAACACTAGCGGCGATGCGTTATCTGATGTGCTCCTTCTTAGAGCACGATTGGAACATGGGACTTCCAGAGCAGGTCAGGCTGAGAGAAGAATGATAGGACGAGATTTCGAGCAGAAGATGGGTGGCTGCAGTTGCTTTTGAAGTACCACAGTTTGATTTAAGTCATGATTAGTTGAGACTGGTGGAGAAACGCCGTCAAGCCCTGCAATTGATGCGGGGGTCCTTGCAAGTTGATTTTAACTGGTTATGGCGATCTCCGTCATCCAGCTACAGCGTGAGCGCTATGCAGGCGTTCTTGAATCAGGTGTAGCTATAAGCTGTGAGAGCCTTGAAGTAGGACACTAAACATAGGATTGAACGATGCAAGGAACCTAAGAGTGGTACAGCGTGTTGGATTTGTTTATACCCCTGTTGGAGAAGAGCCCCAAGTTTCGCAACTGCGCTGTAGCCGCCCAAGTGGCGCGCGGGGCCCACGCTCCTCTCAATAACTATATCCGAATGCAAGTCGAAGATTTTGCTGCGGCCAGGCTGACCGTTACCCAATTCACCGCTCGACAGAGTGATGGTGTGTAGGCCGGCCACGGGACACGGCAGCAAAATTAAGAACACCCACGCGCACTTCTTTCCACGGACCACGCCTACTTTCTCGAAGTTGAAGAGAAATTGAATCTTTCAGAGAAAGTTTTCAAGACGTCTTTGACGTCTTAGATAGATGATTAGGTAATTTTGCCGAATGTGTGTTGCAAGTATTTCGCAGCAAGAACCCTGTGAAAAGCGACCAAACACGCGCAGGGCAGAAACATGCGTCTCACCAAGAGAGTCATTCTTACACAAGATTGACGGACAACCAAGGAGCCTCTACCCGTCGTAGGCTTTCGATGAGTAACAGAATTGACGATGGCGGTTCCTTGCACATTATCTCGGGCCAATCGCCGTGCGGTATCTGCTAAGTTTTAGCTCGCGACTCCATTCTAGTTGAGGCACTCAGCAGCGAAGAAGACAGCAGGGTTGATTCGAGCGGCTTCTGTCTACTGCACCAAACACTGAAGAATCAAATTTCGATCATGGCAAAGCTCGCAGTAAGCTTTCTTGGTTCTTTAGTCCCCAAATGACAAGGACTGTCTCATCTCGTCAATGGGTCAATGATCCGACCCAAATTCCGTGAAACATAAGGTAGCAAGTTCCGGGTCCTTTCCGGCATGGACCAGGAGGCGAACGGCCACTTGCGTTTTTATCCTGGTAGTGGAAAAGTATTGCGACGGATTGCTTGACTCAGATGTCGTATTCGCTAGCCAGAATGAGAATTCGAAGAATTCCATCCCCTCTTCACGCCTGTGGCCCGTCAGGTGGGAATTATTGTGTTGGACGAGCTGGCAGTGCAAGCGTTAGTTGATACAGGGCCATATTGAAGTCATGAACCTCCACAACCTTTCGGCATGAATCAAGTGGGTTCAACTCACCGATGATTCCGAGACTAAGTGTGATCGCCCAATTTGCGGACTCACGTTCAGCGTGGATTGATCATTCACAAGTTCGACCATCATGAGTAAGAGGCAAAGGCAATAATGTACAAGGTGATGTGACTGGGGCCCAGGCAAGGCGTATGTTCGAAGATGATAGGACATCTGACAGGGAGATGTGGCTAGGCGTAATTGGAGCCTTGGAGGTGGTTGTAGTCTGTAATTGCATCCATCCTGAGGCTCTGACCGCTTGACACGTGGAGAATTCACTATTGCGTGGCAGCGGTGCTTGATGATTCTGTGGCACTGCACATCATGCCGGTTAGCACGTAACCGGCGTCCCCCAGCCAAGGGAGCTGCCGGAATTAAAGTGCGAGTAAGTGGGAGGCTACTCCGCACGTCAAAAAGGATTATTGAAACGCACCATTTATGCGAGGATCTAGATCCAGACAAGCTTCCATCATCTTGATTCGACAATGAGAGAATGGCAAATGCAATGCAAAACGATCCGAGCTTCGCATGCAGCATGCTTTCTTTCTCTGCGGCTGGGTAGGCCATCGACTTAGGGTCTGTTAGATTGTTTCGGGGCCGCTTTTGCGGCCTGCTCCCAGGCTTCTCGCACCCCTGCAACCCCTGGGCATTGCATGATGCAGTTTTTCGGACCGTAAAGTCTTACGGTCGTAGATTAGACTCATACTCTTGACAAAGATCGTGGAATGGAATAGTGAAGTCACCCGACATGAGCTGCAGCGGAGCGGACTCAACTGCTGTTATTGGATTGGGGGAAGTAGGTCGGTTCTTTCCGCTAAACCAAAAAGGGCGCTATGTCTCACGGCAGTCGGGAACAATACAAGGCAATCAATGACCGACCAGGTGCAATGGGAGATTGGGATGAATGACTTCAGCATTTTCAGACTGGACATGGTGAGCCTGAGTTCCATCTCGGTGACCTGTGAAACTCGAGTTTCAACACCGCCGTCTCCAAACTTGCCGGGGTACGTGTGAGCAAATGATGAGCAAAGGGCACTAGGGGGAAGTGCAAAATTGGTGTAGGGAACCGACGACCTTTCGATTCCTCGATGCGACAGAAAACGAATTTGGCGGAGGCAAAGAAGATGTGAAGCAATCAAAAAACATTGCAGAGGATGAGAGTATATGAACAAGCAGCCTCATATTGCAGACCGAGTATGTTCTTATATCGATCGCAGCTCAATCTGCCGTCAGAGCGTTAATACTACGAATAAATGAGGGGCCACGCGTCAGTCCCTATAGAACGTGTACATTCGTATCGAACCGCCTGAACTTTGGGTATCTGTTTGGACATTCCTCTATTTGGCTGTCATCTCCAACGGCGCCTCCACTCCATTCTCGTCCACCATCTTCTGCTCTGTGCCATTCGATATAGATTCCTTGGTAGGCTGATCAGAAGTCTGCTCTGTCCCATCGACCTCCGTCTGCTCCTTGCTCTCTTCCTCTTCTGGCTGGAAAAGAGCTTGAAGATTATTACCGTCATCTATTCTGTCGAAAAGGTTGAGTCTGCTCTTCGATGCGATGCGGAGCGTCCTCCACAGCTTGCTTGCCCTTGCATCTGTTGCCTGCTGCTTCTCTTCACCTGTTTTCGCCATCTCGATGTCAAAGTCGTCTTCCGCAATTGGCCCTCTGAACGACTCTGCTGTGGGTAATGTGTACCTGCGAATGATTGAGCGAGATCATCAGAATACGGCGACCATGTTCTTACCTTTCCGGGTCCTTCAGCTTCTCCATGCCATCGGTGTCGCCTCCGTCCAAAAGAAACTTGAGGTCTAGTGATCCCATGGGAGTCGCTCTGAGCCTCTTATTGGCACATGCTTTCTGCGTACCTTTTTCCGCCTCCGAGAACTCTTCAGCAGAAACTGGATCACGCTGTATGGGCGGGCAACCCTCCGCTTTCCAGTGCACCCAATTCTTGTCTCTTGACAAGACAGTATCCACCATGCGATAGTAAAATTTGCCTTCTGGGCCTTGTTGTAAATAGGTAGCTATCTCGCTTCTCATGCCTGTCGCCCATTTTGCCTGGGTTCGACGATTAGCGTGTGGAGTTTTGGTAGTTTGAAGATGCCACATACGTTATCTTCGCTCAAGGCGTACGTATAGAGTACCGATTTGTTGGATGTGTGTTCGAGCTTCCTCTTGGCTTTTGTGGTAAGCGAAAGGAGGAAGTCGATCAGAATCAAAGCCTGGACAAGGACATGGCGCCGGAAAGCAAGATCGCTGATCTGTATAAATTCAGCGAATGTGGACCGTGATGCAATTGAACACGTAGTTGTACCTCTAGGTCGAACAGGTCTCGACTGGTCAAGTACTTAGGATTGAAGCTACTTGACAATTCGTCTTCCTGGCCGTTGCGTTTTCTCTTCACGCCCCGCTTGCCATCATCGTGGAGCTTTGATATGCCTCTTGCCTGGAGATCCTGCTGCACTTCTTGAAATTTGACCAGCGTGATTGACAATCCCTTTCGAAAGTTCTCAAGGTTGATATCATCGAACAGTCTCGTTGGAGTTGAAAAATTCTCCTGCAAAGACCAGAATATAGGGTATAGCGTGTCCATGTCCGCCGGCTTTTCTCTTGCTTCCTCGTCCTCTGCATCGGATTTGACGGCTTTCGATGAATTTGCTGGGTGCTCTAGAGCAGCCTTAGCCTGCTCCATTGCAGCCTCAGTCTTGCCTGCAATTTTTTCCGTTTCTGTTCTTTCCTCGTTCTGATCAACCTCCATGCCATCGTCAAGATTCAACTCGGCCTTTGGCGGAAAATTTTCAAAAACCGTAATATTCTCGACGTGGTATTCTCCCCTCAGATTGACCGAGCTCCTGTCTCCTAGCGGGAAGCTTTGAAAAAGAAATATGAACACTCTTCCGCAGAACACCGTGTCCTCAGCTCGTGAAAGTCGACGTAATAGCTCGTTGCACGCGCGTAGTATGATGAGGTTCTTCGCCTTGAAGTGTTTCGCAGTGATTCGTTCTCGTCGAGAATCAAGGTAGTCGAAGACGATCCTGCAACCATCGATGGTCTGTGTGTCGAGCAGCTCTTCGACGAGCCAGAAGAGCAAGCTGGGTTCACAGATCTCTGCGGACCATTAGCCATTGAGTCCGGAATAATCTTCTTCATCAGACCAACCTAGATCGGAGAGGATGGAGATGATATCCAGAAGATTCCACACTTCACCAAACGGAGGTCCCTCAATTGATGTCGATGCCTTGATTTCTTAGCTATCGACTTAAATTGCTATTTCTTTATAGCCTCACCAGTAAAGCGTAGAAGATGTTACGACATGCAGTCTCTATGGCTGCATAATCCTTATTGGTTGCTCCATTGTGTTTGCCGATTTTGTCAACACCACCTTCGAGTTCCTGAGTCGTTAATGCTGGCTCAACACCTCCGTCAGGCTTGACTTTCTGCGCTTTGGCCAGGAGTCCCCTTATCGCAGTGGTAAAATTGTGAACGGAGCTGATTCCGGCACTAGACATTTTGGACAGCTCACGCGAGTGCGTGGCTGAAGATGTTGTCATGAAAATCTCATTCTTGTGAACAAAGTGAAGTTGATGGGAGCACTGGCAGCAACCAATTGTTCCTGAGCGAGGCTCTGCGGGAGGATTATGAAACCGCTAACCGTAATCTCTTTTCAGCCCTATGGCAAAAGTTCAAGATTCCCACGCGACAAGAGTGTAATTATTGTAGCTTTTCAATACTGAACAAAACGCGACCATCTAGGACTTCGGCTGGCGCAATGAAAAGTCAACTGCGTTTGGCTGTGTACCTTTAGCCAATCCGCGAAGTCGAGCAGCGGTATGACGGAAGCGAGCGCGTGGAGAGGTGGAGACCAGCCGAGTGTCGGAGATCTTGAGAGCGACAATCATTGGGCTCAGCTCGCAAAGAAGCATTGGCCGAAAGCTGCCAAGTCGAAGAAATTAAAACCAGAAGTAATCAAGAAAGAGATCTGGGATGTACTAGAACAGGAGGCTTTCCATTTTCGGAGTCTGCTCATGCTCGAAAATTTGCAGCTGCTGGAGAAGTACACGAGCCTTCCAACTATAGGCAGTGATTACTGACTGTTGCTTAGCTATCTATGGCCTGGCTACACTGAAGCCTCAACAAATCACCACGTGCTTCTGATTGCCCTCCTCGTCACCGTGAAGAGCAGAGAGAATCTTCCCATATGGAGTATGCAGCCCAGTCTTGTTGGTGAATGGAAAAGGAAATGGCTAATGATTTCGAGATGCCTTCGCCGATGATGCTGAACGCTTCTCCTCCTTCTTCCGCCGTGTTCTATCAATGACCCTTGATCCATCTCTGTCGGCGCCCGTTCGCACCCACTTACTCTCCTACCTCCTCAGCGCCTTTCAATCACTAGACAATGGTCTCTTACGCAAGGAATGTGCGCCGTTGGTGTCAATATCTATATGGCATAATCTTGCCTCAGAAGCAGCTCGAGAGCGGAAATTTGAGGAGCATGGCCAACTTCGAAAAGCGTGGAGGGCTGCTGCCAAAAAATACGAAGCTGCAGACGAAGGAGCAAAGGCAAGGTTACGGTTTGAACGCTCATGGCTCTACACTCTTCTGCTTGACTTTGTAGGTCGTTTGTATGGAGCGAGCGAAGGTGTGTTAATATGATGCCACCTAATACATTTGCTGACAGCTTGCCAGGCGATCTGGTATACTGCGAGAGGTTCCTCGAGTTCTTGACTGATCTCGAGAGTCAGTTGCCTACGAGGAGATATGTCAATACTCTGGTCAAAGATCTGAATCTCCTAGCTCTGATCAGAATGTCTCCAATGTTTAACACTCCAGACAACGGTCTCCTGCGTGACTTGTTCGCTCTCTTCCGTCATTTTGCGGATTTCCCCGTCGATGATAATACAGGCTCACAGCACTCCGAAGCTCAGTCATATGAGAGGCACTGTGAGAACCTGTCCCGGCTACAAAGGACTGCGCTCAGGCACTTCAAGGAGAAGCTGACAGTACTTGCTCTCTCGAATTATGGGGCTATCGATCAAAGAAAGGAGTTGGAAGAGCTCTTAACCCCGTTGGCGGATGCCGAGCTGGAAGAACTGTGCCTACTATTAGGGTTTCGGACGGCATACCCATCCGCAGCAGATGTACAAGTAAATCGAGAGCTCCTGATGGAGATTATACTATCCGCACATGAGAGAAGAAAGACTTTCCAAGAGACGGTGAGAGATCTGAGTACACAGCCAACAGAGACAGAGCTTTACGAGCCTTCACTCCTACGCAATGAAGCCTATAATGGATCAAGGGCTCTAGCGATACCTAAATTAAATCTTCAGTATCTCAGTGTTGGGGACTTCCTGTGGCGCTCTTTTATTCTCTATCGATGCGAGCAGTTCTTCGAGATCAGGAAGTATCTCGAGGATACCATCAAAAGACTACAACCAAGAGGGACTGGTTCAGCTGGCGGGGTCCACTTCGACGGCTTTTCGAAAATGGCCCTTCCTATCACAAAGCCTGCGTAAGTGCATCAATATAGGTTTCCGCCTTTGACCATGTGTTGATTGCCTAATAGGATATTGGAAGCTGCGCCAGCGAAGGTTGGGCATGACCAACCAGCGTACGTCAGAGCTGAAATAACTCTCAACGTGAGCAAGTTGGCCGATACCGTTCGACACGACTGGGACGCTTTGCGACAAGGCGACGTTATCTACTTACTCACAATCGAATCCACCGAAGCTTCACTCAACTTGACGAACGGCCATTCAAAGCAAAGTGGTGAGGAAGCGTCTGGACTCCTCGCTCTTCGAACCGCAGAGGTTGTGCAGTTGCTCGATGAGAATGGCCGGTCTATAAGAGAGCCAAGACCTGACCAAATGAACGGCTATGGGAGTAGACCACGCATTAGGAGGCTAATCGTCAACCTGGACCCGTCAGCTTTTAAGGTGGATCTCGAGCTTAAAGAGAAAGGAAGACCGGATGTCTATGAGTCTCTCAATGTCATTGTTCGACGGAATCAGCGCGAGAATAATTTCAAGAAGATATTGGAGACTATACGAAGCCTTGCACTATCTGATGTGCCTGTTCCTGCGTGGCTGCAGGAAGTGTTCCTGGGATATGGCGATCCTGCCTCGGCAACCTATGCTCGGCTTTCAAATCAGCTCGAGGCAATCGATTTCCGCGACACTTTTGTTGACTGGCAGCACCTTTTGGATAGCTTTCCGGGCAAGGTAAAGCTATTGCGATTCTGTTGGCCGTTTCAGTCGCTAATGCATCCTGCAGACTGTTGAATCTGAAGACAAGAAGCTTAAGAGCTTTTCGCCTCCATATGTCCTCCGACACTCTACAATCTCAGCCACTGCTGTTCAACCTAGATCCTCGAAAAAGCGTCGACGTGACGATGCCGAGCCTGTGCAGCAGGCTTCACAGTCTGTCAAGGTATCCACATATCGGCCACTTGCCAGCGGACCATATCCAAGCGATGCACCGAGACATAACAGTGTCCGCTTCACTCCGGTCCAGGTCGAGGCGATTACGTCAGGCACTCAACCAGGTCTGACAGTTATAGTAGGCCCTCCGGGGACGGGCAAAACGGACGTGGCCACTCAAATCATCAACAACATCTATCACGACTTTCCCTCACAACGAACCCTACTGATAGCACACAGTAATCAGGCACTGAATCAACTTTTCCAGAAGATAGTGAAGCTCGACATCGACGGACGGCATTTGCTTCGGCTAGGTCAGGGAGAAGGAGACTTGGAGACAGCAGAGAGCTTCAGCAAGTACGGTCGAGTAGAATCTTTCCTTGACAACAGAGCCCAGCTACTTAACGAAGTCGATCGGCTTGCCGCCAATTTCGGTGCTCCCGGTGCTCATGGCAGTACCTGCGAAACTGCCGGCTACTTCAACCTGGTCTATGTGCTGCCCGCTTGGGCGAAGTTCTGGGACAGAGCTAAGAATACGGACTCAAGCGCCGGAGATATCATCTCGTCCTTCCCTTTCCATCACTACTTTCAAAACGCTCCTCAGCCACTGTTCTCTTCTGAAGCCACTAAGGATGAGGTCGTAGAGATAGTCCGTGGATGTGAACATCATGTCTCTAAAGTCTTCACGTCTCTCGAAGACATACGCCCTTTCGAGATACTCCGCAATAACCGTGACAAAACCAATTACCTCATGGTAAAAGAAGCGCGTATCATCGCAATGACGAGCACCCATGCCGCCATGCGTCGACAAGAAATAGCAGATTTAGGCTTCCACTATGACAACATAGTCATGGAAGAAGCAGCTCAAATCACCGAGATCGAGAATTTCATCCCTCTAGCCCTTCAAAATTCCAAGGATGGCGAATTACCTCTCCAACGAATTGTCCTCTGCGGCGATCACCTTCAAAACTCCCCAATCATCCAGAATATGGCATTCCGGCAGTTTGCCAACCTAGAGCAATCGCTCTTCCTTCGCCTCGTACGTCTCGGCGTTCCTACCATCACTCTTGATCACCAAGGTCGTGCAAGACCTAGCATAGCAAAGCTTTACAAATGGCGCTACCCATCTCTCGACCACCTCCCCAACGTCCTCATAGAACCTGAATACCTCCGCGCCAACGCTGGCTTCGAATATGAATACCAGTTCATTGACGTCCCCGACTACAAAGGCGCAGGCGAGTCACAACCGTCGCCACATTTCTTCCAAAACCTGGGTGAGGCGGAGTATGCGGTGGCGATATATCAGTATATGCGCTTGCTGGGATATGCAGCAAGCGAGGTATCGATACTGACGACCTATGCTGGGCAGAAGGCCTTGATAAGGGATGTTCTGGCCCACCGATGCAAGGGGAAAAGGCTATTTGGCTTGCCGAGGATCGTGACCACTGTGGATAAGTACCAAGGAGAGCAAAATGATTGTAAGCGTTCCCCTTGTTTCACTCTCTAGCTTGAGCAGGCATGACTAACATCTTCTAGATATCATCCTCTCTTTGACTCGTACCCGCAGTCCTGGCTACCTCCGCGACATTCGCCGCCTCACTGTCGCTCTCTCCCGCGCTCGACTGGGCCTCTACATACTCGGTCGCCGCAGTATCTTCGAATCATCCCCCGAACTAACACAAGCTTTCAAGCTACCTCTGGAACGCCCGGAGAAGTTGATGCTCACGACTAGTGAAATCTTCCCAGCAAGCAGATTCTTGACGGACGAGGTGGAAGGTACAGAGATGGAGGGAGTAGAGCATCTGGGGCAGTATGTGTTCGAGATGACCCAAGCAATGGAGGGAGTAGAGCATCTGGGGCAGTATGTGTTCGAGATGACCCAAGCAAAGGTGGAAATGTTGAAAAGAGGAGAGAATATCTTGCCACCCCCGGAGGCTGGCGTCGGAGTTGTGGCGGACGAGGAGATGGATGGTGAGAATGGTAAGAGGAGGAAGACGAGTCGGAACTGGACGAGATCACGTGAGCGGTAGCGCTAGCGCATAATTAAGGTACAAGTAAGATCCACTGAATTATCATTCGTCAAGATTCTCGATGTTGAAATGACGGCCAGCATCAACACCCACCCTGAATGACACACCTCGTCAAGAAAGCCACGCCCTGTCCGCCTCCACCACGAACATCAGTCACAAAAGCTCACTCCCTCCTGACAGACCTTCCTCAAGATTTTGTATTTTTGTCAAAGTCTTGGATCTTCGAAGCTTCATCATCTCTTCTGGTCGTTTCATTGAGGCCTGCGACCCTTTCCACATTCACAAAACTCCAGCATGAAGCTCCGCAGCGAGTCTCGCACAGTGGCTGCATCTGAGACGCCCATTGCCTTCATGCTTCCCGCTACTTATGCAATGTATGTCAAAGCCAAAACAATACTGCGATATGTCAAGCTGACCATTGTTTCACTCCAGCACTGTCAGCAACGCCTCCTCCCCTCTTTTCCGTCTACCTCAAGAGTTGAAAGATCGCATCTATCATTTCGTGTACGGAGGTCTGCACATTCATGTTGAGAACGATTACAATTCCGACCACTCAAGAATCCGCCTAGCTGTTTGCAAGTTTACTAAGCAACACAATATCAACGATTGTGCAGAGGAAAAGGGGCTTCACGTCGCTTCTCTGGTGACATGCCGCCAAATGTACCATGAGGCACGGAGCGTGTTATACTCCGCCAACAGTTTCATCATCTCTAGTCCTAGGTTAGTCGATTCGTTCATACGACGCCTCAATGATACCAGCTATGACCGCCTCGCAGTGCGGAGTATTCGCCTTCACGTTTACGTCCACGTCAGAAATGATGAACGCGAATGGGACAATACGTTTCGCTTCTTGACACAGAATCTGAAGAATCTTCGATACATATCCATCGATGTAGACGTATGCCCCTGGGAATATTTTTCCCCTATGACGCGTCAACACAATCCTACTTACGCAAAAAGGCTGTTCCTTCGGGACCTAGTGGAGTTCAAAAAGTTGCCGTTGAAGAAAGTCGAGCTTGTACTTGAAGGTTCTGATATTCTGGTAGGCAGGGCGCGTGAGGACAAATACATATGGACGAACGCTCGGAAGCAAGAATGGGTGCAAAGCATGAAGAGCAAGATGCTGGGCTCCGGTTGAAGATGAAGTGGTTTGCAAAGGGCGACTTAGTGGAGGAGCTGGGGTTCTGGGCTCTCATAAGATAGGCTGGGTCCCGGGGTCGATGTCATTTACAGCATGAAGAATCCGGTTTCATGGAAACACCAAATGACTGAAGCTAGTGTGTAAGCAGTGACTTCATGACTCCTCTTCCACCCTGTGAAACCTGAACGATCCAACACATCCCAACCTCCCAACAACACATCCTCCGACCCCCTCACATGCAAGCCCTTATGGCCCCTCGAGCACCAACGTAATGATAGCCTAGCACCGATCGAGCGCTCACTCCTCCACACCTTGACCCACCAACTCATCAATATCCCGCTCCCTTTCCCCCCCAAAAAGCCCCCCCCTTTTCCAGACAGAAAATCTCTTCCACATCCACCACGCATTTCACCCTCCCCAGAGCCTTTTCCCTTCCCTCCCTCACCCTCACCCCCGCCACTACCAGACCCATTCCCCGAACAACCGAGAGCGACGAAATGCAAAGCACCAACAACGACAGTCCCGCGGACGTCTCCATCACATACCCCCCAATACAGCCCTCGGCGACGGTCTCCCGTCCACCGAAAACACCGCCTAGACCCCCAACAGCTGCTGCTGCGTAATCGGTACTTTCAAACGCGCCCGACTGCTCGCGGACCAAAACAGTCACTATGTCGTAATCACAACGACAAATATGTTTGGAGGAATTGTCGATGTTAGGCGGGTTTTATGGAAATGAATGGGGCGGGGGTTCTGCGCGTGAGGAGGAGGATAATGGAGGCGCGGACAACGTCCGATGCTACCCTCGGGAACGAGCTTCGGTTCGGGCTGTTTCAACGACGTGGTGCAGCACGGGAATGATGCTTTGTAGGATGGATGAGATGTAGTTCTATCTAAGAGGTGTAGGAACCCCTCTGTATAGGCACTACTGTACACTGGGAACAATACTAAGCGTATTGACCCCCTAATCCGGTGGTATCTACCGGATGCGGTGAGGTGTGAAGAGTCCTTTATCCAATATGCTTGTGAGTTGTTGGGTGGGCACGTGTGGTTGGTAGAGGTCGGTGGGCTTGTTGCGAGCTGTTAGTTGAATCTTACGCGCAGCTTGATGATCCCCTTTGATGTTTCATGGATTGGCTTTTGCTTGGCAGTTGGTTTATTGGGAATACAGTGTACTATCGTTGTTTTGTACAATAGAGACTAAATCAAGTCCCACGGGGGCGCAAATGCTAGTAGTCAAATGGTGTGCTTTGCCATTGAATGATATACATCTTTCGCGTACGACCATTCGTACTCCAATAGCGCAAGCGAGAGGTGCCTATCGGAACGCGTTGTATCCCGTCTTCTCATGCCTACACTTGAACACAAGGCATGATCATCAAAGATACGAGCTGATCTATTGCCGACCGGGAACTAGAGTCATGGACTCAGATTCTCTCTGCCGGATGCTGCTCTCTTCTAGCTGTGTCCGATCTGTCATCATCCTCGGTGTCTGTGCGTCTGGTATCTAAGTTTGCGAGCGGGATGATGTGAGATGTTGAGTCAGCGTTTCCAAGATGTAGAGTCCCAGACGAGTCAGTGGTGGCCAATGCAAGGGGGTGGCGGAAACCAGTATTTAGAGCCCTTGAACACACCATCTGTATATCGATTAACTACGTGACCACTAGAAAGCGGCTGAGAACGCTTACTGATTTCTAGATTTATAAACTCGACGAGGCAAGGAGCCCAGACCAAAACCGCTAAAATCTGCCCAAAGCTCCAGGTAAAATTAGTGATCGATCCGCGCAAAATCACGGCGTACAGCCAAAGTTGATAGCCTAGCGACAGTGACCAGGTAATAGCAAACAGTCCCTGGCTCAATCGGTTTCCCTAACCCGCTCATGGGAAGGCGATCGCTCAAAGCGAATCGAGGCTGGCAGATCGACGCAAGTTTCGTGGCCCCCGGCAGGAAGCGATCTGATGATGTCCGGAGTTTCTTCGAGACACAGTATATCAACCACAGCAAGCTATGGGCCCACATCACCCAGATGACCTTATTGAGAGCTGTAGGATTGTGTCCAGAGTTTGAGAATAGATTGTTCGATCCACACCATGCTGTTGTCAAATTGGATGCGACAAAATCTCCGCAGTCTTGAAGGACTCCGTAGGCTGGATCGAAAGGTGTTGCATACCACGCGTTGGATGAGGCGGCTAGCATCCCGGTCGACAAGACGAAAACAATGGACGACAATAAGATCAAGTACCATGATTGCCGTCCGTACTGCGTGATCAGGGCCAAAGTGAGTATAGTCGGAACAAAGCCGTTAGTTGCTAGGGTAAAAAGAAGCCCCTCATCAAGCAGCTCAGGCGATGCAACCCATTTGATAGAAAAAAGTCCTCGTGCCGTAAAGACCAGGGCGGCAATTTGGACGGCTCCAGCGAAATAGCATTGGGTTATCTGGAAGTCTACCGTAGCCATCATCATTGCCTGGGTGTGCTTTTCTTGCCGGTGTCTGTTCACAAATGTCCACGATACGAGAAGAGACAGCAAGATTGCAGTCACGATTGCAAGGCTGGACTGAACGATGAGGGATACAAAGACCTAAAGTGCCTTGTCAGTGCCTGATTGCGGTAGAGGAAATGTTGCCAGAACACACCCCAATTCCTCCAAGATCTGCATCTAAAGTCCTGGGAGAGCACAAGTCCGCGAAGCATGGCTCTGCCTCCAATGGGTATTGAAATAGAGCAGTGGCACTGCAAGTGTTTGGAGTGGACCTACGGTCATCGGTAAAAGAGTGAGTTGCTGCGTAGAAGGAGGCAAAGCAGGCGACCAAATTGCGTTGGAGTTGGGCATTGTAGGTGCCAAGCGCTCCGTCTATAGTCCTTACAGTCTCTGTGGCAGATAGGTTCAAGCCCACAGCTTCGAATGGGGTTGTGACAGGAGATTGACCAGTAATATCAAGGCCAGCAGTCACCGTAGCCCACAGACCACAGGTTACAAGATTTGAAGGATGTTGGGGATCGAACAAGAGATATGTATAATCGCAGACCACCGAACAGTTCACAGCTTCGCCTCCTATGCTGCCGCCATAGCAAGGTTGGATTGGCGGTAATGCTGCAAAGGGGTCAGTGTGGCCGGAAGCAGGACTCCTTATAGCAGTGCCGTAGTCGAACCAAGGCTGCAAAGAGGAATTGGACAGCATCGTCAGCCTAATGAACGAATATTGCGATGGTCTCGAAAACGCTTGTAATTATTTGCTTAGAAGAAAGCCACGACAACTATTATTGCTCACTTGGCGACAACAGCATAAATCAAGTCGTGGCTGTATTCTTCACCTTGATACTGGCACGCATAAAGAAAGCTACCATTGAGGAAGGCCGCATCGATGGGATTGAGATTGCTCACAAGGAATCCGGGTGTGACACACAGGAATAAAGTGGTAGGATTTCGGATAGTCGGGCCAAGGTTGATCTTTCCCAAAGCCAGAGATGCTTGCGAAGACCTCGCTCGCAAAGATGTGGGGACCATCCAATAGCTATCTGCTGCGCAGCACTCGCATAATGCAACACGTCATTAGATGCGATGCGATGCGATTCAAATTTTGATTTATAGCGAACCCCTAGTATACTCCTTCGATCAGGAATCGCTCTCGTGTAAGGATGCTTCGCGGAGCTTTCCCTATTTCCCACTTCACAAGATCACAGCCATGCCAGAAGCTTTGAGCATCAACCAATATCATTGTTAATCAATAGTCATAGAACCCCTTTCCACACTTCTTGCCTACCCACCCTGCATCTACCATCTTCCGTAACAACACTGCGGGCCTATACTTCCCATCTCCTGTCTCCTCATGTAGCACCTTCATTATCGCTAAACATGTATCAACGCCGATAAAATCAGCCAACTGTAGGGGTCCCATCGGCACATTCGTCCCGTTCTTCATTATGTTATCGATATCTTCTTTCCTTCCTACGCCCGTCTCGAGACAAATAATTGCTTCGTTGATGTAGGGCATCAGTATGCGATTGGCAAGGAAGCCCGGTGAGTCGGCAGATTGTGACGGGATCTTGCCCATGCGTTTGCAGAATTCAACGGCTGTTTCCCGGGTCTCAGGAGATGTTTGCAGCCCACTTATTATTTCAACCCCTTTTAGTATAGGCACAGGGTTCATAAAGTGTGTGCTAACTACCCGAGACGCGGCGGCGAGATCTGTAGGATTGTCCGGTGTTGTGGTTGCAGAGGCTATTTTGGTGATGGAGATGGAGGATGTATTGGTCGCGAGGATGGCATGCGGTGGCGCTATCTTGGCAAGCTGAGAGAAGATATCTGTTTTTAATGAGGGTATCTCAGGCACAGCCTCGATTACGAAGTCGACATTGGAGAGGTCTTCCATTTTGGTAGTAGGCGACAGAAGGGAGCGGGCGGAATCTGCGTCTGACTGGGAGATCCGGTTTTTGAACACACCCTTCTCCAAAAGCTTCTCTACAGCTCCTGTCAGCGGAACCACCAGTATGCTCGTCTTTTGATGATATTGTACCTGCAAATTTCATCCCTTTGTCCAGCGATGCTTGCGAGGTATCTACCAAAGTCACTGGCACTCTCGCCTTCTGTGCTGCCACAAGTGCGATGCCTAGCCCCTGATCTCCTGGAATCAGCCCTCAATGCCCATCTCAGAACCCAGCGTGCGTTTGCTTCTGCCTACCATTTGCCCAGCTCCGACTACTCCCAGTCGTTTGACTTCCGCTGCTGCCGCAAGACTTGAGCTCGTACTGAAGGAGTGTCGATTGACATTGCTGGCTAGATTGGCCAATTGCCGACCGGCGAGGAGGGATGTAGACATCTTAAAATATTAAAGGCGATTACCTAATGGCCACCCGAGTACAACAGTGAGGATTGAATGCTCAGTTGAGGCAGAATTCTCGGTGTCTTCGTGAGGTTGAAGCTAGTGGAGAAAGCTGGGGGGGACGGCTTAGCAGGGATCTTCATGCCTCGGCAAACGCGTCTTAAGATTAGCGTCCGTCGCGTCTCCAGAATCGCGCTGGGCCTTGGCACCTTGACATTCATTGCCTTTCCTATGTAACCAGGCACCAGCAACGCAATGGAGCTCGAAGAGGCTTCTCAAAGTACTGTGGACCCAGAAGTCCGGGCGTATGTTTACAGTCTTGTCTCCGCCGTCAGTTGAAATCTCCCAAAATGATTTTCAAAGCTAACGACACAACAGCTTGGTGGGACGGCGGCCGACGAAGACGGCCGCTATGTGCTTGGAGACGACGCGTTGGCATGTCTCAAGGATCTCAGGAAGTGGTTGAAACTACACGATGAGAAGGCAAACCGATTGGATGTGGCAAGGTGTCTTGCGGAAGCGAATCTGGTCAAAGGAGATTTACTGGAGATCCTGTCAGCGTGGCCAGACTCAGCAACGGAAGACAAGATCAAGTCAAAGATTGCGCTGGCATGTCTGGAACTGCTGGTACCCTTGACATGGCCAATTGAGAAGAACGACATTCAGATGACTGTGAACCACCATCGCCATGTACCATACCTTCAACTAGCACAGACATCATACAAGCGCGCAATACTCGAACATGAGTCCGCGACAGTGCTGCGAACAACGGTGCGCATTGGTCTGCCCTCGATCGCTCTTCCAATGGGTGAGCGAAGCTCTCGTGATGAAGGAATCATCAAGCTTCTCTTGTACTTCTTCAGAAACGTTGCCATGATCTCTCCGCCGCAGAACCTGCCAAACGAAGGTAAGGATGGCGAAGTTTCAAGATCTGCTACCGTCGAGGCCTTCCACCGCCAGGATGTCCTTGCTTTACTTCTCACAATCTCTTCGAACATGGGCGAAGACTTCAATACACAAGATACGGTTATTATGGAGGTGCTCTTCCATCTCCTTAAAGGCGTGGACGTGGAGAAGCTATTCATGGACAAGAAACAATTCAAGTCCAGGAACGAAGATGAACTTAAGTCCTTGTTGGCACAAGAAGCTGGCATGCATAGAAGCTACGCAAAGAACGCCCCCACAAGACACAACCGATTTGGAACCATGATCTGGGTCAAACGTGACGACGCAGGGAAAGTCTCCACAGTGTCGGGCCAGGACGTATTGAAGGACAGTCAGCAAGCCCTGTCAAAGATGGACCAGACAAAGAAATGGAACAAGCCCAAGCAGCGAGTCAAGAACGAAGAGCCAGCTTACGACCGCTTTGACATGCCAGTGCCATTGACGGAATCTGCGAGTACTCATCTCCGTGCCTTTGTGGAAGAATTTCTCGATTCCGGCTTCAACCCTTTGTTCAACCACATTCGAAAGGCCATCGAACGAGAAGCCGAGCGGGTGCTTGAGGCCCAGCAGCAACAATTCTTCTACCTGGTCTCCTGGTTCCTCGAAGCTGAACGTGTGCGGCGCAGGAAGAAGAAAGAAGCAAAGAAGAGAACAAGGGACAAGAAGCTGGAAGAGACCTTCGAGGCCGACAGCTTCGCACTAATAGCCACTGTTCTGAATCAGGAATCTTTCATCCTTCTCAACCGTTTCATGCAAGATCGTCTGGATTTAAAGTCATGGCGAGAGGTCCAAGCAGGTATGCGATGCTTTACCCAAATTCTCCTGATTGTCCAAGACATGGCGGAGTCACCGCTTGAGGAAGACCAGGAAATTGCAGAGAACATACAAAACCGTATCTTCTACGAAGAGACAACGCATGACAGAATCATCGCTATCCTCCGTGGCTACAAAGATCAAGGCTTCGGATACCTAGACTCCTGCACCGAGCTCTCACACGTCTTCCTACGCATACTTGAACGCTACTCTCGAGAGAATGTCGACCTGCAAGTGCGATCACGTCGGAGGGCGCGAAAATCAAAGAAAGCTACTGTAAAACAGCGTCAACAGACTGATGGAGATGACGAAGATGAAGCCTCTGAGATGGAAGATGTCGCCGAAGCGGAGCGAGTGTCTCGGGAACGCAAGTTCGACTTCACACGCTTCTCCACCAAATTCATGACTCAAGCCTGCATAGATACTTTCGTCTCCTTCACCAAATACTATACCGATCTGGACACCGAGCAGTTAAAACGTGCTCATCGATTTTTCTACCGCGTTGCCTTCAAGCAGGATCTCAGCGTCATGCTCTTCCGACTCGACATCATTGCTTTGTTCAATAAGATGATTAAGGGACCTGAGGGTCTTGACTCAGCTGGACCAATGTTCAGGGAATGGGATGAGCTGGTAAGGCAACTGGTCAAGAAGATGATCAAGAAGCTCGAGCAGAGACCAGAGTTAGCAGTCGAACTGCTCTTCAGCAAAATCAACTCCACGACCTACTACCTCGAATACGGCTATGACAAGCAGACCACTTCCTCCAAACCCAGACCACCAGCTGCCCTAGAAGTGCGAGGGTCGATGACCACCGAAGAGCAGATCGGCGTCATAGTAGCAGTTCTTTACGACAACAAAATTGATCAGGTCGACTGGGTGTCCAGAACGCTCTCCTCCGCAGCCGAGGAGCGTCAATCCTGGGAATCTGAAGCCTTAGCTCGGCAAACTCAATCCCAATCCCGCCCTGAGCCCGGCTCAGAAATACCAGCAGACCAGGCCGAGACCACCTCCAAAGCGCCCTCAATAATCGTCACACCAGACACCGACTCTCTTCGCACCGCCATCTTCAAAGAAGCCAGACTCCGTCTCCTGATGACCCTCTCTGGCATGGAACGTTTGGGCATCGAAGACGAGCTCAACGCTACCTGGATTATCCCTTCTTCTCTCACCTCTGCAGAACTCCGCCATACGCACGAAACAATAGAGCAACACCGCAAGAACCCCGTCTTCGAATACGGTGACGATGACCCCTTGTCAGCCGAAGAACTGCTTCACCGTAAGCCTGCCGAAAAAGGTAAGAAAGCAGAGTACGACGATGACTCCGAGGGCGACGGTATCGTCAGCGATAATGACGCAGAGAACGAGTTCCTCTTTCCCTTCAGCGGTCCCGTCGACAGACCCAATGCTCATCACAGGGCCCTCGACGCACTCAAAGCCAAGCGCCGAAAGCGCCGTCACTCTGACCCTATGGAACTCGACGACGAGACTCTAGAAGCAAGACGCAAAGCGAGGGACAAAGCGGACCGGGAGAAGGCGAGGAAAGTCAAGAGTGCTGAGTTCATAAGGGACAGCGATGATGAAAGCGATGAAGAGCGTGATCGAGCATTCTTTGCAAGGGAGGAGATGCGAAGAGGGGGGCAGAGGGAGAAAATTAGGGAGGCCTTTGCGGCGGGGAGGGTGAAGAAGAATATTGAAGGTGAGGCTGTGAAACCTGCAGCAAGAAGCACGAAAGCGAGCAGGAAGAGGAAGAGTGCTGGTGGTAGGGGAGAAAGCGGGAGGAAGAGGAGGAAGGAGGATAGTGGCTCGAGCGATGACGGAAGTGACAATGACGAGAACATGGCTACGGACAATGGTTCTTCCTCACCAGCTCGCCGTGCCGAGTCAATTTCAAGTGCAGAAAGTGAGGACAAAGTCACACCGCTATCCTCGCCTCCGCTTGTTGGTCTATCCTTATCATCGAACGGAGCCGGAGATCCAGTACATCTCGAGTCTTCCCCCTCTGAAGAGGGCGCCGCAAAGGTTCCTGCAATGGCTTTGGATGCAAGGGATGGGGAGGAGAACGGAGAGAATGAGGAAGATGAGGAAGATGACATCTGGATATCCACAGCTAGGAGAAGGGGGCGGGTTGCAGTGCTGGAGGATAGTGATGATGAATAAGATGGATTATTATTCACGTTGACAGGGCATACTGAAGGGTCTTCGGCCTTTCGAATAGGACTCGTGTCAAGATAGCAACTGTACAACACAGAATTTAGAACTTGACTCCTATCCAAGCTGAGGACGATGCTTGTACATACTGCGGCTGGTCTCCTGTACAAAAAAGCGCCTTGTTTGCTCCTCCAGACGCCTTCGAGTTTGCCTTCACTTCTTCAACTCATTCTTCCACCTGCAAAATTGTCAGTCTCGGATAGCCAGTTATTGGGCGCAAGTACCGACCAATCTCCTGTTCTTTTTAACGTCCACCCCTACAGAGCACTTCAACTTCTTGATCCTGTGCTCACAACCGTCGGCAATGTCCGCCCAAGCACAGAACCAATCAATAGCGCTGACACTTCCATCGCGATAGTAGGGCACGTCAAGATCACAGTCGAGTCGCAGCGCATGACTGCAGATGTTCACTGAGGTAGAAGTGAAGGAGCATCCATTTCGGATAGTGGTTTTCCCAACGGAAGTAGTCGTCGAGGAGCGGTTCGTAGTGGTACTCGTCGAAGTCGAGACTCGAATGAGTTGACTCCGGCACTTGGTCCGATTCGTATTTCCAATAATGCCAGTTGCGGTATCCGTAGGACTGGGGGAGCCGCTTGTCGAGAGCTTTAAGCTCAGCCTGCACGGTGAAGGGATTGAGTGGGAACTTTTGGAAGTAGGGTTGCGTTTGTGAGGAGCGACAGACGTAGACAATCCAAGAAAGACGGTCTGGGCATCTGACCAGACCGAGTAGAGCATGACACTGCTTCGAAGTCACAGCGAGCGACTTCTTATCGAAAGGAATAGAGATAGCTCCCGATCTCTTGAAACATCTCAGGCGGGAGGTTTTCCAAAGAAGCCATCTTGGAGCTCTCTATAGCTGGTTAGCCAAAGCGGTGAATGCCGATGAAGATTAAATAGGGAGTTGTGGGGTCGAGAGCACAGGGAGGAAGACGTTAGATGTATAAAAAGTAAATAAGACTCCCGGTCAAGAATTGAATGGGCTTATCCTAGATTCGATCTAAGGTCAAGCGGTTATGTCGTAGACGAGCAGGTGGTAGCTTCAGGGAGTTGATGTTACAGAAGATAGATTCAAAGGAGGATGACAGCGAAAGCGTGTCGAGGAGCGATGTTCAACTTCTGGAGATGGTGCTATATCAAGGGCTGCAATCCTGGCATCGTACCCAAGTCAACTCAAAGAGAGTGGGCTAGGAGCATTGATTCGGTATTTGTTGTATTCTTTACCACGATGCGAGCTCGACGACAATATCCTAGTAAGGCACCACAACCTCTCCATATCTAGCTCTCACATCCACCGTAACCCGTACCTGGCGGGTATTGCCCTGATCAAATCTCAGCAAACGTTGGCCCATTTCCCTACGAAGAGTGCCAAGCACTGACCCAAGACGCATGACTCTGCTTGCAAATGCTGCGACTACGGGCAGTAAGCCTTTGATTTTACATAGAATCATGGGGACATCATACTTGTTTCTTGCGATGAGAGCAGCAATGCAATCTCCACAGAGGGAAGCATGTCTCGTGTGTCCGTGGATGAGACAGCGGTGTCTTGCCCACACGAAAGCATCGCCACATGGTACGGGGCCGATCACGATGGTGAGGCATCTGGAAGCTTCCGAGAGGGTGCCGAGCTCTGGGGGGTCGAGATTGCTGATGATCTTGCAAAGAACCTCGTTGGGAAGATCTTCTAGGCGCGTTGATCTGGAAGACGTTAGTACTGAGTTGATGTGTTATAGCAACGACTGACGGTGTATGAGCTTTATCCACTTTAGATATGCTGACATGTCCTAGCTGAGCGGCAATTAGCTCACTGAAAAGCTCCTGCTCGGAGCTTCTAGATATTAGTCCTGAGTTTGGAAGCAGAAACATTTGAACTGACTTCGTAGTCTGGAGGATTCCTTTGCCCGCGGCTTCTTCAAGAATGGCCGCTTGATCTTTCTTGAGATACTTGTAAGAAGAAGTTCCAGTAGCTTGACGCTTCCCTTGGCCGCCCCTTCTTCTGCGCTGCTTGATCTCATATAAAATCTGTTCCTCAATGGAGTAACCGCCCCAAGGAGGTTTCTTCAGAGCATGACAGTAGCATTCCGAGTAATCGTGCTCCTTCATTTTTGCTGCCAATTCCTCCTCATCCTTCTTCTCCTTGAGTCTCTGCTTGACCGCCTCATTCCAAGTAGGCCCCTTGAAGGGAGACATCGTTCAGTAGTGTGATTGTGCTTCAACGGAAACTCCGTAAACACATACAAAATCATAGCTCTTAGCCGCCGTAGCGAAGCGAGCTTGCCGCCCATAGTGCTGATATCACACTCTTTCACACAAGGTTTACCATCTTTCCAGCCAGCCCAGCTTGCTCCACATTGCTTTCCAGTATGGCTACTCAACCAGAGGGCGTGGCTTACACCGTCAATGATCATCATAATGAACAGCATATACCAAACCGTCCACAGACAAGCCAGCGAAAATCCTCCTTCTCAGAAGCCCTCACCAAAATCACCTCAAATACCTTCAATAGACGGCGTACAAATACAGGTATCCCAAGCTCTACTTCTTCAATTGCCATCAACCACCATTCTCGCATACCAACTCCAGCGGGCATCGACCGTAGCACCTCATTCTTCAGCACCCTTAACACCTTTGCTTCCAAGTCCACCACATCTACGAGCGAGGAAAGCCCACAGCCACCCCTCACCAGACGCTCTCGCAAGATCTCTGAACGTTTAGCTCAGACTCCATTCTTCAGTCACCAGCATCAGCAACAGTGCGCCTTGACACCTAGAAATAACCGCGAATCAAGCGTCAAAATCGAGCAACGAGGCCTAATGCAGCCAGTTCATCCGCCGCTGCCTCGCAGCAACACGATCGGTAACCTCGGCCAGAGCCAACAGAGCTCACCTCACACGCCTGGCTTCATGCGTCCGACAACCAGCAGCGCTCGTCGTAGCAGCACAATGGGACGCAGTAATACCGCAGCACCTAGCAGCATGGCGGGGGGTAGCAATATTGCAGTGCAATGCCAGAGGAATTCTTCTCTACGTACCATCACAGGCTCCAGCACTCCGAGCAAGACCCCAACACAGGCACGTCAAGTCCCAGCCGACGCGTTCCCCGCCCGTAACGACAGTCTCGTATCTGCTCCCAGCATGACAGACGGGCCAGGGCCAGCTTTCGAATCAGAGACTAACTCAACTGATTACAGCGATGGGGCGAATTTTCAGGTCACTAATCAGCATGCTCATGAGATAGTTATGACCAAAGAGAGCGATAACGGTAAGCCCAAGGCATCGGCTGACCATATGTATCAAATTCGCCGAGGTCCTCAAGCCAAAGACGCCAAGAGAGGCATCTTGAAGTCCAACAACAAGAACCACAATCTCAGCGAAGATCTCAGCAACCTCTACGTCGACGGCGAGGTGGATAGCAGCAAGGGGGAGCGCGATATCGATGAAATGAAGGCTCGCAGCGATCAAGGTACACTGGAGTATTCAGAACGTACAGGATCTCCTGAATCTTCGAACCCGCGTTTGGTAAGGATCTTCCCCACTCCACTCATTCTTATCCCCTTGCATCCTCTCCTCGTTGTGACCCCTCTGAAACCCCCTTCCCCCTAGTTCCTCCCAGCTAATGCACCACCACCGCCAGATCCATGAAGCCCAGGCCCCCATGTGGTGGCTAGGCCGCTACACGGCCCTCTCAGACCGTTTCCGCACCAGTGCCCTTCCCTCCCCGCCCTCTTCGCCCTCCAGACCCCAATCCTCTAAAACCGAATTCTCCTCTATGAACGAACCCTCTCAAACTGGGCTTACCTCAGCCTCCAGCTCCAACGCAAACCACCCCATGCATGACACGGATCGCCGCAACCGCCGCGTCTACATCCACCTGCGCTCTCTCTGCACGACCGAGGAGGCGCGCGCCAGCTTGGACGAATTCAAGGGGATCATGGAAGCGAGGGAGAAGAAGATAGCAGCGGGTTCGCAAGGCAAAACTGTGAAGGAAAAGCAGGGGTGGTTGGAGGGGTTGATGGGGAAGAAGAAAAAGGGGGAGAAGTGACGATCATGCATGGTAACAAGGAAACGGATTAGTGTTATAAGCCTCGCGGTAGTAAAGGTTTCAGCGCATCTTACGACTCGACGGTGTCGTGCCGATGTTCGCGCATAGCAAGCGAGGGGGTTTCAACGCATGATACATGATACGAAGGCATGCAGGTCACCGCAATGCATAATGAGAAAGGCGCGAACCGCAACGCACAACGAGATAGCTTTCTTCCATACTTACTGGTGCATTCTTAAGTCATACATTCAACCCGGAGAGACGACCACTTCATATGCTGTCATGCATACCTGTGATCTGCTCCTGCCGGCGGCTTCCTGCTTTGCTAGCCCTGCAGTCATCATTCTTGCCAGCATCTCCGGCGTCGATCTTCCAGTGGACAGCCGCGATATTTGACCCGGTCCATGTAGCCTTACGCCATGGACCTGCATCGAGGCAGTTGTCTCACTGTTCGGCCCGATTTGCCTGAAGACTTGTAGATCCTTCCCACTTACCAACCTTCAACGGCATATCTTTGCCCGCCAAATGCTATGACAATTCTCTTCGTTGCAGCATGGATTCTTCCCTCTCATCCTCCTTTCCCGGACTTGTTTCTCAAATAAGCAGCCACCTGCTCATGCCTCGTGACGAAGAACTTCCTCTGCCCCTCATGCTTCCACACCAAGACACCGATCTCCTCCGCATACCGACAAGGTGCTTGGAACTCCGCCTGGCTATTGAAGTCTTTGAACAGAAACCCAACCGTCGCTTTCATTCTATCCCCTTCCAATTGCCATAGACGTATTTGATCGACCACCGTAGGCGGGAGGACGGGCTGATTCTTTGCCATCTGAGGATGCGCATGAGTAGTAAGGTAGCTAATTATTTGGTCGCTTGTGATGCCCATGCTGACAGCTCGGCGGATGGATTCGCGGGTTACTTTCCCAGCGACCATGTTGGGATAGCGAGTTATGAGGCGGGCGAAAAGCTGGAGGATGGCGATTTGGAGATTGGAAGAGGTGTAGGCGTAAACACGGTAGTTGGTTTCGATTACGATGAAGCCCCGATTGTTGTCTGCGGGGGAGGCGAAGGAAGAAGACCGTAAGCCACCGGCGTCGGAGGTGAGGGTGGTGGCCAAACGAGTTGGGTAGAAGTAGCTGGAGTCAGGAGAGGCTTGGTAGACGATGCCGAAATCACCAAGATCCTCCAGCATATTGGCTTGAGTCTGCGTGAGATTGGCTTTACTGTAGGGAAGGCCAAGTTCAAGGGAGCCGAGCATGAAAAGGAAAGCGAGGACGTCGACTTCATCCATGTTCAGCTAGTGGGCAAACGTCAGCGCAATTGCTCGTGGAGAAAAAGAGCCCAGAGGATGTAGCAGGACTTACGCTTTCCGCATTTTGCAAATAGAGTATGAGCATCGTCCAGACCTGAGCATTGACTTCTTGGAGTATGAACGCAAAGCCATCTTTTGTAATATCCACCGTCTTGCCCCTGGCTTCAACCAGTCTGCCAGATGCCAATAGTATCTTGACTCCTTGACTGAGCGTGACCCCTTCACTTGCGACATTCATGCCCGTGCTGCCAACCATGTATCCCAGAACGCCTTCCCACTGTCTTCTAGCAAACTCATCGAGGTCTGCTATCGACATAGTATCTTCCTCTGACGTGCTATATGGTACCCCAAATGAATGATGATTTCCACCTCCTGTCAACGCAAGCCGTAGAGACGCCGCAAACGGGTTCGTCAGAGCGTATGCTCGCGGCTTCCCTGGGTTCGTTGCAGCCGCTAGAATGTGGAGTCTTTCAAGAAGATTGACCGCGTTATCTCGTTCTCTTCAAGAAGTCAGATTCGTCGCAAAGAATAGTATTCTTGCGTACCGTCTCCCATCTGGGCGCACCCATGCCTCCAGATCTGTGACTGGCATAGGGTGGCTAATGTACAGCAGGGCCATTACAAAGCTCTTGGCTAAGCTTATCAGCACCAACAAGTAAGCCTTCATCTAATTTACAGCATACCCAAATGTGGCAGCATGCGCCTGAAGATGGCGAGCGCAGTGGAGGGCTGCTTGTATAGGCGGTTAAATGTAGTACCTGGAAGACCCTCCAGGTACTCAAATGATCGAAGAGAGGACGCCGACATAGTGTCAATAGCAGACTTGAGTCGTCTCTTCGATGTCGTCAGATGTTACCTGTCTATCATGGCGGAAGCCTTGGATTGTGAGAGTGGAGAAAGATTCGCGAGGGCGCATGAGTCACCACAAATCGCAAAGGTTTTCCCCGTTGCTACCCTGCGCTCGGACCAACCTCCGCACCATGATTGACTACAATCTCTACCTTTTGCATTAGCGTGGACTGAGCTGTGCGATTGATGAGGGATGGCAGCTCTTAAATTCGTAAGATCGGTATGCAATAGCCTTCTGCGGTCATCTAACCGTGGGCGCTGAGCTGACACGAGCAAGGTGTGGGAAGCCTTTAGGCAAAACTCTGGTTTAGAACCCAGGTAACGCCGCCTTGGGAAAGCTCCCGGGGGTTCATGCTGATAGGACCCTTATGGAAGGCTGCTTGACGGAGTATGTTGTTCTACGTTGTGCCAATTTCCTGCTCGGCTTTATGATAATTCTGTTCCCATCGGCATGAAACGAAAATAATGGCATATCTGCCTCTCTGCTGCGGTCTCCGTCGAGCACTATCTTCCTTGTCTTCATGGTTCTGCGTAGAATTCTGTCTGACTACCTGCCAGCTCCGAGTCACAGCTGCCCGACCAGGAACCGTTAACTTCGAGCTCGAAATCCAGAAGGAGCACACTGTACGATTGTTCCCAGCACTTGCCTTCCTCCCTCTTCCAGACCTCCCCCGCTAACACTAGCTCTCGTCAGAACCGTCTCGGCATCCTCCATGGCGGTACAATTGCAAGCATGGGTACCTCCCTCTCCCAACTTCTTCCCCATAGCTTCCACTTACAGCTCCATGTACTAGTCGACCTTGGAGGCTCATTAGCCGTTGCCTCCAAAGGTCTCTTCTCCACTGGCGTTTCCACCGACCTCAATGTCACGTACATAAACTCTGGCGGCAAGGTTGGGGATACTCTACGTGCAGAAGTCACATGCGATAAATTTGGGAAGACGTTGGCGTTCACGAGTATAAGGTTCTTGAACGGCAGAGATGAGTTGGTTGCGAAGGGAAGCCATACGAAGTGAGTGATGCTTTCGGCGTTCGGAGGAAGAATGCTAATGAGCTGGTGAATGGGTAGATATGTGGCACTGGCATGGAAGGATGAGAACAACATTGTAGAAGAATTGTCCCCCCGAAAAGGATGATTGAGACAACGGTCTTGATTGTTTATTCCAGCTATTCTTGGAGATGTGTCGGAGTACAGTAGTAGCAAACGTGCCTTCCCCTTCTAGCTTCCATAAAGGCGCCTAAGACCCACGGTGCCTTTCTTGGTTGAATGGCAGTTATGGGCCCGGTTGCTATCGCTCATTCGAAACTTCAGCCGCTGGTGGGGCATGAAGTCTCAAATTTTTGGTTCAAGAAGGGCTTCCCTGGCGTAACGTGCCCACTCCTTTTTCTCGTCCAAAGTCCAGCGGTATTCTGCCTCGTGATTTTTCCAGTACGGTGAGGTGGTACCAATGTGCTGTTCCTCGGTTCCCTGGTCACTGATCACCATCGTCGCGGTCTTCAGCGGCAGCTTCTTGAGCGCGAGGACATGAGAGATGACATTGTTTGACCAGCTTGTTCCTTCTTTTCTCAATTCTGCCTGATTTCGGGGCCCTAGGCAGAAATGCCAGGCGCACCAATCAACGTCAATGCTGATGTTTTGAAGCCCCTTGAGCAGCTTTGCGCCAGTCGAGACTGCCCTTCCCCACGAATTCTCAAAGGTAGTCTCATACACCATCTCAAGGAATAGGCTGCGGACCGCCAGATGGTTGTCATTGCTGCCTTGTGCCAGCGATACAACAAATTTTTGAAGCGTCTCTGGGTCGTTACACGAGAAAGTATTTGTCGCATGTGGGATATGATGAGCTTCATTGTATATCTGGCGGCAGCATCGCAATAGACTTAGGCTCAAAACCTTTGGCCCCTCTTCCCTATCAGGGAAGGTTGCGCCCTTCTGAAAGCGACAGCAGTTATGGCGGCCCTCGTTTGCTGGGGCGTACCACTGGTGGGTACTTTCACCGTCGAAGTTCTCCTGGGCCTCTTCCTCCGAGATCGAGGCGCGACAGATGGTGTTCTTGAACATAGCCGTTCCTTCATCGGAGTTCTGGATGATGTGAACAAGATTGTCGCCGAACGTGTATCTGTAGATGAGGTTTTTGACCTCTAGCGGGAGCCTCAAGAGGGGCGATGAGGCGTTGTGCTGGGCACTAGAAAGGTCAGCTTCAGATCCGTACATCAAGTATGTAACCATAACTGACATAGCTGACTTGGCTATCGGATTGATATCGACGACACCGTCGACGTGAGTGCCGTTGCGTAGTTTCATCTTGGGTAATCAGTGCACAGGACTCAGACCTTTGCCGACCAGAGGTGTAGGAAAGGAAGACGCGAGATGTTTAAGTGGTTGCAGTTCACAGCCCGCCAAGTGTTGTTGTGTCGACTGATTAGGCGTTTGAATGAAGTGCGGTACGTCATTTGGTGTTAACAAAGTGAGCCTGGATAATGTTGTGGGCAGTCCTTAGTGCGATTACTTCCTTCAGAGAATTAGAGGGTCTTTTACAAGTGAGTCTTTTGTGTTTGTGTGCTCTCTCTAAAGCAGTTCATATTCCCTCAGTGTAATCCCTCGCATGTCGTACACATTGAGCAAACTAGAACTGCCACCTTCCCCCATGTCACAGCTATCGCACCCTCTTCCTCCGGAATCCCAGCTTTCAATCGGCTTGCTCTTTGCCGGAAGACTCTAACCCAAGCGCCATCTTTCCAGCTACCGTGTCCTTTTCGACCGCCGTAGTTGAGGGTGTAGCGTGCTGATTGTCCTTTTGAAGGATAATATCCTTAACATAGCGCGCCCAGACCTTTTTCTCTGCAAGTGTCCAGCGGTACTGGGGTATCAGGTCAGCGCTCATTTTCGCACGCCGGTCCCAAAGGATCTCCGCGTCACTGATCACAAAAGTTGCCCGGTTCAGCGGTAGCTTCCGAAGTTCTAGAAGACCAGACATGAGATAATTTCCCGAACGGTGACGAGCCTCAAACTCTGCTGGTGTCCGACATCCGATAACGCCCGCGTGATACCACTGATTCAAGTTGATAGAGATTCGCTGCACAGCTGGGAGGCGTGGAATTAGATACTGTGTGATTGCCACCTGCCAAAGTCGCTCTTCGTTGAAGGCGCGGGTTGTGATATCAAGAAATACACGGCGAATCTCCAAATGCTGTCCAGATCCTAAGTTTTCCAGATGGTTGCTGAACCGGTCAAGAATGCTTGTTTTGCTGAAACCGAACGTGTTTGTAGAGTACGGAATGTGCCGTGCTTCGTTATAAACTTGACGGCATGTTGCGAGAAAGCTTGTACTAATCTTTTCAATATGCTCTGAGTTGGTAAAGCATCCACTGTGGCGAGTTTCAACAGCGCCCACAAACCACTGAGCTGTGGTGTCGGCATTGAACAGATCATCGGCAGCTTGTTCTGATAACCCTGCTTGACAAATTTCATGTGTGAATTGGAGCGTGTCGCCAATCCAGCATTGGTCGAGATGAAGGAGCTGGCCACCACAAAGGAGCTCGTAAATTTTGTTCTTGATCTCTGGCGGTAGTTTGAGCAGAGAGGTCGAAGAGTTATGTTGAGCGCTATCTGAAGTTAGCACGCATGACTGTCTTGATAGTTTGGAAGTCTGACATGGCCGTGGTAGCGTTCGGATTCAAAGCTAGCTGCACATCGTCGTGGGTACGGCTCCCCAACTTCATCATACTGTCCGCCCTTGTCATGTTGGTCACATTGAGTTGCAGTGTGTATGGACTAGTGCCCTTTGTGTATAGGCACCGCATATTGTCGAATTTTGTGACTGTGTTCACATTGAATTGTAGTGTATATAGGTAGGAAGCAGTGTCGCGACAGTCCAAATATTGACTGCTACGGCTAGTTTCTTGGCAGTAGAACGGAATAGTAGACAACACTTGAAGTCGATCTACTCGTATATTTTCTTGCATTATCGATAAAGGAAGCTGTATTTGGACTACTGTTGACTCAGGCTCTGTATGCAATTCTAGGGGATAGTACTGCGTACCTCCCATATTCCAGGGTGCACACCTCTCATACTTAAAACCTGACCTAAACGATCGTTCTACAGTTTGCGTGCATGGCTTACAATCAGTGGCTTTAGTAACTCCTACGAGGTTTGAAAGGGTACTCGTTCAGTCGTACTATTTGGGTGGTCATGCTAGGGTCAGGCCCAGATAGGGGATATATACCTCATCGATACCAGAGTGTGGCAGTCTTAGTGAGGTATACGCCTACATGAATTGGATCGTAAGATTCTGAGACTAGGTTTCACACGGTAGTTGTAGTAGGCGAAATTTACTGGAGGCGGATGAAGTAAATGGTTGCTTCAGCAGTCAGGCCTGGAGAAAATCACCAGCGAAAAGGCGTCTTCTTAGCTCCTATACTCTTCATTGCTTGATCTCACATACGCAGAGCTTGGAACTTGACGAGGGGACTGAGTCACTACATTACTGGAATAGTCTACTGTGAGCTTGAGCAAGAGATCTTAGCCGTGTAGCAACTCGGTGTATGTGAGTTCAATTGGATGTAGTTGCTTCGAACCTTCACTTGACCGCCATAAAATACACATGTGTGGTATCTTGAATCTCAACATCACAGTCCTGCTGGTTTTCCCATTAATTTTTCTTCTTCACATCTCCTCGCGCAAGCAAGGCGTCCCTAACTTCCTTCGAGAATTCCTGCTTTTGCCTCAAAGTCCAGCGGTATTGCTGCTCCATCTGATCATAAAAGTTCGCATAGTGAGGGTTCAGCGGCTTCAAGAACATTCCATCATCGATGACCAGAGTCGCTTCCTTTAGTGGCAGCTTGCTGAGTTTCTTGAACATCTTGCCCTGACGTTCCGTCATCTCAGATCCCTCATAGGCGCAGACATCGACAGAGCATGTACAATAAACCTGTGTCAAGCTGAGGTAGAGATGCCGCACAGATTTGAGACGCTTAAGTACCGCCTTGTTGATTTTTTCGGACCAGGCATCTACGCTGCTAACATGGGTGACACTGACGTCAAGGTGAAGACTTCGGATAGCGAGGTTCTGCTTATTCTGGAAGCGGCCTCTCACGAAGCGCTCAAGAATATCGTGGCAGTTGATAGCGAATGTGTTGTTCCTATAGTGGATCGTACTGGCCTCCATGTAAATTTGACGGCAGGAGCGAAGTAGAGTCAAGCTGAGCTGGTTGCGCTTGGGACCTTTCTCCTGCTCTGGTGGAGGTTTGTAACAGTCCCTATGTCGATCTTCAACTGAAGCAATGTTCCAGGCTACATCCGAATCTGCGGAGTCAAAGTCCTTCTGGATCTGCTCTTCGGAGGTAGGCTCGATACATATGGCGTGGGTGAGGTTCACGGACCAATCGCCATGAGCGTGGTTGTAGTCATTGTCATTTTGGAGTATGTGCACCATTTGCCCTCCACAGACGAAGTAGTAAATGCGGTTTTTGATCTCTTGTGGTAGCATCAGGAGAGGGGAGGACGCGTTGTGCTCAGCGCTGTAAAGGTTAGCAAGTTGCGTGAACGCGTGAGAAGTGAGCTTACATCGCTTGAGATACCTTGGTATTCTGCGCGATGCCGCCGTTGACAAATTGCACAACTTGGGCTCCACTACGCAGCTTCATGTTCTGAGGGAGATGTTAGTATACTTGTGGGCTTATGAAATGAAGAGAAGAGGTCTGAAGACGAGGTTTTCAGAGAGGTTGGATGTTGACGGAATTGGCGAGAAGTAAGGAAGGGAAAGGAAAGCGCGAGTTGCTACAGACGCTAAATACCCGAGAAGAAGTGTTAGGTCAGTGTTATGTCAAAATATTTCGAGTATATGGATGGAAGTATTCTAGACACAAAGATGTTGCTGGAAGTGTAGTTTTATCTGACCTACTCCCTGCACAAATGGTGTACCTTCTCGCATGTTCCTGTTTCTGGAGATTCGTCTTCAAGAGTGCTGAACCGTTCTTCCCGGCGTCGGGTGACTGCCCAGTCCTCATCCGCCACAATCACCACCAATGTTTTCAACGGCAAAAAGCGTAGCTGGTATGGTTCCCCGACTAAATGGAATGTTGAGCTCATAATCGCGCTATATTGAATAACTAAGTAGTCCGGGTCAGCGATGTCCAGGTTCAGGTTGATGCATAGGCTCTGGACAGTTCGTATGTAGATTGGAATGTGTCTGATGGCTATGTTCCATTCGTCGTGGTCGCTGCCGTGACGGAGCTGGATGCTGAGATGAAGGCTGCGAGTTGCAAAGCGTGGGTTGGCCGAGGACTTGAGAAGCGAGCTCGCGAAAAGCGGAAGAGCAGGTGGATTCCGGAAGGAAAATGTATTCGAGAAATAGAGAACGTCCTTGACTTCATGATAGATTTGGCGGCAAGTTTGTAGAATAGCAAGGCTAAAATTCTCCTGGCACTCGTGATGTCGACTACCATCTTGGCTCGATCTACTACGAAAACCATGGGTCTTATCGGGCTGCTCAAATGATCCCGGATGTGTTGCATAGAAGTGTTCCTGGGCTTTGTGTCTCAGATATTCGTGCGGAGCATAGAATGGTATCATTGGAACGCTTGCCTCGGTAGATGTGAATGAAATGACCACCAATAATATAACCAAAACTCATGTTTCTGACTGCCGAAGACGACTGGATGAGCGGCGATGATGCATTATGTTCAGTGCTGTCTTGGTATTAAGTCGTGTTGCGGTAGTGACACCTTTTGATAGCATTTACATTTCTTGAGTTGCCGAGTTCAAAGACTCAATCTCTTTTGACAATTTTCCGTTGCGAATCTTCATGATGATGCACCAACAGCTGTATGAACGCGTGTACAACCACTGGGAAAGTTGAATATGGGATCTGGGGTTACACTGGTCATAGGAGTGCTCTGTATTCAGGTGCCCCAAGGACTGTCCAAAGATATGATCCAGGGGAAACATTGAGGCAAGGGATTCGCGCTTACCTGTGTCGAAAAATCCTTTATGGAGATATCGAACATAGCGAGCTTCGGCATATAAATAATCAGCAAACAGTTGGTGGGGATGGCAATAATAGCATGTAGATGGCTTGGCCCAACGAAGTATGCTTGTTGAACGTGCTGATTGTCCAGATGTATAGGGTAAATGACCCATGTATACCTCTGACCCTTGGAGTTTCCTTGCTCCGTGCAATGCTAATGGCAAACCCTCATTCCACCTTTTGTCTCCTCTGGAATACACCACGGTGATTCCCCAACTATCAAGACCCATACTTCATTTCTTTGAAAGGATATTTGATCGAATCATCCTTCCTCAAGTGCATCTTCTTTCGCTTCTTTGTGACCTGGTGCTCGACAAAGACTTCCTTCACATGCTGCGCCATAAACTTCCGAATGAATCTTGGATCCCATAACTCGCTCGCCACACCGAGATCCTTGCAGCAGCGTCTAAGAGCTGTAGACTTGCATCCTTCGACTGCGGTGGGAATGCCTTCCGGCGAGAAGTAATCTTGCTCCCCGCGAGCGACGGATACGAGCCTGTAGAGAAGGTGATCAGTAGAGTATCAAGCCAAATATCGGAAAAGATTGTGACAGTCGAACTGTACCTTCCTAGTGCAACGAGAGCGTACTCCCTTGTCACAGCCTTCGCTGTCACGATGGTCTCTCCTCTCGGCGCCAAGCCCCATCCTCCTGGCCCAAAAGCCTGATTCAAAATCCTTCTATATTTGATCTCGGGAAGGTATATGATGCCATCCGGCTTGACCTCGATCTCATCTGGCTCTATAGGCGCAAGCAGCACCTTTGCGGCTTCAGGCGAGAAAGCTTCATTGGAGAGACCGTGGAACGAGCGCGTCCAATCGACTTGGCGAGCGCCTTCGTCTAGAAAAACGTTTTGGTCGTTGAGGCCGGAAGTCAGATCGCGTGTGTCGGGCAAAATTGATTCTGGAGGCTGAGGTTGTTGGGCATCGAGAGAGGTCGGTCTTGAGGCTGGCGAAGCTGCTTCTTGTTGGGCCCGGTAGACCCTCGTTGAAGTAAAAGCTCGTTTAGTTTCAGCCTGTCTTGTAGATCGTCGTGCAGCGTCTTCTCTACTAGAGTGGAGAGGATTTGAGGTTTCGCGTAGGGGGCTGGAGAAGTCTTGTGGGAGATGACGAGGTTTGCCTTTGCGCGGCAGTGCTGTCGTGAAGCTAACAGCAAAAGTACGCGACGTCCTTGAAATTTGTAGACACCAGGAAGCCCTCTGGAGGGTAATGGTAGCCATGGAATTGGCTGTGTGGAAACAAAGGCAGGATTTTGAGGTTGGAGAAAGTCGAGCTTGAACCCTGTCTTGGCGCACGCCAGGCCTTTTTGGGACGGGTGGCGAAATCTACAGAAATCTGATCACATGATGCGCTCTTGAACGCCGGCAGACACCATACTCCAACGGGTGTTCTGGTCTATTGATTGGGAAGAAATGATTTTGTTATTATAAGTACAGCGGCTGTGGTTTCCGCCAGATACCGCCGATCTAATCATATCGAAGCCGGCAATTGCGAAGTCAGTCTTAAGCGTCCTTCGTCTCTGTCCTCTGATCGTTCCCCTGCCTCTTCCAGCATTCTCTGAAGATTTCCATCTATATGTATACAGACCGGATCAGCAAGCTTCTTCTAAATGGTTTCGTTGGCTAGATGATTGGAATCCTTTGATGAAAGGCTACTCGAGCAGCAGAAACTTACCTCCTTCCTGCAGGTCCTCCAGTCCTTTTTATCGAAGTAGCAGTCGTTCATCTTTGCTTGTTCAGCTTCAACAAGTCAGCCGCAAGGATAACGGGCATCGAGGGAGAGTCAGATTGCATCTGCTGTACCTGAGCAACCTGTGCTGAATATTCTCTTGTCCCTGACCGCCACAATCAGTGTTGGATCTTTGGAGCTTTGGAGCTTTGGATCTCTGGATTTTCGATATTTACCACTCATCTGGCTCGTCATCTTCTTCTAATCCCTGTGTCTCTTTGGTCTTTTCGGAGCTTGACATCGGATCTTCAAAGTACAGTGCTGCGGTTGAAGATTTGACTTTCACGATCGGGAGAAAACCTTGGCTCAGTGATATCCGAAATATGGCAACCAAACGGATGAACGTACTTGTCTATTCAGGTAAGATGCTGAACCGCTAACCATCGTCCATCGTTCTCATGTTATTAAGCTTACGGGTCCGTTCAGGTAATGGATGCACTCTAGAAGCTGTTCGACATTGCGTCTACAGTCTTCGGCGCCTTCTCTCACCCAACTATGCTGTCATATCTGTTGATGGAAATGCTATTATCAAGGAGCCCTGGACAGCTTCATGTGCTCTGCTTGTCTTTCCTGGAGGTGCAGACCTAGGCTACTGTCGCACTCTAAATGGAGAGGGCAACCGTAGGATTAGCCAGTACGTCGAGAGAGGCGGCTCGTACATGGGGTTTTGCGCTGGTGCCTACTACGGGAGCAAAAGATGCGAATTCGAAGAAGGCAACCAAAAACTCGAAGTCGTGGGGGACCGTGAACTTGCATTCTATCCAGGAACCTGTAGAGGACTTGCATTTCCTGGCTTTGTCTACCACAGCGAAGAGGGCGCTAGAGCCGTTGAGCTCAAAGCATCGAAGACTGGACTGACTAAAGGGTCTTTGCCAGATGTTTTCAGATCATACTACAACGGAGGTGGTGTCTTCGTTGATGCTCCAAAATTCCTAGAAAAAGGCGTCGAGGTCCTAGCGAGCTACACCCAGGAACTGAAGGTTGATCCGGGCGAAGGTACTGCGGCTGTAGTGTACTGTAAGGTCGGCGATGGAGCTGCCGTACTTACATCTCCTCATCCAGAGTAAGCTACGGAAGTGGCAAGCACATTCCTTATGCTTACTTCTTACAAGATTTGCTGCCGTCAACCTGGATCGCGATTCGGACATAGGTGGCTACGCTAAGATCGTGGAGGAGTTGGCTGAACATGACAAACAAAGGACGGATTTCTTGAAAGCTTGTTTGCTGAAGCTTGGTCTGAAAGTCAGCCAGGAGACCACCTCGGTACCTTCCCTTTCCCGACTCCATTTGTCTTCAGTGCTTCCAAATGGGACTTCAGACATAATGGCTGGTTTGCAAGAGATTGTGTCTATCGTAGATGACGAAGAGTACATCAAAGATGAGAATGACACCTTCCATTTGGAGAAGCCCTCTGCATGGTCACTCGGCTCCCTAGCCAAGGCTCTGACTGGTGAAAAGAGTGAGAAGACTGACGATGGTGATGATGACGAGGATAGAATTATCGACTATAACACCGTCGTCAAGCGTCTAGTCGTGCACGAAAAGGAGCCTCCACCAAGCAAGGAGACCCCATACTTCAATCACGATGCCTTCTACGCAAACTTGAAACACTATGAAAGCAAGACCCAAGAAGCCAAGGATAGGTTTGGGAACAGTATATTATATGGGGAAGTGGTCACAAGCACCAACACCATGCTTGAGAAGTACAACAATCTCTCTGCTGCAATGAACGTAATTCGGAGCTAAAAAAAAACAGAAACACTGAGATACTTCGACGACTTCCAGCTGGCTTTACTGCGACCGCTACCGTCCAAGTGGCTGGACGAGGTCGTGGCTCCAACGTATGGGTCTCGCCTGCTGGGTCACTCATGTTCTCCACCGTCGTTCGCCATCCAGTCTCTTTGACTTCCCACGCCCCAGTCGTCTTTCTGCAATATCTTGCGGCATTGGCCATAGTGGAGGGCATCAAGGCGTATGATGTTGGCTACAAGGACATGCAGGTCAAATTGAAATGGCCTAATGACATCTGTGAGTGTTTGTCTTCATCTCTGGCCAGCATCTCATACTAATAGAACCAGATGCCATTGATCCCTTATCCAATAATCTTGTCAAGATAGGCGGGATCTTGGTCAATTCTCACTACGATTCCTCCGAGTTTCTCTCAGTCATAGGTATCGGCCTCAACACCACTAACGCCGCCCCCACCACCTCACTCAACGCTCTCAAGCCTCCCTCGCCCTTCACGCTCGAGAAGCTCCTTGCCCGTATCCTCACCACCTTCTCGGGGCTGTACAGCAAATTTGTTCAAACCGGCTTCGACAAGTCTTTTGAGCAAATGTACTACAAGCATTGGCTGCACACAGATCAGATCGTGACGCTTGAGGCCGAAGGAGGTGTCAGAGCTCGGATCAAGGGCATAACGAGGGACTGGGGGTTGCTACTTGCGGAAGAATTAGGCTGGGAGGATCGAGCTACCGGGAAGATATGGACGTTGCAGAGTGACAGCAATAGCTTTGACTTCTTCAAAGGGCTGGTAAAGCGTAAGGTTTAATGTTGGGAGCTGGAGATCCAGTAGAATACGTCCCGGTGGTTCTGCTTTATTCTCACCCGATACCTCCTTCGTGACTGCCCTGGAATCTAATGTTAAATACCCAGCCGGCTTCTTCATTGTACTCAACGCGGAGCTTTTCTTCGGACAAGCCATCAGCAGGCAAGGTCTTCTTGAAACAGCTTTGTGGCTTGGAGGCTTTTTTTTTTGAAAAAGTAGGGTAGGACCACTTCGATTTCCTTGGCCCAATAACACTTCAATAAATCAACAATCGCCCCACCGACCCATCACATCGAACCAATCACGCTACCAGTCGCAATGGTGCCGACACGTTCGGCAGGTCGCTTGACAAAGGTTGCATCAGTGTCAAAGAAGAAGAAATCCTCAACGCGCTCAAGATCCAGGAACCAGTCGAGAGGCAAGATGAAGCTACGCAGTCATAGAAAGATCAAGAACGCAGGGCCCAATCTGGAGACAACCGCTGCCATGTATTTACTGGGTCTGAACCTTGTGGAGACCACGCTGACGAGAGTAGTACCACCGCCAATTCACTGACGCCACTTCTCAGGCTTCCGCAGGAAATGAAAAACCGCATCTATGGGCTCGTTCTTGGCGGCAACTTGCTGCACATCAAGCGAGACCTAATAAAATTCAAACGCGACGTCGTCCACTCAACCAAAGGAGATATCAAGGAGCGGCGCTTCACCCATCAGATCTGCTGCTCGCAAACTTCCGAGGAGGACGCTCAGCATCGCTTCGATGCCGAAGATGGCAGCAGCTTATACGTCAAGGGCATCGAACTGCGCCACTCGGGTTGCGGTCCTTCCAAGCGCAAGGGCAGCGCTTACACTCCCCCTCAGGATGGACGTCAACCTGCTTCATGCCTGCCGCCAAATCTACAACGAAGCGCGGTTCATGCCCTACTCCACCAACACGTTCTCTTTCCACACGCCCCGCAATCTTCGAACCTTTATACACCTGCTCGTTCAATGCGGCGTGAACTTCAATACAGCGTTTCGCAGCCTGCACGTCGACATAGCTCACATCAATCACGATCTTCACGGATGGGGTCAAGCGTTCAACGCCGTCACGCAACACATGACACTACTCGAGAAAGTCTATATCAATGTGGATCAGCGACCCAACTGGTCTATTTGCGCCGACGCTGAGCAGAAGGAAGCAGCAATGAGGCCGGTGTTGGACTGCCTTGCGATTCTTGGGAAGACGCCGGCTAAGTCCACGATGATCGTTGTGAGCGACCGTCACCTTTCAAGAATGTCAGATGCAAATCTCGCGGGGGCTTCCACTGCTTGGATCTCGTGTCGCTGGACTGTGGAGGAGAAGAAAATGTGGGTCGAGGAGGTGAAACTGGCGATTCAAGACACGCAGTTCTTCGGTTGAAAGGGAGGGAGTGACAGCGAGGGACCAAGTTGAATGAGATGTTGAATCAAATAGGTTCGAGATCGTTAATCTTGATTGCTGCTGTGTTACTATGGAGAGAGCATGGTACAGAGAAGAAGGTCACTAGGAAGAAGTGTAAGGCATTCTATAGAAACGGAAGATTTCGTTCGCAACTATCAGACTTGGTGCAAGAATCTAAGAGCTTTCAAGCTCTTGACCAGCCGTAAAGTCCAATTGTTGAAGTATCGTACTAGAGCCACCTCGCCCCGCGAAAATAAATTACCTAATATCCGCCTCTCGGTTTTTTCCCGTCTTCCATCTTCTACGGACAAGATCAATCTAGATAACAGGCTGCACCTTCCTCCCTACAACGTCCTGCTACACTCGTCGACTTTACTACTATCGTCAGCGAAGTTCTCTGCGAGAACTTCTCTTCACCTACGACTTCCCTCATCGGCTTGACCCCTTCATAGACAACGCCGTGGTCATCCACACGACCGATCAGGCTCGTTGCCCTACCACGGTCGTGCCTGTCCACATTGCCGCCCTCGACTCTGCACGTCTTCGATGAGCTCTAGCTTCCAGGACTTACGCCGTAGTGGTTAGGATGGAGCCGGACGACTCGGACACGTCTCGTCAGTGGAAATTCCCGGCTGAAATAAACCCGCTCACTCAAGAAGTGTCAGTCAGGACTCTGGACTAGATCTATGAGTTGTGATCTCAGGCTGACATTCTCTATCGTCAGCACTGCAAAGAACGCTAGTTCCTGCCTTCTTCGTTTACCGCAAGAACTTAAAAACCGAATTTACGGACTGGTCTTGGGGGGCCAGTTCATTCACGTGCAAAGAAAACGAAAGGAGAATAAATTCTTTCACCGTCTTTGCCAAGCGAAGATTTCCGAGAAGGAAGCCCATGAAACATTCGCCGCGTCAAAGGGACTATGGTTCTCGGAAGACATTAGAGATAGACACCACGCCTGTTACGATGTCAGCATGATCCGGCAGGACTGCTTTCGATGTCCAAGTCATTTTGACCCCCCGACTGAACCTTATGCTGTGCTTAGCCTTGCCCTCCTACGTTGCTGCCGGCAGACATACCAAGAGGCGCGTTCGATTACCTTCTCAGCCAACACCTGGTCATTCACATGTCCCTGGGACTTTCTGTCTTTCTGCCTTTTCAGCATGAACTCACGAGTACCATTCATAAGAAAGCTTGCTATTCGCCGTTTACATTTGGATCTTTCTATTTTGATAAAGGCAGCGGAAGAAGGTTGGAACGCGGCGTTTGATGCAATTGCTGAGAATCTCAAATGTCTGCAACATGTCTTTATTGATATAGAACAACGGCCTTTTGAGGACGACCATCTCAAGGAGTGGCAATTCCGAGAGCCGGCAGAAAGCTCTTTCTTGGGGAGTCTACGAAGACTGAGAGACTTAAGATTGAGGACCGTGACGGTGACCATCTCTGATCATCACATTTGGCACCCAGGTATGATAAACTTGACAACCGAGGATGGGAGCAAGTACCGATGGACGATGGCGCAAAAGCAGAAGTGGGCAGGGTATATCAGAAGATACTTGCTTCGTCAAGAAGAGCAAGAACCTGTGACTGAAAAGGGTGCTTGACCCCCGGGAGAGGTCAGGAGGCTTGTGCTTGGCTTGTGCTTGGCTGGGAAAAGTGCTGTTCGAACGATAGTTATGTAGATGGTCTGACATTAGATCCCACAGTTGCTAGGGCTATCTCAAGGAGAGAGGTATAGCACAGCTCCGTCAGCTGAGAAGGAGGAGTTGCGGCTGGCTTGTACTATCTCTTTGTTCATCAAGACATATCAAGTTCCCGTGCTTATTTGCTCAAGTCTAAGGAGTGGACTACACAGATGTATCCGCGACTGCCATACAGATAGCCAACCAGATCCATCATCGTTTACAACCTCCTCGCCGGTTCAATAAGCATCATCGTAGGTCAGAGCAGGCTGATCACTGGCACGGTCTTCCTCCCCTTCATTCACAGCCTGCTCAACGACTGCATCCTCTTAATACATGGCTTTTTGCAGATGGCTTATTATCATCCGTGACCAAGCCTATCCCCAGTCTTGCTCATACCCAGCATGGCGCCGACCCATACCTCTACATTCTGGCCGTCGCCTGGGACCAGAGCAAACAGCGGCAACGCGCCGCACGCTCAAGCCCATCTTTGACCCTGCCCACCTCCAGCTCCCCGATCATGTTCCCCTCCGTCCATCTCGCCCAAGTCCTTCCGTGCCGTCTCCGGGCGCATCTCTTGGAGGCACACGCTGGAATTCCCGCCTCCTTGCGCACTGTGCCGCCAGAATCTACGACGGGGGCAAAACGCTTCTGCTACACCGCCCACATCTTCTCTTTCGACGACTGGATCGTTTTCGGTGAAAGGTGTCACAAACAGCGAAGCCGGGTGTCACGTTTCCGTCTTCGTATCCGGAGCGGGGACCAATGGTGACGGTCCTTCGACCCGTGAAGCATTGCAGAGCTATTTTTCCGGCAAGCTGACAGGCGTGCAATGCATCCAGATCGACTTGGAACGGCTCCACTTCGCCACTTCTCGCAGGTACGACCGGGGAGCTGAGGAGGCCGGTCACCTAACGCGACAGCTACTCTGCTTCGCAGGAAATATTCTGAAGGCCGCAGCGATCGTTCGTCTCGGATGCACGCTTCTGCAACTTCGACGATCCGGAAACCGCGCAGTGTCCCTGGCTGGGACGATGTTCGATCGCAGGGACTCAGCAGGGTGGACCGTGGCGCAGAAGCAGGAGTGTTTTCAATTCCTTCAGAACGCTCTACTTCAGCACAGAGGCGAAGGAGTAGATATCGAAGGAGATACGGGCGGCGCGAGACAATTTGGGATCTGGTGGGATGGGAATGGGGCGTGTTGAACACAGACCGTCTTGGCGTGCAGATGGAGGAAAATCCTCGTCAGAACAGCATATCTGCTCTTTGACATGGGAACATAATTTCCACAACCGAGGGGCCGCATCTTACATGGAATAGACGAGCAATGAGACTCTTCCCGTGGCTGACTCGGTTTCAGATAGGCGAACACAGCCATTTCATTAGCATGCCTAGAGTCTATCCATCCATCCTTGCAACCGATTCAATCACAGAAGCCAAAGGCGCGGATATCTTTTTCGAGCAAGCTGGACCGCACACACTGGCGAAGAGCTTCGGCCTGCGTCGAACGGGGAGGTACGATTTCTGCCATCGGTGATCTCAGTGGAGAGCGGGATGACGCCGATAGGAGAATCGACACGAATGTGCTCGTCGTTGCGACGGGATGGCACACCCGAGGGCATTGGGAACGGGGCCGAAAGATCGCTTGGAGGAAGCTGTGGAACTTTACCAGCAGAAGGGGTTTCACCCGATTGTTGATCAAGTTTTTTTACTCGAGACCAGGCGGAATGAGGCTTTGGGATGTGTAGCCGCAGGTGGTTGGTTTTGGCAAGGGTGGGGTGGAAGTCGGCTGGGAGCTATACGGCACGTAAGTCGGTAGGTAACCTGATTTTCTCGGTACCACTGCGGTGACGCTTGTTACTCACGCATCGATGAGAATGGTGATGAATGCCATCAACGGAGGGATCAGGTCATCACAGCTCAGTGTCAAGTAGCAGGGTCATTTAACGAGGTCTACAGTATACTGAACAGCACTGTCACTGACACTATTTTCTAGCTAGAAAGAAGATAACGTATCTTCAGAAGATTGAAAGATTCTCTTGCCACGACATTCAATGATTTCGTTAGAGCGGCGACAGAGCTGTCGTACGATATATTCGATTCGCGGCAGTAGGGTGGGAGTACTTTTAGATTGTAACCCGTTGTCGGCACGATTAAACTGTTCCAATCCAAACCGAAGTTCTCGCAGATGGGATTGCACACTTCATGATGCTCAGGTTCCATACATAGTCAGATACCTCAAGCCTGTCCTTTGATCTCGACGTCGTTTGTTTCCTGATCTGCAGCTTCGGCGCCGGCCTCATGTATACGCTGTGCTATATTTCATTCTTGCTGTGTTTGCTGAGCCACAGTCCTACCTCGAGAGCAAGCTTGCCCGGTTGATCATACTGAACCAAATGCCCTGCTTCTTCAATGATGACCAGATGCTCCGCGTTCAGTGCCTTCTTCAACCTTTGAGCTGTTTCGACCGGTATCCAAGCATCCTCTAGCCCCCAAATAATCTTGGTTGGTGATAGACCTCCGACACGAGCATACTCGTTCTCAAGTACACCAGCGTCCCGGTAATGAGCCTGTACCATTTCTTTCAGGAACTTGTCGGATCCTTGCATCCCACCCGCAAGCCAAGGGGCGCTTAGCATATCCTCAATTTCCTTGGGCAATGACTTGCATGTCGCACTTTTCACATAGGCTCGCACAAGGCCCTCAACGAGGTTTGCCGGAATGGCCGTGAAGACACCCTCGTTCTCGGCGACGAGTTTGAAAAATGGCAACCCAAACGGACCAATCGCCACAACGTCAATGAGACACAAACTCGCAAATTTTATACCATGATCCAGAAGCAGGCGTAAGGAGACCAGGCCGCCGTTGTCATGGGACACCACGTGAGGTGGACTCGCCATGTCCCAGTGTTTGAAGAGAGCAGCGGTCGCTTCGGCACGAAGGACGAGAGATGCATCTAGGTCGACTTTGTCACGATCCGCTGCATCCACCAAGCGGCGGTATGGGGGTGAAATGCCAAAACCTGGATGGTCATAAAGATAGATATTATAGTGAGTGGAAAGACTTGTCGCCAAATCCTGCCACACAGCGCTGCTCCATGGCGTGCCGTGTATAAAGACGAGAGCTGGTGAGGTAGTCTTGCCCAAGCGCGTCCATCGAATGTGATATTCGTGAGTCGTGGTTTTATGAATGAAAGTTTGGTCCAGGCTGTGTTGGTGCACCATGATTGCACATCGACGTGACAGCGTGATGACAGCGTGATGAATGATTGCCAGACCCACAGAAATTGTGGCCTAGGGGACCTCGTGCTACCACCCCGCTAGGTGGGGCAACGGAACACCACGGAACCGCAAAACTCTAGCGGCTGCCTGCCTACTAGGGGGTTTCAGACCACTTTTTTTTTTTTGCTGTGGAATCGTGGAAAATATTCAGACTTTCAGCTATGACAAAATGGATTGGTCTGAACACCCCCACTACCAAATAGGCTTCTTTGGTGGATTTGTGATAAATCCGCTTAGTTATTGCCCGAGAAAACCGTGTAATCTTCCCCGTACCTAATCCTTAGGGTTAGGGTTAGGGGGGTTCCTGCGACGGCGTGGTAGGAAGGAAGGACGGTAGGAAGGACGGTAGAGCGGTAGGAAAGACGTAGACGTGTGGGAGGTGATAGCAATGGGAGGTAATAGTAGTAGTGGTAAGAAGGAAGGCCTTCTAATTGGATAGATTTGCTAAGAGATGTAGAATAATATCGACACGAGAAATCCACCAAATAGGCCGATTTTCTTCACCAATGCTACCCCAGGGTAGCATTGGTGGATGGCGTGGATTTTTCACGTTGTGGGAAAATGAGCGATTTGCCACCAACAGTTGGTGGCAAATCGCTGAAATTCCCACAACCTGAAAAATAAAAAAAGTGTGGTCTGAAACTCCCTACTGTGTGCTGGGCAATCATGGCTGAAACAATCACACTGTTCATCAGCTAAAGCGAAACATATCCCTTCCTGCAACCTTCGTTCCCACATCGCTGAGCGCCTGTGGCGTAGCCTGATCAAAGTTGCATTGCGGTCAAGATCACGATTCTCCGCAGCTTCTTACCTTCTCCATCCGCGGCGACCACGAGCACCAGTTTCGCAAGTCATCGAGGTGTGTATCGATCTATTTGAGTGTCAATAATACCCACTACGTCCTGCGAAAACAAAGATAGCCGTTTGGAACGGTAGATGCCAAGACGACGCCGGCAAAGACTGCCTTGCATGATTGACTAATCACCAAATGCAAAGGATGACTTCTAGGGTTCAACCCCGCAACTAAACCTTACTCTAAAGCCAACACGTTTGCTCCGAGTCCAGATGAATCTTTCAGATGCATGCCGTTCCCCTAAGATCGAGATCCCGCTCCATACCTTAGTACCTACTACTATTATTATTACACTTTAATTAGAATGGAGATCATGGCTGCCTCCCCACGTCCCCAGGACCCAGAATATGTAAGTAAGCAGATTTCGCGTTCGCTGAATAATTCATTCAACGCGTTCCGCCGAGCTATTCGAGCTACTTATAGATAGCTCTACTCGCATTGAAGCTTCTTAATCGTAACCTGCAGCTCAACCGTCCCCGCGTGCCCGTCAATCTCCAGCAGCAGCCAACATGTCGGACACTCACAACATTGTCATTTTAGGAGGCTCATACGCAGGACTAGGCGTTGCCCATGGCCTCCTCAAAGCTCTCCCGGGCCTCAAGACACAAACAGGCAAATCCTACAAAGTCACCATGATCACTAATAGCACCCACTTCTGGTTCTCGGTCGGCGCCCCCCGTGCCATGTTCATGCCCTATCCTAAAGACATTATGGACTCCTTCATTCCCATCGAAAAGGGTTTCAAGCAATATTCCTCGGAGCTTTTCGACTTCGTACATGCAGAGATCACAGGCGTGGAAATGGACAAGAAGATGGTGCTCTACAAATTGAAGAACGAGAAAGAAGAGGTGGCACCTACTACCAACACCATCTCCTTCGACAGCCTTGTTATTGCAACAGGCTCAAAAAGTCCTAGCCCACTCTATAGCTACCAGGGTTCGCACGTACCTACGCTCGACGCCTACAAAGACATCCAATCCCGCCTCTCCTCCGTCAAAAGCATAATGATAGTTGGCGGTGGCACAGCCGGCACAGAGACAGCTGGAGAAATCGGCCACCTTCACGGCAAACAGACCTCATCCCCCAAAGACATTACCATTCTCTCCGGCCACGAACGTCTCCTCAAAGGCCTTCGGCCTTCCATCGGCCAGCGTGCGCAAGAGTTCCTCCAAGGGATGGGTGTCAAGGTCGAGCACAACCTTCAACTCACAGATAGCAACGATCTTGGCAATGGCACCACCAAAGTCATTCTGAGTGATGGCTCAACCCGCACCGTCGACATGCTTCTCGTCGCTACCGGCCGCAAGCCCGCCTCTTCATATCTTCCTTCCTCCCTGCTCGACGATCAAGGTCGGGTAGTGTGCGACGCCTACACGCGCGTTCCTTCGCTCAAGAATGTGTGGGTGGCGGGTGATATGGCACAGAACTCTCCAGGTGGCATCATGTACATTAACTTCGCCGTACCTGTTACCGTTGGCAATATCGTCGCTGAACTTGGTGGGAAGGGTAAAGTAAAAGAATACAAGCCTCTGACAACGAAGGAGACGCAGTTTGTGCCGGTAGGACCAAATTATGGAGTCGGGGCGGCATTTGGATGGTGGATTCCTAGTGCGGTGGTGAGGATGGTGAAGGGAAAGACTATGTTCTTTCCGAACGCTATGAAGGTACGTATTTTCCGAGCCCAAACCCTCTTTTCGGAAACGAACTTCGAGCCTGAAGACGTGTCTGGGGAGTATTACTTTGCAGAGACGTTTTAAGGCTCGGAACCCCTCTTAAGATGGCACTGCTGATTGCCAAATCCCTATGCAGACTGTCATGGGCACTGCCTAATGCAGCTGGCAGAAATTTTCAAGCTCGTATATCTCCCTTGCTGTTGTTGCATTGTTGTCAATGGAAACGGGTCTATCGCGATTGCGTGAAAGTGTGGCGGCCTTCGATCTTCTAGCCATTTGGAGCCTGTCTTTGCGCGCTGTTTGCCTATACCCTGTTTCGTACGATAGTCATTCAATCAAAGCATTCTTCAATTCTATCAGTTATCCACTTTCTATACGCCCAGCTAGACAACTTCACGTCGACGTCCTGCCAACAGTAGTGACACCAATCTCTCCTTTAGTCGCTCGGTTAAAGTGTCAGAACGCTAGGAAAGTCATCTGGTGGCTTGGCATTCCAGGTGACGACATTGAAAGAGGAGGGTGACGAAATTTCGGCCTCTTGAATCACTCACTGAGACTACGTCCAGACTTCATTTGCTATATTTCTCCCAAATCCGTTGAGTCATTTTCTGCCATCGACAAAGCAGTCTTGATAATAATCATCTCCAGCATGGCATTCTTCCCAACCACTCCAGGTCTATCCTTCTACTCTATCCCCATCGCCTGGATCCTCTCCCTAGTCCCCCACGTCTTTGCAGTTAAAACCTACGAAGCAGCCAGTTCGAGAAAATTCGATAATACCCAACCGCGCAGCCTGACTAACACCGTCGCCTCTGATCAATCGCTGTCGAAGGCAACGAAGGACGTATGCCCGAATTTCCACACTGTCTCCCCCCTTTCCATTCAATCAGCGACTGCTCGAGGGAGCAAGATGAGCATGAGCACGTTGTAAATCCGTATGGTACGAACAAACAAAGCTAACTCCACCCCCCCTCCCCCAGACCATCATCCGCGCCGAAGGAGCCCAGCAAAACGGGTTCGAGAACCTCGGCATCTTCGCCGCTGGCGTCGTCGCGGGCAATGCCGCCGGCTTGGACGCGGGTTACCTGAATGCGCTGAGTATGGCGTATATCGCCAGCAGGGTCGTGTACAATCTTGTGTACATCAACAATACGACCCTGGCGGTGGCGAATGTCAGGTCGGTCGTCTATGTCGGCAGCTCGGCGTTGATATTCACGATGTATGTGAGCGCGGGGTTGAAGATGCGGGAGGTGGCGGGGGGTTAGGGGACGGTTGGAGGAGTGTTTGCGGGAGGAGGCGAGGTAGATATGGGGTTGTGCTGGGTGTGTGTACGAATACCTGCCACGTTGGCCGGATAGGGTACTGGAAATCGCCCTGTGTTCGGCACCAATTCTATCCCTGCGCTCCGGAGATTCTATCTATCCGACGTGAGAGGGGTTGTTTTTGCTGGCTTTAATGTGGTACTCATAGAAATCGATCTGCCTTGAATGGATCACTCACGTTTGCCACATACATGATATACCGTCCTGCAATAACGTGCAGTGGAAACGCCGACATCAACAAAGCTCCGCCAGGACCCAGCAATACCTTAGCGCCGTAAAGCTCGATTATCCGTTGTAGAAGAGAAAACTAGCCCGTCGAACCACCGATATCGTCGTCCTCATTCTACGATCTTAAATGTAGGACTGGTTCTCCGTGCTCAGAGGATCTTGGCCTTGCTTTTCCCAACCACGACTGCCTTTTCTGGTCCTCGCGTCGACCTCCTCTACATGAATTGCTCCATGTGCGAACGAAGCCAAGTACCGCCATCACGTATCCCCAACATAAACTGCACTATACGTAAAAGGCCATCCCCCCCGCCTCCGTGATCTTCTCGCCTCCGGATCCAACTCCAGCCTTCGCCAACGACGCTCCCAACCGAGCAGCCCTGCCCTTCTCCGTCCTCAGCTCGTGTTCCAGGTCGGCGACCTTGTCTCTGGCCTTTTTCAGCTCGCTGTGCTGGCTCTTCAGCTTCTGTTCCGCATCCTTCCTCGCTTTCATGTGGTACGCCAAGTCCGGCCTGGCCTTCCTCAACTCGCGAGCGTCTCGCTCTGCGGCCTGCAGCTGACCGTGTTGGCTACTCCATCTTCGGTCCGCTGACTCTTTTGCACGCGAGTGCTCTGCGACTTGCCGCTCTGCGGTGGCCAGGTCTGCTGTTAATTCGGTATTGCGCCTTGTTAGCTCGAGGATCTTGGGGTCTCGGACCGGAGATTCGGTGTTGTTGACTGGTCTGATGCCCGTTTGTTACCGCTGACGATTTGGGTCCTGTGGAGGATTCGGGCTCCGATTTGTTGGCTCCTGGACTATCAGCACGGCGAATCGAATAGATAAGAAGCCTTCAGGCACTCACCGGTCTGGCTACCTGAGCCGTCAGTTTCCGCCAACCTGACGGTCCTCTTCTTCTTCGACTGTTGACTTTGGCTCTCGCTAGGATCGGCTTTGGTGTCACTCTCTGGAGAGATCCTACGCTTCTTTGACAATGTTTCTGGAACAACCCTCATTGCTTTCTCAAACTCGTCGTCCGTCACAGCTTTGGCCTGTAAAATAAGCCCGGTCAGGTACCTCCCAAAATATTCGCAGGCAAGGACGTACCTCTTCCATCTTTGCCGTAATTTCCGCCTCATTGACGAAGTCGTAGACTTCTCTGATCAAAAGGCGCCACAAACGTCTCATCAGCTCAATAGTCAAAGACTTCCTCGGATTGGCGGCTTTGACTTTCTTCGCAAGTTCCAAGAAGAAGACGTGGTAGAGCGGCATGAGCTGAACTTCTGGAAGGATATACTCCCAATCATGGTTACCCAGAAGCACGACTCCCTTGTCTTTCTGCTCCTCGTTACTGAGTTGGCGAGGAAAGGACCAGAACTCTGCAGAGCTCTGGCGCGCCCTCTTGGCCTTGAAGGCCTCGGCATCGAGTCGTTTCTGCCAGTAAACCTCATACTTTGGAGAATGCGCCTGCTGAGCATAAGTATCCTATCAGGAGTGATCGAACGGCCTAGACTTGTTCGATTACCTGGCCAATCAGACGGCGCTTCTCGGGGTGGTCCGTTGGGTACAGCCTCCATATCTCGTCGATCCAGAAGAACTCCACCACGCTGCGGGTGATTGACTGACCGAGTTGTTCATTGTTCTTGTAGAACTGGGTCGTGAAACGAATGATGGTGTGTTTTCGCCCTTCCAGATGCTCCTTTGTGCATCTCAGAGGTCGGATGCGGGGGTCGAGTTGGTGGACGAATGATTGGTAGCCGGCCGTATCGTACATCGGTACATCCGACATGATGACGGCGATTGAATACAACCGACTCGCACAGTTCACCTGAGTGGGCAAGGAATCGCAAGACTTGGTATCGGTGATGTCGCGGAGAAGCTGGAAAGGTAGCGGCGAAGAGGACGCGGAATTTTCTTCAACACTCTCTTCGCGTAAACAGCCGCGGCATCGCGCTTCATCCTGCTGCAGTAAAACCATGCAATAGGAACAAAGTCTGCTCGGATGAAGCTTTGACCCTACAAGGGCACTCGGATGGGTTCGTATATTGCATCTTTGATGATGTCTTCTTTTCGCTATGTAGCGAGCCTGCCTTTTCTTACAGAAACAATCCAATCGTACAATAATATTAAGCTAATAACTATCAACAACAGCGCCTGCTTCTGCCACCTACCACGAATTTTGGATCCCTATCGATACCACCTTCGACGCCTACTGCCGGCCCCTGTGCACTTTCACTCCTTTCGCGGGCCATTTTCTGGCTTGTCATAGGATTTTGAATTGATTTGAAGCTAAGCAGAACATATGGCAGCGGGAGAAAGGTGCTAAACAATGTTTTAAAAGTTAAAACAACGTCAAACTTCAACGCGAACCTGGGAAGGGAGTCGAAGATGTTGCTTTGTTTCGGTCCGTAGCAGGCTTCGAAAGACGCATGCAGGGCTGTCCGTCACCGGACAGTAGCTACTTGATTCGGTATGCCTGCTTTTGCGGACGGAACTCACGAGGTGCTCTCGCCTGGTGGGTTTCGTGCTATGAGGATATCGTAGTGGTTTTGTTCTCAGTCTGGGTTGGGAATCGAGGCCATCCTGCCTGGTCGGATCTACGCTGGTATGTTCGGTGATTATGAATGGAACAGTTACTCTTCATGACTTGGGACTTCACGAGGAGAGAATATTATGCGTGCGTTCATTGGTAGCGAGGAAACCAGCAGCGCTGGATGGAGTGTCTATCTCTTCGTCAGGACGGAACACTGCACACGATGGAGAGCATCGCTGAGCGAAATAAGTAAAGACTGCGCAGATGGGACGTGATCTGTACCCACAGTGTCTGACAAAGCTATTGATTGCTATGTATGCTTCTTGCCTCTGCTTTCGTTTACTACCTGTATGTATGCAAGACAGACATCTACCACAAAGCCTAAATCTACTTCCCTCTCTCTCCACAGGGAAAATACCACCTTACCTTCTTTCCAATACGCGGAGACTTGACACACCCGACAGCATCTTCCCTCACCCGCGCCCACCGAACCGGCCAAATGACACGCACCATGTCGATCGGATATCGTATCAAACTATTTGTTTGCCAGACAGAAACCAAAGCAAAAAAACCCTTCGGACCGCATCGGTTATTTCATTTTCCCCGCTGGCATCCAGCCGGGCCCACTCACTCACTCACTCTTCCTACGAGTCGCGCCTCCGTCGCATGTGGTCTTGCCACTTGATCCGATTGTGTGGACCGTGATCGATGATTCGGTTCGGTAGGCGCGCCGTCTTTCGCGCGTGCGTGCGTGCGCGTTGGGGGATTGGGGGGGAAGGGCGTTGGGGGAAGGGGCCGGACTGGGAAGGGGAAGGGGAAGGGGGGGGAGGGGGGGAAGGGAAGGGGAAGGGGGTGCGGGTGGGTTTCCATGGGCAGGCATGGATGGAGTGGGTGGTGTTTGACGTCGCGCGTGTCGTTGAGCTTACATCCCTATGGCCTTTTTTTTGGCGGTGAGAGGGTTACCTCGAGGTGCTTGTCTGGAGCCAGCATGTCGGGTATCTCGATCTCCGTCCCCTCTCCTCCTCTGTTGCAGACCGACGGGCGATTTACCGACATGGAATAGACACTGCATGCTGCTCACTTGGCACACCGAGCATGACACATGGAGTCGGTAGCCAAATCATCTATGGCGTATCTACCCTCAGACAGCCCCCAGCCCCCGCCACGCCTCCAGCTCCGGCGCCCTACCGTCGCTTCCCGCCTTTCCGAGCCGTCGACGAGGCCGGTCCGCGTGGGCCTTTTGGTCCGCTTGGCTTCCTTTCGCGCTCCGTCGGCCGCCCCCTTTTTCGCAGTTTCTGGGCGTGTGTGCCTTTTTTTTCCGGTCCGTGGAGGTCGGCTTTCGGGGCTTTGGGTCGAGGGGCTGGGTTGATTGGTTGGTTGGCGGTGGTGACGAGGGCGGTCGGCGGCGCTGTGGCGTTCGAAGGGCATTTTTGGGCCTGGAGGTAGGCTGCGGCTTTGCGCTCGGCGAGGGCGGCGCGTTTGGTGGCGTCGGATGGGGCGGTGATGATGGTGTCGGGTGGGTTGCCGTCTGGGGCTTGTGGGTTCCAGGGTCGACCCGGGTTGGTCGGGGGCGAGGATTGCGCGGGCGGTGGAGGGGAAGGGCGAGGTGGTGGCGTTGGGGCCCCAGATGTGAGTGTTCGGCAACCGTTCCGTGGCCGGCTTTGAGGCTGTGGCTTTGTGGGGTTGGAGGGATTCGGGCGTGTTGCACTGTCAGATGGAGTAGCTGTTTGATAGATCGTCGGAAGGCTGGTGAGCGAATGGCTGGGGGTGAGAGGGATTTCTACAAGCCTGACTCCCTTTCCCTTCTCCGATCGTCCAGCTCCCAACCTCGAAATCCATCCCAGGACCCATTTTTGCGTCTGTTCGATGAAGTCTTCAAGGTGTTGCGAACCGCTCCTCCCGTCCCGACGACTGCCTTGGAAAATCCGTATGTCAGTCAGTCAGTCATGGCCTCGCACGCCTACCATGTGTGATGATGCGTCATTCCCCTTCTCCGAACATCCGCTCGCTTTTTCGCGATTCGTTAAACGAGCATCGGGCTTTCGGGGCTGGCATGGTGAGGTTGGGGGGGGGTACGACTTCACACACCTGATGCTCGTGGTTCCTGTTTACATTTCCACGTGAGGCGGCTACTTGAGTCATCGTCGGTGGAGAGCGAATCGAGGGTGGTGGTGCGTTTGTTCGCGCTGTTGAGATGTGTCGCACAGGGTTGGGGGAACACTGTTTGGAAACCCTTCCCCTCCCTCCCCGTACTCTAGATCAACCCTCCCTCCCTCCCCTTTACCACCGCGCCCGTGGGGAAGTTCGACATTGTCAATTTCTCACAAGGCTCCTCGAGCGAGCGGGATGGGTTGTGGTACGCGAAGACGGGGTGTGGCACCTCGGACGCTGCTCGGTCGGTATAAGTAGTGCGTGAGGGCTGCGATGACTTCGTTGCTCATGTTGGTCAGTGGTTGTTGGTGCGGGATCAGGGGTTGTTAGTGAGTGGCGGAGTGTGCGTTGAGGTGCGCGCGGTGATTGTTTAACGCTGCTGGGTCCGTGGCGGATGATGGTGGTTGTGGGAGGTCGATTTGGGTCGTTGAGACGATGGGTGTCTGCGGGGTTGTGTGCTGTGGGTCAGACGCTTGGGGTCGAGGGAGGTACGCTGCTGAGCTGGGGTGGGAGGGCAGGGAGCATGGATAAGGATTTTCGTACGATTTGGGATGTTGAGGACGAGTGAACCGACGACGGAATCGATGCGATGTGTTGGGAATTATATGGGACTGAAGCATGCATGGGGATAGATTACACAGTTTCGGGGATTCCGCGCCGGTGTCCCTGCGAAGCCGCAAAAAAATTTGCTAGGATAATCATACAAGACAGAAGATATTCTATTTCACATTCTTCGGCCGCCTTCTGATCCTGATGCCGATGATGCACCGCCGCAGCTTCCATGGCACAGGATCAAGCGTACGCGCTAACGGCACTTCCGATCTGCCCCAGCGCCCCACCCGTAGCGTCGTCAACGCTTTCTTTGTCCGCCTGGTCCATTGTGATGTTCTGCAGAGCGAGGGAGTAGTTCTAGACGGTCTGGGTTAGCCCACGGAGCGATATGGCGAGTCATGGAGGCAGGGAAGACTTGCGTTGTAGTTGTCTTCGAGGAAGGTCAGATTTCCATACATCGTCGTCTTTTGGTCGAACATGGCGAGCATCTCCTCTTTGGAGATCAGGTCGTTCATGAGTTTGGTCAAGGCGTTGGAGAACTGGGAAGACGCGGAGAGGATTTGTGAGTGTGTTGGGCTGTGTGTCAGGGTATGGTGATACTCACACTGGCGAAGGAGCTGGTCACGCTACTTTCGTCGCCGCCGTCCCCTGTGGGCGTCACTTGTCCGGCATTGATGACGAGGTCCGAAAGAGCTGAGTTGATCCCTGCAAGGTCTTGAGTGGCTTTCTAAATGATTGTGGTCAGTCCACCGTCCGTGTGAAGTTGGACAGTAGGTCTCACGGGAGCATAGTCCAGTCCGTTCAGAGCGGTGAGATCATTGACGTCGGTGTCGGCGTTGGTAGCCTGCTCCTCGAGATTCTCATTGCTGGCGACGATCTGGGCGAGGTTGACGGCGGCCGAGGCGAAGGCAAGCCAGAAGCAGAGGCAGAGGATGATAGATGTTTTGGAGAACATAATGTCTATGGTGTAGATATCGAGAGGTGACGATTGCGAGTGGAGCAGGGACACTTGGCTGGCAAAGCGAGAAGGTTTGGTAAAGACTGATGAATGATTGTTTGAGAAGAAGATGGTTGCAAGAAGTATGGGGTAGCAGGCTTTCTTTATAGTCTCTTTATGTTGGAGCACGGGGAGCTTCAAGAAGTGGCAGGACCAGACATCACTGACAGAAATTTACCTGGGCGCAGTGTAATCGGTCCTGTCCCTTTCGGTATCCATTCCCTCGACGCGATATCGTCCTCATCCCTTTCAGTATTCATATCATTTGGCTTTGGTTGTCGCGCATATTGGATTTCCAACGAGTTTAGCCAGTCGTTCGAAGAGGGTGAGATGACGCAGCGCGAATCACATGATAGATGCAAGTTGTAACCTACCGGATTCAGTCGCCTGCAGCGTTAGGGAGTCCACATCGGTCCACGACCTGGTTCTCCCACCTGTGAAGCTGTCAAAGCCAGCGCCGATCCTTTTTTTCCCAGACAAAAGAGAAGCTCATCAGATGATAGATTTCGCTGCACAAATAAGGGGTCAAAGGGAAAAGAGATGCGAGGTGCAAATCTGATGCAAAAGTGTCACACATGATGCAGAGAATGATTGGCATCAAGTGATAGAGAGTGAAGAGATGGGGGGCGCGTAACTGCGGGCTCAATTTGCAAAGAGATACAAGTAGTATGTTGTACCTAAGGTAAGGCTTGAATATGGCATGGACCAAATGTTCTTCATGCACTCCTCTCGGCCCGCGACTTAGTACCCTACTTATGTACCCGGAGCTAGCACGCCGCCCCTTTTCCCTAAAGCGGACCCCGGAATCTCTGGAAAGGGTTAGCCCGCGGCCCCGCAGTAGCTGCAAGTGCCGCTTTCGGCAGCCCTGCTCCAGAGAGGGCTAGTCACTAATTTGGGGAATTAGCTGAGGGGCTTCAATCAGGTTTGTTTGGCAGAAGAGCGTTATCTGTTTTCTAGGGTCAGCTTTGTGCCTGCATAGGTACATAACTCCCGTGCGGACTCTTATGCACTCGTACCTTACCTTGGGAACCACCAATGCAAAGCTAGCTCCGGGTACCTGAGCTGGTTTCCGCTGGCGCCTATATCCTCCGAACCCTCTCAAACCGGCCTCAACGTCTGCAAGCAGGAAAGATACTTGGACTCAAGTAAGGTACTTATGAATATGAGTACGAGGGTTTGTACTTCATTCTGTTTACGGAGAAGGTTTGATTACCCTAACTCTAATTCCTTAAACCCCCGCAGTCCCCTTTTCTCCATATCTTGGCTGTATGCATGCATTATCGACCTTGACATTCTAATATTATTCATCCAATCATTCGTCCGTTAAGAAATGAGCGACCGAAAAGAGGAGGGCAAAAAATTAAATTAAATTAAATCGAGAATTGCAGACAGGCGATGGGAAAATCGAAGGAAAACATCTTTCAATATCGATATGTGGCTGGGCAGGTAAGGCGGCGATATTTGTATTAAATTATGGAAGCTGTGGAAGAGAACGGAAGCCACCGAGAGGCGTACCTAAGCAAGGCACACGACTTTCAGGCTTGCTCCCCTTACTGATATACATTGTGATATCCTCCGCAGAGGCGAGGAGGAAGCCGTCGTCAACAAACCCTAGCACGTTACTATCACCGTCGCTGTCCTCCGAGGACGGAGTGCTGTAAGCGCGTCCGTGGTCATGTTGGGCGATAGATGCTACGCGACCTTAGCTCGGAGAAGAAGGAGGATGCATGTGATGAAGCGGTGTTTCAAGTAACGACTTCACGTACATGTGACCATGAAAACTGCTCCTGTCCACACTGGCAGACTTCGTCGACTTGGTCTCTTCAAACATCTCCACCAACCAATGCCTCCGTTGCGCCGATTTACCATAAGCAAGTGACTCCTTTCACTGAAAACTCTCATAGACTGGCTTTCTGCCAGGCTTCTTTCGTCTAGCGACACTTTCCTCTTCTTCACGCACCCCTGGATTGACAGCATAAATAAGAGTTAGTGGAACATCTACGAAGATGTTCTCCAAGTCGTAATCATCGCAGGGTTAGCTACCATTGTGGCACTGGGTACATTTGGTTATGGTGTGGGGTGAAGCTGGTCCCAGTGCTATCGATCAGATGCCAGGTTATGGCATGCCACAGGACCATACTCCATAACAATAGGCTGAGTATACTAGCCTGAATCTGATCTATGACGGTTCCCCGCCTCTTCATCTATCCTGCTGCCCCTACACCTCCTTCCGAATCTCCTTCCTTCCCTGCGTCTCCCTCCTTCCCTACGTCTCGCCCGCGATTATTCCCATTCTTGCTATAATCGTGGGACCCCCTTTACTCCACACGCCCAGCAACCCTCAGGATCCTCCCCTCTCGTTGGAAAAAGGTCACATCGTGTTTGAAGCCATGATGCTTATGTTCACAAAGGAGGTCCGCCACCCTACCGCTTGCTAGATCTATCATGCGGTGGACGGAGCACCCAGCCGTGCAGTTTCGCTTGACTGCATTGGTGGAACGCGACAAGGATTTCTCGTTTGGGAGGCTTCGTGACTTTTTCTTGCTCACTCTTTGAAGGCCCGTTCGTTGCTTGTTGTCTTCCTCCGCGTTTGCGCTGCCGTCCTCTCCCTTCCATACCCCGATACTGATCCTCTTTTCATCTTCACCGATGCTATCTGCATAAGCATCCTAGTCAGTGTAGATCGCGATATCTAGAGGCTGCGCGGTGGCTTGTGATGGTTCAGTTTATTTGGTGGGATGGCTTTGCATGTTCGTGACTCAGAAGCCGTGCGTCCTGTAATCTCGAAGGGCTTCTCACGGACACCAAATGGTGGAGAGCGGTATATATGTACATTTATTGAGCCATCAAAAACTGAGAAAGCAGAGGCCAAGGCGTGTTTGCAGTAGAAGTACTGCTACATAACAAGTGTTTATAAGAGGCATCGTTCACTGTGCTCACAGCAGCTTCAGTGGGTGTGGGATAAGAGAGCGATAAAGGATCAAAGTAACAGGGGAGCAAGTGTGAGGTGTGTCTCCAAGATCGCAGGATCTTTTTATAGAGATGGCATACAAATCGGAGGAGTTGGATCGCGGTGACGCGCTCGTTTTTCCGTAGCATATGTTGAGAGGGAAGCTCCCTTTTAGTCCGCCAAGCAAACGCAAACGGCGAAGCTATCCAACATCGACGACTAGCTCACGTTGGGTACGAGGGTGTGTGGAGGATCAATTATACCAAAATTTTGAAATCGAGCGACTGGGAAAACAATGTGGGCGGAATGGCTGGAGCCTAAGGGTTTCGACAGCGTGCATGGAGATGGAGAAGGTGTGAAAGCATGCTGAGTCGTGGTGTCCAGCATGAATTGTCGTGACCTTCAGGAGCCGTCAATAGACTGAACGGTACATTTGGGCTCACCGCGCCCTCGCAAGATTATAAACACAGCGAGTGAAGGCTACTGAAGTCGAACAAACGGGGCAGCCTGGGTTCTACGTGGTTGGTGAAGTCCATTCCGATGAGATGAAGTGATTTGGGGGTCAAGATGGCGCCAGGATGCTGTAAGTGATTACCACCGCGATCTTTGCTGTGTAGTGAAAATTTCTTCTCTGATTGTGCGCACGAGGCGGGATGTATATAAGTCACGGTCCGCCTGGAATTCTATCGACTGCTCTGCGAGTCGACCAGTTGAGACTGCTTTCGATGACCAGGCTTTAGGAAAGCTCCGACCGGCGAATTCAGAGCCACGAGGCGCACGACCCAATCAGGTGAGGTAAATTGGTCAAGGTCGGCAATCTGGAGCGTCGACAGAGCGTGGCATGTATGAATACCTTCAGCCCATCCTTCGCAGGTGTTGTTGAGTTGCAAGTTCCTCAAACTCTTGCCGTGACGGGTCGCGACTAGATTCATGCTCAGCTTCGAACATGTTGTAGAGTGATGCCATCTGAAAGATCCATGGTCAGTCCTTCCAAAAATTTGATAGCATATCCTAAAAGAGACGTACCGGAAATATTGGAGACGCTCCTTCGGAATTTGGTAGATAACGAGCCACAGGAGGGAACTGAGAGCTCTTAGTTGATCACGTCTTTGGCGAAATCCATTAAACTCGCCTCCAGGGCCCAGATCTAAGCCATCATCACCGAACCCGCCTAATTCCTCAGATATGTCAAGATCATCAGCTTTCATTGATACCGAAATGCTAGTGGTGAACTGCAATCCTTCCGTTCACGAAACCAAGAGGTTTTCCAAGAATAATAGACTATCCCAGTCGCGCTTCAGCACTGAGGAGAGATTTTTGTACAAAATAGGTAGCAAGGCAGCCTGGAGTTCCTTGCATGTCTGGCTGAGGCTGTTAAGGTATGAAGGGCGTTCAAGCTAACAGAAGGGTTAGTAGATGCACCTCACAAATTTTGTAGGCAGGTGGCACACGCGCGTGAGGCATTGTTACCCAACAATTCCCCAGGGACTGTTATGGGCCCCGGAGTTGTAGACCGCTCCAGCGAGTTTAGGCATTTACTCAATGCCATGTTCAAGAAGTTGAGGAGACGAAGCCAGAGTAGAAAGTTTAAGGGCGATTCAAAGATACGAGATTGGGTCTCTGCGCCCTCGAGCCTGCACGATGACCTCGCCAGAAAGGGTTTAGCGCGGATCAAAAGTCCCTGCCAGATCGTCAACACACAATGAAAATTCCTCTGTAGCCCACCATCAACTTTCTTCCACTTACCGCCTCCAAACATCACAACATTTCCACCAGCTCAGGCTATGGCGGGACACGCGGGCCCCCAGCTTCAACCCTCTATCATCCCAGTTCTCTACAACAGGGCTTTCCTCGAAAAACACAATATCGACATTACCGACTACGGCAAGCATTTCTGCACCGAAAATAGCAAGCAGGGAAAAGTCATAACCCGTCGCGATATCGAATGGTATTGGGAGGGAAATATTCGCGCCGAATTTGACACGGTGGACCCATCCCACAATCGACTTATCAGCCAGACAAAATGCCCCAAGTTCGAACTTTACTGGTTAGGAAAGACAGCGGTGGCGGCCCTTCAAGCCAAGAAGCTCCTTCACGAGCAGGAGGGACTCTGGCTTCTCAAGCCTAAGAGAAAAGAGATCAAGCACTTCAAAAGCGCCCTAATCCTGGGGAATGACACTGAGAGGTGGATCGTCCCAGATGTGTCCCTGATGGCCATCGGTGACATCTGCTTCACCACATTCGCGCACAATGTTCGGGCAGCCAATGTTGGCGACAATCTGAGTGACTCCATGTTGTTCCGGCTGTGGGGTACCTTAGTCAAGAAGGCGTATGACTTCGTGCCCAAAGAGGTACAGATTCAAAAGCTCAAAGAGGTACATTTTATTCCTTTGATTGATCCCTGCACGCACTATGTTGACTTTGATCTTTAGGCCTTTTCTATGCACCCTCCCACAACCGAAGCGGGTTTCGACGAGTTCTTTGAGACGTCGTCGAAGAAGCGCAAGACAGTACCCAGCTCAAGGGATGACAATTTCGGCGATGATTACTCAGTGGGCACCCAGAAAAGGCGACGTGTCAGCTTAGGAGAAGTCCATAGTAAGAGCCACTGTCTCCTATGGCGTTGACACATTTTCCTAATGAGTGCAAAGTCCGCAGATTCGACAAGGAGTCCACATTGGACCCCACCCTAAAGCCCATTTTAAAACACACCTACAAAACTTCTCTACGCGCCACCGCGGGTCCGAGTGCCAGTGCATCGCTCGGGTCCTCGACCAAAGATGACGGTGGTGAGAGCGGAGAGAAGAGGGTTGATCCGACGCAAAAGAAAATCCAGGCATTAGAAAAGAAGCTTGCGGAGCTAGAGGTGGCCAAGGATGAAGCTGAGCACAGATTTCAGTCCGAGAGGGGTATGAGGAGAGGGGCGGAGACAAAAATTGCATGGCTAGAAAAAGATCTCCATCAGTCAGAGGATCTTGTTGCCCAGCTTCGAAAGCGGTCTACAGAGAGTGTGTGACGTGTGGGGAATGGAAACGCTTGATTGATGTTGCAACTGCTATTTTGTTTGTGTCCGGAATGATAAAGATCGTAGGAGTAATGAAGCATGCAGACTTGGATGCCAGATGCAATTCTCTCATCTCCGGAGACAATCGCTTGACAGTAAGCCTTGAGCACCAGCAAAGTCGCTCCAACCTGTTCCATAGTGTCGTGGAATCTAAGTTGGTCATGAGGTTTGCGTGAGATTTCGCAGATAGTGTTTAGTTTCGATAACGGTAAAAAAAAAAGACCCCGAATGGAGTGGTGTGGTGGAAGTGTCGTGGCGCACAAGGCAGAGCCCCCCCATATTGGAGTTATTGACAGCGAAGTTTAACCTAAGGTAGCACATTTCAACTCGTACGATGAACCTTGAGTACATTTTTGACCTTAGCGTGATCTATTTGCCAATAAAACCGTGTAATATACGGGGATGGCCTTGTGCTGGGCTGAGTTGCTGAGTAATCTAAAAGTTCGGTAGTGAAGTAAAACAGTGAGAAAAGGGCGGGTTTTACTTAACTGAATTTTCTAGACCATACGGGCTGGTTATTCAAAAGCCGCTAATCTTAAATATCAAGCAAGTAAAGTTTTTCACTGAGGAATCGCGGATAAAACGCTAATTCTCAACACAGGTACAATATGGCTCTCCTAGACCACCATCAGCTTCAAATGATCAATCTCACGATGGCCTTCTTGTTTCGGTTACCGAACGGCGGCGAAACGGAAGAGCAACTCACCGTCATGACCGACGTTCTTAACAAGCTCGACATACATCCCTCTTGGGTTGCTAACAATGTTGTCCGTTTTTCTTCACGTTCGGAGTTGCTTGGTCACATCATCCCAATTATCGATATAACGTAACACTCCGAAGACTTAAGCAATGACTTCCGACCGTGCACCAAAGGACATGACCGAAAAGTATATCAGAATATGTGTCATCTTGGAGTCGAAGAGATCGAGCTTTGTTGGCGCGTTCAGGTCAAACACGAGTTCCCTTGAGGAAATTGAATAGGGACTTGAACGCCGTAAAAACAACTGGAACAGGTACGCCTACCTCTGATAATCCTTGGAGGACGGTCTATCAGGACTAATTACCGTAGGATAGACGGATCATCACAATCTCATCGACTTTTAAGGGGTATGAGCCTAAGACGAGCGCAAAGAGGAGCTGCGTCAACCCAGAGACGAAGTCGAAGATTCAGCCAGAAAAGCTTGACCTGGTTGCTTGGTAAAAATAAACTACGGAACAGGTAAGCCTAGCTGCACTGAACGCCATGGTTTTGTCATTTACTGACCAGGGGATTCTAAAGCTATGGCTGCGAAGAGATGATCAATGATGCCGTGGTTTCGACGAACGAGGGCCTCTTGAGTTGGTGAAGAATGAGCCATACTCTCGGAGTTTACCAAGGAATGGGCGAGGAAGCATGATCCACTTTACAGAGCCCAAGAGTGGGCCAGTAAGAATGAGCCGATGACCGGCGAGGCAACGCCGAAAGATCTTTTAGCGCCAGCAAGAACTCCTAGCTATGAGCATAGCCGAACAGTGTGAGTACTCTGAAAAGCATTTAGGCGGAATAATAGCTGACACGAGGTTCCTTAGCCCTCCCGGTCCCCTCCTCGATGTTCTTTGACCTTCCACATTGTCCCCCAAGATCTTAGCAACGACAATCAGATGCACGACAGCAATGGAGAGCCAGGTCAGCGGATAGAGGCACAGCAGATTCCTGCCACCGATGGCTCAAGCTGGTGCTGTTTTGTCGTGATTGGAAAAGAAGGATCTACACCTTACATTTGAGAACGAATATTTCGATGGATAGCAGGGGCTTGGGCTGGAACTTCTGCCTTTTGCATAGCGTAGACAGTTACTAAACTTGTGACTATGCCTGTACGTTGAGACAGATTGCTACATTCTTGTTCTTAGATAGAGGCAAGCTGAGCGCAGATATGTCGTCCAGTTTTTCTTATGTGTAGGACGTTCGATGAAGGACGCTTTAGTAAAAGCTTTTTACAACGACGTCTGTTGGCATCCCATCTTCTAACAGCCGATTCGTAATTGTACCCTGCGCTTTGCAACCCGAAAATCCTTTCTGATTCGTTTCTGATCCGTCGTAGTAGCTTTCGGCTGCTGGCTGAAGGCTCGGTCAATTGTGTCAGCGCTTCAACTCTACCCTGGAAAGATCAATGAGCGGCAAGCTTTTCTCATTACGCTTAGATAGTACTCACGAGCGACCCGCATGCAGGTACATAAGCCTACGTTCCTTTGTGCTTGCCCATTGATACGAATAGTTACAGACTGCCGGATTTCCTAGGGAGGGAAGATGTCGGCCGATGTGCATGTCTCCATTTTTTTTGTGGCAGCTACAATCACTTAGTCAATCAGGTAGTGTTCCTAGAGGTATTTTGTATCCATAAGACCCGTACCCTCGGTATTTTGAATTTGAAAATGCCAGCCGATGTAGTATATCTTCCTTCCTTGGTTCCTTTGTGTTCGTTGGCCTTGACGATGACTTTCTTGATGTCGAGGAGACCAAGCTGAAGAACTTCGATGAGATGTTTGGTGTTTTCAGGCGCAAGAAACTTGCTGTGCTCGCCGATCTCGATTCCGGCGGGGGCGGGGGGGGGGGGGGGGCGTGGAGAAACACGCCTAGTGATGTCTAAGAGATCCGCCATGGTGAAGCTGTGCGGCAAATTGTTCTGTTCTAGCAGGTTTGATTGTGATCAAAACGAAGCAAGGGTGTGGTTCCTGCTTGAATAGTCGTTGAAGGTGAGACTATTGTAAGTGGAGTGTGCTGTACGGGACTTGGCCCATCCAAAACAGTCCGTGCAATTCAGCCTTAGCCGCCATAACGTCAGGGATCGAGATCTAACTGCAAGATGGCCTGTGAACCAAGGTAGACTTCAAAAGAGTAAGTTGATGACTGACAGAAGTTGGAATGTTCGTGTTCTAATTGTTGCCATTTCTATGATGCATTATTGGTTTGTTATGACGACATTATTATAGATATATAATTTTAGTGGGGACCACTCACCGATCATGGGAGTTTTAGCTTAAATGATAAGGATTTGAAGGTTTAAGCGAACAATGATATTGTGAAGACTGAGACAGGCTTAGGGTAATTCCGAAGCGGTTCACTTCTCAGATCCGTTCGGACAGCTGAGGCCGGCTTAGGTTAACACTGAAGTGGTTCACTGTGGTTGCTCTCTGATCGGCCACTTTTTTTCCGCCAAGCCAAGCGAGGTCAATGGTTCGAGCATTGGGAGGACTTTGTTTTGTCCTTTCTTCTAAAGCATTTTCTGCCCTTCTGTCTTTTTCTACCAAGTGACAGCAGAAGCTACTATTAGAATTCAGTGTGTCTAGCAAAAGTCAAAACGACCACGAAATTTCCCAGAGTCCGATTTCCGCCATGCTATGACATCGTGGCCTTTTGCGCACGACAGAATTGAATAGGACTTCCAATGGGAGAGAACCACATTTGACAGCCACAGTGAAAAGGGATAATTGTTTTATTAGCTCAATTCTTAGAGCTCCAATGTCTAGCAATGAAACAACTCGACCCTACTCCAGAGGAGTAATAGAAATGTGCAGGGTGGAACAAGATCGCCCAGCTCGAGCAATTCGGAATGCCCACATTTTACAATCTACATTTGAGTGCCATGGCAAAGTTGGATCATATAGTGAGCCGGTTCATGTCAAGTTGCAGGGTCGAAGTCCCAATTGGCGAAACAAGCGATCAGTAATGGTCCTTGCTCGTTCGTTTCGCCAGCTGGAAAAGCTGCCACTGTGGTATTTGCGAGGGAGGATACACCCTGATCGGAGAATATCTACGGCTTGTATCCCTGCATCTAGAGGAAATCAATGGTGGTGGTGTTGTAGATGACGTCAAATACCGTCTTTGCACGGCTTCGTGTCTTCGTGATGGGGTAGAGCGCGGTAAACAATTTCGGCCACAACAGAACATTGACACCACGATTTCACAACCTTCTCAAGACCTTGCCCACACTGTTTCTTACCTCTCTCTGCATCCATCCAAGATCATTTCCAAAATAATTCAAGCTCCATTAACAACATGTCCGACCTCAAGATAGTAATTCCCAAATGCGGAAAACTCGAGCCTGGCTTCAACATTCACAGATTCACGTCTGACTTACTGAACGCGAATAGCTCACGACGGCCTCCTCCAACCCGTCAAGAGGTAAATTTTCACTGGGCGGGCCGAGTCATGCAAGCCTATCCTAGCAGTGATGACCCTATGCGCATTCTTCTGCTCGAGCAGGTATGTTGATGATCCACTGAACGACATTCATGTAGGGAAGTAGCACTCTGATGGCCTATGGTACGGTAGATGTCCTGTCCGCTGGTCGAAAAACTCTGGGAAAAGCGGGCAGACGAGGAGGCCTTTAGGCTGAAGCGGGCGAAGCAGATGGAATCTGGATTTCATCATATCGACCGTAACCTCACGAATCATGAGCGCAAAGAGCACCCGTTCGCCGTCATACTGACACATGCCGTCCACGGGGACGTTATTGTGCCTGACATTGTGCTTCGACCCCTGCACAGGGTCTCATTTCTTGACCTAGTGCGCAAGATCTTGGCCGCAAATCCCACCAAGACTCTTGACCTTTTTGTGTTATACGATCTGTGGGATGCAATTCTCACGAAAGTATACGACTACGAGTATGATTGGCGGGAAGACAAGAAGCATGAGGTAGGTTCTCACCTAGGTGTCCTCTGACTAAAATTACCAACCACATGCTCACACTTGTTGCAGGGCAGGACTGCGAGCTACCATGAATACATCGACATTGTTTCAGATACTGCGCAATCGAAAAAGCGCAAGCATTCGCAGGTCGAGGAAGACTCAGATGATTCAGACGCTCCATTGGCCAAGACAAAGGTATGATACCTACAGCATGCCGAGGAAATACAATTCGAAGATCTAACCCAATATTAGCAAGCCAAATCATCAGCAAAAGCTGCCAAAGCTCCAGAAACTTCAGGCAGCTCAAATGCTACATCATCGACGACAAAGGTAAACCACCTGTTCTTTGCCATGTCAACAATACTAGAGAGGTCCGGAGGCTGATAACAGTAGGTTAAAGGAAATGCAAGGGCTTCCAAAGCTCCAGGGGCTTCAGGTAACTCAGATGTGCCATCAACAACAACAAAAGCAAGTCGCGTATGTTATTGGAAAGTCACGAGGCTAGAGGTATATTCAAAGACTAATGATTGCAGGCCAAGAAACCAGCAAAGACCCCCAAAGCTGGAAAAGGTTCAGGTAGCCTGGATGTGCCGTCCTCGACGACAGAGGTAAATTACCCGCTCTTTTCACGGTCGCCAAATTGCAAAGAACTAATTATCAACAATCGCAGGTCTACATACCAACGATAGTCTCCCAAGCCGAGGGATCAGGTCGGAGAACGGCTGGCATTGCGCCTGCGGCATCCGCCAACCGGGCTCCCGTCAGGGACACAGCTCCTAGACCCAACACCGTCCCCTTACAGTCGATACTCGGACCGAGCACGCGAGTGAGTACCTCAGCTACCCCGATACCGCCTCCTACGCGACCAGCGAATGCGGCGCCGGCAAGAGCTCCTACGACGGGCTCCGGTTCCGCACAGTCCTCCTCCCGTCATGCAGCCCGGCCTCCTACCACCCCTCAAGCCTCCGACAGGTACCAGTTGAGCAGTCATGAAGCGGGGTTGCTCAGCAGGGGAATTTCTCCTTGGCCATATGATCCGAGAACAGGCGAAAAGACGGGAAGTACCGCCGAGTACGGGTTGAGCGATCGCGATTATAGGCTGCAGAGGAACGGGATACCTCCTTGGCCGTACGATCCGAGAACGGGCGCAAAACATAAGTTTACGACCGGTTACAGGAACATGCCCGGTTGAGCAATTGAAGATGGTCCAGGGGACCCGTGATTGGGGATGAAGAGTTTGACACGGTCTACGCAAGAAATCTGGGTGTATGCTGCGCTTGATCGAAGGGCGCCTTCCTGATAGGCAGAAATGGACGTAGGACAGCCGCATCATTTTCTTCCTGTTCACGACTTTACGGTCGTTGCGACGCGAGGCTTCATTGGTTACAAGGAATAGAATAGTGTTTAAGCAGCGAATACGAAGTGTCGCGCTCTTGTCGAGTTGAGGATCTATGTTTCCTCCCTAGCTAGATCTTCACATTGTGTAAGCTTGTGGTCAGTGTTTGAGCCATCTTTGAACAGCCCTCATGCCAAATTTGAGTATCGCAGTGTGGAATGTTTGATTAACAAAGCTACCTCTCTGGCTCCTGCCTTCAAAGTGTCTGTCTATATATTCTGGCGATTCCCCTAAGATGTCCTTCCCCTTCCCCTTCCCCTTCTCCTTCAGAATCTTCCACAGCAGATCCCACCCACTCAGCTACTTTAACATCTCCCTCCTTTTTGCCGACAGCATACAAAAGCTGTGCTTTCGCTGACTTTCCTTCCGTGCCAAACGCGCGGGTTACCTGGCTGCCAAGAAGCCCGTGTGTTTGTAGGTATGGCACCAGGCGTCCACTGCCTCGAGCTCTTCGTATGTGGTGTATTGATGCGTCGAACGACTGGTCTGGCAGTGAGGAGCCCCAACAATGTCATGGTTGGTTACCGCGACTTCGCTGGTCGCAATCGTCCCCTCTCCAGATAGCCGATGCTACGGCTGGGCAGCTGCCTTTGTTTGAGATTGTAATTAGCATCGCAAGTCTTGCTTGTCTCGGAAAGCTATTGAGGCGTAGGTACCTTGGTTGTCGCTGGTTGGACTTCGACGTCAGAAGCTCCAGATGCCTCACTGATCTCCCCACGCTTACGCTTTCTCGAGGTCTTCGCCCCCGCTTGAAGTTTGCGGTACTCGGTCTCCGACAGAAGCTGTAGTCACAACCAATGGTCAGCAATTTGTGATGGTTTATCGCCAAAAAGACACATTACCTTATTTTTCTTTTGCTTCCAGAGCGTAACTTCAAAGTCGAAGACGTTGTCCATAATGCCGTCCCACAGGTCCTCCATTTCGTGTTTCTGGAGCTTCTTTTTGGGGTTTGCGGCTAGCACCTTCCTCGCGGTCTCAGGGTAGGAGATTCGGTGGAGAGGTAGCAGGCGAACATCTGGGACAATAATGTCTCCAGTGACGGCGGTTGTCATTACTACAGCCCATTTGTTTGTTTTGTGCTCCGCCTCTGAAAGGTTACGGTGCGACCGGTAGAATACGCTTTGCTTCTTGCACCAGTACCTCAAGAGCTCTCGCAGCACTTGAGTTGTGCTCGTGATATTGTGGCCGAATAAGTCGGTAATGGTCCATAAGATGTGAAATGTTTAAGCTGGTGTATTCGAGCTGGCTTTGAACAGCGATCACATCGTCGAGAAAGACAATGTGTTTGTCCTGGTCTCGTTTGGTAAAGCGGGTAGATCTTTCGGAAGCATATGCAAGACATTCGAGCGGGCGACTTGTATCCATCACAGTAAGCGTGATATTAGACCAGGACTTTTCCATCTCCAACAGTGTATGCTCGTCGACTCCCGTTTCTCTTTCCAGGCCTTCTCATCCACTCATTGCTCCCAGAATTGCTGGACTGCAGGGCATAACCGTCTCGCAAGATCTGCTGCCCCTTTGTACCACATACCTCCAAGCTCCTGCACAATGCTTACGATGAAGTCAAGGCAAGGGCTGTTCCTCAGGATCTCCGCAAAGTTCTTATAGTATGGGTTCTCGGATCTCGAGGACAGTTTTCTCCACTGATTCATCCACCCATTTTTATATATAATCTCCCCAAGTCAACTTAGCAACACCCGACAGTGCGATGGGACCCAAAGCCGGATAGCATCCGGTTGCTCTTGCTTTCGTTGAGTTAAGCCAGAAGTCGCTTTTTCTCACATTGTGACCTTCTGTAGTTGCTTCCTTTACCCATTTGGCAATGCCTTTCTCAATGTTTTCGAGGTCGTTAACATATTGAGAAGGAAAGTCCATGGGGACATGTCGGGGGTCGATTGGCGGTAGATGAAGCATTGGGTTGCCTCGGAATTGGGATCTCTCGGTGCGTCTCAGCATGGTCACTTCGCATAGCGGAGTGAGCTGGTTCTGGTGCCTTTCAAATCTCTCCTTGTCGCAGGTCCCTTTCTGCTCTGCTGTGTATGCGCTTATAGTATGACCGAATTCATCCTTCAATCCGAATTTCCAAGGTGTTTCTTCTTTCCACAAGTCCTCAGAGCCAGTGGAGAGGACACTTAGTACTCCCTCAATATCCTTTGGTGATTTTGACATTGGGGTACCTGACAAGGCAATGAACTCCTGATGTGCGGACATCTAGAGCATTTTCGGGTACCTTTAGGGATCAGTAACATACTTGCTCAAGCTGAAAGATGCGCGTTGGGTCATCACTATTCGTGTGCGTTAAATCCGAAGTTTCACGACGGAGTGCCTGTACATACCCTCTAACCCCACGCCTTGTCTCTCAGATCTGTCTCGGCGAAGACCTCGTCCAACACGTTTACCCCGTTCGTCAACACCCTTCCGCAACTTGTAGTCCCCATTCTTCAGGACTCCTTCAACGTACAGCTTCTCTTTGCCCTCGTTCTTCGCAAAAACCTCAGGGTCTTCGCGATAGAGGTTCCTGGCCTGCATGGTGTGCCTTTTGTTAGCCATGTCGCCACTGGCAGCATCATGTTTGCACGGGCAAATTCCTTACATTGAATTCCGAGGTCTCGAATGGCGCGGAAGGGCCTGATTCGTGTTGTGGAGGGGTGTGTTGAGTAATATATATGTATGTATTGGATTGTGAATAACAGGAGTAACGAATGTCAGATATCTGGGACACGGTGGCTGGTAGGGCAGGTCTATGGCGTTTGTGACAGAGCGAAGCATTTTCGATGAAGTATGAAGCCATTTGGAAGCCATTCTGTTTGGTGCTGTCGCATGCCCATCTCACATCAGGTCAGTGTCCCCTGCTGTCATGTTATGTTAACTCTTTCGAAGCCTCTTTTGCGAAGGCGATGAGCCTAGATTATGCATCTCAGAAAGTCTCCGTTGGACTTCGACGATGTAGCGACAAAGATTCTGGCACCCGACAAGAAAACCCTCAGGCTTTGAAGCTTCTGGTGGAGGAATAATGGGGTTTAAAAACAGGGTTGATGCCGGTGCAGTAGTCGTAGGTCGGAGGTAAGAGGACCACGAAAGAGACGAGAGCGCCAGCAGAGAGCACCGAACCAACCCAACACACACACCACCCTCCCCACCGCCAAATGGCTGCATGCAGCCCAGTATCCGTCCAGCTCAGGCGAAGGGGTCAGCAGGTGGCATGTTGTAAAATTCACCGGAGGAGCTTGCAAAAAAACGGGCACCACGGACGGCGAAGCTGCTGCCATGGCGTCCGCTAGGAGTCTGCGTTTGCACGGGCACGTCGACGTAAGCTGCATCTCCGGGTGCTGGCAGTGGCATGATATGAGACTTCACCTCTTCGTCGGTCATGCCTTGGTATGCAGCGATGTAGTTAACGTCCTCGTGTTTGCATGCGGTCTTCTTATTGTTGTAGTTACCGCCATGGACCACCCTGCCTAGAGGGGACTCCTTGGAAATGCGCCGATTGATGCGATTCTTGACGTCGCGAGACCCTTGGGGTTAGGGTTAGGCAAGTGACGAAGGAGTGGTGGGAACTGGTTTCGATTGGAGGGCGCTGCGTAAGAGATCTTAAGAAGCAGGGTGTGAGTCTATGTGTCATGCCATGTCATATTGTATAGGAGAGAATGGTAGAAAACGATGATATATATCAAACAGAATCTGTACCAGAAGTGCTATTATAGATTATACTCGATGGATCTGCTGCAGAGTATGAGGAAGGAAGAAGGGAGGGTGGAGGTCAGAACTTGGGGGTTTATATACCCTCAAGTGACAAGAGAATTCACAGCGATCTGGGAGATGAATGCTGACTCAAACAGTGACGCATAGAAATGAGCTTGGAAATTAGTATTGTGGGTGGGTGAATCATTCCATTCAAGTGACATAAGCGGAGTATTCACTACCTCTCGTGAATCCTTTGAACACAAAGCTCTTAGTTGCCACATTAAGACAGTGAAGGTCGAGTAACCCCTTTCCAACAACCGTTACCATGGCCGATCAACGTTCCAGTGCTCCCCTCCGAACACCTTCACTCAAGTCTGACAATAAGTCTTACCACTGCTGCCAAGACCCAATCGAGAGTGATATATAGCCCGTCATCTACTCAAAAGAGTTGTTGTAATGGCGTTTCGAAAATTTGAATGTTGCATTTCTGGAGTATACTGAGCAAATGTTCGAACGCCATTTCGATCCTTCGACTCGATGGTATCAAGAGCTGGACAGGGACGATATCAACTTCTATTTTGAAGTCCAGGTCAGGCGAGCCTACGGCAAACCCGACCCAAAGCGCAGAATCTTGCTAGAACAGGTAGGCAAAAGACATCTCGAATCGGCGTGTTTGAAAAATTCTAGAAACGCTAATGCTTGTTGACAGATCACTTGCTCCGAGGTCTCCGAGTTATGGTATGAGAAAGCAACCCCAGAGGCCCAAACGTGTATGAGCATACGGGCGCGATATGCTCGGAATCCATGGCTTGACGTCTGCCTCAAAAGGACATGTATGCGAGCAACATGCTGATGTGGCTTCCATTCTAGCTCACAAGCAACTCCAGAATGAAAGTTAACAGTCTGAGCGCGAAGACGAACAAGTCATTAGGGACGGTGGTCATGGACATAGTCTGGTGCTCTGCGGGGAAGGTGAACACCGTCAGTATAGTGATGAGTGCCGGAAGAGAGCCAACAGAGTACTAACTGATGTTTGAAAATCGAAATCCCCCGGCTTCCGCGCCCCTCAGCCTGCCTCTCCATCCCCTACATAGTGATGACGAAGGACATGACGGATGACGAGGAATGTAACGGCAAAGTCACACATCTCGGGCCGCAGCGCAACGGATGAAGGCTTCGATTACATTGCCAGCAAGCGCACTGGCACAGAGACAGAGAGTCGGGACAATGATCATGTCGGCAAAGGAAGGGCTCGACTCAGGCATGGCAAAACGTACAGGCAGAGGCATAGTCTCACCAAAATGTGAACACATCACAGTCACATGTTGTATTCGGCCTTAAACAACGATCGTAATTGACCTTCGCGTTGACCTTAAAGTCTAGTTGTATCATCTTGGCAGTCCGGCGCGGGAGTACCCACCAATCAGACTACCTCGTTTCTCCGCAGTTTGATATATGCCTATGATCTACTATGCTAACCTCTCTAGGCTAGACTACCAAGATGATAGACGAGTACTTCCTTACTACTCTCTGCTTCTCTACTCTAATAAATTGACGAAGACCCTGAGATGAGATTCTGGCGCTAGCCAGCCATCCTTGCACTTTGCCAAGACCTACTCGTAACTTCCCAAGCAAGGTAGTAGGTAGCCACTTGCACTCTCCAGATCGATCAAAAATCAACCAATATCAACCCATTGACTAACCAACAAACGGTCGGACCCGAGATGAAGCGATTCTGCCAGCGGCTAGAAACGCCCCTATCGTTGCACAGTATCTGTCGCTGAACTGCTGCTTGCGGCTAGCCTGCATGACAACTACTCTCGATCAGGAAGCTGGGCAAGAGACCGTGGAGACCTCGAGATAGCTTCATGTACGTTATGACCGCTACGACGCAACCTCCTGCTCCTCCCGGCAAGGTGAACACAGCACTCTTCCAATGAGAATGTTCTCTCCTGACCCTTACAGCAATAGGTAATATCAGTTGCAAGACTCACATTGTGGGGGAAGCTCTGCTTTGGACAGACGGACGGACCTTCCTCATTTGCTTCTGCCAGGTGCTAGATAAAGGGCAGTAAGTACCTCTCTCTCTCCTGCAGCTGCAGGTTCCCAATACAAAGTATCCAATATGCTGATGCACCTTCGTTCAGTCTCTTTTGGCCTTCTGGCTGCCTCAACCTGTATCCTTAGCTCTCCTCTGCGCTCTCGCACCGAATACGCCGTCAAAGACACCCACAAGGTACCAAGAAAATGGCATGAGGTCGGTTCAGCGCCTGCAAATAAGCTGCTACACTTGCACATTGGTCTCAAGCAAAGCCAATTCGACGAGCTTGAAAGACATCTCTATGAAGGTATGTCGAGCCGGTTCTCAAGCCCCCCAACACGCATGAGAAGCCCCCCGAGAATGGCTAACACTGCTAACGTTTGCTTGTGGTATGTACAGTTTCGACGCCCTCCCACCCTCGCTATGGTCAGCACCTCACCAATGAAGAGGTTGACGAGCTGGTCAAGCCTGCCGATGATACCCTGAGCCTTGTTCACGACTGGCTCTTTGACAGTGGCATTGATCGAGCCCAGCTTAGTTATAATAGAGCGAAAGACTTCATTCAAGTATCGCTGCCTGTCCGTGAAATTGAACGCCTTCTTGATACCAAGTACTCGATCTATGAACACCTTGATGGCGACCGCATCATTCGGGCTCCCAAATGGTCGCTGCCAAAGCACTTACACGAACATATCGATACGATCCAGCCCACGAATTCTTTCTTTCGACCTGCTGGCCGTCGAAGGACACTTAAGACGATCAAACCATTCGAGGAAGTTGAAGCCGCTCCTGCTCCGGACTTCTCCGCTGAGACCGAAGTTGCTGCCACGCCTGATTCTGCGAATGCTGCCGTGGCCAAGGTATGCAATACAACCTTCGTGACGCCACTGTGTCTTCGAACCTTCTACGGGACCAAAGGATACACACCGCAAGTGCCAGGCAAGAACCAAATCGGCTTGACGGACTTTTTGGGGGAGGCAAACAACCGTTCCGATGTCCAGATATTCCTCGAGATGTTTCGCAAGGGCGCAGCATCAGAGGCCGAGACTTTTAGCGTTGATGTCATCAATGGAGGCGATAACCAGCAGACGCCTGACACTCCTGCACAGTTGGCCGCAGGAAAGGATCTGGAGGGGAATCTTGACGCTGAGACGATCATTGGCATTGATTACCCGACTCCGCTTACTGCATTTACGACGGGTGGAATGCCTCCATTTAATCCAGATGATCTCACTCGTAAGCCAACCATATTCCAGCTGAGCCTCTTTCCAGCAGTCACTGACGGTGTATGTAGCCACCGACACCAATGAGCCTTATTTGCAATTCCTCAACGCAGTATTGGACATTGATACCCTTCCTCAAATTATCAGCTCTTCCTACGGTGACGACGAGCAAACTGTTCCCGAAGCCTACGCCAAAAAAGTCTGCAACCTCTTTGCTCAACTGGGAGCCAAAGGCACATCCTTCCTTACTGCAAGTGGTGACAACGGTGTCGGACCTACTGCCGACTGCTTCACCAACGATGGCAACAATACCGCTACCTTCCTCCCCTCCTTCCCAGACGGGTGCCCCTACGTTACCAGTGTCGGAGCCACTAAGAACTTCAATCCTGAAGTCGTGGCGTTTGACACAGAAAATGGCTTTTCAAGCGGCGGCGGTTTCAGCAACTACTTTGCTCGTCCAACATACCAAAATGACAACAGTGTCGTAAAGAATTACATCTCGAGTTTAGGCGGCGAGTTCAATGGTCTCTACAATAAAGCTGGCCGAGGCTATCCAGACATCGCTGCCCAGGGTCAACGGTTTGTTACCATCTGGAATGGAACTATCACCATCCTTGATGGCACGAGTGCTTCTACACCTACAGCCTCTGCCATCTTAGCTCTGGTCAATGATGCCCTACTCGCAGCTGGCAAGCCCGCTCTTGGGTTCCTAAATCCATGGCTGTACTCGACGGGCTATTCTTCGTTCTCAGACATTACGAGTGGCTCGGCTATTGGTTGCGGAGGAAGTGGCTTCCCAGCATTGGCCGGTTGGGATGCTGTTTCTGGGTTTGGAACACCGGTAAGCATTGCTAGAGCCAATATCCCAAAGGGCTTTGCTGATACATTATTGTCTAGCATTTCCCCAGTGTCAAGGCATTGGCTCTAAGCTCAAACGCAAAGGAGCGAGTTTAAGATGGATACGCTGGGATAGCTTTTGGAACGGCTGCTTGCACTCTGCATTGGGCCTCCAGCTTTTTGGATTGGCTATCCACCTACTAGCAATAGCAAGCAGTCTTAGTAGTAATACAACGTTACGCGAGAAACAATTGTTGTGACCTAAGTTCCTCTTTCTTCCCTGGGAAAAGTCCGTCGCCAATTCTAGCGCTTCGCTGGTCGCACTTGACTTTTCTGAATCGCGTCTTGCCATCTAACACAACATCATTTTTCAACCAATTTGAATCCAAATTACCAATCGCACGACAGCGTGCTTCTATCTTTTCTCAAGTATTAAGATCAGCACTATTACAACTCGAAATCCACCTGACCGTGCATCTCTCCATCTTACTACAACGAACTCGAATAAGCCGCTCAATGCCGTCCACCGCCCACTGTTTCCACAACACTGCATCGACCTAACCTCCGAACTCAACCCTTGCACAGATACCTCCAGCCGATGCTTTGGCTCACGTAGCGCGTCCACCAATGGAGTACCATGACCAGATTGCCAGTGATCCTCGAATGGATTATATCACCCAACCTTCACTATCAATCGGTCAGCTGAGGAAGGATCTCAAGCGCAAAGCAGGGGGTGATGATCACGAGGGGAGGAGGGTGAGGAGTGGAGCGCCCCCACCGTCCGCAATGTGAGTTGAGCTGGTGTTTGGGTGGGTGAAGGCGGGTGAGACTAATGAGTACCTAGGCCTGCGAGTCCGAGCGTTGATGTTGTGCCACTGCCCGCTAGACTGTGGGCGCGAAACAAGGAGGGTAGGCGCTCCGAGGGTAAGGAGGATGAGGGATACGTAAGAGCTATGGAGAAGTCTGGGGGGAACCCGTTCTCACCGTCGTATGTCTCGCCGTCTTCGCTTTTTGGAATTTGGTCTGATGAGCATCTAGGCCACCAGACGTCGGTATGACGCCGCATTCGACTGGTTACTGGGCGGATGTCAAACAAGACAGAAGCAGCTTCGAACTAGAACATGCGCGCCAGACAGGAGCCACCAGAGCCTTGAACCAACAACAAGTCTTCATTTCTTCGTTATTGTGAGTCTGGCGAATCCTTTGTTTGTATGCGATACCTAAATGATGTTGAGGCCTGAAACGCGTGGTACGCCGCCAAGTTACAATGGATATGAGGCATCCAGTTCCTCGTTGTGAGTCATGCATGTTCCTCATTGTATGCGGTGACCTAAATGCTGCTCAGGCCTAAAATGTATGGTACGCCGCCAGGTTACAGCGGGTATCAGGCGATGCCAGCAGCGGGCCATGCGAAGCGCAAGAGGGGCAACGGTGAGGATTTAGAAGAAGGGGAGATGGTTGAAAGTTCAAAGCGAATGTATTCCAAAGCAGTGGACGCGCCTTCACCAGTGTGAACCTTACCATTACTGTGAGTTTGGGCACGATGCTAACCTACGAGCCAGACTGCAACGAGAACTCGGTCCCACCGTCGTCGTCTTCTCACACAGTAGCCTGCGTCCCGGTCAACTCCTTCCAGGCGGCGAGATTGTCGGTTTCATAGAACTCCCTCCTCTCGCCCAACTCTACGACCTTTACCATCTTACCTCCTTCAAGTCCAAAGTCGAGCACGCATGGTTCCACCATACTTGGCAACAAATTCACAAGTCTGCTGGAATCCAAAGACCTTCCTGGCCGCAAAATTACTGGCCTGAAGAGATCAGACAGTCTGGGTCTGCGAGCAAAGATCACACTCTCCGCGCCATCAAGACTTTCAGACAGCTGGGCGAGGAGAGGTGGCAGGTTCCGAGATCTGCGTTGTTCGACGAGACTCTACACTTGCTGCTGAAGGAGATGGATTACACTATGTTGCTCCTGCTTGTACACGATCACCAAGATGATCAGGATGCCTGGTTAAATAGGCTGAAGGTGCTTGTTGAGAGACTTGATCCTGCGCTCCGGCCAAAGAATCAGCTTGCCAACCTCGCGAGTTCCGCAGTCGCATGGAAGCCCAACGCCGAAGACTTCTATACCAGAACACATCCGTGGTGCTCGCCATCAGCACTTCCAGCTGGAATGGAAGATTCGCGAGAACATGCAGTCTTCTTCAACTCTTGGCCTAAACTCACCTTACCTTCTCAACCATGGTCGGATTATGAAGAGACGAATGTTGTACAGGACGAGTCAATGGCTATGATGATGTGAACGAAGAGCCGGTTTCTCCAGAGTCTATTTGTACGCCTCGCGGAAAGGTAGTGTAGAGGCTCACAAGGATGCTGAAGAAGAGCTGGATGTGTGAGATGCATACTTCTCTAGAGCGTTGTGGCTAAGCTTAGATAGCGCATCAAGTTGTTCCGATTCAACCACAACGATGCTGTCGGTTTCACCTTTGAAGAGCTATAGAATGGCGAACAATTGAGGACCTACGTCCGGCAGTCGTGTTACTTTAGGCTCCTTTGCACGTTGTCCGAACCTCGAGAGTTCCAAACTACGTCCTCGGGTCCCCCAAAATCTCCTACTTGTATATTTCTCGGGAGATCTCGAAAGCATACCGTAACCCCTTGAATGCTGAAATGAGATAGTATGCGATTGACGCCTTTGAGCCCTGAGATTGATTCATCGATGGGGTTTCCTGACCTACACAAACATACTCCCCGAAATGCAGTTCAATTGCCCCACCGCCCCTTGCATATGGTGCAAATTCCCTTCATCGCAGCGTCAAACAGCCGTGGAAAGAGAAGTCGAACGCTCCCTGGTGGCCCCAGCAATGCCGTTTCGTTCTAGTACTCATGCTCACGAATTCGTTATCACTGTTCCCCCTATCTAGCTAGTACATCACCACGCACTCGCAAGCCAATAGAGTTGGTCTCGCAAACCCCTTTCCGAGGTCCGATGGTTATGGCATAGTAATGATGCCACCGTTACGCGCTCTCCGTTACAGAATTAGGGCGCGTAGAAGCTGACAGGGAGGGAAAAGGCTTCAGATACGTTCTCGAGACCACCGGTATCAATGATTTCGGATGCGTGAATTGCAAGGGCTGCAGCAAATGTTTGGGGGTGCTGTGGCCGTGTGGGTGGGTTTTCGAAAGGTGAAAAGGGGAAAAGGATGTCGATTGGAGAAAGAAGGCGGAGGAGTCGAACCGTGAGGGAAGGAAAAAGAAGCAAATTGAGCGGGCGATCAGAACCGCTGTAGTTTACAGTGGCGATTACCTACTCTTTAGGTCCGTGACATAGGCAATGAATGAAGTATTGCGTGAATCGAGGGGTACAGACCGGTCAAGCGCACCAACAGTTGCCGAATAGACGTTGCAGCAACAGCCGGCATTCCGTAGAGCGGTGTTCCTATTCCGATACAGCTCAGCTGAGAGTAGAGAATCTACGACCGATCCCAATCATTTCAACCCAGGGCCTTGACCGGCGACTGGTGGCTTGGACACATCACACCCTCCATCGACCCCTTTCTCCACCCCTCGTCTCCAACATCCCCACCCCACCCTCTCACTCCTCCCCATCCTTCCCATCACCCCCCCTCTTCCTCGGCGCCCAGAAATAATCTCGCCATCTACCCCCCCGTTTCCCCCGTCCCCTCTTTTCCAAAGCCGCCTGTTCGCGTCTCGCCAGCTTCTCCGCCCTTCGGTGTCTGCGTCTCGCTTTCCAACCTTCCCACCTGCTGCTGACGTAGGCTATTGCGACATAGACAGGCCTTATTCTGTTGTAAAACTGACAAGACCATTGTATACCCCCGCACACGCAGAGGACAATGAGTAACCAAGCGAGCGGATGCGCCATCATACTGTCGAAGATCTTGCCTTTGACACTCCTGCGATAAACAGGTATCGTGTTGTTCATTCGAGGAGGGAGAGGTGGTAACGAGTACGGTCGGATGGCGGTAGGGGCTTTGAAAGCCTGGAGTCGTCGGGTCCTTGCTGCACATGCTGAAGAAAAGTTGAGAGTAGAAAATCGACTGATCGGCGCACGATATGCTATGCGTGAGAGTCGTGGAGCGGCCCCGAGGAACCTGGCCCCGCGGGGTCGCTTGGTCGCGAAGCAGCGACTTGTGGAACCTCGTAGCATGGTGTTCATGGTAGTGCGTCAGAGATGTTAGGCTTCGATGCAGTATGTGAGCAAGAAATTATAAGTGCCATGGTTGGGGTATGCAAGGGCGGTGAAGAACGCAAAAATTGTCTCACCACAGCGCTTAACGAGCGTCATTTGCTGGAAATGCGAGATGCATGGGCTACAAGCCTAAGAAGTCCGACAACCCATACTTCTCAACCTCAAGTAGTCAAAGAGTACAGGCTGGACCCAGAGATCCCCGACCAATCCTGTCTGTTCTCGAGCATGACTTAGAGGGAAAGCTTGAGCGCAGCCTCTCATCATCTCGCACAGTGTCAGCTGCTCAAGATTCTTAGGTTAATCCAGAAGAGTTCAAGCCTAGTTGTCTGCACACTAACGGCAGAGTCTGAAGATTGTATCTGTAGCATTCGGACTTGACAAAATCGACGTTACAGGATCTCTGACTGAGATTTGACTGCAATAAGGTTCAAATGGTAAAATATGTAGAGGCTACAGCCGAGATACCGTGTCACTCAAGTGCATACAAGCGTCGACGACACAAAGCATCAATTAGACAGTCACCCTCTCGCAAATTCTATGCTGTTATAATGCTAAGCCTACACGAAGCGGAGTTACAGCGGAGGCTTCTCGATAGACATGACTTGAGCAGCCAACATGAGAAACATAGGATTCACAATGCTATTGCTTCTCTTAGCAAATCTGCTCTCTAATCTTAGTGATCTATCCCCTTCGATCGCAGCACATTGGGGTAATGAGACAGGGACGTCTATATGGATGACTGCGATATACTTTGGCTGTCCAAAGATTGACACAACTCTTGTGAAGACGTGGGTTTGGACGATTGAACTGGCGCGCGAAAGACAGGCACATTTGTGCGAGCGGCGGCGATCTTGTTGTATCGCTCCTCGAGGGTCAAGAAGATCCCGTGGGCCAACTTCTCGAACTTTGTCTCGTCAATGGCTTCCGCCGCCTCGCGAGCTTGCTCGAGACGGATCTTGACTGGAGTGGCATCGGTGTCGAGCGATGTTGCGTATTGCTTCAGCTGGTTGTACTGGTCAAGCAGATTTTGCTTCGCCCGTTCCTTGGCTGCTTTGGCGGCATCACGCTCGAACTTCTGGGACTTGAGGCCGAGGCGACTGGACCTGGGTGAAGCAAAAATCTTTGTCTGGTACTTAATCAAGTAGAATCAGCTTTGTGCTAATTAATGTTAGATATTGGGAGAGCTGCTAACCATACTGTTGCCTTTCTTGACTTTCTTGGCCGGCTTCTTTGAGCCTTCATTGCTCTCGGTACTTACCATCCGCTTAGCTTTGGACTTTGTGAGCTCCTTGGGACGAACGTAGTCCTTGATTAAGTTCTCCCTCATGGTTTCTTGGATGTCCTTCTTGTCACCTTTCGAGATGCTGCTGGGGGTAAGGATGAGGTCGAAAGTCTTGAGACCCTTGAGCACCTTGAAACGATTGGTAAAGCAGACATGCTCAGACACTACCTCCTTAGGAAACTTGCCTTTCACAGTCAGACCGATATGGGTTATAGGCATCTTCGTCAATTCTCTCAATAGAAGCGCCCAGCTTGAATTGGAGAATTCGCCGATGTAGAACTCGATGTGCATCCCTGTCACCAGATCGTGCTGAGTTGGAGCAAGTAGAAAGCCCAGAAAGTCATGGGCGTAGATTGGAGAGTTGAAGCAGAGCTTATTAGTTGTCAATGGCAGGTGACGTGCTTCATTGTAGACCTGGCGGCAGGTGCCGAGCAGTGCAGTATGGATGTTGCCACGATGACTAGCACACTTGCGTTGGTTGCCATCTTGCAAGAAGGCAGAGCAATAGATCTTGTCTCGGATCTCTCCCGGTAGCTTGAGGAACGGGAACACTCCTGTGCGCACGTATGGCAGGCCATCCACGTCTTCCATCTTGAGTACACCCGCTTCAACCCACCATCCTTCATCTTCGAAGAAGGTCTCGTGACACTGGCAGATGCATCTCTCATCTATACAACCACTAAAAGCCTCACCGATGAATTCAGCCTCGTCAAAATCGTCCGGATCATTGGCGGGGATCCAGCAACTTGGGCAGACGTCCGGGTCATTGCATTCGCCATAGCAACTCTCTCCACAGTAGCTGCAGAGGGGTTCGTGTACATCTCCGCACTCAGAGCACATGATGGACGAACGCTTGCGTATCTGGTATGTTGAAGGATGAGATGCTCGTGGACGTACTAGCTTTTGGGACACGTCGACGAGAGAGAGACAAAGAGAGAGAAAGAGAGAGTCGATCGACAGTGAGTCTGGCTGAATATAGGCTGGAAGGGAGTAGGAGAGATGTGGAGGACGAGGAGGATCAAAGAAAGAGAAGTGTGGAAGATGCTGGATGTTGATCGCTAGTTCCCGTTTGGATAAGTCTTGGCGCGAGACCGGGTCTCCGTCCTCATGACAAAGGCATGGGAAGTCAGCTTACAGACAATCTCATGGATCGATCCTCAAATGGGACCCCATGATATACAGATTGCAGCTTCCAGATATGGTAGTTCGTGGTTCAATTGCGATAAAAGAGAAGGGCTAGAGCACCACGACGACCTGCAATACAAGCATGCCCCTGTCTCTGCTACCGTCTCACAGCTCCTGAAAAGACCTTTCCGAGCCAGGCACTTCCATTTTCGTTGTACTCCTCTCTAGTGACTTGGACTGCTTTCAACGCGGCAGGGTCCGCTGCGAGGTAAGCACCACCGAGCCAATTTGACTTGATTGGACTACAGACTGTCAGTAACGGCAGGAGCCATCGCGCCAGAACTCAGGACCAACATACTCAGAAGCTCTTGCAATACGAATTACACACTCCGAAGGCGCAAGCTGCCGAATCTCTGTCTCGCTATTTACCACATCAGCAACGATAAAGGCACGAAGCCCAGAGATACCTACAGCCTTGACATGAATCCCTCAATCTTCGAGTTGCCGCCCACGACAAGAATGTTCGCCAACATAGCCGGCCACAGTCCTGGCGGTAAACCAGATAGACTCTGCAAGGCGATAGCTGGCAACCCCTCCTGCTTCATGCCCACATCTCCCGGACTGAATAATAGCTCTGGCACCGTGAACCTCTCGTTTCCAAGGGTCATATAGTCTTCGACGACATCACCTGCTCCGGCCATCGATCCCATCTTCCTCATCTTCGCAGTCGGAGAAGGGTCATGAGGACGCATGAAGCCATGCTTGTGAGCGTTATAATCTGGAAGCACATAGTCAACAACGATGTCCCGCTCGTCACCTATAGCTTTCTTCCGGCTTATAGAGGTTCGCTTCCAAGTCCGCTCAAGATCACGTTTGAAGTCCTGGCTGACGTAGCAGACTGCTTCCTTGATTTCGTTCATTACATAGCTTTCGTCGAGCATATTATAATGGCGGATCGAGATGAGTTCTTTCAAGTAGTTCGTCATGAACTTACCACCGATGTCAAGACGGCGGACGGCTTGCTGTATGGGCCGACCATTGAAGAGAGGGGTGACGGTTGAATGAGAGTAGCCTGAGTCAATGACAAGCAAACACTCGGCAGGGAGAGCAGCAAGATCGTGTCCGCGAGGGGGTGCCCCAAAAAGGCTTTGGATGTCCTGATAGGCGTTCAGAGATGGACCTACCTTAACGTTAGTCCGACCTTTAATATAGGAGTGGTGCTGGTACTACGAACCAAGGCATCTACTATACGAGGCGAACTCATACTCTTCGAAGACGACCTGGTCACAGTTGGTTTGGAGAGACACTGGCGTATTTGGCGCTTCTGTGAGAATGAGATTTGTGGTTTGAGGGTCACACTTTAGACCACTCAGCACAATGTACCATCAACGATGATAGCGAACACTTACCGCCAATTTAGCGTTCTTCTCAAAAAACGTATTATCCCAAATAGCTTTTTGGGCTTCCCAATTGACGAGAAAGCCCTTTTCAACCGGCCTACGAAAGGCGATTTCGCCAAAGTCATTGCATTTCTCTAACTGTGCTCCGATCCATACATGTTTCCCACGGTCTTTTGCGAGGCAATTTGGAATGGCCTGACAATCCTCTAACCTCAATGTTGATGTAGCGAAGCCAGCTTTCATGGTATGGGCTCCATTGTCGATGATCAATGTCTGGGTTGGCAGCAGACGCTCTACTGGCTTGGCTTGACGTGGAGCCATGATGTTGAGTACGAAATCTCGGCGCCGTACCCATATACCCGTCTCATTTCAACCAGTAGTATCCCAGACACTTCTCACATTCATCATCCTGCATTCAAGATGAAATAAAAAGAACAGATACCTTATTCACACTCGGCCAAAAGGCACTAGTAATCTTCTCCCACCAACGCTAGTCCTCATCCATCAACTTGTCAAACTTTCGAATAAATGTTCTCAGCTTCAAACTGCTTTCTAGGCCTTACCGCTGTAATGATCTTCACAAAAAATGGCCCCTTCCAAACAATCAGACGCCCTTGCAACCTTAAAGACTACCATACTGAACCTCAAGACCCTCCTTCACCGCTTCCATGCCGCTCTCCAATCTCCAACGCCTGTCCACCCACCCATCGAAGACTCTCCGAATCCTCTCGCGCTCCTCTCCGATGCTTCTCAGATCCTCAAAGCGCAAACTACGAAGCTTTCTCTCCTAATCCTCAACAAGCCGTTCACGGCGTCCGCCATAGTTCTTCATCTTGAACTCTCTGTCCAACAGCTGCCTCCCAGCGATGATGAGCGCACTCGAGCTCTGCCCTGCAGAAGAATACACCAACCTTCTACACCAGTACATACAAACTTCACTGTCGAGGATGATGATGGAATTGCAGAGTTTGCTAGCATTGATACCGCAGGATGAGCACGGCATCGAAAAGACTGGGAGTAGAGATATTTTGGCTTCTACTGGCGTGCTATGGGCAGAATGCGACAAGGTGGTTGCCCTTGGCTCGGGTGGCCTTACGAGGCTTGCAGCGGAGAGGATTGAAGAGTTTCATGGCTTGTTAAAGGACGCCATCGCGGAGCTGGAGGAGTGGGATCCAGACGAGGAGTCTGAATCAGATACAGACTCCCTGACCTCCAACAAGGGGACCACATCATCCGCTCGGCCGGTCGATGCTTCTCTCGAGAAATCGCTCCAAGGCCTCACTCTTTCACCCGTTGCTGCCCTCCGGAAACGCACCCTCGTTATCCTCCGCATAATCCGTTTGCTTTACCCTGCGCTGATCAAACGCCGGATCTTGACATTTTCCAATATTAACAGCTCTACTACGTCGGAGAGCCTTCCTACATCATTGCATATACAAAGTCTAGATGCACTACTCGACCACACCAAGCAATTTACGGAGGAAACGGACGAGATCGCTGGAGCTCTGTACGCTGGTGATGAGGAGGAAGTGGAGGATCGGTTGGGGAACCTTGCGGAAATCTCGAAGATTTGTGTGGAAGAAGTACGGATTGACTGGGGTGGGAATGAGGACGAATTTACTGCGTGGGCGGAGAAGTGGAAGGCACGGTTAGAGGAGGTAAGAAGGGGATGATGGTGGAATTGTGTAAGTCCAGCTTTGGTGTTCTATGAAGTTGGCAGTGAGCTTTTATGATACCCCAGTAGGCAAGCATTGACACTGAAAGAAAACACTCGATCATGCAATTACGTAGAGAATAACCCGAAAGCCTAACATAAGTTCATCAGCCAGGCCTTTGGGTATTCTGGGTAAAGGATTTCGGGAGCTGTGACCAAAATAAGATCAAGCCCAAAGTGGAGTTGCTACGCATAGTCCATATGTGTACAAGAGCTGAAGGGCCGCCGGCTACTTCTACACTGTGTAGCCACTTCTCTATCTTACCCAATCAATTGCCACGAAAGCCTGGGCTCGTGCATCCTGCCTAATAAATGAAGGGCAGGAGCCTGTAAGGCACACGCTTCTTGATATCCGTCCACTGATCACCATACTATGCACGCCTTTAGCACTTGATCGTCAAGACAAATGGCCATAAAGACATACCTTTTCGGTGCAGTACTTATCCATCGATGGTATAGCCCTGGAGGCGAAGTCATAAGCGAAGAGGGCCCCAACGAAAGCACCCCAGGGCAGCCCGCCCGCGGACACCGCATACCCAGCCCTCCAAAGCGTATATCCACCATAATTGATGTTTGTAGCCCAGGACCACAGTCCACCACTATACGGCTTTCCCTTGTTCTCAGGCTTGTCCTTGAATCTCTTCCTGTCCAGCTCAGACGCGAACTCGGTGACGATGCCAACGGTGTACAGCCCTAGTCCAAGCATCAATGTAGGACTCGACGTAATCACGTCCGTGATCGAAGCCGACTGTGTTGCCATTTGCGGCGCTGCACTTGTGATAGTCCCTACGCAAAGTTCGGAGTCAGCATTGCTCCTTCGAGGCAAAGAACCTGGGTTATGAAACAGGTCTCCAGAGTAGAAGGAGGGTTTTGCTCCGGAGTAATGTCTTGCGACTCAAATTTTGATGTACATCTGGGAAAGATAACTCGGAAATGTACGTACAGAGCGAGAACATCGTGTTCAGCGTATTGAATACCGAATTGAAAACTCCAATCATCAATGCTCCTGCAGGCAGCATTTCCTGCTCTGAGACACCCAGAACCCATGCTACGTGCTTCGTGCTAGCCCCCAGTGCCAATGCGGAGAGTATTGCTGGATACGGACCCAAGCCAAAGTAGGCGAGAGCAGGGTCGCGGGGCGTGGCGAAGGGAACAACGCTGCCGCCGAGGGATTGGATGAGTTGGGAACCCCATCCACGCTGCAGGATGCTATATTGGAGGACAGTGTCTGCTGCGCGGAGACCGACAAAGATGGAGGTTCCGAGAGGGGAGGGTTTCTTTTCACGGGACTGATTGTCCCAGTCTTTGGGTTCGCGAGGCATGATCAGGAGCATTTCGTACAGCGGGCTAAGTTTGTTATTTTAGCCAGTTGAAGTGGACGTCAAGAGATCGAAGAAGGGGGACATGAATGAGCATACCTAGGTACCTTAACCACTGGCCTTCGTCCTCTGAGGAAGATGGTTACCTTAGGGTTAGGCTTGTAGGGCTCAATTACATAAGAAAATTTGGGATTTCGAACGAATCAGCATCGAGGAATGATATATGATCAAAGACGCTAGGATATGCACTGCGGAGACATCTCCGCTAAGTACATCTACCCGAGGATCTACGGAATGCGCCGGGGCGTTGGAAGCGCGTCTCCAGCTCTTCTACCTGCACAAAGCGTGCTTCTGCACGGGCTCATTTGACGGAATTCTGAGGACCTTGCTTTGGACGTGGTGCTCGCTAATACCAAAGACATGCTGGCCGGCTTAGCTCCTCAGAAGTCACAGTGTCACGTCTCTAGAACATGGATTCGTCTCCATCGAAGCGACGAAGAACATCGCCCTCAACCTCTATCGCAGTGACTGTGGAGAACACAGATCTTGGACCATTGCCTCGGAATGGCGCCAGCCCAAGCAGGAGACGATCATCCTTCATGTCGCCGACAAAAGCAAGCCTCGCGCGCTTCCATCCAAATATTCTGCCTCGGGCTAAATCGGTCGAGCCGCTTAGGCCTGTCAGCAAGGAAATACATGACACTTTCGAGCAAGATCCCGTCGTGGGAGGTGGAACGAAACAAGTAGTAGGGCATGTTGCAGGCACAGCTTCGAAAGAGTCGCAATCGGGGATGAAATGGCATGGAGAAGAGACATGGACTTCTAGTGACACCGGCGCAAAGGTCACCAAGTCCCGGAGAGGGCAACGTTTCGGCAAAGCAGGGCCAGTCTGTAGTGGACCCAAACCCTCGGGCCTCACCACCCGAGGAAGCAAGAGTCGAAGGAACGGCGGCTAATGGTACGAACGGGGTACAGCACGAGCCTGTTGCAGGAATGGCAGACGTGGGAAGCACTGGCATCACATTCGTTCCGGATAGTCAGAACTCCCAATTCCCATCCACTCCAACTCAACGTGGGCCTTACGTTCCGACTTCTGGCATGGGTATTGGAGAGGACGGAGAGCCCAGTTTGCCGTCAACGCCTTCACAGTTAGGTCTAGAGCCCCCTCGGGAGAGACCAAAAGGTCTGCTTTTCAGTAGCCCGAGCAGGAGATCAAAGAGAAAAGGACGATCCAGCGCAAAGTCTTCACCATTGAGAACCCCCAATGTTCCTCCAGAGCAACCAACTCAGACACAGAAGTCCTCAACTGCCAACCTAGGACCTCGACGCTATATAGCGAACACTCCTAAGCCACCTCTTCCGCTGGAAGAAGCCCGTTTGGTAGAAATGCAGAGTAAGCTGAGTGAAGTGGAAAAGCAGCTCCAGAACATCGAGGATAAGGTACTGCGGCAATTACTGGTATCCTCGTGGCAGCCGGGAAAAAGCAAGGAAGGGAAATACATGGCGAAGCAAAAGGAGGAAGTCACACGGCGAAGCACAAAGATTTTCCAGTTGCGGGACGAGATTCTACAGATTCAAGCTACGCAGGGTATTGACCATAGTCAGACGAGACCGGAAGGGATCGATCGGAAAGCAGCCTCTACGAAGCCATCCTCCCTCACACAGCGTCTTGCAAGGTATCTCCCATTCTCAACAAAATCTCGTCCACCAGAGCCGAGGCCTCCTTCCCCCAAAGGTACGGACGTGGACCAGGTTCTGGATTTGGACATACTGCAACCCACGGTTGTACCCTTTACGATCACCACCTCCAACAAGTTACTGCTCCCTCCCACAGTGGATAATGATCTCCTGCAGCGACAAGACATAACCATGTCAATGGCGCAGCAGTTACTGATATGCGATCTACAACTCACTGCGAATATTACCACCCAGCAAATCTCACACTTAGATATTCAAGCGCTAAGCTCATGGGCTGAGCCAGAACTAGGCTCGTGGCTGCGACAACCTTGTGAGAAAATGGAGCTGGCGGCTTTGGGAAGGGCATTTGGACGTTATTGGGAGGTTGCAAAACTTCGAGGTAAATGCTGGATCAGCTGCAAGCAGGACTTTAGAGACCTTGTTACAAATGCTCCCGAGTCTAATAGTCCGCTCTTTTTTCTCGGCGTGCAGGACCTTATCTTCGCTCGGAGCAACGTCCAGCTCAAAGTGACCTGGCGCATTTCGCTTAGTGACCAAGGCGAAGTGGAGAGCCACAGCTCTGCGTATCCCAGATTTCCGGCTGCTTGGCAGCAAGAGGCAAACAGTGAGCTTACAAGAATAGGCGACGCTTTTATAATGTTGGTGGAGGACAGAGGGATCCCTGAAGCGATTGGAATGATTTGTAAGGTAGTCTTCCCTACATGAGGCAAATTTGTTGATCTTTGCAACACAAATGGAAGAAATTTGATGGACAATTACCCTGACATGACTTGAAATTTGGTGTCGTCTGCGCAGCACTGACCTCATCAGGGTTCCTCAACCAATGACGAGCTCAGCCGCCGTTCCATACGGGTCACAGCCTCATTAGCTTTTGTAATTCAAAATCTCTATACCCAAAATCTCTGTTTCAAAACCGCTTTGTCACCATTCTCTGTCTGGCTGTGTAGTTATGACCCTCCGCGCCATGAATCAGACATGGTTCGGAGTAGGGAGATTGGCCAGATAGTTTATACCTCAGGCGCCCATGGAGGCTTTTCTTCCTTAGCAATACAGGCTCTATTGCGTTCTCATGCACCAACTGCAGCTGTTTTCACTCTTCACATCGTCCCCAATCAAAATGATAGCTGCACATCTACCCTTAAGTGTCCAAGGTCCGCTGCCGTTCTTGCCACAGCGACGGCTTATTAGGCAAACCAATCGGGGTAGCCGCCACCTTTTCCAGTCTTCACAGCTAAGAATATATCTTTAGGTCAATTCAGTCTAGTTGTGTCACACCATCACTTCACAGAGTCACTGAGTCACAACACTTGGAATAACACCTCGTTACAGTGAAAGGAAGCAACTCTTAACTCATCCCACTGCAACACATCCACTTTGATCTACCATTCTCCCGTTCTTCCGCAGAAATTCTCTCTAAACACCCTCAGCGTCTCCGCATCCTTACAGCATAAACCCAAAGGTCCCCCTTTCCAAAATCACAACAACATGCCGTTCCACGGCAGTACACTCAACGGCACCTTCTTCCGAAAAGTTGAGCTCCAAATCGCAGCCGCGCTGTACCTCTACTGCAAGAACGCCGATGACACGTACGCCGACTCGGAACTCATTGGCGCCGTCATCCTCGACATGCGCAACATCTCCGGTACACTGCCATGTCAGGGCATCGAAACGTTCCTCCGAGACAGCACCAACCCTCTACACCAGGAGGCTTGGCAAGAGGTTGTAGACAATGATCTTGAGTGGAGGGGAAAAGCAGGAGCGGCGTACTGGACTTGGAGGAACAAGATGACGGAACTTGTGGCGCGGTGAGTTTGCCGCGATGATGATGTGGGTTTTGGGGGTTGGTGATCTCGAGGACTGACGTATGTCGTTGCAGGCTGGCGAGGGAGGGCAAAATCGCTCGGACCGCTGCTGTTGCAGGTTATGATCAGTGTTTGAAGGAAAATCCTACCGGGTCCGGTGGGCGCGATGGGCAAGGTGGGCATGGAGGGATGGCATAGGTGCATGCCGACTCCTTTGTAGAGTACGTGGGGTCCCATGCTAATAGTATGCAACTAGGGTTGAAATCTGGAGGCTTCTGCTGAAATTTGCTTTCATCATGATTGAAATGATGGCTTGCGCTGGGCTTATGATGGGTGTTTTGATTTACTTTGCTTGCGAGGTATCTGGAATGACGGCTTGCAGTGATCTCTTTCTTGAAGTCGGGTTTATGTACCACAATCTGCTTGCAAGACATTCAAAACAATCGTTTACTTTGGCCACAGACCCCTATGTGGTATTGAAATCGATTTGCAGATTTCCCGAGAGGGTGGCTCATAGTGGTCATGATCCTATGGATCCACACACTAACCCCTTTTGGCCTTATGTGGTTTTCGATGCAGCTATTAACACTCGCAAAATGCCAGATCCGATGTTGCTTTGATGAGACGTAAATAGGGATCGTGACTGCAGCTTCCCTCTTGTCCTTCGAAGCGGATCGCGGTCCAATTACACTCTGTATCTTTCATTCGGCTCCCCGGGAGCTGTTGTATTCTCAGCCCGAGTCACGCCTAGGATGTAGCAAAATAGGGCATTTTCGCCTGCTTCTCAGGTGTGTATGTTAACTCATAATGGTACAACGGTACAATGCTAGTCCCGAAATGCCTGGTGCGCGTAGGGAAACGATGGATCCGGCCGGGCGGATTGGCAGCGTACTAGTACCTGAGCAACGGTCAGTACGGGCCGTGAAGAATCAGGCTATTCCACCCGAGATAGGATCCTGACAAGATGCACGACAGAGTGTTCTCCTATCAAAAACGCCATAAGGCTGAGAGCTGTGCAGCCGAATCCCCACGAAGACAACAAACGATTGGTGGAATTACTCCCCTACCCGCATACGGCTGCGTACCCAGCGAATTTCCGCCTTATGAAGATTCTTCTTCAATTCCTACGCAGTTGAAAAGGATTCGGGATGCATGCATACGTTCAAAATTACCCCCAAATAAATGCGTTCACCGACACTTGCAAAGTCCGCACATGTACGCGGACAGAAAGCACCAATCATTGCAGCTAAGCCTCCCAAACAAAAGCACGATGTGCACATTGTTCCTATGCACGGTTCTTTCGTCTCGACTCTACGGATGGGGTCATCTTTCTTCTTCGGTCACCCTGAGCCGACTCAAAGACCATTCAGACTTCAATGTCGGCCTTATCCGCATCCCATGAACCTCCCGAAACGGACTCCGATCTCACATCATTGCCGTATTCGCGTATAACATTTGCCGTGTCCACAAAGCGAGGGAGCGCAGCACACCACTATCCTCTTGGATCGTTCGACTCATACATTTATAATCGAACGATGTAAAGATCTTTCTCATATTCGTAAGTCTTTCCTTCCAAGGCCGTGCTCATCATACAATCAAGGCGTATAAAGTTTTACGTGTGCGTCTTCCTTCTCGCTTTCCCGACCATCCTCTCAAGCAATCACGCGAAATCACGCGAAATCCCCTGTACTAAACAGACCATTGTTTGCTATGAGATGTACGGTATTGGCAGTTCCCCTATCCTTCGCTTCACCCGTATGACTTCAGCTTCCTGCGTAGTCCTTTGTCGCTTCGCTGGAAATCCTACGATGTCATAATGGTCTAAACGAAAACCATCATCAGCCGTTTGCTCGAGCCAGAATTCGCATATAAACGGCCTCGTGCCCACACCATGGCCCCCAAACCAACAGCAGAAGGGTCTCACACATATCCACTCACCTATCAAACACTGCCATCCTTCTCCCAGCATCGAAAAGCCCATTCTGGAACTTCACCTATATCCACCGCGCCACAATGTCATCAGAACCAGCCCAGATCACCATCAACGGAGCCACCTTCTCCAGATACGAATGCCAGGTCGCCTGTGCGATCAAGCTCTGGATCAAGAACGCCAACAGCGCCGTTCCCAGCGACGAGACCCTCGGCTACATTGTCAACTCTCTGCGCGGAAAGGTGAATGGAACAGCCATGCCCTGCCAGAACATCATGCCCCAGATCCAGCGCCATTCCCAAGAGGGGGTGAGGTCGATCTATATGAGCGTGTACGTCAACAAATCGTATTGGAACAGGGAAGCGAGTAGGGTATACTACGCGTGGTTGAAGCAGAACGACAATATTGTGAAGAGGTCCGTAATCGTGTTGTAACTTCTGATACTTGAATGGAGGTTCGGAGACTGACTTGGGTTTCTAGATTGAAAGCTACAGGTGCCCTCGCGCCATTCCTCAACCCAGATGGCACTCTGAAGACTCAGGCTTCCTCCACGTCTTCCTCTTCGGGTTCCTCTTCCAATACTCCAAAATAGATAGATCGTGGAAGCCTGCTCGCTAGTGACTTGCAGGATGTTTAGATACCTGGATTGAGACGTTTTCCAGAAGATTGTTCGAATGGGTTATGTTTTTTTTTTTGCACATCTTGCCTTTTCGGAGACAGTCCGCTCGCTCTTGTCTTTCTGCTCTTTTTTCGTAGAACCTTCGAAGACGCTGGTCGTTTTTCGCAAAAATTCCGATTTTTATTGAGAGATCAGAGGCAGAATTGACACATTGAAATAGCTTTCTCGTGCGTGAGTCAGCACTCTCGGTGCAAAGCATTCACCATTTGAGGTCAAGTCTTCTTCCTTCCGCTTTTAACCTCAAACGCCTCGTATTCGCGTTTAGGATGCGTACCTGTCTGATCCTCTACTTACCCGTACGAGTATGAGTAAGCGGCTGGGACTAATTACTCCCGTCCACCATCGCAAACCCGGTCTTGGGTCATCTCCATCCACGTGACACACCACACCGTTCCTGCTGCGCTATCCTTCCCTTCGGAAAAGTTACCGCCACGTTAGAAAGACGTTGCGAAACCTCACATTGGCTCGGGGCTAGGCGGCGAATCCCGTGCGTTGGCGAGGTTCCAAAGGTTTGGGGGCCGACCGCCTCCTTACCGCTTCTTCAGACGCGTCTCATCCGTGTAACAAATCTCTTCCTCCGTGATTCAACACGGTGAGTCGTATCGCTCTACGGCATTGAGGGAAATGATGAGGGAGACTGCACTGCCTTAAAAAGGAAAATGCTTCTTGTCGACCGTTGTGGCATTTTTGACTTCTGACTTCTATTATCGTCAGGTCGGCCGTATCCGTGGCCATGCGACAACAATCTTTCCTTTCCCCTGGCTTCATCCCATTCAAAACTGTTTTGCGTGCCTTTGAAAATTGTCACACCTCTCTTTCACAGTGTCATAATCTTTACCCCTTGGACCTCATCCAAACGTACAGTGTTCTGCGTGCCTTCCCCGTAGGTTCAGCATGGAGTGCACCTCCAATTTCTACAGCACTGCCCGATGAAAGGGGATCGGTCCCCACCACCTTTCCTCCGGGTCCCCAAACGTCTGCCTATCTATTTATCTCTTCAGCATATCAGAGATGCCATTCCCACGTTTGAGCTGCGTGACTCATTATCAATCCCCCGTTTCCCTCACCGTCATCATCACCGTGCCAGGATCCCTCGGATGCGTCGACAGCTGCCTGGAAGTCTGAGAACACCTGATCGATCCTTTTTGGGAAAACGCTCCCCCCAGCACACCATTGTTCTCGTACAAAAGCCCCATACCCTCCCGCAAACATCGAACCATGCCTAAGCTTTCCAACTGCAAAACGATTTGCGAAACCAACTGCAAAAAGACACCCATGGAGCCCACCTGTGTTTCCCTCAATGGCTGGAACTTCTCTCGCTACGAGTGCCAAGTCGCCATGGCGATCAAGCTCTACATCCGCAACTCCAACAACGCAACTCCCACCGACGAGACCGTTGGCGTCATCATCAACTCTCTCCGGGGCCAGGTGAATGGAGTCAGTCCCCCCCCCTGTAACCGCATACACTGACGCTCCAGACTAACAGTACCAGGTTCCCGCTCCCATCTACAACGTCGTTTCGACGCTGCAGTCGCACAGACTCGAGAGCCATCGGACTTTGTATCTGCAGGTTTACTGTGCCCGGCAGTACTGGCAGCAAGAAGCGACCAATGTTTGGAACGCGTGGATGTCCCAGAATGACGCCTTGGTGCAACGGTATGTTGTGCGAATTCCTTTTTCAAAATCTGGGAAACGGATGGCTGATGGGTGCGTTGGTCAGACTTAGAGCTCAGGGAGCTCTGGGGCCGTTCTTGAACCCCGACGGTACGCTGAGGACTCGCTGAGGTGATGGTGATGGTGATGGTGATGATGGTCGGATTTGTTTCTGCATAGCGGGTTGGAATGATTTACTCAGAGGGTTTGCATAGCGCGGTATGGGAAACAAAGCTGAGCTTGGGTAAAGGATTGCGAGAGAACGTGTCACGGTACAATCTTAGCTCACGAATTTCAGTTAGTTAGTTTTTCCATTTTTTTGCAATTCTGCAGTCCTTCCTGGTTTCGTCCGTAATCTGGGAAGAAATGAAGCAAGAAAGTAAGTCTGACTAAGAGCTCTTACCGTGTACTTGCTTCTCTGCGTTTCCCTCTTCTGGACGCTTCGATTTTTGAGGGTGGAGTGGGAAATACGAAGGAGAGAGGAGAAAGGATTGTGCGACATCGCTATACGAGTATCGCGTTTGCTGCTCCCCCCTTCGCTTGCCTCGAAGCGGTAATCGCCTCACGAAAGTTCGTCAAATGCTACCAAGAGAGGTACACCTGGAGCCTATGAGCCGTATCGCTTCTTCCAGGATCCGGGCAGTGTTTGAGAGAGACGATGATGATGCTCGGCTGCGCTCATCTTTTCGTTCTTTAGTATTCCAGAAGCCGTCTCACCGTCCAGCGGTCAGCAAAGCTGTCAACGTTCGTATTCGACGTCCATCCTTTCGTTCGAGTCTTACCTTACCCGCTTCCACCCCTTTTGTAAGGCGACCCGTATGATGAAGCGCTGACGTGAGCGACCGACAACGGCGCGCGGAGATACCTGGTTAGCGAGGGACGCCTGATTACCGGAAGGAATACATGTACGGAGGCGCTAGGCTATGGGTATCCGCTCCTCAGCTGTATGGTCCTTTCGGAGACGCTGTTTGAGGATTGAGGTGGTCCGTCGGGTTGCTGGTCCGTCTGCCGGCGGCAACCTTTGCGGTGGGCGAGTGACTATTCTTAGAACTCTTTCTGGGGGAGTTACGAAGTCTGAGGTCGAGTACTAGGATTTCCGTTTGGATTTGGGTTTGGTCAGGGGAGATCCAAAGCCATATCTTATATTTCCTGGATCTACAACACTACCCTCATGAAAGATATTCGATTGATCTTGGGACGTGGGCCACACTATCGGGTGATATTCGAGGCACCCTTTTGACATCCTCCTAGAAGAGACATCGCGTGTTGGGATCTTGAGGTGCGGGATCCGTAAATCAAACGAGGGATACCAAATGCGTTAGGCTACACGAAGCAGCCAATCGGGTACAAGTAAGAGTAATTCTCATTTTACTCTTACCAAGCACTACTGTTCACTCAGCAGCTCCTTCGTTCTCCGTTCTCTATTCCCACGACCATAAGTAGATACGCAATCCCCTTCCCAGGGGTAGTTCAGCCGCAGTCTTCGAACATCGAGTCCGCCTTCATGGATAAACGAGGAAAAGCTTCTGCTACCAACCGTAGTTTTACCAGGAACGCGATGGCTGGTGAAGTTTCAGTCCCTTTTTCAAGTCGATGACTTCACTTTCGAATTTGACTTCTCTTAGGGATCATAGGTGCGACGGCGTTGCTTGTTGCATTGCCGTCTCAGGTAATTATAGGGTACTGATATGTCCACAGCTCATCTACTCCGTACACTCGTCCCGGATACGGTTAGCTTCTGGAATTCGAATTACAAAGAGGACAGTAGGGCCGATAGGGTTGACAGGATTGATTGAGTCTTAACATCATGAAGGGAAGAATGCATAAAGATTGTCATGCTCCGGTTGTTATACACGAGATTGCTTAGGAAAACTTCCCTGAATTCCACCGTATTCCATAGCTTTGCCTTACAATGTGGTGAACCCGCGGCCCAATTCTCGAATGTTCTTCTGTATGGCAATCGAGTGGGGCAGTCACCTGGCTTACTCCACACAGCACGCAAACCCAAGATATACAACAACGGAAATATATATTCGCGACGATGGTCTGGTTTGCTCCAACATCTGTCATGATGGGCTACCTGAACAGCACCCTCCAGCATTGCTGACTGATCTCCCAACGCGATTCATATTACTTACGAGGCAAGCCAATGAGTTTGATTCTCGCAGAAACGTCCGCTACGACCCTATTGAACTGGATTGAAGAGGTTGGGAGTCTCTCGCGGCGTCATCAGGATCACATGATTTTTTATCCTGAAGTAAAGGACGATACAAACAGTAGCATTCAACTAATGAGCAACCTTCGATGTGCACTGGTACTCTGAGGAGACACATGTTCAGACGTCTTACCTATTTCTGTCCCTCTCCGGGCAACAACTTGTCCAGCATGTCTGTTCTTCACCAACGCATTCACATCTCTTAAATGGCCATCGCTAATTGCCCTTGCCCCCAAGTGACGAAGCCCAATACTCTGATCAATGCTTAAACCATCCCTCACAGAACACTGCAACCTCGAAGCTTCGACCCGCGAGCCAAATACAACTACAACACCTACACGCGCTCCGTTCCAACTGCCTTCCGAATACACACTTTCCCCATTACGAAGACAAGCGTCCAAGTCCCCATCAGTAGCGAAGTCAAGAGGAAACGATTGAGACTAGCAAAGCCCTCGACGGCAAAACACATAAGCAATCCTGCCGTTACTAAGTGTTGGAGCGAATCCACGATTCCTCAGTATGCCACAGTTCATCACCAATCCACCACAAAGCGTAGTCTCAAGATTACTGAACTCTACGTCGTTGACCGTCTCCTCTGCGATGCAACGAGCACGGACGATCAGGCCCTGAATGACTAAACCAACACGTCAGTGGATCAAAACATTCACAGCGCCTTCAGAATGGTCAACATTGAGTTTCTGCTCAGCGTGTCGAAAGACCTCACTCGTGATGGAGCAGCCAGCCACGTTCATGCAGCGGATTGATCCCGAAAGTTCGCAGATCTCTTTTCGGCTGAGCTGTTACGGAGCACGGAACGCTACCATTCGAGGCAGCGGTGGACGAGGGAGGCGAGATTGTTGTATTTCCTATGGTTGAGCCATGCGGTATGCTTTCATGTCTTTAATGTGTAGAGAAGACTGGTGACGAATATGGCAGATTGATTCCTCTGCAACTCCGACGGAGCTTCTACGGTACCGCGGCAGGAGGGAGAAGTTGATGATGGTCATCGAGATTTCAGGTGGTTACCTTACGTTTTCGTGTGAAGGAGACCTTACTAGGCGTGAATTCGCCTCGTGATATCAAGGAAGGCATGTAGCGTATGGAGGATGGAGGGTACGTGAACTTCAAAGCCAAAGTCCGTTGAGTTAAGTCTCTGGTGTTGTGTGAGACTGAGGAATTGGAAGACATTAGATCACATTAGAGACCTTGCAATACTGGGAATTTACGGCAGATATCCGTAAGATATCCCCAGGCATGCTTCGAATGATAAGGATGCCCTAGTTTCGCTACAGCACATGCGTCCGGGAACCCGAGAATCTGAGCCCAGCTGCAGTGGGAGTCGATAGTCTCCTGTCCCTATGATATTCCGGTCAATTACTCCAGAAACATTTACGCACCTGGTGCTCGTACACACCTCCGATTAGGCAACTTAACGAAAAAGGTTTGCGCCGGGCAGTCACGAAATTCAACTCCAGGCTTCGGATCTTTCGAATCCTTCAATTTGCCTACTTCCACGCGAGAATGTATTGTGAGTATGCTGTGAGTTCCGACATGACTAATACTGATATTCGACAGAAAGCTGATGCTGGAAACGATCGGAGTAATTTGCCCGCAGAGATGAACACCTAGTAGGGTTTCATGAAGTCAACGGCGAGGACCAGTTCTCGGTCTTGCACCCCTTTACACATTGTTGTCTTTTCATATGCTTTGATCCCTCCACCTTCTTCTCCGGAAAAGTGGTAGAATATTGGTTGCCTTCCCAACCCTGTTTGATCTTCTCGCCTTCTTCCCCATGTAGAATGCACAGTATTGATAGGCCGCCTAAGAATGCAATGGTCTTGGAATGGTAAGCGGATGTTATTAGATTTTCCTTTCTTGGGCCCGGCTCGGAAGGAAGATGTGAAAGTCCCCGTCCCGAGGTTTGGTGATTCTCGTATGTCCGCCCAACCAGCCAAATTACGACAAGCTGATTGATATCAGAAACATGCAATCATATTGCTGCAAACTCCGGAACATCACGGTGCTGCCTTATTTTACGATACCGTGAGGCTTCAACGCCGCTGGGTCATCTACGAAGTGGTAAGTTTCGGATCGACCCATTTGTGAGTCCGCTTCTTGAAACATGGAACTCCGAACCCAGCGTAGGGTATTTTGTTACGCCCGCAGCAAGGCCCATATGCCCTCGGAAGGTTTGGTTATTTTGCTGGAAGACTTGGTGCCTGATGCTTCACATGGAAAGCTCTGGTACTTATACTGTCAGAACCTGCTCTCCATTTAGTTCTTCCACCTGACATTATCCTCACGCTCAAACTTTGTCAACAAACCTTCTGTCTGGTACAAGATTACAAAAGTAGACGCCACAGCCAGACTACCTTTTTGAATAGCATCGCACTCACTATGAACCATCGCACCCATTTCCGCAACGAAACAGGCAGCATCTTCAGCAAAGTCGAGTGCCAACTCGCTTGCGCGCTCGACGAATATGTCCGAACGAGGAGGCACCACCGTGGCCGTCCTGATCATTCTCAACCACCGACAATGGAAATGCTTAACGAAATACTGAGAGAGGCACGATGGTTGATATGGGACGCTGAGCGCCGCGGGGGTACCCCATGCAATGCCATGAGTCCGGACGCCCCTTTGGATGCTTATTGTCTTGCGAGAAACCTGAGAACAAGTCCTTCACACCATGGGTGGTACAATGAAGTCCAGAACCATCCTGGGATTTGGAGTGCCAGAGCAATTAACATGTTCGATGATTGGGTCTACGCGAACTCTGAGCTTGTGCGGCAGTACGTCTTTTCCATTTCTCGTCGTCTTGTCAATGAGGTCATGGCTGATAACTGTTGATCAGGCTACGGAGGAATGGTACACTGGCGCGGTATTACTAATGGATGAGAAGACGGATTCTGAGAGTCCTTGATGACCGAGATGCTAGCGTTTACTTGTTCTCTTCTTTCCCTTCTCCTTCTGCTCTGAGTGATCCGTCGTTAGAAGATACTGTGACTTCCCTTACATCTCTCGCGGGAACGATCGCCTAGGGTTTCAGTCAGCATATCAGCCTCAAAGCTGCCACTAAAAATGCCACCTTGGCACTTTACCGTTGTTTCAATCTACCTATTCCGTAATCGTTCAGGCCATCTCGAGTCGCATGATGCTGATCCGTTAGTACTTAGATGTTCCTTAGAAACTGCCGTCTACTTCCGGGTCCACCAAACACTTGAAGCCCAACCTCCAAAGTCCCTCACCTCATGCGCATGCTATTCTAGGAAACATCAACCTCGTACCGGTGCAGCGGCCATCGGGTACATGCTTGAAAACAAGGCTGACCCGAGATCCCGATCCTCCCGAACCACTATCTATTTCATCAAATTCTTTTCCGCATAAGCCAATCGTTGGAGAGATTCGTTACTGTATTTTAGGACAGCGAATGTAACTTCACACCTGGCTGCCTGATCATAGCCGTTGCTGTGCACCGAAGAGCCTCACTTTCTGGCCTTGTTTCAGGCTCCAACTTTGGCAGGGTTTTCGTGTGTTCTCGTGTGGAGCAGAGACAATTGAAGGCAATGCTTGTGCCGTTTCATAGTCAAGCCAGCGCGGACTTCTCATCAAAGTTCCATCATGCAGCCCAATGTTCAGACTTTGATTTTTCTCCAGCCTCTTGAAAGCTAAAGAACCAGCGCTTGTTCAGCACGAAAGCACCCTTTTTTTAGGTAAACTCAGTGAATGGGCATGGTAAAGACCACATTTGGCACTCAACTCTACTGTCTCTTACACCATAGATAGACATCTCCTCAACAGTGAAGAGAAACAATATGTCTAACAGTCTAACAGTAGCACAAAATGATATTCACACCCAGCATCCCTGGTCACCTTTTCAGAGCCTACGGCAGTCTAGTCTCAAAGAAAGATAGACCATACGCAGAAGTTCTTGTACCTCGATGCTACTAGAGGCAACACCGCAGTCTTTCAACCGTTAAAGATAAAGAGAAACTTCACGAGTGACTGGTGCAAGACGTCTTCTTTTCAAGATACAAGCCAAAAGCGACAGCAGAATGCAGTAGCTCACACTGCCGAGGAGCCAGAATTTGCGCAAATTCCCCAGGATTAGTTCCCCAGTGTTTTAGGCTTGGCTTGGAATTGCTTATCTCGTGTAGGTGGTATTGCCGTACAGCCCTCACTACGGCAATGGTTAAAGACACGGACAGCCTTTGTGTGCCTCGCGCTTTTCTTTCTGTATAGTTCCGCCAAAGATGGACCGCCAACGGGACTTCTTGCCGTCAGGACCGAAGACTTGGCCGTCATGCCATGATTGCCTCGCATGTCTCTTGTTTCAACTCGCCATGACATCCTAAATAGCGGTCTCTGTTCTTAACACCCACAACCAATCGACGCCCCGAAAGCCGCTGATGCTGTCGCCACTTCTTGGCCGAGGCCCTGTGACACACCCATAACACCTCAACACCGATGACACTACAGATCAGGGCCACAAATCCTCCACGTCCCCGAACTTACCATTCTACCTTCCTTCTTCCCACACTGACACCCCGCAAGACCACAATTCCAAGAGATCAAAGCTGCAAAACACATCCACACACCTACCGAACCATCACAACTCCCGACCCTCAAAGGCCGTGTGTCAATACCAAGTCACCACGTTCCGCTGCGACCACACGTGCAAACTCCCCATCGCATCGCACCCTGCGACTCCCGCCCCAGCTGCAGCGTAGCGCACGACTCTGACCCAACCAACCACCGATCTCTCCTCCCTCCGCGCCGCCATCCGCATGCGCAACCTGCACCAAGACGACCTCCCCGGACTTACCGCCAGCTCATCGCCCCGATTCGACGAAACTACAGATTATTCTTCGGCCACGGGAGTGCCGACGGCGCACGGGTTTGTCGATGCGCTTCGGCAACTGGAGACGTGTCTGGCGGACGAGAGTGATGGCGTTGCGGCGAATGTCACGGTGGAGGGATTGTAGTGAGGGATACTGTACTGTTTGGATTCGTGCTGGGAGGCGACGATTGCGATGGGGAGGGAGGAGCAGTTGCGGCAGGGGCCATTTTTTTGGATCGCATGGGGGTTGGAGGGAGTGCTTTGGGTGCTGAGATGGAGGGTTATATGTCACGAGGGGTGGTACGGACGGTGAAGGGTGTCACGGTCGGGTTGAGAATGCTACCATCTCAATCATGTAACCGGGACCATGGCTGGTGACGATTGCATCACTTTTCCAAACTGACGCTGAACCCTTCACAAACGTAAAAAGGCACGTATCTGGCCAACGGACTCCGGATTGATATCCTTAGTTCAGCAAGCTGAAATCTCACGATCTCTACCGGCATAGTAAATCTTCCTGGATGAAACAGACTGGAAAATTGAAGGCAAAGATTCTATCCTAACCGACCATCTACTTTCCAAAGCGCTCATCACCCTACCCACCCACCCACCCACACCTCAACCCCAAGACGCAGCACATTCCCGAAACCGGACCCCCTATTCCTCCCCCATCCGCCTGCCTCACGGCCCAAACCTGCCAAGAAATCACCACCGCCACCCCCGAACCACCCTTCCTTCCTTCCAAGTACTGGAACCTCCTTCCCTCTCGTCACCGGAATCAGTCCCACCGAACTGCCAACTCCCTGACCAGCAGTCTTCGCAGCCTCCTCACACTGATTGACAGCCGAATGCGAATGTAAACGAAGACCAGGATGAGAAAGGCAACGTGGACTTCAAGATAGACGGTCGGCAAGAGGGCAGGAACCTTCGAAGCAATGCCGTATGCCCGGCCGGCGGACGGGTGGCTCGTGACGTTGAATGGGAACATGGCGGTGGATGGAGGATGGAGTTGGAGAGTCGCGGGCGAGGTGTTTGGTGCTTGTTCTCTCTCTCTCTCTCTCGAGATGGTAGCTTGGCTGGTGGGATCCTGCTGAATTTTCTCGTGCGCGCTTTCGGGATGTGAGCGGGGAGTAGGGGCGTCTTGTTGGGTAATGTTGGAGGGAGGCCTTGTGAGTGTGTGTTTGTTAGCCGGAGGGAAGGGTTTTGGGGCATCTTGTGGAACATGGTTGTTTGCGAGTGTGCCACAGGATTAAGGGGATGGGAAAGGGCAGCTTTCTGTGTTGCGGATGCGATGGAGAGGGATGCTCGTCAGGACTGGAATGGTTGGGGATATGCAGGGGATACTGGATGGTTGGGTTTATATTCGAGGTTCTCCTGTTGTTGAAGTATCATGGAGAAACCCACCTGAGTTGCGAAGCGACGAACTCAACCTTGATTTGTAAAGCTCTAGGCGCGGACGGAGTTCCATTTGGGAGGACCAACGCTGGCTTTGTCCGCATTGAAGGAATTGAGCCAGAGGCAATGGTTTCCATACTGCGTCAGTCAGATCTGGCAAAGAGATGTGCACTCGAGACCATTGGGAAGGGTTAGGGGGCTCGACGTTGCGTCGTGGAGCAATGCCAGGTTCCGGGATTGATGTTGAACCAGAATGTAGACGCTGAGGCCAAGTTCAAAAAATCCTACGGCGAAACTTTCAGGATCTTTGCGTGCCATCGAGACCACGTTTGAATCCGAATAATCCGCAGCGACGTAATCGACAGCTGTTCGGATCACGGGCCTCAGATGTAAGATCGAAACTGGCGTTGTGATTGCGCTGCATCCGGGTTGGTGGACAATAGACACTGGCCTGAGTAGACGCATGGCAGATTTGAGACCATCTTTGTGGTCGATGTCAAGCGAGAATGATCACGGCTAGCAAGTAGTAATGAGAAATCGAACATAGAGAATGTGATCGAAAGGCACAGATGAAGAATGCTTGCAAGCAGCCATCTTCTGTTTGCTCTGACAGCGACCAGTAACCGTTCCAGAGCCTATCATTTATCGGCATTGATTTCACATCCGCTCTTGATTCGCACCATCTATTTCTTCGCAGCAGCTGACTCCTCAGCCTTGGCCTTCGCCCTCTTCTCCCTCACACCCACCAATCTAGCCTCGCTCCTTGCATCCCTCAACTTCCTATATGCAGCCTCCTCTCCCTCTGGCATATCACTCGTACTGACCTCACCAATAGCGTCCTCTTTGGCCATGTTCTTGATTGGCAGAATATGGTGCACCTTATGAGCGCTCTCTTTCTCGCCCTTGGCGTAGGCCTCGATTTCCTCTTTGCTGCTATCGAGTTTCTTGTGCTGGCCGGAGCGTCGGGGAAACAGGATTAGGCGTTCGCGGTAGGCCTTCAGGCGGGCGACGTTGGCGGTGAGGGATTCGACGGAAAGGTTGGCGCGACGGGGGTCGACGCTGATGCCGATGGTGGGGGCAAGTTTGCGGGGGATGCCGGCTTCCTACGACACAGTAGACCTTGTCAGAGTGTTCTCGAGACAACACATTTTTCATCTTCTGCTAGTGTGAGAGTATCCGTACCTTCAATTCAGCCAGCGAAAATCCACGTCCAGCTCTAACGCGGCGGTTGTACTTGATCGAAGGGCATCGCACTACAGGCTTGAGCTTGTCGACTGGGCGAGGCGCGACAGCTGCGGCTTTCACGAGACGGGCATTTCGACGACGTGATTTGCGTCCAGGCTATGGGATGGCATTAGCAAGCTGTTCTGAGCGCCGCAGTTGAATGGACCGGCTTGAGATTTGGAGGGCGTAGGGCGTACCTGGTCGAAGTGAGTTCGCACACGACGTTGCCAATCCTTGCGGAAATCTGGGTGCCATCAGCATGCCAGCCTGGAGACCAAGCGAGGCCAGGTTGAGCTCACGGTTGTGCTGTATCTGCTGATTGTGCTTGATCGTCTGTCATGGTTGTTTAAGTCAGTCAATGTCGTCCAAGCTCAAGCATTCCCGGTCATGATGACTAGAGGTCCCGGCTGCCATCAGATGCAAGCTACTCACCATTGTGACTGTTGGCGATCAAGATTTTGGCGTTGTCGTTGTGCACACCGTCGATGATGGTTTTCAGATCCGCTTGTGGGAACTTTCGCTTACCCAGCCCTACAGGACTAGCGTCCAGGTCAAAGGCTTGGCGCTGGTGGCACTCAAATCAGGGGGTGTGAACTTTGTCTTCCCTCTACTCGCAGTTGTCTCGAATATAATTGAACTAAGATTTCGATGCTTCAAATTCTTCTAGAAAAAGTTGAAGCGTGTTTGTGAAGCTAAGATAATCGCAAGCTTATCCCCTCTATCTAGCAAAGCTGCCACTTCGTCCTCTCTGAAATATGTACAGTGTTTGTGACAAAATGTTGACAGCGACGCAGCTCTTTGCGGAGCTATGACGATGCTATGATGATTAGTGCTCAAGAGCAATGTTCAATGAACTTGTTCGCGTAATAGAACCAAATGAGAAGCGGTGGATTGGCGTTGCTGATTGCTCAAATCGCTATTGACCTGGAACCGGCCAGCTGTTGATACCCAATCCGACTCTATCTGAAGCGGAATCAGCCGTTCTGGACTTCTTGCTGCTCCGTACAATCTCATCGTATGAGTTCACATCGTTGCCGCGCTTCGTGGAACTTTCCATCCTTGCCACACCTGGCTTCTTGACTTGACCGAACAATTTTCCCTGCGTCGACTTTCCTGAGTCTGGTGCCTGAGCAGCGGCTGCAACCACATCCTTCTGCGATCCCAAGGAGCGGCGCAGCATGTTGGCTGCTACTTGGCTAGCTTGGGATCCCGGGAGTTCTTCGACCTCCTCGTCTTCCGAAGCTGATATCGTGCTATCACGGTCCTCTTTTGCACGAGTCTCTCCCTGGTAGGCAAGTTGAGCACCAGGAGCAGAAAAGCTGACGCGATGATTCGGGCCAGATCGTTCGGTTGATGTGACGAGGACATTGTCCGCAGTCATCGGTCTTGATCTATTTGGCGTAGTAGGTAAGGAGGATAAGGAGTGAGCACCTCGTATGTGCTGTGCATGTATCTTCCTTGATCTGGGCTGGTTCGGAGTGGACGGAACGCTGCTGGCTTCGCCGTTGAGAACCTGCCCGGCAAACAACAATGCGTCGAATGGATCTTGGCTACTGACAGCTTGGTTTACATCGCGAGCTGCTCTGCTAGTGGTGGCGGGTGTTCTGGGCGTGCCCCTGGGCAATGGGGTGCTGTACTCATTGAACGGCGTGCTGTGGATCGAGATCGCGCCTGAGGATTGCAATTCGTTCAAGTGATCCCGATTATCTTTGATGCGTTGGCGTAGAAGCTGAATATGCTCTTTAAGATCGGTGTTTTGTCCATCCAGCCGAGCGATCATCTTCTTCGAAGCTCTAAGACGTTTGTCGAATATCGAGTTTTCTTGTTGCAGCTCACGACAGTGCGCCAAAGCAAGATGGAGGCTACGTTGCATGGAGGCTTGCGGGGATCGAGGGCTGAAGCTGTGACGGTGGACTGGACTTCCTTCTTGAAGTACTTGAACCTCCCTTCGTGTAGCTTCATGCTCGACTTCAGCACGCTTAGCCGACTCTTCGGTCTCTATGCTTAGCAAGCTATGTTGGAGCTTTGAGTGAGCGGCAGTCACGCGAGCTTCGCCCAATGCCGGGAGTAGTTCAGAGACAAGAGTCCGCAAATGTGCTTCATCCATTTTCTCGACATTTTCCAAAGTGGGGACCTCTCCAAACAGGCCATGGGATGTCAAAGGTGGGCCAGTTTTCAGTGTTGCAGGAGGTGAAGCCAGCGAATGCTCTCTTCTGCTGAGAAACTTAGCCTGCGCCGATTTGGTGGCAGACCTCGGCAATTGAGTGGAAGGCGGAGGAGTCATTGTACTGGTCGCACGGACAGGAGAACCGAGTTTGGTGAGGTTGTTGGCTTCTTTAGAACCGCCAGGACTCGATAGGGGTGTCGCATCGCCGTGGCGCATTGCGGATTCGGGTATGGGGGTACACGGGGTAGCGATTTCAGACATGTTGGGTCGTGCAGCTCTGGCGCAGAAACGTCTCTAAGAGCGATTGTCAGAGTCCGTCCCGATGCAAATGACGAGTACTGCTGCATGAACCCACCTTAGATAGCTTCGATGCAGCCTGATTTGCTGGTGGTTGAATTCACTTAGAGCGGTGTGGGACTGGTGATTTGGAAGCGAAAGAAGCTCAAGAATTTGTCTGTGGTAGCTGTAAGGATAACTGAAGTTGCTAAACAGTTACTCCTTACACCAAAAGGTGTTCGAAGGAGGAGGTGCGAGGGGAGTTCGTCTGGTCACTGCAAGGTGGAGCACATCTGGATGGCTGGGTCCCGATGGCTGGGTCCCGCGATGATGCGCGCTAGCGTCTTCCGGCAAGGCGTGCCGCATCCGGCTAGCTGCCCCTCGCCGCCCTCCAAGTGCTTAACAGCAACCAAAACTCTGCGGAAAGACCGAGTGGAAATGCCGCCTAAAATAGCGTCAAGATAATCTGGTATCGGACGCGTTCCCGCCTGCACAACTAATATCCGCGTTGGCAGGGAAACTCGGAGCAATACAACATTTGATTCTGTATTACCATATGCATGTTGTAGACCAGAGGACGATAAATTGCCTCGTGGGTAGATGGTGTCATAACAGCTATATAATACACCGCGTTGTTCTTCTTCACGTTTGCTTTTCAGTGCCAATATGGATCCACCACCTCATAGGAATCTCCATGCATCTGGTATCCCCAGACTTTCCGGGTTGCCTCTTCCGCGGGCTGCCGTGAAGGTGCCTCCGCCAGAGCCTACCAGGTATGCACTCAAAGGTCGAGCTGTGCCCGAAAAGCGAGCAAAAAATGTCATTAATACGACGATTCCTGTCGAGATCGACAGTGGGGCTAGTCCTTCAATGCAACAAGCGGCTACTAGATCCCAGACGGTTGAAGCATCAGTAGCCAGCGATATAGATGATATCCGGCTAGACCCTCCCAACAAGCCACGTACGGTTCCTCGACGACCCAGGCCTTCTTTGTCGGACAGGACCATAGAGACCCTTTCCCAGATACCGCCCTCGCCATCTCCACGCAGACGTAGATCCAGCTTCTTCCCATCGGAGAGTCCTGTGCCCCCGTCGTCACGGCCAACGTCATCCTTGAGTAGGTCTCGCCCCAGTACTAGCCATGGTCAGCGGCCGCCTCAACCGCCCGGTTTTCCAACTCCAAGGCCGCCGTCGCCCACCAAGCGCCAAGTGGAGCCAACGACTGGAAACCGGATGTCACAGATTACGCCCAGTAAAAGAGCGGTCAGCTCTCATGTTCCCCGAACTTTAACCCCTTCAAAAGATACACTGAACCGCACTCTCGAGCTGACACCGTCGAAGCCGCCAATGCCGAGCATTGGAACTTTGGCTCGGCACAAAGATGAGACTCTTACCGATAAGCGCGCGATGAGACCCGGCAGGGCCAGTCAGACCTTAGCTGCAAGACCCTCTAAACAACGCCCGTCAATCCATGGTGCATTCGCTAAACCACTGCCGAAACTGAGGGATAAGCCTGGAGGCAAACCCGCTCTGGGTACGAGGGAGATATTACCTACCATATCGACAGAAGCTACTGACCCCTGCCCTGTTTTCCCTCGTACTTCAAAGATGTCCTCACAGACTTTCTCCGAATCTACTGGGCCAACATCTACAAATTCGAAGGCGCAAAAATCATCAGCTGCTCTCCGTGAGACAATCGCGAAAGCTAAAGCAGCACGCCACAAACTCGCTCAGTCGCAAACCATAGATAATTTCGTTCCATCCACACGGGTGACAGATGACTTTCCCGTAATTGAAATCGGAGGCAGCAATAAAGGCCTCTTGCGCAAGCGTGTGGCTTCCGCCCGGGCTGATGGACGGCTCAATATTGCTGCGATGGGATTGAAGGACATGCCTAGCGAGGTACTGAACATGTACAATGCTGAATTTGTCGACACTGGTGATGGAGCTTGGTACGAAAGCGTTGACCTCGTCAGGCTAGTAGCCGCAGATAATGAGTTTGAGCATCTCCGCGAGGATGTCTTTCCAGATACCGTAGCTGAAGCTGACAGTGCAATGGATGATGACTTCCAAGGAATGCTGTTCGCTGGCCTGGAGGCACTTGATCTACACGGCAACCATCTACAGCTACTCCCCTTAGGTTTACGGAGATTGGAGCAGCTGGCGATGTTGAACCTTTCGAAAAACAAACTTGGAAATGAGAGTCTGAGTGTTATCACTCAGATCGGGTCTCTGCGGGAGCTACGACTCGCTAACAATACTCTCGATGGAATGCTCACTCCGCAGCTTAGCAATCTAACGAAGCTAGAAACTCTTGACGTTTCCAATAACGCCATTACTACTCTACCGCCTAACATTGACGAGATACCGAGGCTCCGCGTCCTGAATGTCGCTGGGAATAAGCTGTCGTCTTTGCCCTTCGAGCTTTTTGTATCTTTACCCATGGTGGAGATAGATGCTGCTCGAAATCGACTTGGTGGAGCACTTTTCCCCGCCTGTGTATCAGGGTTACCAGATTTGAAAACTTTGGACGTCGCAAACAATGCTTTGACTTTGATAGTAGAGAGTGGAGCAATTGATCTTCCATCTCTCCAGTCTCTCAACGTTACAGAGAACAGACTAAGACAATTGCCGAATATGTTGCGTTGTACGGAACTTCTTACGCTAACGACGGCGGGAAACAGACTGGCCTCACTTCCCGAGAGCATCGTATCTCTGAAAAAGCTGAAGAGTGTCGACTTCAGCAGAAACGATATTAAGAAGCTCGATGAGCGGCTTGGGCTAATGGATACTCTGGCTATGCTACGAATTGCTCATAATCCTCTGAGAGAGCGCAAGTTCTTGACTATGGACACTGATACTCTGAAGCGCGAACTGCGAAGCCGCATCCTGCCGGAAGAATCCTCTGAAACTGTGGGAGGCGACATACTCTACCAAGGCGCAGGTCCAGCCTCCGGCACGGACACTGCAATTTCTCAAGCATGGCACATCACCCCTTACGGTGTTGTTGACCGCTCATCGGCAAATCTCGAAGCCATCGAACCCTCAGATCTCGACTCCTTCATTCAGAAGAAGGATGTTAAGACACTTATCCTACATCATAATCTCTTTACACAGCTTCCTCAAGCGATAGAGCTAATGAGCAATTCTCTAAGGATGTTGGATCTCTCCCGCAATAAGCTCACTGGTAGTAGCTGCTATATCCTCACGGATCTCTCGCTTCCTAATCTCAGAACACTAAACCTCTCGAATAACGCAATAACGTCGTTGTCTCCACTCCTCGATCTCCTCTCCGCTCCTCAGCTATCGGAGATTAACGTTTCCCGTAATCGTCTCACTTCTCTTCCTGTCCTCCGAAAGTCTTTTCCGGCATTGATGTCTGTCCATGCTTCGCAAAACAGTATATCGGAGCTGCGGGTCGAGTCTGTGAAAGGCTTGCAGGTGTTAGATGTCAGTGGAAATGCCATTGCTCATCTAGATCCTAAATTAGGCCTGCTAAGTGCGGAAGGCTTGAGAACGCTGGTTATTGGAGCCAATATATTCAGGGTGCCCAGGAGGGAAGTGATAGACAAAGGAACAGAGGCTGTGCTGGCATGGCTGAAGGGCAGGATACCGGAGGAAGAGATACAGGATTTTGCTCAAACAAAGACTATGCAGAACTTTTAGAGCATTTGACAATTGAGAATCTTCCATATCATGGACTACGCTTTTCCTGCTAGATTGTGACGTCAACTGTGTTTGCACGCGCCGCTTCAAACAAGCAAAAGCGATCCAAATCGCTTTTTTAGATAGATAATCCTGTGCCTCGAACCAATCGAGTGCTTTTCCTCCATTTTCTCTAATCATCCATTACCCCAACATATATAATGCCACCGCTACAGCTTCGTCCTCCCCACCTCCGCCCCTACCGACTCTTCCACCTCTCCGCCCGCCTACGCCTCCGCGAACCCCCCTCCCACTCCTCCCAAGCACCACCCGAAGACGACTACTACTCCCTCCTCCTCTCCCAGCCTATGCCAACCCCAGCAAAAAAGACCATCAACCCAGCCCGCGCACCCAAATCTTCCAGCCCCACATCTTCCCCCGCCACACCCCCACCCTCTGCCGCATCTACCGTGCAATCCACACCGGCTTCCATCCAAGGCAGCGACAAGGGCCCCGACAACAGAGTCTTCTTCTCCACGCCGCTGGCGGGACCGAGTGCCAGGATGCGCGGGCTGGCCAGAGGAGAGAAGGGACTGGCCCGTCCGCCGGAGCCGGATAATTGCTGCATGAGCGGATGTGTGAATTGCGTCTGGGATGCCTATAGGGAAGAGGTGGAAGAGTGGGCTGCGGCGAGGAGGAGAAAGGATAGGGAACAGCAGAGGCATGCTACGAGTGGGCGGAGGAGGGTGGGGAGTGGGGAGGAAGGGAGGGTTAAAGGGATGGGTGTGGGTGATGGTGTGGATGAGGGAGGGGTGGGGGATTCGGATGAGGTTGGGGGATTCAGGGGCTTGGATCTGGACGGGGACGATGAAGGGGCGTTGTTTGAGGGGGTGCCGGTGGGGATTCGGGAGTTTATGAATACGGAGAAGAGGTTGAGGGATAGGAGGGCCGCGGAGCATGCAGGTTGAAAGCGTTGGCGATGAGGAAGATTACAGTGCAAAGGTTGGTCGTGGCTCTTCGACTATTGGGCAAGATCGAGCCTAGTGTCCGGGCCTGTGGTCTGACTGGCGTACCCAATGGGCATGGAGGCCCAAAACGTGGGTTGAGTGTTACATGAAGATACTTCGATATGTCGATAGGTGAGCGTGGATTACTCGGCACCACCTCTGGCAAGACGAGTGGAGAGAGGGGGCCCTAGATCCAATAGAGGGTTGGATGGTATGGGTCAGTCGGGCAAGGCGGACAACAGAATGTGGAGCCAGAGCGTGACTTGAGAAGAGCGATTTGGCTCAAGAGATCATCGGAAACTTTTATGCGACGCCTTCATATATCGCACCATATCAATCCACATCGATCCCGTTCCTTTTCAGCTCTTGCCTTGCCATGTCAATCTCCCCCATCAACTCCTTGTGTGCTTCTGGTACATCATTGAACGTGAAGACGCCCCATCCCAGCTTGAAGAGGAGGTAGGAACCGAAAGATACAAGGGCCCAGAGAGGGAACTGTGGGCAGGTATCATCAGCTTTGCAGTAGCTATGGGAGTCTGGGAGGGAGGGAAGCGTACGACTGGTATGACCTCGTCTTGTACGGTTTTGGTGAAGGGTACTACGTGGAGGAAGCAGGCGAGGTAGAGCTAGGAGGCCATCTTCATTAGTGAAGTGCAATTGGTGGCAGACTTGAGTGATCGAGGCAGCTCACAGAAGAGGCCAGCAGTGCCAGAGAGATGGTCTGTTGTGCCCTCGTCATGACTGGAGTTGTGGCTGCCGAGATGTCACTAATTGTAACGACCGCGATGAGGTTTCGATGCGGGGGACAGATTTGGTCTGCCCAATTTCCAGTCCACGGAGTAGTAGAAATGAAGCTTTTCCGAAAAGTTGTCGGGACCCGGAGCAACGTTTTGCCGAACCTCAACATTTCTCACCCTCTGTATCACACAATCTCCAGTACCGTCTTGAATACAATAAGACGGCGCCTTTAGACCCTGAGACCCCAAAGTATCAACTAGCAAAGCTGTTATTCTTTTGGTAATTACAGCCAGCATGATCGCTTGTTGCAGAAACCCGTCTTGTTCGGCATCGCTTGGCCTTCATGATCCATTTCTTAGCTTAATCTGGCATTTTGTTGAGGTTCGAGTGACGTGACTTTCTGCGTACAACTTGCGAATTCCAGTCTCAGTGGCGTCCTTCAAGTGTTGAATAAAAGACATTGAATGCATCCTTAGCAGTTTGACGAATTGGGACCAAAAAGTAGCATCTTGTCTGCGGTCCGCACGGTGTAACAAGTCGCCCTTTTGAATGGTGCAAAATCCTTCATATATGCTAGACACCATGGAGGACCGACCGCCCATTATAACCGTGAAAGACTCCCCGTCCCCTTCTACTGGAGAAGTTACACCACAGCTTGAGTCGACAAAACCCCAAATGTTCCGTTTCTTGTCCAATATCTTCGAGGTTATCGTGCCTCGAGACCACACCGGCTCGGGCTTCGATGAATGGCCTGCACTTCTCGAGCGTGCAGATGGAGGTCTTGAAATTGGCAAAGCTTTGCGAACTGTGGTCTCTATCCTTCAATACCTGCGAGAGAAATCTCCTGCGATCATTGCACCTGCGACAAAGGTCCTAGCTGACGGTAGTCGGTATGGTAAGCTCGCGATGGTTGTTTCAGAGGTGTTGCAAGAAGGAGAGCTCCTGGCTGATACGCGCTCAGAGCCGTGGCGATTACCTTTCGGAGATGAGAAGATGTTGGACTTCTACCTTGATCTTCTTGCCGCAGATGAAATCGAGCATGATTGGACTCCGGATGCTCTGCGTTTAGTTGGCAATACTTGTGCCGATCTGGGTTCGTATCGAGACAAATTCCTCCCGTTCACAGCCACTGATCGGGATTCAAGACATCAACCGAGAGCGTGCACTTGCCAAGCTGAAGCTGCCAGCCTTGCTCGATCGCTTGCAAGAAGAGGGGAAAGCAAGCATTGCCATCGGTGTGCTATGTAACCTTTGTCTCGACTATGGTACATTATCCTCCATCCCATCCAAACAGCCAGGCTAACGACTCTGAGAACTGGCGCAGGTAGCTTTGAGGGCTAACCGGCTATTTCCTAGCCTTATTACACTGCTCGAGCGCCGGTGTTACAAACAAGATTATCTCCCTCAAATTGCTCTCCTCTTAGACGTCGCCATTGAGGATTGTGAGTGCATGTGTAGGCCGCTTTTGGAGTGGAAACGCTGACGAAAAGAGAACAGTCAATCCGGAGCTGTATTCCGATACTCAAGCGGTTACTATCATCCATCAAGCCCTCACAATACCGGGTGTAGACATTGAAACCCAAGTTTCCTTAGCAAATGCAATTGTTGCTCTTTTAAAGCACGAGCAAATCCAGAAGGCTTTGCTAGAAGATTACAAGTTGTCAATTATCCTTGATTTGTTTGTGTTCTCTTACACTCAAGATGCTGCAAGTACGAATTATTTTTCCACGTCGGAGTCCGAACCTCCATTGCACCACCCGGTGCAGGATCCGGAGGATGAAGCTCAACTTACGGCTTTGCGCTCCGCCTTGTCCGCGAAGTTGTGGGACATGACTGCGCTGACTGAATTTACTATCAAGTACCTGCCTGCATCGAAACTTGTTCAAAGACTCATCTCGTGGCTGTCGATAGATGAACCGCAGATGCAAGTCTGTGCTTGCAGTATACTTCGCAATGTGGCGAGCTCTGACCAAAATGCTACCGACATGGTCAAGAATTTCAAGGTTCACTGGTTGCTCAGATCCCTCCTGGAGGACGTTAGCAATCTCCAAGTACTGGAAGAATCAATTCGACTCATGAAGAATCTAGCAGTACCTGCAGCAAACAAAAAAGAACTCGAAAGTTTTGAAAGCGTTACATTAGTTTGGTCCAACTTCGAAAGTCCGACCTTACACTACGCAGCTGCCAGCCTCGTGAGACAGTTGGTTAGGGGATGCTTTGATAACGTTTATCGGTTTTTGAGACCGAACACCTCAGCTAAGGATGATAGCTACGCTTCCCGTCTTCTTCACCTCTATAGCAACACTAACGATCCAGCTATCAAGATCGAGGTTGCACGTACCATTGTAGAGGTATGGCGTACAGCCAACAGTGGTAACAGCGAGGAAGTCCGCTCTAGAGTATTTCGCGTGGAGAAAGCAGTGCGCGAGCTGAATTTGCGTCCTGACGAAATTGTCAAGCCCGTGGTAGCGATGATCGCAGAGTCTGGGAACCAGTCACTTGTAACAGAAGGATGGTTCGGCTTGGCTTTAATGACCAGCTCGGAGGAATGGGGTGAAGCCGTCTACAACGCATTGTGTGGAGATGCAACCAAGGGAGTCTTCAAAGCAGCGGTCTCCAGTGAAGACGCGCATTCGAAGGACCGGGACAATGCCCGGATCCTCGTTGACAGGCTATTGAAGTATAGTGTGGGTCTTCTTCCCCGCCATAAACGGTCACCCGACGACGCTCGCTGACCACAGTATGCCAGGCTGACAAGCCTGCTCGACTCGAGGTTCTTAGATCTCTTGTGCCTAGCGGCAATCGTTACTCAGAGGTGGAATCCAGGTAGAGCTCGGAATTATCGTAACGAGATATTCCCAGACACAAGATCTCGAGATGGATGGAAGTGGTCTCCTCGAGCCGTATCATACTCTGGTCTCTTCGCGCTCCATGGACACCTTATTACACCCTCCATCCACACGTTGCAATACATGATGCTATCTCCAATTTAGATAGAAGTATGGTCCAAACCATAGAAAGGCACGCTTTGCAGGCATTCGCAATATTAGAGATGGTACTGCCTTGATCATCCTTTGTTTCAAGACTCTAAGGGTCCCTTCGGTAACCACATATTTAAAACATCCCTATTTCAACTTTGGTCTTTAAGCAAGGGTATGATACCGTGCCAAGAGAACACACGATTACACCCCGTAATCGCTTCGACGTTTATTCCGTAACACTTTCTTAGAGACCCTAAACCCCGTAATATGACAGTAATATCACCACCGATTAATACTATTCGAAAGAGTACAATTAATAAAAATAAGTCCTCTTATTCACTTAGGCGAAAAGCGTAAAATTTAAATCGCTATTACGTTAAGAGCTTTAATCTTTATAGATAATTTATCTAGATATCGTCTTTTTTTATAGAACTCAAATTATAGATATTCTCGATAGATATTTTTAAATATTTAACCCTTAGGGGGAAAATCCCAAATAAAAAATTTTAATTTTAAAATTAAATTTTATAAAATTTTTTTATAAATAAAAAAAAAAAAAAGGAAAAAAAATAAAAAAAAAAAAAAAAAAAAAAAAATTAAAAAAAAAAAAAAAAAAAATTTTTTAATAAAAAATTTTTTAAAAAAAAAAAAATATTTTATATAAAAAAAAAAAAAAAAATTAAAAAAAAAAATTAAAAAAAAAAAAAAAAAAAATTTTAAAAATAAAAAAAAAAAAATATAAAAAAAAATAAAAAAAAAAAAAAAAAAATTTTAAAAATATATAAATAAAAAAAAAAAAATAAAAAAAAAAAAAAAAAAAAAAAAAAAAAAAAAATAAAAAAAATTTTAAAAAAATAAAAAAAAATTATATAAAATATAAAAAAAAAAAAAAAAAAACCTTTTTAGCTATAAACTAGATTACTTAGAATCTTTAGACTATTATCTTTTAAGTCGTCTAGATTATCTAGATTACTTAGACTATTAATCGCGTTAAATAATATTTAAGTAAAATAGATATACTTATTAATTAACTATCGATTCGCGATATTAATAAATTACTTTCTAATATTAAATACTATAAAAAATATCGTACTAAGATTACTTATATTTTTCTTCGCGAGATTATTATATTTATTAGTCGAAAAGATATAATATAATATAAGATATTAATCTACTATATTATACTCTAATATAATATAGATTATTAAGATTTATATAATCTTATATCTAATATAATATAAGATCTTAGCGAGATATCTTATAATATAATATATCTATAATATTATATTATAAAATAATATATATATAGAATATCTTAATTAGAATTTCTATATTTAGAAGTAATTATTTTAATTATTATTCTAATTAATAATTACGCTAAATTAATAAGATATAAAATTAAATATAATTATATTTTATTACTTTATATATATAAAAGAAAGCGAGTTATATCTACTAATAATAAGAAAAGCTTATTTTTCTCTAATATTAGTCGTGTAAAATTTATTAACACTTCGTAATTAAAGTCGTTAACGATAATTTTATATATCTATTATATATTTTTAATATCGCTATTTAATATAAAATTATACGTATTATAATTATAGTCTTTTTATTAAATTATCGATTTAAAAAAGTTAATATATTTCTTAATATTCTCTCGAAAGTATTATAGCTTAATATAATAAGCTATATTTTTTTAAGCTATCTTCTCGCGATATATAAAAAAAGATTAGATATAAAAAGTATATAAAAGTATATTTAATAATTCTAGAATAAATTAACGATATCTATAATAATAATTAAAATTAAAAATTAGATATACTTAAATAAGAGATAATTTTATATTATTTATATAATAGCGATAATAATAATTAAAATTAAAATATCGATTTAGATAATATAGCTTTTATAGTAAACTTTTTATTATTATATACTAGATTAATTATTAGTATATATAAAAGAATAAGGTAGGGCTGAACTAGAAAACCTTGAATTTATATGTGCAGCCAATCATCAATTCGTTAGGTCTACGCTTTTTGGTTAGACACCGCGGGTAAATAAATTAGCGTCCGCAATTATTAAAAATCTACAAAAATCTATGTGTAGAAGTCTTCCCCTCTGAAATAACCAGCTCCCTACGGATGCTATTACTTCATAATTTCGTAAATTATAGAGCTCAGTATACGCTTTCTAACGCTATAAAAATAATGAAGTTTGGCCTACTATTGGTGGATGAAATAGATATTTAAATATAATAGTCACACCAAACGCGTCCGAGATCGGATAATAATCCTTCCACCTGTTTGTTTATGTAACCATTATTCTTCCACCACTCTACCAATTCTACCAATTCCATCAATATAAACACAATCGTCCTCGGTAACCCTCGCGGAAACGTTACTAAACGCTTCAGGCACGTACACCCCTTTTACCCGCCTCTTAGAGCCCCTACTAACGCCCCCAGCCAGGCCACCCCTCGGCGAATCCGTTACTACTAGCAATCGAGGCCGTAAGCGAGCCCAACAGCTACCTACTACTGCTCATAAACGCGTTAAAAGATCAAAAGAGCCCGAACAGATTCACGGCCATCGTCTTCCTCTACGTACTCTCAAGCCAGCGGTACTCAACCAGCCGCTCAGTCAACACTACCTACCCTATCAGCTCAGCAATCCACTCAATCAGATCGTCAGCCAGTCACTCAGTCATCCACTCAGTCAGCCACTCAGCTAGCCACTCAGTCTGATACTCTATAAGAGGAGGAGCAAGAGGAGGAACTACAACAGGCAAATGCGGAGAACACTACGGAGAAACCAAGCGGCAACAAGGCCACCATCGTCAAGAACACGGCTCAGCTCTCCAAGATCCCACGTCATATCAGTCATCCACTCAGTCAGCCACTCAGCTAGCCACTCAGTCTAATACTCTACAAGAGGAGGAGCAAGAGAAGGAACTACAACAGGCAAATGCGGAGAACACTGCGGAGAAACCAAGCGGCAACAAGGCCACCATCGTCAAGAACACGGCTCAGCTCTCCAAGATCCCACGTCATATCAGTCATCCACTCAGTCAGCCACTCAGCTAGCCACTCAGTCTGATACTCTATAAGAGGAGGAGCAAGAGGAGGAACTATAACAGGCAAATGCGGAGAACACTGCGGAGAAACCAAGCGGCAACAAGGCCCCCAGCACCAAGAACACGGCTCAGCTCTCCAAGATCCCACGTCATATACTCTCCACGGTTCCACATCAAATCATCACTCAGCAAGCGTCGTCAGCCAGTCACTTAGTTATCCACTCGGTCAGCCACTCAGCTAGCCACTCAGTCTAATACTCTACAAGAGGAGGAGCAAGAGAAGGAACTATAACAGGCAAATACGGAGAACACTGCGGAGAAACCAAGCGGCAACAAGGCCCCCAGCACCAAGAACACGGCTCAGCTCTCCAAGATCCCACGTCATATACTCTCCACGGTTCCACATCAAATCATCACTCAGCAAGCGTCGTCAGCCAGTCACTTAGTCATCCACTCAGTCAGCCACTCAGCTAGCCACTCAGTCTAATACTCTACAAGAGGAGGAGTAAGAGGAGGAACTACAATAGGCTAATGCGGAGAACACTGCGGAAAACACTACGGAGAACACTGCGGAGAAACCAAGCGGCAACAAGGCCATCATCGTCAAGAACACGGCTCAGCTCTCCAAGATCCCACGTCAAATCATCACTCAGCAAGCGGAGAACACCACTACAACTTGGCCTGTCATCCCCACTGCATTAATATAGTACATCACTGCAATGACGTCATAAGAGGAGGATCTACTACGACGGTCACAGCCAATTAAGCCTCTGCAGAAGGAACATCGGACGATACATATTTAGACGAATTGAAACCATCCGATATCTTACTCTGACAGCTATTTCATTATCCGAAAGATTTCACTGCGGCAGAAGATAATGTGGGATTCACACCACTAATTGGCATGTTGTCTCCATTTCTTTCCGATATTTCGATACTTCTTGCCATAAGGACATAGCCTTTCTCTGTTTTTTATAGGCAATTATTACGAATCAATCCTCCACACTCGATACACCTTCCTAATTAGGCCTTAGCGCGCCTCTCTCCGCACATATATACCTGTATTCGTATGTAGGTCAAAAACGCACAGCAAGCGATCAGAGTTCGATTTAACTTAGGGCTAGGGCTAAAATTCGATTTGACTTAGAAAAATCCAACTCCATGAATTTAATTCATGGGCCTTTACTTGTATATAAATAAAAATTTATAATTTTATCTTTTAGATGTAATTATATTTAATATTTTAAGATTTTTATAATAGCTTAATATTTATTAGCTAGCGCGTTAATATTATTATATTTAAATTATAATAATACTTATTATTAAATTTTATATTACACTCTCGAGTAATTTAAAAAATAAGATTTATTTAATTATTAGCGCGTATAATAGAATTATTCTTAATATTTATATCTTATTTAACTTCGATATTATTTATTTCCTTCTAATTTAAATTCTTATCTTTATTTATATATATAATAATTCGCGCGATAAATAAAACTTTAAACTATTAGAATCGGTATAGATATAATATTAATATAGATATATTAAATAAGATAACTAGATATCGAATAGCTATATAGATAGAAGATATTAGATAGTAATAGATAGCTTTATTAAGATACGCTAGACTTTAATAAACTATAGAACTAGATAATATATTAAGAAAGATATAGAGT